GGTGGATCTCCTCCAGGTGGTTTTGGCCAAGGCATATCCGGGTCAGATCCTAAGCACCTTGGCGGATCTCCTGGAAGCCAACCTAAGGATGGTAAATCTGATATAAAATTGAGTAAAGAAGTAAACAATAATTTGAATATAGATAATAAGGATGTAAAGAACAATGAAAATATTGTAAATAATTATCATGGATTTGAAAATGAAAAGGACTTTCGTGAAAATTCAAATAAGAAACATGACCAAAATCCATCGGACAAAGGAAGTTCTTTATCAATCTCAGACAAACAAAATAATAATAGTAATATTAAAAACAACAGTACCAATAATAATAAAACTACTGTAAATAACTACATCAGAGGCATGCCTCAATCCTTTGGCCCGCAGAGTGGCATGCCTCAGACCAAAGACCATCCTCACCATGACCATTCTCCCCATCATGACCATTCACCTCATTCTCCGCATTCACCTCATTCTCCACACTCTCCCCACCATGACCATTCTCCGCATTCTCCACATTCTCCGCACTCTCCACACCATAACCATTCTCATCCTCCTCATGACCATTCTCATCCTCCCCACCATGACCATTCTCATCCTCCACATCATGACCATTCTCCTCATTCTTCACATTCTGATCATGACCATCATGACCAGCAAAATAACACATGTCAGAAAAATAGCACCTGCAGCCAGAATAACACACGCAGCCAGAATAACACATGTCAGAAAAATAATACATGCGGCCAGAATAACACATGTCAGAAAAATAATACATGCACTTCTAATCGCGAGAATGATGACCAACGCGACCATCACCACCATCCTCATTCTGATCATCACCACCATCCACATTCTCCTCATTCCGACCATCACCACCATCCCCACGATGATGGCGCGCACCCTCCACATCACCATCACGACAAAAGCAAGACTGATCATGCAGACCATCACCATCATGACAAAACCAAGACTGATCATGCAGACCATCACCACCATGACAAAAGCAAGAGGGATCATGCAGATCATCACCATCATGACGAACACAAGAAGGATCATGCAGATCATCACCATCATGACAAAAACAAGACTGATTCTGCAGACCATCACCACCATGACAAAAACAAAAAGGATTCTGAAGACCATCACCACCATGACAAAAACAAGAGGGATTCTGAAGACCATCATCATGACGATAAAAAATCCTCTAATGGGAACAATGACAGATATTTTAAGGGCTTACAAGGAGGTAGGTTTACAGAATCTAAAAAAAACAACTCTTCCAGCTCTAAAAACTCTAATTCATCTGAGGAAACAAGAACCATGGAAATCAATCCTCCCCTGTGAACTCCCTTAAAGATACAGTAACAGCTAGTTATTTGGCTATCCATCTAAGGTAAAATCTTATCACATAAAGAATTGCTAGAACAAGCTATCATGTAGAAAACAAATCCTTCTACAAAACCACCTGATGTATAAATACTGCTATTGGCAACTTCATTTTATATATCATTATAAGTAAAGTTATATATTACTTGATTTTTCTTATTTTTTAGTATTTCTGAAAACTTTCTAAATAAAATCTGTAAAAAAGTAGAAATGTGCACTTTATATATGAATATATTGAGGGAAGAAAAATACAGAAACTTACAAATAATAAAGAACCTGCAAGAAAAGACTCTGCACAGAAACAAGAAGTATTTTAATAGAATATAGGCCAAGATCACTATAAAAACATCAAAACCACTATTTTTAGAAGATCCTGCAGATACCACTAAGTACTTCTTATACTTACACATTTCTAGTTTTGCATAATTTTATTATTAGATAAGAAGAAAGTCTACTACTATTAAACTATGCCAAGTTAGGACATAATATTTATATCTCTAATATTTCACGAATTATATACCAAGCATGGGATATACAGCTCTGCAATCACCTAATCCTGCCATGATAGCACACTTTTAAGAATATTTTAATACTTTTTGGAAAAAAGTCTTTTTATTATGTTCTACTGAAATAGCACTTAGTATCCAAATAATATGCACATAGGTGAAATTGCGCACTAAAATTATTTCTTCATTAGAATGGGCTTCTTAGGGCGAGACTTTCCTTGCACAGAGTATATAGAAATATCTATGCAAGTAGCATCATATTTAATAGTCTTTGAGAAGGCATTTTAGTCCTGCAAAAATGGGGTATGCAGTATTCTACTCTCTATTCACTCCCCATATACCTCTTTCGGTCTTTCTGTATCAGGTGCATGCGTTTTAGATGTTCTTTGTCTGGGTCTCTGTGTTTTATTAAGGTGGCTCTATTGTACAGTTCTGTGTCTCTTTCCATGCGCATTGCAAAGAGAATGTCTTCTTTTGTTAGTTCTTCTAGATTTCTGTTTCTGGCGACTGAGCATGCAGTGGATATAAGGTTGTCAATAAAAATGTCAGCAGCACTTAATATAATCTGCTTTGAAACACTATCTACCTCAGACATAACCCCCATTTCCAGAAGGAGTTCCTTGACATCCAGACGCATATCCATTGGATCATTGAGTTGCAGCTCATTTTGCATATACTCTCGCCCCTTATCAAGCTTTCCAGGCATATTTTGTGCTAAGGGCTGATTCCCTGGGACGCCTTCCATCTCGTCTGCCTTCCCAGAGAACATATTGTTTAGTTCCCTTAGCTGGGAAGTCAAACGGCTTTTTTCATCCAGAAGCCTGGTGACTATTCCAGGAGGCTTAGATGCAGATCCTTGCAGATATCTATTGATCTCGCCCAGCATGCTCTGTAACTGCCGTATTTTTCTTTGAAGATTCTGGTCCTTCATCCCTATAAAAATTTATTTAATTATAGAGTCAATTTATGCTTTATATATATGCGAAAGCATCTGCAGAGGTGTCAGATATTTCACTAAAATATGCATTTTTGCAATTTATACATTTAACACCGCAATATTAGTATATTTCGCAGATAAACCATAGAATATCAGTATAACCAGTATTATAGAACAGTTATCTGGTTAAACCATATATACTACCTTCAGTATAATCGGACTGTATTTTTGCGTATATTATATAAAGACATATTTTACTGTGAAATTCAACTCAGCAGAAGAAAAACCTACAAAGAATTCTTTGTATTATATGCTGAGGACATTTTATATTCACTCCCATACAAGTGTTTAAGGAAAGAAAGACATATTACATGATATCCACCCTCTTTCTGGAATACATTCATCTTCTGGCAAGAGTAATATTCTGCTGGGAAATCGTAAAAAGTGCTACTGTCTGAGGGACAAGCTGTAAAGTACTTGCAAGCACAGAAGGAAGAAAATGAAAATCAGAAGATATGCTTCATTTCTGTTAAGACGGCCTTATTATTAGGCACTCAGGCACGCCACAGGGTACATAATTAAGAAGAAGACTAATTCAAGTATAAACTGGCTTTTATAATAATATTCCTACAGGAATTTGTATGGATCTTCTCCAGAGAGAGAAGTAATGCATTTCATGAGATGCTCTGCCTTCTTTCTAGTGGATGCATCCTTAGACTCCAGAAGTATTGCGAAGTATGGAGCACTTTGTCCAAGTATGCGAGTGATGAAATCTGGGTACTTAGCGTACATCTTGTAGAGTGTGTTAAATAGAGCTGTCTTTCTATTCCCTTCTGCTTTGGTCAGTTCTACAAGCACTGCGTGGTTTATGCCTTCTGCCTCTGATGGGTTATTAACTGCCTGTGAGTAAAACAGTGCTGAAACAAGCCCTGGAATGCTCTTGTGGTTTGAAATTATCAGCAAAGACAACTCCAGAATTCGTGAAATCGTGATTAGAGTGGACTTCTCATGCATGAAGAACTTTTTCATAATATAGACAATCTCTGAAGTAGTATTTTCTTCTAGCGCTGCAATGAGCATGCTTTCTAAACGAGAATATATTGAAGAGAGCGATGCCATGCAGATTCCTTGAGTGTCAGACTTGCTCATGCAGTGGAGAATATTGATGAATCTGGGTGTGTATCCTTCTGTCTTTTTGAGAATGTCAGTCCACACTTCCTGCGGGTTCTTGATAACTTCAAAGAGCGTAACAAGTGTTTTAGCTGCGATTCTGCTGTCTATTCTGTTAATATAGAAGGACGTAAGTGCTTTGACATCTTCTGGCTCCAGATCAGAGAGTTTGTTCTGAACGTACTCTTTAAGAATAAGCATATCTGTATTGTCAGAAACTACTTCCATGATGTATCTTAGATTGATATTTGAGAGCTTTCTTACAAGCATCTTCTTCTTTGTCTTTTTAACCAAAGACATCAAGGAAGGCACATATGGGTGCATGACATTCTTCTCTCTGCTTATTAGGTTGCACATAATCTTGGTAACAAGAAGACCCTGTGTGTCTTTCTGGGCAAGCACGCATTTAACAATGTGCTTTAGCCGAGACTGGATGTAGTATCTGAGGAGAGAAGACTTCTTGTCCTGCAGGATAGTGAAAACAAGAGGAAGCGTATTCTTTAGTGGCCTCATTAAAACTGACCGAAGAAGAAGCACTTTAGACCTTGGAGAGGGACTGTACTTAAGAATGTTTGAAAGAATAGCACTGTCTGATATCTGGTTTTGCACAAAGACGAAAAGAAGTGCTGTTGGGCACAGATTCTTCTTAAGGTATCTGCTAATGATTCCTCTAACTATCTGGGATGGCGCCTTCTTTACGAGCTGTGCAAGAAGGGCTGGAATATTTGGCATGGGTAGAATGGTTCTCTCCCAGTTGCACAGAACAGATTCATTAATTCCCATCTTCCTTGCTTGGATAAGCTTTTCTAGCAGCAGTGCTTCAAGAGCAGCTCCTTCTGCATTTTGAGCAAGTAAAGATGCACTGCTATCCGCATCTATGAATGTGGAAAGAACTGTATCCAGGACAAGGGTAATAGAATGCTTGCTGTTCGGGATGACTGACTGCAGAAGAATAGCATATGGGGCATTTTTGGAAATTATGTCAAATAGAGCAGATCTTCCGCTTTCTTCCATTTCCATTGACAGTCTAATAATATCTTGCTGGAAGCACAAATCAAAGTGTACAAATGCTTTGGTCAGACCTGCTGCTAGAAGATCAATATATTCTGTTGTAATCACATGCATAATCTCCTGTGGTGTGAGTGATGTGAAGTATTTCTCAAACACAGCAGACACCAAGTCTATATTATCCTTTCTTAAGCACCTAAGCATTTTTCCTTCAACAGACTCAGACTCGTCCGCCTTAAGAATGGACTCAGCTATGAATGCGCCAAACTCAGAAACAGACAAAGACAAAGCAGTGCGGTAGAAGAGCAGAGATATGGTTGTGTCCACATCAAATGCATCAAGGCTCCTGATTATGCCTCGCAGAACAGTGCTGGAAATAGCACCTCGCATGGTTGAAAGCACTGAAAGCAGGGCTTTAACTGGCCTCTTTCGCTCTTCCTCTGGGAAAAGTGATATTTTCTCATGCAATGCAAGAAGGTCCTCAATCTGTGCGCCCAAGTCTACGTACAGATGCACCATGAATAGCATATCAGCAGGCGTTGTATTTCTCTTCAAGCTATTACGCGTAATTTCCAGGAGGCTTGCTTTTTCTTCAGAACTTAAAGAAAGACCCAGGGGCGTATAGTTTGCATATTTTGACACAGCGTCAATATACTCTGAGAAGTGGCTAACAAGAAGGTCTCTACTAATATTTTTGACGAAAGAGTCAACATGTGCCTCGTCAAGGAACAGAACAGCACTTGCCCAGTCATTTACCTTAAGCATCTCTGCATGGATGGTTTCCAAGGAGAGAACCGGCAGTAAAACACTCAAAACTGTCTTTAGTTCACTGTATTTTGACACTTTCTTAAATATCCATGCTTCAATGCGTCTGTTAGGAAGAATTCCGTAGAAAGACTTCAGTGCTGGCTTGGTTATCTTTAGTTCTGCACCCTCTGCTTCTCTTTCTATTCTGGCCAGAACATCAATTGCTGGGTTCTTCTTTGCTAGACTTTTGTACCTTGCATCTGTGCATAGAAGTGTTGCAATTCCTGTCTTCTCAAGAAGGAAGTCCATTATGCCTTCCTGCTCTGGCATGGTGAATATAGTATCCTTAATAATATCCAGCCACCCAGGCACTTCCTCTTTCTCTGACACCAGCTGGCTCATGAGCTCTATTGGATACTCCTGCATTATTTCATCCTTCTCTGCTGTTTCCTTAAAGTGCGCATATAGCGTAGAGAATCTGTATAGAACATTTTCAGAGTCTACAACTGCTTCTGTAGGGAGAGCAGGTGCATCAGAGAACTCATCAATCTTTGCTTCTATCTCGTCGATCAGCTCATGATTGGCGCGTATGTATATCAGAATGCTCTCCAGTCTCTTTACAATCTCCTGTGACTCTTTGCTTGCCTGTGTCTTCATCCTTCTTCTGCAGTCCATCAGAGAATTAACCCATTCGCAGACTACTTCCTCAGGAATGCCGCTTTCAACGAAAAGGCTTTCAGAGACTTTTTCTAAGAAATGCGCATACACAGCTGTATCTTTGTTTCCCTCTATGTGAAGTAGAGGCTTTAATATGCACACATTTATAAGGGTGTTTTTGGCTAGATCCTTTCCAATCAGCTGCGGAATGCATCTGCACTGTAGCAAAGACACAACTGCGCTGTTCATAAATGGGTTTCTGCGTGTAAACATCTCTATTGCGCTGTGTATACTAGGGACCTGTATGGTGGCAGATACCAGATAGTCAAATTCATACTTGTCTATTCTGTACCGGCGTATAAGCCACTCCAGAATGACTTGCACGTACTCGTGCAGCGTATACGGAGTGAGTGTCTCAAGAAGAAGTTTCATTCTTTTTGAGAGCAAAGCATTCTCCCTGTCTGTCATTCTATCACGCCTAGAGTTTTGGCTCTGATCGTCTGTAAAGGAAGTAATGTATTTCTGGGCTCTTTCGTATGCTGCGTCATGATATAGTTGAAATAATTCAACAGCCTCCTCAACGCGTGAATAGAAAAGAATGTCTGGCTCTTCAATCCATTCTCTAAAGATTACAACTCTGCTGCGCTCTTTTACGTTTTTCTCTCGCACTTTGTTTAGTTGCTCTGCAATGCTCATGCTAAAAATTTTATAACTGCTGGTAAATTCTTTTATACTGCTGCGATTTGATTGATCCTAAGGAAAGCATATCTGCATGCTTCAATATACCTCTATAATGCATGCACAATATACGTATTCTATTGGATATGCTGTTTATTCAGGCAGTGTTCTCATAAAGTATTGCAAAAATTATTACCAGATAGACTATACGCACAGTGGCTAGTAGAAGTATACACTGCATGAAAATATGCAGAAATAGATTCTTTTTCTTAAATAACCTCTACTTCTAGTACTCCACTATTATTATAAATAGGAAGCACTAAATTTAAATATTTGCTTAAACTGCAAAGATCAATTTGAAGACTCTTGAATATTAAAGTATAATACATATGGGTCTTTGTGAATTTTCTTTTGTGAACTTCACATTATTAAAAATACTCCTTAAAGCCAATAAAGCCAAAATATATCTGTACACTCAAGGGATATTCTCCTATCTATATTTAATGTATAATTTGCAGTGTACATCATCACTGCATATGGCACAATCACCCATATCCCTTTAATAGTAGTAGATTTACATACATAAACATATTAAACCTTGTAATATCCGGTTTTACAGGAAATCGCATATGCCACACTGAAATATCCTCCATATACATGGAATACTTCATTAGTGCATCTTTATACCAGTTAATCGTACTTCTGGGTTTTAATGAATTTCTTTGTCTTATTATAAATAGAGCAATGTTTGAATAAAAAATGGATTATACTTTTAAGAAGCCAACACTCGATGTGTACAACATTCTATTCAAGGTGGAAAATAAAAAAGAAGACAGCTCTGTTCTTGCAGAGTACTTGGAGAAGGAAAACATGACAGGACTGCTTAGAGAGTACACGAAGAGAGGACTTTTCCCAGGCAGAGAAGTCCAGCCAGAAGAGGATGTAGACATGAATGGGCTATCTGAGGAAGACCTATTAAAACTGTCTGTCAAGTACTCCAGTGAAGTAGAGTACGAACTGTTTGTGAAGGCAGCCAGGCGCCTCATGGAGTACAACAAATCCTTGATGGTTAAGTTTGACATATGCACAGCAAAGGTGCGCATGCTTATTCTTCTGGGCTGGAAGGAAGAGCTAGACAAGAAAATGGAAGAAATAGAGTCCTTAATTGAGCTGGGAATTGACTGGGCAAGAAAAAACAAGTTTAAAGTGTACAAGAGTTTATACCACATTCTTCGCTCAGACTTTGAAATTGCAGCAGGGCTTCTGATTGATGCACTCTCCACGTTTGAAGGAGAAGAGCTAATGTCTTACTCTGAGCTAGTGCAGTACTGCTTGTTCTGCGGTCTGATGACACTTCCCAGGCAGAGCATACGGACCAAGCTAGTTGAGTCAAGCGAGGTATGCGAAGCAGCCAATAAAATACCAAGTGGGCTAGACTTGCTTCTCTCTTTGGACAAGTGCGACTACCCAGTTCTCTTCCGAAGCATCTGCTTGTTTGCAGAGGAGCTTAAAAGTAACGCGTATTTATACGATAAAATCGACTACTTCGTGTATAGAATGAAGGTAAGGTCGTACAACCAGCTGTTCAAAAGCTACAAGGCCATTTCCATACGGCAGATGTCTGCCATATTCGGAGTCAGCGAGGAGTACATGATCAGAGATGTAGAAGCAATGATCCTTAGAGAGGATCTTCTTTGCCGAATCAACCACCAGCTTATGATGGTTTACAAGACACCAGCAGGAAACTCTGATAAAATTGGTGAGCAGGCGGAAGAGATACTTCACACAATACAGAAGATGATAGCAAGTGAATAAATGGCTTGGTTGCATTGTTTTATCAATTTGTCAGCTTCCCCTGAAAATCCCCAAGCCAGGGTTCTTTTGGCTGGATGCTTCTATTACTTCTTTAATCCATGTGCAAATATATTTATTTCATTATGTAGTTCAAATGGTCTCTAACAGTTCGCAAACTATAAGAGAATTCACAGAGTATTCAGTAAATACTCTATAACAGCCTTATCTAAAGTATTTTGTTTTCTGCAGCACTGGCTTTCCATGTTGAAACTGCAAGCATGAAATTCAGTTAATATACTGCATATAAATTGCATTTTATATGCTACTAGTTAGATACTGCATAGATTCATGCTGGTGTTTGCTAAAATAATCTGCAGAGTGCCAGTCATTTGCACAACCAGAAAGAACATCGTGTAAAGCAGTTTCAGAGACTCTCTTCTATTGGGTACCTCTAAGAAGCACTTTTATATACTTAGAAGAATGTGAAAGTGCTGTACCCAATGGACTCGTCTGAATTTAAATAATGAACATAAGATAATAAGAATCTGTGAATTATATCCTTCGCTGTTTATTACTAGAATATAGAAAGAGTGCTTCCTAGGCCGCGCATGCCACTCTTGAATTTCTTTGTGCTGTATGCATATATAAATAGTAAGAATGCGACCACCATTGATAGTGTGCATGGCAGGCGTATAAAGTAAATCCATCTCTTGCATATTAATGTAGCAACTGCAGTAGTCACGTATGCCCCTGTGTAAGCGACCATTTCACGGGATAGAGTGTTCTTGAAGAAAGTCTTAAATCCGCTGAAAAAGCAGAGAGTAGAGAGAATGAAGATGGAGAACATAGTGAAATTCCATCCAAATACCTCTGGAGTGATTGGAAGTGAAAATAAAGACATTAGAGATCTAAAAAAGAAGAACATTGAAAGTACAGCTGAAATGAGCATGCACCCAATTCTCTGCTTCCAGGATAGTCCCAAGTTCTCCAGCAGAGTGTTTTTCTCTGCAAAGAAGTCTGCGTATGTGAATGGTAGAATGTCTCGTCCTTTCTTAAAATCTTTTGCTAGCTTGAATGTGTCTAAAGCTCCTTGCATTGTCTTGTCAAAATTCATTGCTAAATTTTATGCAAAACACAGCACAAATAAATAGACCAATAAATAATAAATAAACTAAAGAAAATTCGATACAATTTATATATCAATCCACAGCTGCCATCTATCTTTGTATTAAATATCCAAGCACCAATGCAGCAGTTAAGGCTGCCACACTAATTACAGTCTGTAAAATCACTGAAGACCCAAATCTACCAATTATGTGGAGCAGCATTATATTTATAATAAAGCACACAGACAGAATTAAAACATGAATAGGCTGCAGAGTAAGATAGGATGGCTTTGTTGTAAGGAATGACTTAATCGCTTCATTCCTTGTGTTTGCAAGTGTTTTACTCTTTACTACCTGTTCTTTTTTCATTATAGAACAAAAATAAATTCGAATTTATAATTAATTCTCTTTAATATGCTTATTAGTAGAAATTAAGTTACAGAATTATCACACTCAAAGCATCTTCAAAAACATATGGGTTCGATGGCTTCTGCCTTATAATAAATGAATTTACAAAGAAAGGAATGCAAGTATGAAAGGCATTTTTATGCACTTACATGAATGGTTCTGTGTATTTAGTAAGAGAATATATTATAGTGCTTTTTACTATGGAATACAAATAAAACATATCTGAAATATATTCTTGTTCTATCCAGATTATATGCTAATTAAATAGCTCCCCTTACAATATGCTTAAATGGAAATTCAAGTGCAATAACTTCTGTGTTTTTGTATTTCTGCTATAACCCGATATAACCCGAATAGAAAGCAGCAGATGCATTTGTGTTCAATTTATATTGTATTTCCATGGTGCAATTCAGGAATACAATCTTGCATATTTATGAGAGTTAAATTATGCCGGAATAAGAGACTAAAATATAAGCATAAACCATAATGTGCTTAAATATATGCTCATCTGCTTATATCTATAGTATATCTTGTATTAGAAAAAGTGCATATATAGAAGGATTTAAGATTTCTTTGTTTTTTTATTCTTTTACAGCTGACTCTGGTGAGTCGTTCTTTCTTGCTCCGGCAGGCTGCTGCTTATTGCACCTTTCCAGATGCTTTGTGAATACAACACTATTCACTTGTGTGTTGCATATATCGCATAGTATTCTGATCATGCCTTGCTTTCTCTTTTTAATTTTCCCTAAGGGCTTCAATTCACTGCACATTTCTGTGTTGAGTATTATATATGCTAATTCCTTAATTATCTCCTGCATGCAGTAGGGAAAAGTAAATTTCTGTTGTTTTAATAATTATCTGGTGAAGTGCAGCACTAAATAACAGCCCAGAAGTGAAGAAATACCACAGTAAGATGAGTTATTCTAGATTATTTAATCAGTAGTTGCCATGAAAATACCACAAATAGGCAGCAGTTCTGTTAAAACAGCAGTGTTTCTTGGGATGGATGCATTTCTTAATAGAAATCTGCTGTACTAGACTATTAAGCACATAAATATGAACTTTCTTATGTATCCCGTACTAAGAATCATTAGAACTCATTTACTGCGCCATTCCTTCTGAAATAATTGCTAAACCCGCATGTGCCAGCTGAAGATTCTACTTCACTTGCTTATATGGATAAACTCTGTCTGATGGAACAATAAGAGACTACTAAAATAGATAAGTAGGGAATGCAGATAGAAGCCATTATATCCGCATAAGCACAGGAAATAGAGATATTCTTTGAAGTACAAGGTTAATTTCTGTATTTTCTTTTTCTGCATTGCAATATGAGGGTTAGAGTCCTTGGGAACATTGAAAATAGGATAAAAAGTACTTTGAGCCAGAGGCTGAGTAAATCTACCACAGGAAAGGAACTATCCGCAAATATACATGAAGAGTTAACAGGATTGAATGGGATAAGTGCAGAGTCTATTAAATATAACGAAATCCTTGGATGGCTACTGAATGCCCCAGCTACTGTTAAGCTGCATCAGCCAAAGGGAAAACATTCCATAAATGCATCTTTGAGTGGAAATAAAAATATTGTAAAGTACACAGGTTCTGTGTACAATGTCCTATTTGAGTCCCTTGGGCAAAACAAGCTGACTGTAGAAAGCAATCTATCCTCCTTAAAAAGCTCACTTTGTCTGTTCCAGGTAAATTCAAAAGAGACACAGTTACTTGGAAAAAGTTCAGAAATATGGAACTTCCTGAAAATAGTAAATAAGAACATGCGGGACTTAGTTCTGCAAAAGTATTTGAGCATGCACGTGCTTGTTGGCCAAGCAAAAAAGTCTTTGGGGGTTGAGAAAATCATCAACCCAATGATGAAGATATCAGCAGGTGCATGGGTAGAGGATAATATCTTCACTAATAAGATTGAGCTATCTGTCAATCCTATAGAGCACATCCATGCAAGAGTACTAGGGTCTATAGGAATATGCAAAAACTATGCTATTACTGCAGAAAATATCAGTTTATTAAGCAAGCAGAAAACAGCAAAAGAATCCTCTTTGTTAAGCATAGATAGTGAATTCTATGCAAAAGTAGCATATCCTGTGGCTAGTGTAAGATCACTCCTTAATCAACTAGGCATTTTAAGTTCGCATAATCTGAAAAAAACACCTACAGACACAAATATTCTTGCAAGATGGAAGAGAAAAAGTATCCAAAATAAAAGTACAATAGAGCCAGTGGAGAGCAAGTATCTTCCATGGATTATAAGTAAGGCAACAATAGATGTTCAGGGAGAAGTAGAGGGTACATGCAGATTGAATATATTTTCACGTGAATTTTCTGGTGTTGCTAAGACTATGGGAATGCTAAAGTGCAGCATAGAGAGTTATGGAGTGCTTCTGGGTGGGCTAATAACCAAGAAGTATCCATTTACCAATAATACCACAGAACACTTTGGTTTCCAGGAAAATTTCACTCCAGCAGTTGGATTCTCGTATACTCCAAAGAATTCATTCATTGATAGTGCATCAGTCTATTGGCCATGGGCTTCAATAAAAAGAAAGAGCGGTATTCTTAATAAACTGCATGCATTTGAAATAAGTGTATCAAAGGAATACTAGAAGCACAATGATATTGCAGCCTGTGGATATTTATCGATCAAAGAACTATTATCTACTGGAATCCCTGCAAACATGCATTTTTGTGCATGAGATTGGCTACTTAAATAACCCATGGAGAGATTTCTATTTTTACTCTTTCCATACATATCTCATACAGTATTAGACTAAAATTGCAAAACACCCGGTATTTTTCATATCCAGAAACCAAGACACATTTAATAGCGAAATTCGCATGAAAAGATCAATGCATCATAATAAGCACAATAAAAGCTCTTTTCTTATTCCTACTGTACTCATGCAGGGACTCTTTATTTAATAATATTTTGAGTATTTCGGGTATTTGGGCTACAATACTACTACATTAAGACACTTCTGCAGTATTTGACAATTTATATATAACTGAGTTTAGTCGTTTGGTTAAACGTACTGTCTGGAAATTTTTGTATTAATATTTTGCTATTTATCTTAAAATAAGTTAAGTGATGGCAAACCCGTTCATACAACGAGAAGTGAATGATTTAAAGATGCAGCTGTCTAGAAAGATTAGAGAAATGGTGGAAGAAGGAAGGGATGGCATAAGCCCAAAAACCAATGAGCATGGTAAATATATAACCAGACTATTTGTTGCCATTAAAGACTTTTTCTTAACACTATGGCACATGCTCAAGTATGTTTTCTGCTGTTCAGATGCTTCTGTGTATACACAGGACATGAAGAATCTTAGCATCATTATAGAGCAAGCTGCTCAAATTAAAGGGAATCCAGATAATAGAGACAGTCGTTCTGATGAAGCACACACTGATGAACTAGACCAAAATATACCTACTCATGTAGACGGAAAAGCCAAATTTAAAGAGATTTCAGCGCATTCAGTGAAACTTAACATGAACAAAGCAGCAGAGCAGCTCAAAAAAGGAATCAAGTCTCCTGTGACTCCCAATAGAAAAAGGTATATTGTCATAGCAGTGATATTATTAATTGCTAACGGAATAGTCTTATATGCATGGATTAGCATGATATATAACACCTTGTTTAACTATACACCAGAGAAGATACAAATTGATAAAAGCATCATTAATGAAAGTAAAGCCCACGAAGAGACCATTAGAAGATACAATATTCTATATGGAAATGATCCTGTGGCAGCAAAGGAAATTGCAGACTCCTACAAAGGAGCTATAGCATAAGCTTAATAGAAAGCCCGGTTTACTACATACACTGTCTGCAAAGAATAAAGTTAGAAGAAATAAAGTTATTTTTTGGCTTAAAAAGAGGCAGTGTAGTAGAAGTATCTTTGTCTATTAGAATTATTAAGTATATACACTAATATATCCTGATATTTTGTGTTCTTTACAGATGCGAGTTCACTTGTTTCTGCTGCTAAATTAAAATTGCTTTCTTCTGGAATCTTTTCCAATAAGAAGAGTTAAAGGGAATGGCTTTGCTGCATATTTAAAGAGGCATAATAAAAAAGAATAAATATTGCATAAACCCATAGATTAAAGATGAGTTAATTTAGGCTATATTATATGCAGCCTGCAAGAAGCCTGCACTATAAGAATTTGTAGTGATTTTCTTTTATTTTTATGAGCTTAGAAGGAAAACCCCGCAGTGATATTATGCAATGGGTGGCATGTGGAGCCACAATTTCTGCTATTTTGTATGGTGTATATCGCTATGCTATAAAGGATAAATCAACCCCAGAAAGTATGAAGGAAGAAGGCACTGCAGCCTTTTTATTGAAGGATTATGCAAGTGCGATGGAGAAGTATATGGGCGCACTTGAGCTCATTGACAGACTGGAGAGCGAAGGAAAGAGAAATAAAAACAGTGAAGAACGGATTAAAATACTGAACAACATATCACAGACATACTTTATGATGAAGGACTATGAGAATGCAAAGAAGTACATAGAGTATACAATAAGTGGGCATCCTACACACTACAATAGCTTTAAAAGACTGGCTAAGCTAGAGCAGCTAGACAAGGGATATGGAGATGTTAAAGGGCTTGCCGTTATAACTGCCTATTTGATCTTGGATAAAGCAGAAAAAGACAGAAGCAAAGAGTCATCTACTGCTGCGTCTTCTGTGCAGACCCAAGAAAAGAAGGCAGAGAATCACACAGACATTGCAGTCAGTGACATAAAAAGCAAAGAAGTCGAAACAGAGAGGTCCACGTGGAATGAAGTGTTAAGCAAGAAAATAGAAGCACTTGCAGAGAAAAGAACCAAGAGTGCCAGTACAGTCAAGAATGGGTATTGTGTCTCTTTTGTAAAACTTGAGGAAGTTCTGAGTATTTTTAAGGAAGCTTTGCATGGTGCATTATTTGGAAATAAAAGCAGCAAAGACAAAGAATTGCTTGGGTGGATTGACAGTAGAAAATATTCACTAATAGTAGACTACTTAAACAAAACTCCTATGCAAAAGTACAGCAGGCGTGCTGCATTCATTGCAGGCAACATAAAATATATTCTAGCCCAAAACACAGAAGCAATATCTTTGTTTGATGCGGCAGGAACCATATACGGAGATGTTTTATCAATATACATAAAGAAGCTTGAAAATGTAAATGTGCAAATAGAAGAAGACAAGATTATAAAAATCATGAACTCAAATGATCCAATTGTAAGAATGTATGTTTTGCAGCTGCACTTGGCAAGTGAGAATATGGGCCACTATATGGCTAAGCTGATTGAGCTCCAGGCAGAAGAATCTATTTCTCTTCCTTTTATATCAAATATTAAGTCACAGTATGCACTGTACGAGCACAAAGAAGCACTTAGCACCTTAAAGAAAGCACTTTCTCTCTTCCCAGAAGACATAAATGTGCTGTGCACGGGGGTTGAAGTGCTTTCACAGGAAATAACCAAGGAAAAAACAGAGAAAGAGATAGATGATGCATACATCAAACAGCACCCTAAGTGCGCAGAAGCATATACCATGCTAGTTGATGTGCTGTCGCGGCTGGAGCAGAAAGAGTTTGGCAACTCACCAAGGGGCGCATTCTTCAGATACATTGGATATAGCTCGTTAAACCAGAAGGAAAAAGCAGAGACCCTTCTGCAGGAGGCAATAGACCTTGACATATACAACAATACACTTTTAATCCAGCTGGGACAGCACAAAATCAACGCAGGAGATTTATCTGGCTTTGATCTCTTTGAAAAAGCAGCCACGCTTTCCTTGGAAGGAGCCAAGGACATATACAGAATGCTTTACACGTATAAAAGTGTGTACGGTGTCCAGGAATACTATCCACACGTGTCCATAATCGCAGTGAATAATTACTCTGCAGCCTCTTAGCTAGTCCATAGACAAACTAAGACATTTAAAGCTAAAATATCATAGTGCTGTAAACAAAGCATTATAAAAGGACACTTATCCCATTCCTCTGTGTATTATATAACAAGAGCATGCTTAATTATGGGCTATACTTTACAGTAACTGCACTCCCTTGAAGTGTCTTAAGACATAGATTTCAATGTAGCCCAATCTAATCTGATTTTTGTTATTAAACATTCTCTAGACTACTATGGCTCTACTATTAAAAGGGGCACGAATAAAGTGCTTCTTACAGGATTTTCTTTGTACAAGAATAAAAATCCTTCTTCTTTCTGCTCTCTTAAATGCGCATGCTGAAATATGCAGAAGATTTGAGTATCTCAGGACATGCCAAAATAATCACTCAGGAAGAGTAAAAGAAGATCTAAATAAATATGAGTTGGTTTTTATACCTTCTGCATGCATTAAACTTAATTATATGCCTTTTTCTCTTTATTTAAAGCTTTTTAACTGCTTCTAGACCCATAGTTGGTGCTTAGTCAGCACAAAGTGCACAAATGCATTTCTACCTCACAGGAGTATTACAGAAAGTAAAATCTTCACTGAGAGGATGCTATACACAGTTCTTTAGAAAGGTTTTTCTAAACCAGAAACATCAAAGAGGCTTGCATAAATATCTAGAGTTAATCATAATTTCTATTAAATTTATGCTAGAAATTGATTTCTCTAGGACTTTAGACGTTATAAATAATTTCGGGTACTTTACCTATTCTTTCGTTAATAGCCATAATAATAAGCACCATACCAACAATAAAAAATAAAAAGCCAATCAACGAGTACTGTATAACTGATGGGTATAGCCTACCAATCTTGTGCATGGTTATTCTAAATCCTGAGGGACTAAGAGATGAACTATGAAGGTCTTTCTTTTTTGCTGCGAAGTTGTAGCGTGTTTCTGGCTCTGTGTCCTCTTGTTCTCTTACAGAGGTGAGGCCTTTTGCGTATGCTTCATTTAAATCATCAGATGGCAATGCCACATATACTCTGTCTGTTCCATCATTGTTTGGGCTTAAGTTAACTTCGCTCTCTTCACTTACATCATCTGATGACTTTATGTTGTTTAGCTCATTATTTTGGCCTGAACACTTCGTTAGTTTTACTAGAATTGGAACAAAGAATGCTATAATACCGATTATTAATGAGAGATAGCCTAACTGTAGTAATGTATCAGAAGTTGATCCCATGCTCATTTTACAGAAAAAATTATTAAGTTAGAAATAAATACGAATTACTTTTTAAAACTTTTCATAGCTATGGTAAAATTTTCTGTTGATTTAATTTTATTCTTGCAAAGTTCACTTTATTTAGTGTTCTTTATTATCCATCTTCCTATTGTATACTCCAGTGTTTAATTGACGCATAAACAAAGAAAATGTTTGTGCAATTATAAAAGTGTCACTAAACTATTGTCTCCTGGGTATGTTTCCTGGGATTCGGTTCTGCATCACTGGTGCAATCATTCAAATTTTCATCCGATAAACGCGTTACTAGAAGAAGTGGTCTCTCTGCCTCCGTGACTAAACCATTATTTTGGTTAACGTTCGGCTTGTTTGGGGTTCGAGTCTTTCTGCCTGCTCTTGCTTTCCTTTTTTCCATTGAAATGTCGATCATAACACCGATCTTAAGTAAAGTGGCTATCACAAACAAGACGACAGCTATTACTTTTAGGACCTTCGGAACTTTTCTTGTTGAACTCGCTTGCATTAAAATTTTATCAAATATAAAATTATAAATACACAAAACCGTTTGCAGGGGTATCACTTGTGGTAAAATTTTCACTTCTCAAATCCGAGGCAACAAGATCACTAATATAAAAGAAAAAAATTCTGAAAAATATATAAGCCAATCAAACACTATATAATCATGTGAGAATCTTAGAAATGCACCGCATGCTAACAATAAGAAATAGATCCAATACGAATGCAAACAGCCACTGCCTCCAAAGACATCTGCATAGTAAATATATAAATAAAACTCTTTTGAAAACAACTCTATCTGTTGCATATTACTATCCCTTTGTTCTAACCTTAACTTCTTTAGAGCATGCCACATACCGTTATATTTAATGGGTTAACCATAAAACTACTATAATATTTACTAAAGTATCTCTATAGGGCAAGAACAATAGTACATATAGGATGAGATTAAGTTCAACAAAATATCTTCTTGTGTTGGTGTAATGCTTTCTTTATTTCAGAGTGCTTAGTGTAGTATTATATTTGCTTGTGACAGCCTTTTATTATGTCTATTTTTTTTAAATTTCTAAACCTCTGCAGAAATAAAATATATTTTTATGTCTACATATACTGAAGAGTACAAAAACATAAAAAAAAAGACGAAGGAACAGGAAAATGCAAAAGATGCACATAAAAAATAGGCTATGAAAGGGAGGGTTTGAGCAGCAGTAAACAGCCTGCTTTAAGACAACACATTGCAGGAAGAAAGGAAAGAACCCTGCGACAACAGCAAACAAACAGAAAGACATACATATGGAGGGAAATAAACAAAGGCATGTACACCATGAAAAGCGCACTAGTTGCAAACTCAACAGCAAGACTGAAAAGCGTGTTTGAGCAGGTCAAAGAGCTTCTCGCCTCAGAGGAGAAGAGCAAGCTCCAGGAGGCCTTCCACCTGATATCCATGAAGGGGCTCTCACACAAGGAAAAGGCGCACGTGTTCCCGCAGATTCTGAGCATGATAGGGCACTCTGCAATAGAAATAAAGTGTCTCGCATACTCCTTCATCCTGCGCTCTGTGCGAAGTGACTCTTCTCTTCTGATCCTTGCAGTAAACTCGCTTATGCAGGAGATGAACTCGGGGCACGAGGGCACCGGCCCGTCTCCGGCACTGCGCGCTGCGCTGGCAATTGACTTTATCTCAAAGATAGCAGACGCAGAGTTTCTGAACCACTTCACACACGAAATAGAAAAAAGATACTCCTCAGAGTCCGACATTGTCAAAAAGTCAGCTCTTCTTGCAGCACCCACACTGGTCAGAGTGTTTGGCGAGACAAAGCTGGAGCGGATTAAGCAGTGTCTGCAGGAAAAGAGCCCAGTGGTTCTGAGCGCTGCCATATCCGCAATTGTTGCAATAGAAGAGGCCAAGCCGTACACCTTTAGCAGCGAGGACGTGTCTGCCTGCTTTCGAACACTGTGCGCGCACAGACAGAGCATAGAGGAGGCAGCCGGAAACTTTGCGCTTCTTTTCTCTCAGCTGTGCCGGCTGCTGCGCATCCACCCGTCGTCTGATGCAGTGGAGGTGGCTGCGCAGGTGCTGGAGTTTCTTCCGCTGTGCGCGCTCCGAGAGCTTGCAATCATAAACAAAGGCGCGCTCTCTCTTGCAATGGTGGAGAAGATTGCAAATAGCCTCATAAGCTACATAGGAACCCGGCACAAGACAGACGCACTTGAGTCAATTCTTCTCCTTCTGCAGAAGCACACAATTAAGCTGGAGACAGACCCGTTCATAATCACGCACGAGGACACGCAGAGAGAGAAGATACAAAAGCTGTACATTCTCTCCCTGATCGGCAGCCCAGAAGGATGCGAAGAGATCTCCGCGTGCATTCGGGACAGAGAGTGCGTGCACCACGCAATCACGCTGCTTCTTGATCTGGACATTCTGACGCCTAACCACATAAAGCTTGGGTTCCAGTACAGCCAGTCCTCCACCCTGAGGGCCATCTACAGCAAGCACCCGCTCCCAGAGAAGTACACTGAAGCAATCAAAGGCATTCTGGGCCGCATGGAGAACGTGCTGGAGAAGGAGGTGTATCTCTTTTTAGCAGGGTACTACCTGAGCAGTATTCCAGACGAGGTAAACCGCATCCGAAGAATCCGAAGCTCCTCAAGCGGCGTGCTTTACGGAAAGCAGGAGGAGCGAGAAAAGCCAGAAGAGCACCTGGAGGAGTATATGTACTTCCTGCTGAACATGCACACGCGGGGAATCCTGTCCAAGGAGGAGTGCATACAGCAGGCACAGACAGCCTTTTCTGAGGAGATGTTCCTCTTTAACAAGTTTATGCATCTAATTGACCTTCCAGACAGGAAGCATCTTCTTGAGCTGATAGCATACAAGAGGGTTCTCTACAAAATAACAGGACAGCACTGGATTTAAAGAGGAATGCATGAAATAAATGTTAAGCTGATTTACAACGTATTTTATCTATATTCTTCTTTTATTTTTAATTATAACGAAAACACTATAGACACGTATGTAGCCTGAATGTGGATATTTTACAGATGCACAATATGGTACACTAGTAATTTCTTACCAGATTATGGTTTAAAGTGTTGTATACTATATCTGCTGTAGAAGATGGGGCTATGTACGCCTTGCTAACCAAAAATATTCCATTTACAATTATGAACCACAAAATCACCATAACAACAAGCTTTCTGCTTCCTTCCACCATAACTAAGCCCGCTAAGTTGTCGGATATGGTGACTCCAGTTAGAATAAACATTACCCCAAAGAGAATCACTTTGGACACAAAAAACAGTGCATATATGTATATGTTTGTCTGTGCAAGAAGATAAAAATTTACATAGAGTGAAATACTACTGATAATTAGCAGGGCCTCAATAAATATCATGTAAAATTGCACTCTGTTGTTTACAATCGGAACAGATGCATTTTCGCGTCCTGTTATGTTCAGTGACTTCAGAATGCTGTCACACCCAACATACATACCACCAAGCAGAAGCACAATGTATAAATTCTGTCCTATGTAGCTTCCATACGACGGGAGAGCCCCTAAATAAAGAGTGTTAATGTATAAAGGAAAAAAGGTTGAAATAAAAGAGAAAGAAAAAAGTATGCACATTAAAGGAGCCATGCAGTGGCATAGTACCACTATGGAGAAAGACAAAACTCTTTCATTCTCTGAAAAGAAAAAGTGCAATGGGCAGGTGGCTCTGCAGTGGTAAGTTGCAGTTACCTCAGGCTCGTAGAATGACTGGATGCAATTTACCCCAATTAAGTGCCACTTAATCCTTAGATTAGTCAGTTTAATGGAAATTATTCCTTTGTCAATGAAGAACAAAAGAATATGCCGCAGTACTATGTATATTGTATATGAGTAGTCTGTTGTGTACTTAGGTGAAGCCTGCATTCTAATCTTAGCCATTATGAATCAAAAAATATAATAAATAGATAGAAGAGTTTGTCTGGAATTCATTAAAAAATAAACCTAAAGGAGTGCAAAAAGAACCTGCATATGGAAGAATACACTTTATTCTATGCTAATATTTTCAAACCGAAAGTATCAAGTATCTTCTATATAACCCTATATAACCCGAATGTGTTGGTTTTCTTTGCCTTTGAGGCCACGAAACTCTCTTCCTGGGTTAATAGTAAGAATAGTTTTGGTGATTTCCTTGCAGTTTGACTATATGCTAAGACACCACAAGGGGGTATGTTTCCATATATGTCTATAATCAGTGACTTTGGCTTATTTATACTATGTGCCATACTCTCATCTGTTACCACAGTATGCTTGTATATATATGAATTTACATTAAACTAGAAGACTATGAATAGACTATGAGAAATAAATTTTATTCATTGGTATAAGCCAGTCTAATATTTCAGGGGAAGAAAATCCCTTTATGCCTGAAATAAGTCTACCACAATTAGTTATCTAAATGGGTTTAAATAGGAAAGTATGCTCTGACCTGGGCTTATATTGAATAAATTGCATAAAATTCCTGTTTGCTGGTTGACATGCTCGCATAAATAGTGCAAGCACCAATAAATAACTATACTGCATATGCTTGATCCAGAGAAATTCAATATTGCGGCTTTCTTTGAGGACTTTGTGCTAGGTTTATCACTGAAGCAGCACCCAATGTAATAAAAAATACTGGAAAACATAATTGCATTGCTAGCAACAATCATATCCCGGGCAATTGGACCCCCAAATGCAATAGCACCGTATGAAATTCCAATTAAAGCAATACTTGTAATGTAACTTGCAGTTTTCACACGATTTGCAACATCTGCACTTGCTTCTGTACTTGCATATTTGTAATTCTTAGAGTATGTAAGCAGTAGACAAAAAACTGATGCTAGGCCTAGCGCACTGTATATACTAAGAACAACACCGTAGTAAGGTATTTTAGAGGGCAGAATGCACAGTCCACCGAATAATGTAAATATTGTGCAGATCAGAAAGGAAGTTACAAAGTCAAATATCTTTTCAGTTTTTTTTGACTCTCTTCCTGTATTAAGCACTCCATTCCGCATACCACCAAAAGTAGAAATGGCGTATGGAAGTATAAATAGAATTATTCCATCGATTGTAAACACACTATATATTGCCCTGTACGCAATAAATCCACCATTGTACAGGATAGAAGAGAGTGTAATAGACCCTTCTTCTTTTTTACCCGATTTCTGACTGGATCTATTTCTTGCTGAATTTCTTTCGGATGTGATCTGCTGTGAGCCAGATACTTCTGCTAGTAGAAAAACTGACAATAATCCGGTGAGTATAATAAATTGTTTTAATATGGAGGGACTGCGGGGTTTCATGCAGATTATTTTATAAACTAGTTTAAATCCATGATCCCCTTAAAGTTAGCCAATAAAAGGCGGCTCTCCTGTTGTAACTAGTAAATAATTGGTTTATTTTATATTTCTGTAACTGGTTTTAACCAAAATCAATTTATTCAATTTGACCGTTAAATTGCTTCTGGATAAGAAATCTCTGCATGTCCAGTTAACTTATACTGCTAATAATGCAATGTTTGCATTAAGAATTGTATTAGCCCGGATCTTAAGACTTTCTGTCACAGCAGACTGTATGGCTTTTACAACAGTGTATGCTCCATGTGCAATGCTAAACTTAGCAATTAAACCAATTGTAATAAAGGAGTAAATCAGAATCATTAAAAGGCATAATCCGTAAATTGGTCTAAATATAGTAGCCATCTTACTGCCTGCTGCACTTCTGCGTAATCTCCATATATTGCATAGTTCAAGTATGCAGGACCCAAGTGCTACTACAGTAGAAGCAAGGAGATAAATAACTAAAAATGCACGGATTGAGAACACGGACATGTCAAGATTCATGAAAAGACTGTTGTACTTGTTTGATCCATACGCACTACTAAGGCCTAGTATAAACATCATTGAGAAGACTGTTAAAGCAGTGAATATTGTGTGCTCAGAATCAACCATTGAGTTGTAGCTTGTTGCAAATTGGATTCCCTTGTAGTGCAAAAACAGGGTTTGTGCCATTTTCACGACATACCCAACGTATACTGCGATATTTAAACCGCGTGCACATGCGCCCTCAGAGAATGTGCCGTATGGGGCCTTCATGAAAGCGGTCATTGCAGGGAAGATTATATCAACAATGAATGCAGTATTCTGGAAGAGGAATATTCTGATGAGAACCAATGTACACATGTACTTAAGCAGAAGAAGTCCATTTGAGACAATGACTCTTGTCTTTCTGGATGAAAGTATTGTTTCTTTTTTTGTCTCTTTTGCTGAGTCGGTTTCTTCTGGTTTCTGTTCTGTGCTTTTCTTCTGTTCTTTCTTGGTAATTTCTCTGTATATGTTTACTAGACACCCTTTTATATTTGTTAGGGGTGTGCCTATTGCACTTTCCATAATTGTTTCTGTTATTTCGTTTTTCTGTTCTTTTAATGCACTTGATTTCATCATAAATAAAACTTTTCAGACATATTTAATATTAAAATACCGGATATCAGAAGAAAATATATTTATAACGGAATTATTTAAATATCTGTGTTTGGGCCAAATTCAAGCTATACTACAAGTGACACATTTCCTGCTAAAATATCCATACTTTCAGAAGTTCATCCAAAAAGACCCATTCAAACTGAAAATGCTCTCAGATGAATTATTTAATTGTACCTTATGCATAGTGCAATATCCAAAATTAATTTCAAGTAAAGGTAGAAAGAGAAGAAGTAAAAAGTAAATTTATTTTTAGACAGAAATGGGGAAGAAGATTGATATTAAGCAAGAGCTAGAGAGACAACTAGGACCAGAATATATTTCCTTCAGGAATTGTGGCTACACGGAAGAGCCGTACATTGAAGGATGGACTGCCGTGCAGATGGCAAATAGAATATTCGGGTACAACGGGTGGTCATCACAGGTTCTATCCGTGCAGACAGTGGATGCAGAGGATCTTCCAGATAACAGAAGCACAATATCAGCTCAAGCACATATCAGAATAACCTTAAAGGATGGGATAATCCGGGAAGACATTGGCTTTGGGGTTGCAGAGAGAGTGAATGGAAAGGGAAAGGCAATTAAGCAGGCATATAAATCTGCAGTGACAGATGGAATAAAAAGAGCATTAAAACAATTTGGAAGAGCAATGGGATCCTGCTGTAATGACAAGAATTACATAAGACAGATCCGGAAGATACGAAAGATAGATACGCCCATCAAGGAAAGTGAGTTAATTCGGCCAGGCTCTAAGCCATACACAAAGCCAGAAATAAATCCAAAAATAAGTGTGGGAAGAAAAGGGTCTTTTATAAAGGAATTGGAGACCACAGAGAACAAATCGAATAAATTTGAGGGAAAGAAGATCACTGGAGACAAAGCAGCAAATAAAAGCCTTCTGTCTCTGGATGACTTACTTTCTGAGTAGACATAATATCTGGGTACTTTTTGGTGTAAGAATGAAATTAATGAAATTAATGCAGTTATAAGCTGGCATGGACAATGTTTAAATAGAATAAAACAGAATGAGTATTATTAGAGTACTTTTGTATATGCATTGTTCTATTTCTGGTTATTTTACTGTCTGTAGCCAGTTTATAACATAAATTATCTACGTGCAAGTTAGTATATTTATCATGCTGCATTACTCTGCTGTATGTAAATATAGTAGATGCATACTTGTTCTAGAAAAAGAATAAAACCCTTCAGGTTAAAATATGATATGATAATGGGGTTTGAAGGCTTTTAAATCAAAAATAAAACAAATTTACAGATAAGAATATGCTATCCTTAAGGATCATTGAATTGTCCCATAAATTAAACCAGAATATATTCTATTATCCCATGAATTTCTATTATCTGGATATAATTACATACAACAAGATACCCAGTACATCTAACTCAAATATAAATCTCATACAAAGGATAGTTCTATATAAATACACCCAAATACATTATTAATTAGAATTAAATAGGATATTTCCTGTGAATTTAAGTACCAAGAAATAACCCAGTATTTCAATTCACACTGTACACCATAAAGCACTAATAATTTATTTTCCAAATGAAAATATCACCATATAATAGTACATAAAGTGCCAGTAAATAAGCAAAATATTCAGATATTCCAAAGCATAAAATACTCATAACCAGAACCCAATATAACCCGAAATAATCATGCACTAAATATTCCTGCATCTTTTAACTATTTATCTCTCAACCTTAAATCTCTGTGAGTTTTATGCCTATGATATAACTATATTTACGTATAAATAAATTTAAAAAAAGAACTAAACAATGGCAAAAAAGAAAGGAGGAAAGAAAGGATTTGAGGAAATTGATGACATGTACGATATGTACACAGAAATGAACACAGAATATGCAGAAGAAGAAGTGGAGGAAGAGATAGAAGAAGCAGAGGTGCAGCAGACACTGGAAATCCCTGAATTAGACGAACAGAAAATGATTGCAAAAAAACTCGAGAGACTAACCATGCAAAGACCAGTCCATAAGCCAAAGGCAGAAATAAAAGTAGAGCAAGAAAAGGAAATGGAGACAGATTATAGAAGCCCAATATGCTGCATCCTAGGACACGCAGATACAGGAAAGACAAAGATCCTTGATAGAATTAGGGAGACAGATGTGCAGCTAGCAGAAGCAGGTGGAATTACTCAGCAAATTGGTGCAACGTACATTCCTATAAAGGAGCTAACAAAAAAGTACAAAATTGTATCTGACAAGTTGCCTGGGATCTTAGTGATAGACACACCCGGGCACGAAGCATTCTCTAATTTACGGTCCAGAGGGTCTTCTATGTGCAATATTGTGGTCCTGGTGATTGACATTATGCACGGGTTGGAGCTGCAGACAAAAGAAAGCATTGAGCTGTTAAGGAGCAGAAAGACGCCTTTCATTATTGCATTGAACAAGATAGATAGAATTAATGGATGGAAGTCAAAGGATACACCATTTTCCGTGAAGTCCCAAAGCAAAGCTGCAAAGCTGGAGTTTAAGGATAGGTTTGAGAAGATTGTTTTGGACCTAGCAAGTATTGGCTTGAACTCTGCAATATTCATGAAGAACCCAAACCCAAAGGCATATGTGAACATTGTTCCTACGTCTGCTGTTACAGGAGAAGGCATCTCAGATATGCTCTCAGTGCTGCTTGACCTTGTGGAAACAAATCTCCTGAAGAAAGTTAAGTTTGAGGAGACTGTGCAGTGCATGGTGCTTGAATCCAGGTCAGAGGAAGGAAAGGCAGCCACAATTGATGTAATTTTATCAAACGGAATATTATCCGTAGGTGATAAAATAGTTGTGTGCACGCAGAATGGAGCCGTAGAGACAGTCATTCGGCACCTTCTGACACCAAACCCCATGAAAGAGACAAGAGTCAAGTCAAAGTACAAGGAAAATAAGAGTGTAAAGGCAGCAATTGGTGTCCGACTGGCAGCACACAAACTAGAGGGTGTCCTAGCAGGAAGTAAACTCACTGTAGTAAAGAGCGAAGAAGAAACTGAAAGAATCATAGAGGAAGCAGATGAACAGATCAGAGCCACAATACAGAACTTCATTTCAGGCGACAAAAAGACCACATCTGGAACTATTTTTGACGTAGTAGGGGAAGATGGAATACACGCACAGGCAAGCACACTAGGAGCACTGGAGGCACTTATTTCTATTTTAAAGAAGGCAAATATACCCATTAGAACGGTTGGAGTTGGCAGCATATCAAAGAAAGATATCATTAAGGTATCAACAATCTCTGAAAGACACCCAGAATATGCAGTTATGCTTTGCTTTGATGTGGTCCCATCACAGGAGATGCAGGTCATTGGGAAGGAAATGAAAGTGAAATTCTTGACTGCAGAAATAATCTACCACCTGACAGAAAAGTACAAGAAGCACATGGAAGAGCAATGGGCACAAGCAGAAGAACAGTTGAAGGACAAGGTCATTTTCCCATGCATACTAACAATAGTACCAGGCTGCGTATTCACAAAAAGATCCCCACTGGTGCTGGGAGTAAAAGTGCAGCAAGGAATACTTAGAGTAGGCACGCCCTTAGCAGTAGTCAGAGATGGAGAAATCACACGCATTGGGCAAGTCACAAGCATTTTAGAAGACACAAAAGTAAACCCGAAAAATGACAAAATAAAGGCAGGTGGAAAGGCATCGATAAAGGTAGAAGTATCAGGAAACCAGCCACAAATTATTGTTGGAAGGAAACTCTTTGAAACAGACCAAATTGTCAGTAGACTAACAAGAGAGTCAATTGACTTGTTGAAGGAAAGTTTTAAAGATGCTTTAACAAAGGAAGACTGGCTCACAGTGATAAGTCTGAAGAGTATCCTGGGAATCCACTAATACAACAGAAATAAACTGATAGTCATAGAGTAAGACACAAGATGATTATTCAGAATGAATAATCCATCAATAAAGAGTAGTTTAAGCACAAGAATATATCCCATGAATATAGCCAGATAGAATATTCATAAATATGAGATTATAGAGTGCTTATATAGATGCATTAGAGGGTCTTAATTGCTGACCAAATAAAGATGCACTGTAATACATGCAGTGCTGTCAAAGTGATCATTTAACAATAAACTCCATGGAATTTATTTGTATCTTTTGATTGTACTGGTTATATATGCATATTTAGTATACTAGACTGCACTCTACATGGAAATTATTTCTGTATTGTAATTCTGGCTATAGACAGTTATTACTGCAAGATAATTATATCATACGATTTGGTCTACAAGAAAAACGAATAAATCTATAACTATATAATGACGTATACTTGCTTATAGATGCATCTCATATAATAAGACATCTATTCATGGTATAACCTTGCACTCAAGAAAATAAATGGTCTATTCTGTTTTTTATTCTTAGAAATGTCAAGGGAAGAAGACGTCTTCAAAGTGCAGCTGCTGACAGAGCATGCAACTTGTCCTAAAATTGCCACAAAATTAAGTGCTGGATATGATTTATACGCACAGAGTGATGGGGTGATTTTGGCAGGTAAACGGAAGAAAATAGATTTAGGCTGTACAGTGGAAATTCCAACTGGATACTACGGGCAAATATGCTCCAGATCAAGTCTTTCCCTAAAAAATGGAATTATGACAATGGGAGGCGTAATTGATGCAGACTACAGAGGGGAACTGTCTGTTCTATTATTTAACTGCAGTGAGACAGACTTTCACTACTCAAAGGGCGATAGAATCGCACAAATGGTGATTATAAAGATATATACAGAGGCACCTATTCTAGTAATGGAAGTAAGTGCTACAAATAGATCAGTCGGTGGATTCGGATCAACAGGAGTTTAACTATATGTCATCCATGAGCATAATTAAAATAGATCTATTCTGCACTTTTTATTCTTCTTTCCAGACAAAGCCAACCTTCTATTTTAACTCCCCATGCACAGACAGAAGCTCACTAAAGAGTCACTTCCACAGGAAATTCTTCACAAGAAATTCTTGACAAGAATGAATTATTCCGAAAAGTGCCTTTTAGTCATGCACTATACAAGGCATACTCATACTCCATTAATATGACACATTCATATATCTCATATAAAGTGGTAATTTATGTGCATTTTCAATGGGAAATAGTCTAACCCGGATATTATCCCTAATTTTCAAGTATTTTAATGAAAGTTAATTTTGAATATTTTAGTAAAAGACAGATGAATACAACCAGTAAAAGACTTAGTGCAACTGTTTCCCTTAGTGCATCTTACCTTGCAGTCCTTCTTGTGGCAATATTCCTAAGCACCTTCGTAATGAACAGGAACACACCAAAGTGCATCCCAGTGGTGCACATTGCAGAACCATCTTATGCCATATTTACACCAAACATAGACATAACAAGCACAATGAACTATAATGTAAAAGAGGCATTTATATATCTGGTGCACCAGATAGAAATAAAGGGCGTTGAGTTAGAGCAAGTCGTATGGAGTACTCTTGCAAAAAAAGAAAAGAACTATGTTCTAATTAAAGAGTGCAAGGCTAAGTCAAATGATGCAAATAAGCCACTTACTAAGGGTAAATTCATTCTGAAGGGATCTTACTTCCCGTATATTGGAGTTATTAAAAGTAAAACATTTGCAGAGTTTCCTTGTAAAGTAAAATAAAGAAATGAAGTTATGCGTTGCAGGATTAGGTGGACTTGGCTCTGCAATTATAACCAGCTTAATTGAGAACAAGGAAATATTCATTAATACAATATATTTACTAGACATGGATAGAGTAGAAAGGTGCAACACAGGAAACCAAATATACGAAGAAAAGGACATTGGAGAGTACAAAGTAACAGCAACAAGAAATAGAATAGAAAGGGAAGGATTTAATGGAGATATATTTCCCGTTGTAATTGACATAAATATACCACAAAATATACCAGAAGATATACTAGAGTGTAATATATACATAGCAGCACTTGATACGTATGAGAGTAGAGTTAACTTTTATTATCATATAGTCCAGGAGGCAAAGGTATCAGATAGGTTATACATTGACACAGGAACAGAAAGATTTAAGGGTCACTGCTTCTTTACTAAAGGGAACCTCTTAAACCCATGCATATACTGCATTAAATGGCTATTTCCTAGCCCAAAAAAGATACTTCCTGTGTGCACTGTGAGAAGTTCTCTTCCTGAGAAAAGTACGCCTGAGTCAAAGACAAGTATCCTGCTGAGTATCCTCTCTAGGGTAAGTGACAGCAGAATATCACAGCAGGATGATTTAACCATGAAAAACCACAAAGTAACCACAGATCTGCATGAAATTCCTTCTATTCTTAATTCTAGTGAGTGCAAGTATGCGAGTACTGCACGGATATACAACAAGGCATATGCTGCTTCAAAAGAAGAAGAAATAAGCCCAGAATATGTCAGAAAAATAGAGGGTGACCTGGGGATAGAACCAAATACACCAATTACCTCGTTCATTCTGGCGAATATTGTCTGCCAAATTATCTATAAGATGCCTCAGGGTAATTTCATACTGTACTCAGGCGATTGCACACCCGTGCTTCATTTGCATCAACTTTCTCCAGATCCGGAGTGTTTTCTGTGCTTTTAATTCTTTCATATTTCCTGCAATTACTTGTGTATATGTACAATATCTCTTCCTCCAAAATATTCACTTCTAGGGGTTCACCTTTTTCTTTCAGCGGTTGCCCTCCTGTGAGTTTTATTGCAATTCTTTCAACTGTTTTTAAAATTATCTCTGGTGAGAAGTACTCCAAGAAGGGATGGGCCAGTGTATCTGTGAGTATAATCCAGGCTAAGTTAATCTGTTCTTGAAGATATCCCTTTTTCTTCAAAGTTGTCCAAAGGATCTCATGCATATCCATGAACAAAAAGTCAAATTGCAGAAGAGAGCAAATAACCACTTCTGTCTGAAGCAAGGCCTGGGCACATGCTTCTTTATACAAGTTCTTCTGAGCATGCTGAAAATAAATAATTCTCGTATTCCCAACAGATATTTTAGTGACAGCTTCATTATCAAACTGGTACCCTGCTATTATATGCATATCTGCAATTATCTTAGAGATCCTTCTGGGACTACCAGAGAGTTTCTCTGATATGTTTAAGAGACCTATTAGAAGGGCCCCTAGACTGTCAAATTTCTGAACTTTCCCTTGCTTGAACAAAGAGCATGCTATCCTGTAGAATATCCCTATGGCAGCAGAGATCATTCCTTGGTGGTACCCACAGAGTTCTCCTTTTTTCTGGAGTTCTACCACGGCAAGCCTAATATCTTTACTTTTCCGTATATTTAACAACTCCTTCCGGATATACATAAAAATAAATCCAGCACTATCTTTATATCCATTAATTATGAATTTACAGTCCACTCAGTCAAATGGTCTCCAATCCAGTCCACTCCAAGACTGCCACATTCTCAGCACATTCCAATACACAGATAAATCCCAATGTAAATACAAAGAGAAAGAATATTCCAAGATTACTAGGAGAATATGAATATCCCCGGGTTCGGGTACTTTGTTAATTAAAATAATTTGAGTCATAATTCAACGAGTACGTACGGTACAATAAGCTATTTAGTGAATTTAAGACAGAAATATAAGTAGCTACTATCTTTATTGAACTGCATTTTATACATGTATATGAATAACAGTGCACAAGGGACAAGCTATATTTTATGTTAGTAGAAGGGTACTTTATATCTGGTAGATAATCCCAGATAAATCTGTATTCTGTTATACCTGGGTCCTGTCTTATTTAGTTCTCACTGGAGACCAAACTGCATGCACCCGGATAACCCGAATTCACTAACCAATCAGCTGCAGTAATAGCTACTGTATGTGGTCTATTCTTAATGGGCATGTGCCATGCTAATGAACACTGCACCAACTGCGTATCCGCACAGAAGGTAGAATATTTTCATGCCTGTCGTTAGTGAGTGCACAATTGGAGGAAGCATCTCCACTAAGACAATAAATGACAGACTCCCAAAGGATATCCCATTGAAAATATCTCGGATAATCCATGAGTTAATCACGTGTGAGATAAGATATGCAGATACCATACCAATTGGTGTAAGGGAAGAGTACACAAATAATAGACCTACAGCCACCTTCTTACTGAACTGAGAAGAGAACAAGGCAATTCCCACTGTAATAGACTCCAGGACCTTATGGACTGCCAGGCCAATGAACAGAGTAGAAGTGCCCTTTTGTCCAGGCGTAAATGCAAATCCTTCAAATATGGAGTGAATAGAGAATATAAAGATAAAAATGAGTGCTTGCTTTACGGTTGTCTTATATTTCAAGCCATCCGTACAGCAGCCCTTTATCTCATGTGCACTCTTCTCTGTCTCTTCAACTTGTCTTTCTGCCAGAATATTATTTAGCTCAGAGGCATGCAAGTGCTCCACATGAGGGTGTCCTTCGTGTCTAACTGTCCCGTGTGAGTGTCCTGCGTGTACATCTACATGGGAATGTGAATGTAAAATCTCACCAGATTCAGCTTTCTCAGGGGTTCTTTCCTTGTTGCAATGTGCGTGCTTTATTACCCTTTGGTCTATAATTATAAGACTGATCAAAGTGAGTCCTGCTATGACAAGACCCGGATTAAATGCTCTGACTTTTTCCTCCCACCCATTACCGTGTGAGTGACTGCACCCGTGTCCATGTGAGTGACTGTGGGTGTGTCCTATGACTGCCCCAATGCCTGGTGCTTCATGATTTACTTCATGCGTGTGACTGCACCCTCCATTCACCAAGTGCGGCATGAAGTCAACGAATAAAATGGCTAGTAATAGACCAGCAGATACTATGCTTGCCTTGTCATAGATATTTTTAAGCCTTTTAGAAGCAAGAAGTACAGAAGGAAGTAAGCTGGGAGCAAATGAGACCCCGAATATTATCAATGCCATGCTGACTGGCCCGAAGTTTTCCATGCGAAATAAAATATTTTCCAATTTATTTAACCACCTACCCCTCGATTGCATGTGCGCCCATAATAACTGATGTGATGAAGGAGAAACCAATGAACATTGAAAGGATCTTTTTGAATGTCTTCCTTCTTGTTAATTTCCCGGAAGAAGTCTCAAATTCATTACCAACCATCTCTACAAATCCAATGTAGAAGAAGCTTCCTGCTGCTATTCCATTAAGGATTAGTGTGAGCATGCTATTGGTGCTATCTGAGGAAAGGAACCTACCCAATAAAGAGCCAATTGAAGTGAGTGATGAATACAGCAGGATTAGACAGAATGCCACATGACTAGGGAGTTTAGACGTAAGAACAGAAGCCCCTAAGACAATTGCCTCCAGCCACTTATGCACAAGTATACTTATAATGTACCATAGTAATTGTGTTCCCTTCTTACTGGAGACACCCAGGCCCTCCATGAAGGAGTGCAGACTAAGGGCTAAAATAAAGACAAGGGCTTCTTGCTTGCTGGCTCCATCTGGGATAGAATCTTGCTCAGTGGCTTCAACCCTCTCTATGTATAGTTTGCTAATCGCAAATAGCAAGAAGAATGATAGTCCTGTGGCAATTATGGGAACAGCACTTTTTGTTTCGTAAATATCTGGGAGTACTTCTATAAGAATAATTCCAATAATAAATCCCCCAGTCAAGCACTTTATATATGTGTATCCTTTCATGTAGGGCATGATTACTTTGTAGGCGTACGAGAAGAGTAATGTAAATACGAATAAAACACCCGCTGAGACTGAAATTAGAGTTGAGTCTTCCATGTTAAAATATTTTGAAACAGAAATTAAATTTGTACGTCTCCATAGAAGACAAAACCAGTTGTTATACGGAGTACAACCAAGAAAGTCAAAACAGTCTGAGTATTCCATAATAAATAGACAGAGAGTGCCTTTGAGAGCATCATATACCCAAGGATATTGCACATTTGGTAATATGTACTGGAAATTGGGTGACTAGCCAGAAAAATAAACGGTTTCACAAGGGAGAATACGGAGAGAACTGTTGTCACATGGAGTATTCTCCTGAAGGGCATAGATCTATGGAGGAATAAAATTGTAATTATAATCTCAGATACTTGTGCAGTAATCGATATGAGTACATCAGGGAGTGAGAAGTAGATCGATCTATCTAATGTATTTATCAGAAGGATTATCATTCTTATTAAAAGTACTCTTTCTAAGTGACTTCCTTGTGAGTTGAATACAAGGTGCATATATGCTTCTGTTTTGAATAAAAATAAGTCACTGTATAAGGTGCACCTGGATATTGCATATTTATCTGCTATATTATTGCAGTTAGGACATAATGCATGTCGTAAATTATTAGTTCCTTCTGATAGTTTTACTATTTGCTGGATTTTATGCCTGCAATTCGTGCATCTTTTTTCGTAAGCGTGTGCCATATATAGGCGAGTTTATAAAAAAACTTTACGTCAAATTTATTCATGAAGAAGACTTACGACAGCAGCAAAAAGATAAGTAGATGTGTGACAGGAGGTGCAATTTTATTATTTGGGTACATGGTGGCAGTGATGCACCTGTGGCGAATGAATGGGATTGTTTATTTTTTCTGGTTGATCATGAAGAAGCCTGTGTATATAATTGATGTAAATTGGGCAGTTTTATTGCTTGTGAATGTTTTCACGTACATGCATTATATGCTTATTAGGTTATGGACTAAAAATAGGATAAATCACATAGGAATATTCTTGTGCCAATTTATCATTGTAAATGGGCTTATTGGGGTCTTGGTGTTTATGAGTGGGCGGGTGCATGGGGAGATGCAGCAAAGTGCAATGGGCCATATTTTCATGCAGTCCATGATAGTTGCATCGATCCTGTACAAAGATATAACACAAATAGATGCAGACTACTTCAGGGATTGTGGCTTAATTAGGCATATTATCTGGCAGATTAGGATCGACCGAGTGGTTGGTCTTGTCTTAGGGTTTGCTGCTGAGGTTTGGTGCCTGGGTCTATTTGGTGTCTCATTCATGCAAGGGATAGGGTGTGCATTTGATGGATTATTAGCATATATCCTTCTGGCTGCAATTATTCATGCTTACGTATACAATATAAACCACTTTACGCGGGATGTAGAAATTCTTTCTGAGAAAAACCGTTATTTCAGCTTGGAGAACTACATTGTGCTCAGGAACTATGAGGAAACCTCAAATGACAAAGGATGCGGCCTGCATAATAGTGAGATTATAATGGGATACATATTAGACCTACTGGAAGAGACAAGCAAGATGGTGGCTGCTGTGACAAAGCAGCAGAGAACCCGTGAGATCGTAATTTCACAGAAATCCACAAAGAAGCTGCCTCAGATTCTGTTATTTGAGGGAAGAAAGAATCTCTCAATTCTGAAGGATGACATATCTGCAAATATCTCGCACAAAATATATTTCTACCTGTACAGCAGGACAATCTACAACAGGGCCCTTGTGAGTGTCAATGGCTCCCGGGAAATTGTCAAGAAATTAGCCCGAGTTATTTGGCGCATGGAAGTAAGCCAGAGAAAGAAACTTCTGGCCGCAATTGATGCTGTGCAAAGTGAAATCAAAGGAATAGTGGCATTTAACACGGAAGAACTCTCAAATGCCCTAAGCATCTGGTCATTCCAGCTTACCACATGAATACCCCAGGAGAACAGCAGTAGTTTTACAATAGAAATGCATCGCAATAGATTCAGTTATATCTGCAAGAGTGCATGGATGCGGGGATAGACTATTTCTAACAGTCAGATGCACCCGGAATAATGTAAAACCAGTAGGGTGACAAGATCTGTCAGAGAGTCTTGTCCGTAATAAAAAGAGAGAGTTTCACAAGAGATATTCCTATAGGAATATTTGTGTATTTGGAGTACACATGCAGGATATTCACTCAAATGAATAAACATAACAGAGTACGCGACCAAATGAAATTTGCTTTAATTTGTGCTTTTATTTTTGTCTTCAAGATATCCAGATATACGCATCTACTGGCCCCTTAATAAAACCAAATATCTTGAGATATTTTGGTGAAATCTCTCATTACTATTCACTTTCCAGAAGATTCTTCGTATATCAGGAGACTACTACTAAGTTATATGGAAATATTAATAGAGATAGAACGTGACAATAGTAAGAAATATCCAACAAAAGACAAAAAAATCACAGTCACCAAAGGCACTTATAGAAATATAAACTATCTACCTTTATATTGGTATCTTCTGGCTAAAATATTGTTCCTATTTGGTTACTTTAGGTATAAGATATTATAGACTAATTTAAACTGGAATTTATTTGAATAATTTAATTTCTTCTGTTAAATATTCCCGTTATTACTGTTATTACTGTTATAGCCTGGTTATATATCCATATTCCACCAGAATATCCACATATATTTATACTGTAAATAACCCGATATAACCCGAATCCTTCTATGCTTACGGATTCAAAGCAGTATTTTCTGCATTAAATCTGAAACTGCTGGATTTTCTTGTGAGTCAATATCGCAGACGTAGTCTAGGTGTCCTAAGTACCTAATGGACATATCTTCTGCAAGCAATTCGCCTCCTTTCTTTGAAAACATTGAAATGCAATTTTGGCAGTTTGGGCACCTAAGAGTTCGCATATTCTCAATGAGACCGAGGACATGCATGCCCCGGGTCTGAAACATTCTTATGGATTCTGCTGCTTCATCAAGTGCCATGTTCTGGGATGTTGTTACAATCAGGATTTCTGCTTCTGGCACACTTTCGCAAATAAAGTCGTGTTCATCGGTTACACCCGGGGGCATGTCTATAATAACATAGTCATACTCTGCAGGGGACACGCTCTCCATGAATAGCTTAAGAAGTGACAGTTTTTTTGGTGCCCTCCATACAACTGCGGATGTACTTGGGATCATGGCTGCAATGCTTAGATAGAAAAGTCTTTCTGTTTTTTGGATGGGTTTGAAGCCTTTTTCCTGCATGATGACTTTCTCTGTTGTATGGTCCATAAGCACTCCTACGCTTGGCCCGCATATGTCAAAATCCAGCAGAATGGTTCTGTGCGTCTTGCTGGCCTGCTTTGCCAGAAGAAAGGCGACTGTTGACTTTCCAACACCGCCCTTTCCGCTTGCGACACAAATTATTTTCATAAAAAAATCGATGCTTTGCAAGATAAACGTGTATCTTTTTTCTTTTTATGGATTTCCTGGAGACTTTTCAAATTATCATCTGAAATCACAAAAATACTTGAGAGGATGGGAAAATAGTTAAAAACTCACATAATTCAGTTTATTATAATTTCAAGCCAGGAAAGGGCTACATTTCAATACCCTTTAGAAGACAGTGCAGGGAAGAAGACGGGGCAGTTCTGGTGGGCGGAAGGTGCATGCAAATTGGGGCATCAACACCTTCAATTTTCTGCTTTTTTATTATGTCTGCATATATTATGTGCATACTTGCAAGGATATTGTGCCTGGGGTCATATTCCTTAAAGTGCAGCGTACTCAGGATATCACACATCCCCAAGAGAAGTCGGTTCTTTCTCTCAATGGACATCATCCGAATGCGCTTCATTTCTTCCAATAACATTCCTTCCATGTCTTTCTTTTCTGTTTTTTCAGAGAATATGCTCACAAGAGCCCGAATGTCTTCTCCGAACTTCCTCAGAAGATGAGAGATGTATTCCTGCAGAAAGTGTCTCTTCATAAAGGGAAGTGAAGAGTCCAAAATAGTAATGGAATCTGTGCCTCTGTAAATATTTGCTACTGGCCGGTCAAGCACCAAATCCAGCTTAAGGAATATCCCGGGTGCATATCCACAGAAGAACAGACTGTTTTTCGAAAGAACTTTAAGAAGCAGTTTGCTGTCAATTATTGCGTGCGAGCCATGCACAAGAATTCCAGTTGGCTGTGCCAGCACCATGGACATTTCCGAAGGAAGAGGATATTCTGTCTTATCAAGTCCTATGGAGATGTCTACAGTCTCCTTCTTTCCACTCTTATTTTTAATTCGAATCCCAATGAGAGAAATAATCGACCGTTTGAAGAAAATATTTGAGGCCTGCAGGATACTAGAAGCAGTATCCTTTACTTCAAGCCTCTCCAGGACAGTGTTCTGCATGGATACACGCATTATATTCTCCATTGTGTCAATGTGAAAGTGCCATTTTTCAGGCATTTCTTCCACTGTGTCCACAAAAACCATGCACACATTTATTCTGAGCTGCTCAATGAAAGACTTCAGAGTTTCGCATCTTTCCTCCTTTTCAACAAATTCATAGTCTTTATCAGTTTTTGTAAGTGCCCATCTCTTTATTATTTTGGCATTTTCCATCTGCACAGGAAATATTCGAAGAGGAAACAGAAGATTTCTTGCATGCTTTGATAGGCTTTTTAATGATAGGGCCGAAAGTCTTTCAAAGACTACTACGACAGTGTCCATAAAAAAATTAGCAAAACATTTTCATAAAAGTACGCACTTGCTTCCCCTTACAGAGAACTTTAATTTAAGCATATTTTCAAAAATAAACCAGAATAAATCTGAGTCAACTGAAAGTGAAGTATAAATATTCCTGTGGTATGGGTATATTAGGTAGTAAAGTATTCTTGTAGACCAGTCCTAGGTTAAATTAATGAATTCAGGTTATTTATGTACTCCATAAATGAAAATATTTCTGAAATTAATTTACTTTTCAGCTAGAATCCTGCTGTAAATATGAATATTATTGCGTATAATCCACTTGATATTTATTTCTTGCAAAGATCCATCCATGGGGAGATTTCTGGCTTGTCTGGTGTGCTAAGACGAAAGTACCAGAAAGTACAGAAGTAGAAGGTAGAATATTCAGTGCAATGTGAATGGATGGATTCACAAAAGAAAGCATATAACCCGAATACACTCCAATATACGATGAATATGCAGATAGAATATGCACTAATTTACTGCTCACTCAGCATGGATTTCCGGTAATTTTCATAAAAATGCACGTGTGTTAGATCTAGAAGATCTTCCCGTGCAGTGCTAAGGATTTCAACAAATGAAGCATAGTCAGAGTGTGACTCATTTGTGATATCTGCAGTCCCATGGGGAAGTACTCTTTCTTTATACGTATTATTCATTACGTTTTTTTCTGCACCAAATACTCCATAGATAATCGCATCTTCATCTTCCTCCACACCAAATGTATCTATTTTATTCAGTTTAAGCAGGTCTGCTATCTTTTGTTTCTGCAGCTGAAGTTCTTCTGGTGTGAAATAGTCGCATTTTGGAATTACAATGAGCGTGTTCACTTTGTTATTCATAAGACGCAGCAAAACAATATCGTAGTCCTTCATGCCTTTGCTGGCTGGGGATGCAAATAGTACCATCAGATGAATCCTTGGGTCCTCCATGAAAGGGTCTCTTTTTATTTTGGTTTCTTCCATTAGAAACCTCTTATAACTATTTTTAACAAGAATTTCTATTGCTTTAATCTTTTCATCTGTATTTTTGTCTGTACCATATCCTCTTGTGTCTATTATTTTTATGCCATTTCCATTCAGGAATATCTGATGCTCTGAGACTTCTCCTTCTGAAACTACATCAGCACCTGCCAGTGTTTTAATGAACTGAGTTTTTCCTGTGTTTGAGGCTCCTGCAAAAAGAACATTTATATTTCTGCTTCTTCTTTGGTACTTCATCCTGTGTGTTTATGCATGTATTTGTCTCCAGTCTATTTATTTCTGTCGTTTCACTTTGTTTTGCATCCTATGCAATTATTCCATCTGGAATATACTAAATATACTGTCTCTGAGGGTATAACTTGATATTTTTAGTTATTCCAGAGTGCACATATACTACCATGCGTACATCCTGTTATAATTATATCTTTCATATACCTTCATATTCTTAAATTTTTGCATCACTTTGTTCTATTCACTAAATATCTTCATGGTAAAATATATTTCAGATTCACCGGAAAATACTCAGATATACCACATAAGCACCTTCATATAAATATACCCTTTCAAAAGAATATTTCCACCAGATATTCAGAAATAAAACACTTCAACAAAAAACCCTCTGAAAATTCAAGATAAACAACCAGTACACAACAAGATACTGCAGTAACCGTAATCTAATAATATAATAATAAGAATACCTTTAATAATTTATTCTTATTTTTCCGATATTTCCTGCAATTTCTTCTTGTACTCCTCAATTACCCCAGGAAGACTTTCTTTCCCCCTGGCAGAGACAGTGAAATTTATGTCAATTCCTTCTTGTGTCTCTTCGTCATACGGTATGATGTGATAATGGACATGGTGCACAGACTGATGGTGTCCGTTATTCTGCAGTATATTATACTTCTTTAAGCCCAACTGCAAGACTATCTTTTTGATGAGCACTAGGCCACCCTGCAAGTACGCATCTGGCAGAATATCTAGTTGTTCTGCATGATATTTTGGGATTACAAGTAGGTGTCCTGTTGTAATAGGATTAATATCTGCAATTACAATGTGCTCCTGGGTCTCACACAAAATATCCCCAAACTCACCCTGGATTATCCGACAGAATAAACACTTCTCCATAAAAACAAGAAAATCTGAACTTTTTATGGCCAGAAAGAAAGCACAGAGAGTCAAGAGAAAGCTCCCAAATGCCAGAGCAGAGAAAAGATTCTCTTGCCTGGAGTGCAACAGAGAGCACACTGTCATATGCAGCATAGATAACTCGAAGAACAGAGGCACTGCAAAATGCACATTCTGCGAGGCAATTCACCGATGTACTACGAACAGACTTTCCCAAGCAATTGATGTCTACGCGGATTGGGTTGATCACATTGAAAAGAAGTCTTCCAGTTAAAACACCACAGCACTGTACCCACCAATAGTCAATGAATAAAGTAGTTCAATGGAAACTATGCAGAATGGATCAATTATTTAAGTCACTGGGAAAGTGTCACTCTAGAAGAATTTCCAGTAGCATAGAACTAATCCTATTATTACAATGGAATTTCTTGATAATTTCAGAGAGATAGTTCTGACTGAAAAATATCAAGAGAAAAGGTAGATGAAAAACACCTTGAATTTATGGATAAAACCAAGGAAGATGCAAGATACTGTAGAAACAGAAGAAGAGATGCATAAAAAGACCAATAGAATCCTTGTTACTTTAATAAATATTTTCAGTAAATTCATTCCTTCCTGTATACAGATGCCTCCTTCATGAACTTTCTCTCAGTTATTCTCATCCAAAGGGAAATTTAAGTCTGAAATATTCTTAATGAAATATGACTTAATAGACTAATTATAACAGTATTTTACACTAGTACACTCTACTAGGCAGTTGTACTAGTATTAGGCTGCATTTTAACTGATTCCTGGGATAGATTAAATCTGTAAGAAATACTATGCAAGATAGAAATATCCAGGAATCACAGTTAAACCTATATTTACTGTGGGATAGTAGTCTAATACCTCATATAAACTGTAGACTAGAAATATTTCATATATTTCCAACAGAAAATTCACTCTAATCTTACAGTAAAAACTGTCAATCTCAATGAGTAAAAGATCCTTTACTAAGATAATCTGGAAGATATTCATGAAATAGATCCCCTATCCACATTAAAATAGATTCACACCCAGAAGGAATAGTCACTCTGTCATTTCAGTTTTTATTCAGCAGCCTGGTTTATTTTTATGGACAGAGAAGACGGCAGAAGCCACACCCAGCACAGAAGAATCTCATTAGAAATAGACAAGGATGTGACTTACACAGCAGGCCTGACTAAAGTCATGTGTACATTAAATTATTCAGCCCAACAGAAGAAGGGCATCTCAGCTACTGTAATTATAGAAGACGGTGCAGTCCCCAGAAATATTTCAAAAACCCGTGTGGAAAGACTAATTGAAGAGTCAGAGCGTGCAATTGAGACAATCTTTGATAGCTTATTATTGGAGACAGAGAACTCATATAACATAATATGCAGGGTACTCTGTGATAACGGATCATTATTATCAGCAATAATTAATAGTGCCTCTCTTACACTACTAAGCTACAAGGTCCCTATAAAATATCTTGTATTTAGTGTGACAGTAGGCTTGTCCCCAATGAAACATGAAGAGTACATTGTAGATTTAACAGAACCAGAAGAAAGGTCTGATATACCATGCATTACACTTGCCACAGGCTGTGCAGACTATGATACAATTATATCTTATGGATCTACGTCTAAGCCCATTGCAGAACAAGCCTTTCTAGACCTAATATCATACTCCGTCCAGGCCTCCAAGGAAGTCTCTCAGAAGATAATTGAAAAGGCACGGGCATTCGGGTTGTAATTTATTTTGAGTCTTTTGTTTTTTGCATGGATAACTTCGATGAAGACTTAGTATTTTCTGATAATGAGACGAAGTTTGAAGATAATGAGATTCATGTAAGGAAGCAGAATAGAAAGGGAAGGAAGTGGCTGACAACTGTAGAAAACATTCCAGACTCATTTGATATCACAAAGCTAATGACTGCCCTTAAGAAGGAACTTTGCTGCAATGGGACAATTGTCACAGATGCATCCGGGAAGAGAGTTATGCAGATGCAAGGGGACCATGGGAAGAAAATCCAAGAAAAATTGCAAGAAATATTCCCTGCTTATAAGATACTTTTCTTTGGGAATTAGCTGCAAAAATAAAGAATACTAAGATATGATAGAGATGCATTCTCATTTAGTCGCACTCCTGCAGTATACTTCTTCTGGGTCTTTGGGTACTCTGTTGGATAAATAAGAATTTCAGAGTTTTGCCCAAGACCCTGTGAAATTGCATGGGGAAGCATGGGTACAGCAGGATATGGATTCTGACTGGAATACTTTCTGTCTTGTGAATTTGGACTTGTTAATTTTAGTGCTTTTATGCTCTGAGGGGAAACAAGTGGGTGAAAATAACTTGAATTTACTTGAACCAGAAGTAAGACTAAATAGTCTCTGGGCAGAAGAAAGTGCACTATTTCAGTGGCTACGGGTTAACATACAATAAATCTAGCTCATTTATAAGATATGTAGTGATTGAAATTCTTCTGGAAATATTTCTAAATATCTTATTGATTCTTTATACTAATATTAATATTCTGGAATATTTCAGTGGAACTTGCTCAGAGATATTCAAGAGCTTGCAAATTTATTATTCATTCTTACTGGGTCTTAATGAATATATTAATAGGAAGTACTGTTTAAATTATATTTGTGCATTTTTGTGACTGGATATAGTCTAAGTTGCATAGTTCTGAATAGTGGTATTTTTTCTTAGAATATGAAGAAAAATACTGTAATTTAAATACTGGGCTATATTCGATTACAGAAGATGCCTTCTTACTATGTGCACATACACAGTAGTATGATAGTGATAGTCTGGTGATTTACTGTCTTGCAGAATTACAGTTCCCCTTGATTTTCTTATTTTTTTGTGAATTTTCGGAAAAATCATCCAGGAGTACTATGCAAGGGGATTTCAAGTGGAAAATCAAGTGAAATTCAAATATCCATAAGAAGCCAAGATATTCCAAATATAAAGAGAAATAATTATATAGTATAATATAATATATTCACACAAGTAGATATAAATTATTATAAGACTAAAAAGAACTAGTTTTTTATTCCAGAAACCACCCTCTTATAATGCACCAACAAGAATGGACTTACAACTTACATGCACATGCAGTGCACAGTATATATATCTACTCCCAGACTAAATTATACTTGTTTCTGGTGTTTATTATATTTTTTAGATAAAAAAACATTAAAACCCATGCAATTCCATGCGAAGTATATAAATTCAGAATATGCAGGGGGTAATAAATGATATATTGCATGGTGATATAATCCACAGATATAATTATATGATCACTGATATGCATATATTCGGGTTATATATTTAGCCAAAATTACCCAAAAAATGACACACGCAGACTCCAAGCAGTTAGACTACTTTGCATCGAATAAAAAACAAAACAGAAGATTCTTCTGCCAACCAGCACTCAATTTATTCGAGCATTTTACAGTCTTCCAGACAATACCGCATGAGAGATACGACATAGTAAGGTGCCTAGACAAATACTTCAACAGAAATACACCAGAAAATACAGAAGCAGAAGAATTCATTCCTGTCTTGTTCAAGGTGGTTGAAGTACCATGGCACTCCTCAGAGACAGATTCCCCAAAAACTGCAGATTTCCCAAGTCTAAGCGAATATGAGCTAGAGTACTATGATATATGGCAGCTAAAGTTCATTCATACTTTACTGCAGCACCAGATAGAAATAGACCAGCACATGGAAATCTTGCAAAAAGTCACATGCCCAGCACTTACAAAATTGTACGACCACAAGAAGACCCTGGAGGATGCCCTAAAAATACTAAAGAGACATGCATTTCTATCCGCAGGCTGCCATAATATCGTAGGAATACGACAAAATGAATTTCTTTTTTTCAAAGACTATGTGGAGGCAGTCACTGCCAACGTGGACAACCAAATTAGGATCGACCTAGTGCCCGTTAATATGTATAACCCGACACTCCACAAGCAGATAGAGGATGGTCTATGCCTTGGGACAAAGCAATGGATTAATGAGAAGACAGTGCAAGGCATGCAGTGGCACAAGATCATGGAGTTCATTGAATTCAAAGAGAATTACATTGCGACTGCCATGATCAAAGAACAAGAGCAAAAGACGCACCCTCCCCTTCCAGAGCAGCCAGACCCAGTAGAAGGCAAGGAAAATATTCTGGCAAATAAAAAGACAGAAAGAACAAGTGCCCCAGAGACAGAACTATATTGCACCCACCACAGAATAAATACGCATAACTCAGTTGACTGCTACGCCCTGAACAGTAGAGCCAAGGTGCCTTCTACTCTGGGAAATTCTCAAAAAATATCTATGACTGCACTGTCGGGTGGACAGAAGCAAACTGCTGGGTACAAGGGTGGGTGTGCAGGATTTGAAGAAATCTTAGGAATGCCCCAGGCAAAGGGCATAATCAACAAGATACGTGTATATTTCACGATAAATGCCAGCATAGACTGCAATCTCATGAGCACAGCAGCACAGAAGATGCTTGGTCTGCCGGACTTATTTGACACTCGGTCAAAACGGGTCTTTGACCCACTTGGTGGCCAGATTGAGCTTACATCCGTGCACACGCAGGCTGAGATACAACTGGCAATATATAGTCAGTGCCAGTCAGTGCAGAAATTCATGATATATCCGCATAAGGATGTAAAGGTAATCCTGGGCATGCAGTGGATCCGGAGTAATTACACCATGTACATACTCCATTTAGTGCCGGTTGAGAAAAGAAAAGAAGTCATTTCGGGTTTGCTGAAGCATCAGACATCTCCCACGTAGTATCTAAATAAAGGAATTATTTGATTTTTGTTATTTTTATCTGGAATTTAGGCTGTTTCCTTAACGTACTTTTGTTTTTGTTCTATCTTTCTCTTTGAAAATTATTTGGGAATCTGGAAAATCTGCTGGGACAGTATTCTTGGGATTCTTGGTTTTGGAGTAATTTGGTTGAATGAGTGTGTGTGGTTAGTCAATCTGGTGATATATGTGGTTTGAGGCATTCTGAATCATCGGATATAATGGGTTTTATAGTAATTATTTTATAAACTATAGATAAAATGTCTTATATATTATATATTACTGGATTTGGTTATAATATCATTCTGTATTAGGTGTATATTGTATATTAATGAATAGATGAAGTCTGATGTTTATGTATTCATATATTTCATGCTGTGAATATTTTCACTAAAATATAAGACAAGCCATCATATATAAAATATCCCACGGGCCATAAATTAACATAAATAAGCACACCACATGCACAGCCAAAATACTATAATATCACCATGCCATACAACTTCAATTAAATAATACTTCCCCAGAATATCCTGCAATTATTTCCCTCAAGAAGCAACAAAAATATTCACTCTCATAGAACCAGAAAAACACAAAAATACAAAGATTATCCCAATAGCAAATAGACTAAACCCCTTCATTCCACACTATAATTATTATATACCATAAATCTCCCAAAAATACTCACTTAATTTTCACTCTCGACTAAATTCAATAGGAAATGAATTTTATTATTTTAGTTTCATGGCAGACACAGAGTCTATAGGAAATAATAATGCAAAGGAAATACAGAAGATTCTGGAGGATTTAGAAGAAGCATACGAAAGAGACTGTGAATCAAACAAAGAAGGCCTTCCTGCATTAAGAAAACTAAATGACTTAGAGTCAATATACAACAGACTCTTGAAGAAAAAGAATCAGCAAGAATTGCTTGACTTAGGCGTGCTTAAGCTCCTAAAGAAGTGGCTGGAACCACTGCCAGATATGTCACTGCCCCATGACACAGTGAAGCGCAGCATATTAGACGTACTGCTGCACCTGACCCCAGAAGTAGAGCACTTGAAGGAAAGTGGGATTGGAAAGATCGTTTTGTTCTACTCCAAGAACCCATACGAGAAGAAGGGAATCAAGCAGATGGCAAAGCAAATCACTCTAAACTGGATTACAATCGCATCACAAGAAGAGTCACTTGATTATTAACCATGCACCTTCAGATTAATTTTATCTGATAAATCATCATATGCACGCAATTTAAATTAAATCTGTACTCTACTGATTATTCATCATAAATATATCTGAAGCCTTTTTTTTCTTCTCCCAATTCCACTGCACTACTGCACACTGACTCTCGTGAGGGTACTGTCTGTAGTACGTACGGGGTGCTGTTGGTGTAGTTGGTTATCACATTCGCCTAACACGCGAAAGGTGCTCGGTTCGATTCCGGGACAGCACATACCTTTTTTATGCTCCCCCAACCCAAATACACCTTCTGTCCCCGTGACAATCACTTCCCCTATATGTCCCCCAAAGAAAATCCCTCTGTACTCGTACTCTCCAATATATATTCCAATTTATTTTTACTCCTTCCAATTTATTTTTACTCTTGCTCTTTTCAGTAATTTCCGTTATTTTTTACTCTTTTCAGTAATTTCCGTTACTTTTTTACTCTTTTTTGCTGGTGCTCTTGACTGCCTTCAGATAATACTCTGAGGGTGATGCAATCTGCACCTCAGATTGCCCTGTGATCACCTCAAGTGTCTTTGTACATTCCCTCTGAGGATTCATCCCAACAGAAAATGGACACAAATTACAACCGCCCTTCTTGCTGTCTGAGATAATCTTACTGCACAGAATTCCCTTATAATTAATTCTTCCCCCAACTGTCCCATACGCATGCTGTATGCTGTACTTATATTTCTTCTCAAAGTCACTTGCACTGCAACTGAAATTGCTTCTGTACAACGCAATTGCATCCTCCAAGGGAACACCAGCTGCCTTCAGGAAATTATTCAGAATAGATCTGTCACCGTATTTCAAGTGCCTGTTTGTCTTCAACCTATCCAGTACACCAGAAATACATTTTGGAATAGATCTCTCTTGCAGCTTCATTGCTTCTACTGTGACAATTGGTTGCTCTACTACATATACCTTTGGTACACCAGATATATACAGTAATTGTGTACTTTGTCTTAACGTATCTTCAAAGCCCCTTACTAAAATACTCTTTATTCCTTCAATTCCTGCTGTAATTAGACCCTTCTCCATCTCTGTCTTCTCCCGGAGACTGAAATATTTTGTGAAGTGAGAGACCACTTGAACCTGAAGATTACCTCTTAAATATATTCCTAATACTTCATCTGCATCTGATTTCCTGACTAACTCCCCAATTGTATTTATATTTATGCCATTTTCATTGTACCCATCTATTTCCACTGTCAATACGCCTTCATTCACTCTGAATATAAATGGACTTTGAAGTCTCCCTAGGTACTCACCCAGAAATAATCTGAGAACATCCTTATCTAAGGATCTATCTACTCTTAGACGGAAAATACTTGTCTCCCCAATTATGAAATCCTTCAGTCTCTCATGCCCTGTGGCTGCTGATATCTTTGCTGCATAGTGCTGCTTCGTATCTTCAGTGATCTCCTGGTTCTGCAATAGGGCACGTACTGGCAACTGCTTATATCTCTCTATATAACTGTATATTTCATGTCTCTCCCTGACTAGCCCTTGATATTCTACCATTTGGGTTATTCCTGGGACACTTTCGTTGTAGAACCGTAACTCATTTATTCTCATTTTTTTTTAAAAATATGTCATTCGGGAAGTATATAGAGAGAAGACTGGAAATATTCGATAGAGTAAAAGGACAGCAGGAAAGTCAAGAGAAAGTGAAAATTCAAATAAAAACAGTCCATGGGGAAATAGAAGGACTAAGTCATGAGACTACTCCCTTCAAGATCTCACAAGAAATCAACCCAAATCACAAGGAATTCATCGTAGCAAGAGTAAATGAAGAACTCTGGGATGCCCACAGACCCTTTGAAAGAGATTCTGTCGTTGAATTTCTAACATTTTCAGATGAAGATGGAAAGAAAGTCTTCTGGCACTCATCTGCACATATATTAGGGGAAGCCTGCGAGAGTAATTTCCAGTGCAATTTATGTCTAGGGCCACCAACAGAGAGTGGTTTCTTCTACGAGATGCACATGGACAGGACTGTAGTACCAGAGGACTACAAAGCACTCAGGAAGGACATGAGGAAGATAATGAAGGAAAACCAGAAATTTGAGAGATTAGAGATGACAAAGACAGAACTACTGGAGATGTTTGCAGAGAATCCTCTGAAGGTAGAACTAATCCAGGATAAAGTACAGGATAGAAGCACAGTCTACAAGTGTGGACCACTAATTGATTTCTGTCTAGGACCACATATCCCATCGACTGGGTACGTTAAGGCAATTGAAGTCCTGCACCACAGCAGTTCATTCTTCCTGGGAGATTCATCTAGACCAGTCCTTCAGCGTATATACGGAGTATCCTTCCCTTCAAAGGATGAACTTCTGGTGCACCTGATGAACTTGGAAGAAGCAAAGAAGAATAACCACAGGAAGATAGGGGCAGACTTAGATCTGTTCTTCTTTTCCCCAATGAGCCCTGGATCTTGCTTCTTTATGCCCAAGGGCACATTCATTTACAACGCACTCATTCGGTTGATGCGAGAGAACTACAGGAAGAGAGGGTTTAAGGAGGTTATTACCCCAAATGTATTCACTAATGAACTCTGGAAGACAAGTGGTCACTGGGATAAGTACAAGGAAGATATGTTCTGCTTCCCAGCTGATAACACAGAAATGGCCTTGAAACCAATGAACTGCCCAGGACACTGTCTCTTATTCGAGCACATGAGCTGTTCATACAGGGATTTACCCTTGCGTCTGGCTGACTTTGGAGTACTCCACAGGAACGAAGTCTCAGGGGCACTCACTGGCCTGACACGTGTACGAAGGTTCCAGCAAGATGATGCACACATCTTCCTCTCTCAGGAGATGGTTGCAGGTGAGATTGAACAGTGTCTGCAATTCCTGGAGGAAGTCTATGGATTGCTTGGGTTTAAGTACACTGTCTGCCTGAGTACCAGACCAGAGAAGTACATTGGAGAAATATCCGTATGGGATGCAGCTGAGGCACAGCTTAAGGCAGCCCTGGAGAAGAGTCAAGTCGCATGGACACTCAATGAAGGAGATGGTGCATTCTACGGCCCAAAGATAGATATCTCCGTATGTGATGCACTTGGGAGAAAGCACCAGTGTGGTACTGTCCAACTGGACTTCCAACTGCCTGAAAGATTCGCTTTAAAGTACGCAGGAAAGGAAGGTTCTTCAGAGCGGCCTGTCATGATCCACAGGGCCATCCTTGGGAGCGTAGAGAGAATGTCAGGGATACTCCTGGAGCACTACAAGGGAAGATTACCTCCTTGGCTTAACCCAAACCAAATTGCAGTCATCCCCGTCTCACAGAATGAAATACCATACGCCCGGGTAGTAGCACAGGAGATGAGTGAGATGGAAGTGTCAGTTGATGCATCTGAGTGCACTTTGAACAAGAAGATTTTGAATGCAGAGAAGGCCAGGTACTCGTACGTCATTGTAGTGGGCCCTAAGGAGGCAGCAGCACACCACGTGTCAATCAGAAATCTAGTGAATAGAACAACAGTAACGGTCACCCTACAGGCAGCACGGGAAATGATCACAGAAGGAATCCGTAATAGAGTCAGTGCACCCGCAGATGCCATGCAGTTCCTGCCATCACCCGGGACAAAGGGCCTCCCAGCACAGGTCTCCCAGGCAATGGTCTGCCTGGAGAAACTCGTCCTTGCCATAAAGACAAAGGTCATGGAGACCCTCAGAATAAGATAGAATATCTGCACACCAGGAAATAAACATAATTTATCAATCCATTATAAGCACCAGATAAGAATATTTACTGATAAAAGATAAGATAGATATACTTTAACTTATCTCATGTCGGTTATACTTTATTTATATCTTGACTGTTTCAAGACGTACATGGACATATCTTGACATATATTGTCTAAAGATGACTTGAATAAGACATATATATGGACTAAACTTAACTAAAACAAGACATATATTGACTAAACTTGTATAAACTTGACTAAAACAAGACATATATGGACTAAACTTGACTAAACTGGCATAAACTTGACTGAAATACGACATATATTTACTAAAACAAGACTAAACTAAGACTAAAACAAGACTAAACTAGTATAAAACAACACTAAACTAAGACCAAACTAACCCTAAACCAAGACATAACTAGTATAACCCAAAGAATATATATATACCACTATACATTCTGTGATATATCTATCTTTTCACTAGAAAATAACTGTATTCTGAATATCAGTTTTAAATTTGATTTTTTTTAGTTCATTTCCTTTTATGGTTGACTTGCAAATAGAACACATTGGACAGCCCATAAATAAGTCTATGCTTTCCGTGGGCACAGAAATTGTCAAAAAGAATATGAAGAATATACTGGATGGTGTATTCTCATACTCCACAGGAAAAGAGATAGATATTCCTATTATTTCCATTATGAAATCTCTTGTGATTTCGGTTGGAATTATTTCCTTAATGACAGGCGTACTTTCAATAACCTGCCGGCTGGCAAGTGGCTGTAAGTCTTTAATTGACATGCACAGGGAAAAAATATTCATGAAGCAACAAGCCATAGTGGGCCCACAGATAAATAATGTGACTGTAAACTCAAAGAGAGAAGAATATTTACGTATTATATACAATGGATTAATCCTAGTATTCATGGTTATTTTTTGCAGTTTTGTATGCCGTATAATTTGGTCTACAATTATATACGGGTTCAATGAGATAAATGTACCATTATTCCCTGGGATACTTTCTGTTGTACTCTCTGTACTTTTGCTAGTGTCTTGTGAATTTGTTATCTGGGTTATATCAAAGATTGCAAAGACCCTTGATGTCCAGACTGCATATCCTCATTTACGTGTTATTTCCATTGCCTTTATGTTTTTGGTCTCTTATGGGTTTGTATTCCAGGAAGTAATGGCTGCATACTCTCAGGTGGTTGACTTTGGTCTATGCAGTTTCTCAAATATTCATGCCCTAACTGCCATTTTCTTCTTGTTTTGGTTGTTCTTCTTTACACTTTCCGTTATATATTTCTCTTTGTTATCTCTTACCTTCGGGTTTGAACACACTATGTCCTACGTGAAGGAGACATTTTCGCAGAGTTACATGCGCCCTACTACTTTCTCTGTGGCGTAGTAAGGAAATAGCATTTTCATCCAGGAATATGCTGGAATAATGGTTACTTGCAGACTAATTCGGGTTAGATTGGTACTCCATGAGTACTTTAGTCTGAACTTTTTGGATGTTAAATATAACCTAATATTAACTGAAATATTCGAAGAATATCCAGTGCAAGGAACCAATGAATGATAATAAATATTATAATACACTCAGGCACTAGACTGTTTATAGTTTATATAAGATATCTACTTTATTTATGGCTTATTGTGGTTCATGGATATTTCTTACTGAATAATGTCCTTTGTTGTAGAAAGTGACTAAGGCAACTGCAAAAAATAGACAAGATAGACAAGATATACAACTGCAAAAGATAGACAAGCCAGATATAATTACTTCATAAATCATGAATATTCCTAAGAGTAAGAGTAAGAGAAGAGAATATTAAGTGTCTAGTGGTTATTTTTGGTTTCAGATATCTCTTTAAGTTACTTCATAAATTATATGTATTCATTATGTATTATATAGTTATTCTGTGCTTGTATACTTTATGACAGGCATAAAATGAACTTGTTCTTTCTTTTCATATACTGACTGTATTATTACTCTATTTATATTTCTTTTTTTTTTGCACTTTGTAAAATAAAATCTGTACAGATTTGATTTTCTGGGATTCTTTTCATGAAGAGATTGCAAATCAAAGTGCACTAAAGATAAAAACAAGAAAAATAGACAGAAGAAGGATAGTTCTGTTCTAGGTGTTTTAGACTCACAGGCACACTAAAACCACAGATATATCTACTTTTTAAGACTCTTTGGAAAGTAATACAGAAGGGTGGATTTCAGTATATCTGCATCCTCCTCAATGGTTGGTATACTTGCATGGTAGTTAGCCCACCGGATAATATATGTCTCCAGGGATAAAACAAAGGCTTCATTAGGAAACACTATATCCTCTACAGAGACCAGTGTGGAAGTGTATACCACAAGGTCACTAATTAAATAATTAAACACTGCGTTTGAAAATAACAGCTTTTTCTTCAGTGCCCAACACAAATCATCTTGCGTACATGCTCTTCCAATGGTTATACCAGGATCTGCAAGCAAGTCCTTGTTTATGCCTTGAATAATCCTGAGAGAGACAGAAAGACATTTTGCGTATTCTATAGCACAGATGTCCTTGGAGAGGTAAAACTTCATATAAAAACTCAATAAATTTCTAAGAATTCTGTTAAGCATAATTATACTCCTCATAGTAGGAGAACCATCTAAAGATGCCATGACAGACAGCATACGCACAATCTCACCAGTATTCTGAATGCGAAGTATTTCGTGTCTGTCAGATGAAGAATATTTCACCTTGAATTTCTCAAAGGCAGAAAAACTCTCCTGAATGGATGCCCAAAGAGCATCTTCTTGGTGGACACTCACCTCAGAGAGATAGTCAGAGTAAAGGCCAGGCGTAAAATACCTTAAAATCACTGGTATTTCTGTATCCTTAAAATTCTTAGTATTTTCATACATTCTAATCATAATATTACTTGAGAGAAGGTACATAGAGATGAATGAAGGCCTAAATAAGGACAGCCGTGCATGTGCCTCTTGAATATAAAATAAAACCAGTTCTTTCCAACAGGACAATTCTCTTGACATATAATTATATTTCAACAGTCTTTCAAGCTTCCTTACAGGGTGACAGTGGGATATTTTTAATAAACAGACTTCCATGTACGCCTGACACTGAATTTCAAGTAGCTCCAGGAATAGAAGGTACTGAATATGATGGGATGAGTTAAATTCCATTTCTGCGTATTTTTTCTCTTCTGTGAATGTGAGAAAGAAAAGTCTTCCATCACCAAACAAAAACTTTGAATATGGAAGAAAGTCCGTTATTGCAGATAGTGCGCATTTAACTTGAAAAAAATAAGATGCCTGTGATACTAGACCCATCTGAAGGATATTTGAAATTGTTCTATTCGGGTTATATCCATCCAGAAGGAGCCGTGATATACTGTGCATATATATCTGTCTGCCGCATGTAAGATAGTCTAGTCTCTTTGTACTGCTCATTCTTGTCAGCATATTAGCACTCTCTGGTGATTCCAGAAAAAGAAGATTTTCAGGTTCTTCCAAAAGACTTCGCATTTTATTACTGGAGATAGTGTCTTCCAAGGCAACTGTAGCAGAAATAAAAGCATCAATGTATTCCTGCAGTTCTCCCGGATGTCCTTCTTGAATTTGCCCAGAATTCTTGAGCATCACAAAGATCGACCTATAAGAAAGCACAGGAAGGTCAATTGCCACTTGACATGCACACTCCACCTCGTATGCTGCATCTGTCACAAGGACATAAATATTTGGCTGCTGCGTAGAGTACCATCCCCCATGGTCAGCCATTTCTTCTGGTGTCAGCTCATGAAAGTTCTCTTTTAATTCTTTTGCTTCACAGAGGGTACTGAGTGCAACTGAAATTAGTCTATTTTCAGGCTGTTTTTTAAGTATATATGCACCATGGTCATTTGCCCTTCTAATTCGCAATTCAAACAGATTCATTGAGTACTTAAGGACCTCTTCAAAACTGCACTTTTTTTGGAAGAATTCCCTCTCTTGATGGTTTGAAAATATTTCATCCACTAGGTCTGGCTGTCTTGTGATAAATCTGAAGTAGTTATCCATTCTGTCTTCAATGCTTTCAAATATCTGCAAATAACCCGTACAATATTTATGCAGTAATTCTGATGTATTTTTGTATATGGCAGCAAGCATCTCCTTCTTATTACTGTTAAATGAATTAATTGTAACGGAAAATGACATTTCAACTGCATCACCATTCCCGTCGTAGTCTATGTACTGGCAACAACATGACATATTAACCATCCAATCTATGCATATTTCATGTTTCAATGGAAGTTCGTCTACCACTAGTCTGTAGTACTTCCCGAATACGTATACGTGAAATTGTGCATTCCCAGAGACTACGTCTACTTCCTTAACGTATGGAAGTATTTTTGGATTCTGCCAATTACTTTGCAAGTAGAATTGTTTGTTTATTTCTTCCCTACTGGCGCAGTGTTTCAATGGATCTGCTCTTTGTATGATCCTGTTATTCACCATATAATGATGCATCTTATTTGTCTCCAGGATACGGTTATTTATTTGCACTGTTTTCCTCCAGTCACCCACTGTAAAGTATTTCTTAAAAATAAGAAAGTCTTCATTTAATTTATATATCCCTGGTATCTTGATGGAAGGTATTTTTTTTGATATTTTTGAAACTGCCTGAAATGACCATTGAATAAATCCCTTCCAAGCACAGAAGTCTATTGCATTCATGAATTGAAATGAGACTGAATTGGTTATAATTTCCAATCGATCCAAGGATATGGATATATCTGTCACAGGCACATTGCACATAATTCTGTCACTCTCTGAGACTGTTTGGTCTATGGTTTCACTTAGTTCTTTCTCTAAGGCATCAGATACAGTTGATATAATTATGTGTGGAATATGGTTTATATTATATTCCAGTTGCACGTACCCAAGTGCACCTTTATTTTTCCCTTTTGTAATTCTCACTATTGTCACATTTCCTTTATACCCGAATATCCCATACGCCTGCACACTCATTGACTGCAAATATGAAAATCATTCACTAATTAATTTTAATTAAATTGACAGTATTACACGGCAAAGTATGGAATTATTTCAGTAAACCAGGATATTATATGTTTATATGCATATTATTTGGGTACTTCCCAGGGAAACCCATCTATTCCACATTGCACAAAGTCATTCTCCTTTTATTTTGAGTTTCATTCAGAATGGTTCAACATAATTATGCAATACACATGGGTACAGTGCATATTTTAATGGCACCATTTAATAGCACCATTAGAGGTCTCCTTATAGCCCGAATTTAACTTTCAATGAATTTCCATGAAAACATTGTAAAGGTCATTCTAATTTGGGGTATACATATATACAAGAATTCACCTAGAATAGACATAAATACGTCTTATGCATATAAATTGACCTAGAATACATATAAATTCACACATAAACCTACCTAGAATATACATAAATTCACAAGAATTCATACATATAAATTAACCTAGAATAGACATATACACAAGAGAATTCGTACATATAAACCTACTTAGAATACACAAGAATTCACATATAAATTCATCTAGAATACATAAACCCATCTAGAATATACAAGAATTCACCTAGCATCCATATAAATCCCCAAATATTCTCACCCTTTATAACCCGAATTATTTTCATTTCTAATTTCTCTCTGCAGGATTGAAAATCCTTTTAGTGCTTTGAGATTTTTTTATCATGCAAAGGATTGCAGAGCACAGTGACTGCCCAGTGAAGACATATTCAATGACACTAGTGGAGGTTGAATTAGCCATAAAGAATACAATATCAGATATTCACAGTTACCACCCAGAATTAGAGAAAAGAATTGAAGAACTTGGTGAAGTTATGGGACACCGCACAGAAAGTGAAAATATAACCATAGAGTCATACTTGGATCGAATATTCGAGAAAAAACTCATAGAATTTGGAGAGGAACAAGTGAAGCAAAGAGTCCAGGAATTCGATAATGAATTAAAGGAGTACTTCATAAAGGAAGAAAAAAGACTTCTTTCTGTCCCAAGAAGAAATATATTCAGAATTAGAAAGGAAGAATTCACAGACATAATTATTGAAGGATGCAAAGCACTAAAGAGAGGAGATGTAATAGGGAGTAGTCTATTCTCATCACCCATGTTGTACGATGCATATTTATTTGCTAGCTCACAGCAGACACCACTTGAATTCTTGGCTTACGTCCATTATACCCACGCCTTAAAGGGAAAGACAGTAGATGCAGTTAAAGCATATACTAAGCAGAAATACAGCAGTGGAATGTACAAGATAGAAATGTATGAGAACAGGGGAATGTTTGCTGAATTATATCAGTACATCCGGGCAGGAATGTACTCAGATGCATTGAAATTCATTGAATCCCACAAGAACTTCTTTTCCGTTATTTCAAATAATTTCCATTCTTCAATTATCTCATGGATGTGCTCAATGGGATTCATACATGAAGAGAGAAAATATACAATGGAATGGGAAGATGTACCCAGCACAAAAGGTGACCCATTTAAGCTACTTTTCTACAGATTATTCACTGGGAATACAGAATGTGTTCAGTCCGTTATAACGACAATTGAAGACTTCTTGTGGTACCATATTCTTGTCATGAAAACCATAACTGCCTGTGGTATAAAGAAGAGAGCAAATACGTCTTTGGAAATATTTAAGATGCTGGAGGGTTCTGTCACTGCACCTCGTCTGCTGCAGACTGCACTTATGCTGAAACAATGGAAGGAGGCAATGAGACTCCTGCAAGATGACACCTTCAAGGCGGGTGAGATGCTCTTCATTTCTCATGCAATCTCACAGAAGATTCGAGAAGAAAGTCCCTTTGTATATCCAATTAAAAGAGAGCTGGCTGATACAATGCCAGCTGAATGTACAGAACTATTCATTAAGGCCGTGCAAGGTGTCACTTCTCTCTTTTTGAGAGCACAAGATAAACTGTCTGTTGTGAACCTGGCAGCACCTTTCATTTCTGCTGAATGGTTGGAGGATTTAGTTGCAGAGGTGTTCATTGCCTCAGAGGACTATGCTGTCCTTGGGGACGTAGATGCATCCGGAAGGAGACAGACACCGACCATCCAGGAGCACATTGATGTTTCGTGGCAAGGGGTGGTGCAAAGAGTGGCTGAGTACTACACCCACAGTGGAGACCTTTTGAAGGCCCTGAAGATATCTTATATCGCAGGGAGTGCTAAGACCCTGGAAATCTTAACGGAAATTCTTGTGCACAAGATAGAGACAAAGGAGTACACGCAAGATGACTTAGAGCCAATCATAAAGCACTTCAATAATGAGCTGATTAACTTCCTGTGGGATATCTTGCTGATTGGTGCATCCAGAGAGAATGCCATCAACCTCATACGGCGGGCAGGCTTAGTCCCAGAGAACAACGCATCAGATGTCTTAAGAAAGGTCAGGGAAATTCAGAATTTAACTCCCCTTATAAAGAGTGTTATACCTGCTGCCTTAGTAATTACAGCACAGCGCCTTGGGGAGTACCCAACCCCAGAGAACCAAGATCCTGCAAAAGCACTTCTTTTGCTGGCTGGTGCCTTGGAGATGGACAAAGAAATAATGCATGATATTGTCACTAGCATAGCACAACTCCTATAATAAACTGATTTCACCTTGATATATATCGATTAAATCACTGTATATTCATAGTCTCCCATGTATTTTCAGTTATTTTCACACTGGGATAATTTTCACCCTAAATTATTCCCTAGTAATTTACATTCTAGATGATAATTAAATAATAACCAAATTCACCAAGACCCCACATATATATAACCATATCCCACCAGATTCACACATATATTCAAATTCGAATAGAAATATGTTAATATAAAATAGTATCCTATATAACCCTATTTCCAAATAGATCCATTTTTTATGATTTTCACTCTGTCTGTACCCATGGGAATTAAATAATTTAACAACAAATACTTTTTTATTTAATGCTAAAACACGTAGTACTAGGGATTGTACTGCTGCTGAGTGTCTGGGGAGAAAATGAAAAGACACCAGAACTCACAGAACCAGAAAATGCACAAATAGAAGCAGAATGCCCCCATGGGTGCACTGAAATATTCAAAAGTATTTTCATTCAGACAGATATGGATAAGGCAAAAGAAGAAATTGAGAAGAATCAAGGCCCATGCAAGTACTTCTATAAGTGGTTTATCTCCACGTATGTTGACTTTGATATAAGAACTGGTGTTGAGTCACTTTGGAAATCATTGAATTCAACTTGCAGCACAAGAAATCTTGCCTACTTAGTGTATGCCACTAAAATGCACAGAAAACAGAATATTATTGGAACAGAAGAAGAGACAGCATATTACTACAGACTAGTAGCAGAAGAAGTCTTCAAGAATTTCTTCAAGAAAAGGATCATTCTATTTGCAAAGTGGAAGTTCAGCAACTTACAGAAGGAAGGTGAAAATGCAAAAATAATTAAGTTCATAAAGACATTAAAGAACAGTGGAGATGCAGGGGCAGCAGAGAATCTTCTGTCTCTTATAAGGATAGGTCATGTTGAACTGGAACATCACGTGGATTTCCTTAAGGAGTGTGCTAGGAAGGGAAGTTTTGATGCAATGGGTATCCTAGGGAATATGTACTACTATGGATGGGGAGTGAAACCAAGTAAAATAACTGCCAGGCACTACTTTGCAGAAGGTGCCCGTGGGAATGACCCTGATTGCCTGAATGGCTTAGGGATGATTAGCCTAGATGAAGGTGATATCTATGAAGGAAAAGCATACTTGGAGAGGGCTTCAGCAATTGGCTCACAGGAAGCAGACTATAACCTGTATAAGATGTATGCTGGGTCTAATACGTTCATTGGGGAAGTGCATTTAATGAAGGCTGCAAAACAAGATGGATATTTGCCTGCTGTATTCACATACGCAGAGAAATCATGGAAGAAAAAGGAAATTAAAAAAGCCGTTATTTCACAGTATAAAAGTATAGCTGTATATCATGACCAAGTATTAGCCCTGGAGAAAGAAGCAGTTGAAATGTGCAAGAAACACAAAAATACTGAAGCATTCTATCTCTCCTTGTTGATCAGTGACTTAGGCCCAAAGACAAGCTGCGAGAATGCAATGTACATCCTGAAGAACAGGATCATTAAAATCCCAGGAAAAAGAACATTCCTTGGGAGACTACTGACTGCAAGGACTGAGAAAAATAAAGCACCTGAGAAAGTCCCAGATGAAGAGCACCCCATAAAGGAAGAGACACAGGATGCAGCAGCTACTGTGAATAATCTCGTGCATGAAAGTGAAAATGAACCTGAAAATTCCAATAACGGAAAGATAAAACCTGAAAATTCCAATAACGGAAAAACAAAAATCACAGTAGAATCAATAGGGAAAATAGCAGGAGCAGATATGCTGTATATCCTGCTGAATAAAAGACTGGCAGAGTCAAATAATAGCAGTGCTGCCATAGATCTGGGTCACGCATACTTCCATGGGAGAGGCGTAAAGAAGGACTTAGGCAAGGCATTCTCCAGATATTATTCATCTTCCCTTATGGAGAGTGCAGAGGGAGACTATCTCACAGGATGGATGTACGAGATGGGATGTGGAGTAGCCAGGAATTACGACCTAGCAAAAAGATTCTACAGTCAGATGTATGAGAAGGAGGAAAGTGCCTATGTAATATACTGGGTACTTATGATAAGAGTCTTCTTCAAAGAGAATCTTGCCAAGATAATTTCACTCCTGGTGGTATCTGCTTCAGTTTGTTTAGGATGGGTGACCATTCCGCAGGCACTTGTCTTCCTGAATAGAAGAAAGACAGTTTCACCTGCAGCACCTGCAGTAGCACCAAGTACATAGGAAATATGAATAAATAGTTATTTTGTAGGTACCATTAGGATATCTAGTCTAATTTCACTTGAACCTGAAATGTACGTTAATTATTTCATTAGTTAATTTAAGATCTCTTTGAAGATCTAGTCTAATTTCACAATATAATTATATTTCTACCTGAAAATACGTTATATCCAGTATATTACATTAAACCTAACAGATTTAACTGCATATATACATGAGTTCAGAGTATGGAGTAATTGAACACTCCAGAAGCAAATAAATTTCTCAAAGATAGAATATTAAGGATATCTCTGGTCTAGTGACTAAATATACTTAAGTATCCCATATTATTAGTGTAGTACCCAAGTCCATGAATATTCTGGCTCTATAGCAGGATAGACCAATTATAAACAGAAATAAGTTAGTGATATTTTCACTTAAATATTCACGTAAAATGAGCTGTAACTGATAAAATATTTTATCATATTCTATATAATTGATATTCAGGTGACATTAATCTAAGAAATCACCTTATTCCGGGTACTTTTGAGATTTTCTTGCATTTCTGAAACAAAGTGTTTTATGCAGTAATTGGATACTTATTTGTTTTATTTTAGTTTTTTCTCATCCCCGGTATGGATAGCGAAGAGCAGAGATACGCAGCTGTGCACAGCGAAAAATATTCAGACAAACCATACGGACACCACCCCCGTAAAGACGGTTTGTATGAGAATAAAAGGGCCCCATTCAAAGGCCAGCTCCGAACAGACCCAAAGAAAGCAGATGCGGATAAAAAGAAAAAGAAGAAAAGAGAAGATGCTCCACCAGAAAAAGAAGAGACAGAAATAATTCTTCCTCCAAAGAGGGAAAAGAAAGGGTTTCAGCTTATCTTGCAAGATGGTTCTGAGCTCACATCTCAGATCATCCTGGAAGAATTCAAAAAACACCAGATTCTAGTAGACGCACCTGCCACAGAAGTATCCGCAAAGGAAAAAGAAGCATCCAGTGAGACACAGGCATCTTCTGAGGAAGTGTCACAGAAGAAAATTCTTGAAGAGGCAGCACCAGAGAAGAAAGTTCCAGAAGAGAAAATTCCAGAGGAAAAGGCTCCTGTTCAGATGAGTGACATGGAGGCAATTAGACTGCAGATCCAGAAGCAAATGGAAGAGAGAGAGAAGAATTCTCTTTTGGAGAAGGCTGCCACCCAGAAAGAATCTCAACAAGAAAAGACAACAGTCACTGAGAAAGCAGAGAAGCAACAGGAGCAGACTATTATTAAAAGTGCCCCAGTTAAGACACCCTCAGAGAGTGAAAATAAGTCAGTCCCAAAGGAAGTAATCATCAGCACAGAAGAACTCCAGAGAAGCATCAACCTAAAAAGTGGTGACTCCGTATGGAATAACACTGGGCACACAGACCAAATGAGAAAGAACATCTTCAGTGGACTAGCAAAGGCAATCACAAAGCCAAGCTCAGCACCAAAGACAGCAAAAAAGACACCAGTTGCCCCAGTGGAAACACCAACTGAAAAGACCAGAACTGGAAGAAGAGATGCACGCCCAGAGACTGAACCCCAAAGAACCACAGGACGAACAAAAGCACCAGTTGAAGCAGAAGTAAAGGAGACTGTCAAACCAGAGTTCATAAAGCAGAAGACTACAAGAACTGAAGTGGCATCGCCTAAGACAGAAGTATCATCGCCTAAGACTGAAACTCCAAAAGCTGAAGCAGTTATAAAAACTGAAGCATCGCCTAAGACAGAAGAAAAAGAACCAGCAGGAGTAGAGATAAATGCACCTCTGCCAATTATATACGGAAAGGAATTCTTGTGGTCTTTGCAGGCAGTTGGTGAAAGTGTCCCGTGCTCCTTGGATAAGGCCCTTCTTGCACGGACACTTGGGTCTGCCCGAAGGAAGAAGGAATTTAAAACATTCCGGGCTGGAAGTGGCTTTAAGGAGACAAGGAAGAATGCCCTGCCTGTGACAGTCTTTGATAAGATCGAGACGTACGTGGCTGAGTTTAATCTCTCCCTGAACCAAGTCTGCCAGAATAATATCGAGGCAGTTGCACAGCGTATTCTTTCCATTAAGGTACCAAATGAAGAGGCAATGGTAGCCTTGGGAACAGCCTTCTTCAACAGAGCCATGCAGGAACAGGCTTACACTAGCGTATACGCTGCCTTATTGGAGCGACTGGAGAAGACATTCCGTGCTGCAACTGAAGACCCTAAGGCAAAGGGAATATTCAGGCAGACAGTCATTCATTTGGCAAAGGAAGACTTCCTGGCACCCCGTACATGGGCATCTGACGAGACTGAATCTGGCCCCCAGAGACTCACAGCAGACGAACTCTCAAAGCGTGTCTTGGAGATCAGCAGCAACAAAGACAAAGAATATGCTCGTATGGGAGTAAAGAAAAGAGCCCTTACGATCACAAGATTTGCCGTTGAGATGTACATGCAGCAGGTCCTTAATGATGCAGCCATGCACAGCTCAGTGCACGCCATCATACAGGAGCGTACACCAGAGAACCTGGAGAAGGTCTGCTACATTCTCAAGCACGCAGGTGTCCGGTTGGATGTGCCTGCAGGCAGGGAGTACGTGGATATATACATCTCTTGGTTGAAGGAGACAGCTGCTGGGCTGAGTATCCGTTACAAATTCTTGGTTGAGGATATTGTGGCTCTCAGGGCACACGGGTGGACAGAAAAGGCACAGGCAGAAGAAGATGACGGTTGGCGCAGTAGTAAGACAAAGGAGAAGAAGAAGTACACACAGACATTCAAGAAGGACGGCCCACAGAAACCGCTTAAAGTGGCAGAGTACATTGATGCACACATGGACGAGTGCAGGGACATGGAGACAGCCACAGTCAGTACCCTCAAGAGACGAGACAGACCCTTCCCCACAGGAGAAGAGGCCAGGCGTCTTTCTGTTGAATATTCCGGCGTAAGTGCCGTATTCCTTGCTGTCCTAGTGAAGATTACAATTGAAGGGTACGGGGAAGTGCTTGAGAATGGACTGGGCCTCCTGCGAGAGTGGACACGCGTGACGCAGCCTACAGAACAGAAGAGGGAAGAGGTAATTGAGTATATAGAGGAGATCATGCCTGACCTAATGGATGATTCACCCAAAGCGCCAGAGCACTTTGAGGCAGTCAAGAAGATTCTGCAAAAATAAACTTTCTTGGAATACGCGCCTGCTGGGTACTTTTTCTTGGATTTTCTGCACTAAATTGCATATTTCTTCTGGTGAAATTCATTTTGAGTTTGCAAAAGAACCAGAGGACTCACTTGCTATGGATTAATGTAGCTGTGCATCTGCTGGAGTGTTCATTGTATGTGGATTCCCCTGGTTTATGCCCACATATTCAGCTTGTTCTTGGTTATATTTTATTCTAATCTAGCACATTTTATATCTCTCCACTGATGAGACTTGCACTGTATGCATATCTATAGTAGAGGATGCTTATTCTCTTGTAGTTCTACTGGATATTATCGATCCATTGTGAAGTCCTTTTGTATGGAAATATATTTTCGTAAATATTTTTATCCCCTGCAATGGGCAGAAACGAATTTTCAAAACAGTTAAGAGCCATGACGTACTCTGAAGTAGAGAACACACTTTCAGACAAGAAGATGCAGGTGCTGAGAATGAGAAATAACGTAAAAGGAGAAGAATACAAAAACACTTCTGAATGGATCACCACCAAGAAGGACATTGCAAGATGCTTGGGTGTCTTGACAGAGAAAAAGAGACAGGAGATCAGAGAAGAGTGCGAGAGAGATAATAAGCCACTTCCAAAGTTCTTCACAAAGAAGCTCCCAAGAGCCCAAAGAGTAAACATTCCAAAGGCAACCCTTGAGAGATACAGACAGAACAAACACCAGCTAAGAAGAAAGATTGTTGTCTTTACTCCATAAATTATACGGCGTATTTGGACAGCTGCAAGGAATAAACGTGCTTTTAATTAATTTATACAAAAGTATTTTTGCATCTCATGAAATTATTCTTACACTGCGCACTGCTGTGCTTCTGGAGTGTTCTGGCAAGCACCAAGCATGAACCAATTTACAGAAGTAATGCAAGCTTATACAGGCCGTATATTGACAGAGTCACTGGCAGGGTTGTCTTTGGGACCTTGCAGGGCGGCTGCAGTGTCATTTCCACAGGAAATGACGCAGGTGTCCATTTGACTCAAAGTGCTGAGAATTCATACGGCAGCATAACGGCAAGAAAACCCATCTCAGGAAGTAATTGGAAGCTGGATGTACATGCAACAGTGAAAAAGGGTGCAAAAGGCATGGGTATCTGGGTTATGAAGGACTTTGAAGGAGGATCTCTCTTTGGAGGAAGTGAACAGTTTAACGGAATTCTTGTATTTTTGGCTTTACAGAAGAACTCTCTAACAGACATATACCCATCAATTGGAGTGGCCACAGGATACGGAAATGCGCCTGTAGTGCACTTCCAGAAGAAGATTAAAATGGTTGATGATATAATGATTAGTTTGCGCCTGGTGGACAGTACGCTCTCTGTGTTCTACGGGGGAAGAAACCTTAAGGTAGAATTAATAGATGAAATGCACAGAATATCCATTGATGACAACAGTTTTGTAAGCATATCCGGACAAGTTCTCACAGAAAATGGTGACATCAACATAAAGACAGCTTCTTTCTTTAAGATGCACATCCCAAAGAGAAGAGGATTTCAGGAAGATGAAATCCCAAAGACAAAGTCAAAAACCACATGGCTCTTACTGGGTGCACTATGCCTGGCTGTCTTGTGCTACTTGTATACGCAAAGGTCTGCAAAACCAAAGCACAAGGGTATCCTGCAGAAATAATCAAAGATAAAAGTGCATTTTCACATATTCACTCTTCTTATAACGGCAAGAAATCAAAAATATCTGTAGTCTAATTTCAGTTATTTTTTAACTGACTCTCCATAAATATGCAGAGTAAGCATGCATCAGATCCCATGCAGGACCAGATTAAATAAAGGACATCCTTGGAGTATAACGTATTTTCCTTGAATTTCAACTAGTCACTTTTTCCTGGTGCAAAGGCACTAGTGCATTTATTTCATCTCTTATGGTACTTTTAATTAGGCAGGAGTAAGTATAAGTAGTTTATTTCTTCCATACTCAGTATTAATCTATATCTAGATCTATAGTATGAGTTTATTCCACACTTCATAATCAGTTTATTTATCTTTTAACTGAAATTTCTAGAGATATTTTATATCTTGAGTTTATCTTGATTATCTCACAGGATGGCTGCCTTTCTATTCAATTCCTTCCCATTATGGATGAACTTGTTCTTTGTCATCCGTACGTCTTCCAGTGTCTCAAAGTCCTTTGCCTTCACTACACCATGGGATGCATCTGCTGTGGATATAACCACATTTCCCTTCTTCCCAAGTGATAAAACCCTTCCATGCACTGTATCCCCAGGTGAAAATAATTCACTCAATTTTGCATCATCCTTTATCCCGTACAGTGCATCTTCTCTATGCAAAACTGCAGAAACTTCTATTGATTTTATCCCATCTATGGCTATTATACGTAATAATACGTGACCATATGCTATGAATTCTACAATGCAAGTGGCTGTACTATTTACATACGGCCTAATAATACGCGGTATATACTTACTTTCACCCGGAAAAGCCATTTCTTAATGAAAAATTTCATTATAAAAATGAAAGTACAAGCACCAACATACACGATGCCAAATATGCCTGTCAAAGATATAGTGGAATGTCTGTCAGAGAGTGGATTTAATATCTTGGCTGCAGATATAACACACCCAAATACAGCTTATATAACCCGATTATATGAAGGAATTCTAGGGATATTCCTGGAGCACAGGATACCAGAGAACTTAGATGAATCTACTTCTCTGATTCTTGTATACATTCATATGAAGAAGTTTGTGGAGAGGATAGGGATGGGAACCTTCTTTCTAATGGACATAATTAAGCCAGAGGCAGGCAGAACTGTAAAGATACTCAGTGGGATAGTTAATTTCGCACTTTTCAAGGAGAGCAAGAGACACCTTCTTACAAATATATACAGGAAGAGGGAAGAAATTGAAATGATCATTGAAGAGACAGAGAGGCACATAGAGAAAAGTGAGCAGGTTCTCTCACAGAAAAGAGAAGAAAAGGGTCAGTCACTCAGGCAGATAAAGAGTATTCTGAAGGACATAGCAGAGAAAGAGGCAGAAATCATAAATTACCACAGGATACAGCAAGCAATGGCAATAGAAACAGAAGAAATCTCAAAGGAACAGCAGAAATTAAATGAGTCCATCAGCATGGAGAAGTGTGAAATAATGAATATCTCGCAGGAAATCACAAAACTCCAAGCAAAAATAGTCAAGAACCCAGAACAACTCAAAGAATTACTGATTGCCATGAAGAGTCAACTGTCAGATGAAGCAGAAATATTAAAGGAATACGAGAAGAGAATTTCAATGTTGCACAATACAATAAATATGTTTCAGAAGGTGACAGAAGACTTAAAGTCCCTGATGTGTGTTGTCTCTTTGGTTGGGGAGTACAGCAGGAAATACTCAGAGACAGAACTGCAACTGAAGAGACTCCAGAATGAAAATGGTTCACTGGAGGTGGAAAATAAGTCAAAACATGCGAAAAAGCTCTTATTGGAGAAGAAGATAGGATACATTGTGGAGAAGATGGCCAGCCTAACAGCAGAAGATGCAGTCAGAATGGATGGATTAAGGAAAGAATTTGAAGCCCTCAGGGAGAAACACGTGAAAATATCCGAGCAAAGAGAACACGCACAGCAACTGATTCAGCAAAATAATGAAGAGATAAAGAATCTTGAGAAGGAAATTATCGAGCTAGAGTCAGCACATCAGTCCAGGCTGTCTTCCATATACAATGGTCTTGTGCAGCAGAAGAACTTTCTCTCCGGGTACGGGGAAGATATTCAGAAGGTCTTCAGTGGAGAATACGTTCTGTAGGATAAATATCCAGGTGAAAATACTTGAGGGAATATCCTGTTGAAAGTACGTCTTAAATACACGGTATTTTATCCTTGTGTATACTTATGTCTCAGACTAAGTGTGCTTTGATTAAATTAATCCTGTCATTTTTATGTTTATCTTGTGGTTATATTTAGTCTAGTGCCTTAATGGAGCAGACTTTCTCAACGTATATCTCTCTGTGTGTCTTCTGACTAATTCACTTATATTACTATTTCTTCTCTCTGTCTATCTCGTGTCTAGTTCTCTTTCTTTATGTTTTAAATTCCTTTGTCTTTTTATCTTAAAATTCTCTTAAATTATTAACCCATTCATAATATCATGAAGACTTTTAATTATATGTCAAATTTCATCAAAAAATATCCTGTCATAATAGTACTGTAGAAGTGCATTATTTAGTCATATACACAACAAAAAGTAAGTTTAAATCAGATATTTATTGAACAAACTATCTCCGGGGGCAGTTAACCTTTTCCCTTTCCTACAGACACCTGCAAGAGACACTTTCACAGAAGAAATTCACCTGCATTATTGTGGGATATTTTTCCTTCTGGTGGCAGTGCTTGATGAAGCCACATAAGTAATTCCCTTTGAGGTTCCATGCGAGGCACATCCGCACTTCATTTTCCTTCCTGGTGGCACGGGTATCCTAGAGGGTACTACTTCTTTATTTCTCTGAGCATCCTTGCGTTCTGTGCAAATATGTGTCTTTTCCTCAGAAGAAGGCTCTTCATCAATCTGTTCACTCTCCAGTATCTCCTCAGATGAGAGATCCCTTTCACCCAGACCCTCCGAATATACACTCATTTTCGCTCTTTTCCCTCTTCCTGAAGTGGCCATTTTCCTTCGCATTTTCTTCTCGAAGGATTCATTGCTAATATGCAATGGCTCTTTCACATTCCGCACCTGCATGCTTATCTCCATTTCCACAATTCTCTCTCGAATGTACTTTCCTATAAGAGTGAGTTCCTTCTGAACTGGCTGCTTCATAGGCTCAACTAAAAGTCAAAACTAAAAATACTCTACAACACAGGAAGACTAGAACCACTAGAAGGTGCCACCATGGAACTACTGTACCTTCCTAACTCACGGTATACTCGAAGACCCTCCAGATATATTCTAATCCCACTGACTGTCAATAAAGTATTCTTGTCATCCTCGTGTGCAACTGCTACACCAAATATTTCTTCAACTTCTTCTCTGTTGTAGAAAATAACCCGTGTATTTGTGATTAAAATATACCATCCCGTATATTCCTTTATGCATATTCCACCTGTCAAGAAGATTTCCTCACACTTTACACCTGGACTTTTAACAAGAACAATGTACGCCCTGTAGTAAGAACTTCTTTCAACTTCGTATTCTGTGGGTGCACTGTCCAAGGGGGGTGCACGGGGTAGTTGTATCCGTAGAAGTGGCTTATCATTCCCAAGTACGCCTGTTATGCTAGTGGATAGACCATGCATAAGACCAACTGCGCCTGATATGGGCTTGATTATTGCCCCAATTAGGCCCTTCCCCATACCCTGCACCATGCCACTAAGACCATTTGATCTTCTGCCTTGTATGGGACTATGAAGAACTCCTTTAAATCCACTGATAACAGAACCCATGAACTTTTCACCTGCCTTGGAGAGATGTGTCTTATGACCTGGTAGACCTAATTCTAGTTCATCCACGTATATGCAACTTGTCTCCCGGATGGCTTCTGCAAAGGACTCATCCATGGAGATATCTGCTAATTTCTGTGAGAATTTCCCCATTATATTTCCAACGAAACCAGCTACACCTGTGACCACATTTGTAGCCAGACTTTTCCCTCCTTTAAGAAGCTGTCTGGATAGAATTGCAGGATTATCAAGGGCCCTGTATGGGGCGTATATTAAGTCATGGACACCCATCCCTAGTTTATCAAATAATTCACCTGGACTGGCTACTACATCTGCAGATAAGACCAAAGAGACAATATTCCGGATAAATCCTCTCTTGTACATTCTCCCTATGATGTGAAATATTTCATGCGTACGTGCGTATGTATCAAATAGTTCTATGCTAGGCAGTGAGACTTTGCTGCTTGTGATATTGCAGAAGACAGATGCCAATGGGACAATTGACCCATGGGATGCCCGCCTGAAGGAACACTTAAATTTGATTGCTTCAATCTTAAAGTACCCTAGGGCAGTATAGAAGGACATTGGCTCTGTATGGATTGGATAAGTACATGTGCAGTTGATTAACTGGCACTTACTGCACATTGTAAAGTACTTTGGGTTCTCCAAGGGTTCATCCAATGGGACAAAGTGCTGTATTACCTTTTTCATGTAGACTTCTTCTATCTCCAAAACCACAGGAAGAACTACTATGCTCATATACCGGATAGTCATCTTATTCATAATCCACCCAGAGACAGACAAGACATCTGATGTAATTGGTGTATGTAAGGGTATATGGTAGTATCCTTTTGCCTCTTGGTTATCCATCTGGAAACTATCTAGTTTTAGAAGGAATTCTAGTCCATTTTGTGAAAAGAGTGATAGTAGGTGAATATTGAAGAGATGCAGGGCTGCAAATTCAGAGTGATTTTGGTCGATCAGACTGATGGATACTCTGCCTGTCCTGATTTTAGTGAGAATACCTTGGCCTGCAGATGGGTCAGTCCCTGGGTCTTGTGTTTGTTCAGTGACTGTGAGAACTTTTATCTGTCTCTCTGATGAAAGTGTTGCCTTGTAGCCTTCTGAGGAGACAACAGAGAATGTGGATATTTCCAGGGTGCAGCCGTCAATTTGCACGTTAAATGCAGGCTGTGCCTTGAAACTGTCCCAATAATAAGGGAGTACTTCATTTGGCTGCAGAATATATTCAATTGGATGGCCTTTCTGTGAGAATTGCATGGTCTTTTGTGACATATTCTTGATGAGATATGGCCATACGGTTTCCTTTTCAATTAGAATAACCCTTTGTGCATTATTTGTCTGGATGGTGATTGACAGAAGGATTGAATTATTTGTGGCTTGTGCATTCGGGTCTGCTTCTTCTGGGATTCCGTGTATTGCAGAGAGGGAACTTGTGCTGCTCATGTAGATGGAAGACTTGCTTGTGATCACGGAAGAAAGCATTCCTGCTGTGGAGAAGGCCTTTTCTGCTGTGTTCAATTTGACAAAGTGCTTTTTAAGGCCCTCCAGTGGAAGATAACTTGCATCAACGGATTTTTCCAAATCAAGAATATAATCAGAGATATCTGTGTGCATCCCTGGGGATGCCCTTAAGTCATCCCTTGGGTCACCCAGTCGTATCCAGCTGCTGAGCTTCTTCCTTGGGAAGTGCATTGGGACTCTTTCCCCAAGTCCACATGTAAATTCACGGTCTGTCACAATTGTTAGTGAGAGTCCTGTCTTATTTTCAATTACACTGGCGTATTCTACAACGGCATATTTGATCTTTTCCTTTGCCCCGTGTCCTTGGTAGATGTTCATCAGATAGTTCATTTGGAAATCTGTCTTTATATCCAGGAAGATCGTGTTGTACTGGATCTTTGAGCTAAACCCGACACTTTCACTTCTGTTCAGAACAATTGCATGTCTGTCCTTGGAGGTCACTACGGCTGTCTGCTGTTCTGGCAGAAGGCGGCAGAGTCTGCTCCCAGATTTCAGGTATAAATCATCCTGTGTCTTGTTTATGGCAATGAGAACCGGGTATATTGTTACTTGTACAATACCAATATCAACGGACTGACCACTTACAACGACATTTTTTGCTTCTTTTGTTGCAAGAACTCCCTTGGAGACAGTCACCTTAGAGGCTGAATCATTTGGGTGCAGAATTAAGTCTGCAGTTCCATTTATCCTTAAGCGTACCTTTTTTGCTCTCTCCGGGTGCATCTTCCCAGATATTTGTTTTGTTTCCCCAGGTCTTGCTACTCCCATGATCTTCTCTGTGCTTGATTTTGCACTAATTTTCATCTCGAAAGATGCCTGTGAGAGAGACAAGTTCTGTATGACGATGTCATGATGGAAGAAATAATGGATAATTGGCAGACCAGAGACCACTTCAAATAGGCACACTACAGTGATGTATGACTCATTGTGCTCTATCCTGTATGACCCAATTACTTCTATCCCTTCTGATGCTGAGTTCTCTGGGACTGTGAATGCAACTGCCACTGACTCTGCACTATCTTCAACGGTTGCCTGAAATTCCATGAGAAAGGACGTATCAGAGCACTCTGAGAATGCAGGGAGCACAATTCTGCTCTCTTTTGTGTGGATGAACAAAGGCATATCCGTTGTATTTTTGAAGTTTGTGGCTCCCCTGATTTCCACGGCTGACTCCCGGAATGTTCCCAGGAAAAGATTCTTTGAGACTTGAACGGCTTTTTTATCTTGACGAGAATTTGTTTCAAAAAGAACTTCCTGTGATTCTGTTGTAATCAATAGCTTCTTGTTCTTTGTCACTGTGGTTGACAAAGGAACCAGGGCAGTCCCGTTTATTGAAATTATTTTGTTCGTTAGATTTGTTGTAGACACTTTCCTTTCTGTCTGCTTCAGTGCTTCAACAATCCTTTTGCTTAGACGAATTCGCACAATATCCTTGGTGACAAAGGAGATAAAGGCAACCCTAAGTGCTTCTTCCTTTTTTCCTTCTGTGAATGGCAGACTGCAGAAACCTGTGCTTTCCTTCTCCATGCCAACCTGTGACTGAATGGAAATATCCATAGGGAATGTTTCGCACATTACTTCATAGATTGGAGCATCTTCCAGCTGCACAAATATCCGGCACATTGCAGATCCTTCCACAGCAGCAGATGGCTCTTTGCTTAATTGGACTATTTCCATGGACATCTGTACTATTTCTGTCTTAATTGGGGGTTTTTGCATCTTCACTGATATCAAAGGACATTCTACTCGGGTTATGCAGTCCCCAGGGATCGAATACTTCTGTGCCCTAGATAGATTAAGTCTATTCAGAAGATCAACTATTTCCTTGCTCTTGGTCTGATCAATAAGCGTACTTTCTATGGCTCCTGTGGAGATGTGAATTTCTTGCATTTCATTTGGACTATTTCTGATGCTCACCTTGACGGGTGACTCAAGCACAGGCTCTCCATCAAGATGCAGCATAAGATAGAGCTGTGCATATACATTAACCAGGGCCACTTGCGTAACTGTAATTAAAGACCTTCCTGACTGAACAATAACCTGTGATACTTTGCACTTTATATCCAGGTGGGTTGGGACAGAAGGCACACCTGCTGTGAAGTTTACCTTTGTCAGTAGCCCGAATATATCAAGGAATGTCCCAATTGCATCAGATGCTTCAACTCTCTCTACTACTACATCAACTGTCTTTACAATGTGTGATATTTTTGCGAAATCAACACTCACCAAAGGCACACTGCACAGAAGGGCACCGTCTGCCCATGCTTGAATATTTGTGATGGAAATAGTTCCTGTGTAAAGTGAACCCTTTACCATTTGCAATACCATCTTACTAATTACTTTACAAAGGGTAGATGTACCTTTAAGAAGGTATATGCTTGCATCTGCCTCTATTCTAATGACTATTTCCTTCGATATCTCATCTGCTGTTTTTATGTCACTTTTTGTTTCTACTGCTGTAATTAGTCTCTCTGCTTCTGCTGGTGCATCTTCAGTTTTTTCTGTTTTCTCTTCCTCTGTATTGTATGCTAAGTATGCTAGGCTGGGTATGCTTGGGACACCGAATATTGGGTAATCTGTGATTATTGTGTATGCATTCAGGATGAAAAATACTCTGTTTATCAGGAAGACATACAGATCCACATCAATTGATCCTGTGCATGAAATGGCTCCTGTTAGATTTCTGGTATCTTCTGTGTAAAGCATCTTTTGGCAAGAAACCTTCAGATTTCCGTTTTTGCAGACAATTCCAGCTGCAAATGATGCTGTAAGCACAGGTCCATCAATATGCAAGATTACATTAGATGCACACACTGAGACAGGAAGATCTCTTCCACCTGCTTGTATATTTGTATTCCTGCAAGTAATTCGCATGGAAAGGTTCTTTACTTTTTTCTCACTCGCATGGACCATCTGGCAGTTATTATTTTGCAACTTCCCTTTGCTTAATTTCTGCATGACAAAGTGAATGGTTCTTATGTCCCGAAGGATTCCCTCCAGGATATCATCATGTGGCAGGAATATTTCTGTGTTTGTGAGGATTATGTCTGGCATGTCGCACAGAAGTATTTGTACTGGATAGACAGAAAGAACCATTTCTTCTGCCCTTTTTACTTCAAGTTTATCTATTGTCACAGCATCACTTCTAACTGACACGTCTGTTGCCACAAATTTACACATTTCACCGCCCTGCATGACTGACACATTGCACTTAGATATTCCCACAAGAGACTCACTCATGCGAATAGATTTCTCTGATGAAACTATTCTTGTGTCTACATATTTCATTATACTTTGCAGACAGAGGGATACTACTACGCCTGTCTCTGCAATGGACTCTGAGATTGCTGAATTCAATGTCTCTATGGAAAACTCTTTCAAGTATTTTCCGTGCATGGTGATATCTGCACTTACTTGCGGAATGGAAGTAGCCACAAGTCTATTCTTTAATATGCATTTTCCTTGGAGCCACATAATTATCTCTTCTTTTCCCAGGAGAAGTATTGCTTTTCTAGTGGAAATACCTATATCAGAATGATTTATGCTTAAATTCATTAAAGCACGCCCTATTGTAATCACACAGGTTAATGATCTTTCTTTTTCTTCTGCTGGAAGACTGAAGGATTTGCTTATTCTTCTGTGCAACTTCTCTAGGCCTTCTACCAAATCCATTGAAATATTCGCGCATGCACTAGGTACATGCATCCTAATGGTTTTTGTCCCATGGATCTCCTCTGGGTGATTGATCAAAACCTTCACTTTCTTGCACATGAAGACTTCTGTTCCACTGTGCCCCATGGAGAGTGAAATATTTCCCTTTAATATTCCTTCCTTAGTGACAGTCAGTAGGGCCTTCTTACAGGAAAGTACTGTCTCATTTAATTCTTCAATATCTGATACAGTAACTTCTGCTGCTAAGTCTATCTGTACTTCTGTACTTTCTCCTTTGTTCTCTGTCTCTGTGAAGTATTTTATCATGTGAAGCATGCCAGCCACATCTTCTGGGCTGAGTTCTTCTGAGGCAATGCAAAGTGTCCCTGTGACAGCACTGATATTAGCATGGCCTGGTGATATATCCAGTGTAACTGTACTTTTATCTGCACTAATTCCTGCTGCTGTAACTGATTTTGTCTCTGCCTTAATCAAATACTCTTTGCTGTTTTTTGTTATTTCCAGGGCCTTCATGAACACAGCGACTGTCTTACTGAATAAAACCTGCACCTCAATTGACTCCATGGTAATATGCATCTTTGATGTGGCAGATGAAATTGCACCTGAAAATACCTTTGTGAGCATACTTTTTATTGCACCTGCCACAAGAACTTCTTCTTTTTTCAGGCACTTCATGCATGACTTAGAGTATTCGCACATGCACTCTGTTGCATTTACCTTTAATTTTACATCAGACACGACTAACTCCAATGACTTATCTGGGTGGTGCCAATTACTCCTAAGAATAATACAGCCAATCTGACACTTTTCCACACGAACTCCTAATATACCACTAATATATTCTCCTTCCAAACAAATATCCTCTGCTATAATTATACCATGCAGCAGATTATATGTCACTTGGTCAGGTGCCAGCCTAGCCACCTTTCCCTCCAGATATCCATTCAGCCTATTTATTACGCATTCTTTTATCATTCCTGCAGTCAGTCTCCTATACAGATTCGAAAGGCTAAATCTAAACATAAAAAAAAATGCTGTGGTGTTTATTTATCCTCATTAAAGGCAGATATTGTTTCCTTTACCTTTGAACCATCTCTCCATGTGATGTAGTCTTCCATGGATCTTGTTATAATTAGTGCTGGGTCTGTCACTGTATCTACTCCCACCTTAACATGTCCTCCTTTTATGAAGGCCATTGATGTTTTTATGTCTGGAACCATTTCTATGGCAGGAAGAATACTTGAGAGTCTTCTCTTGCAGAATGAGCCTACCCCTACTTTTGCGCATTCCAAAAGGGTTTTAGAACCAATTAGGCCGAGTGTGTATAGTCTATTTGTAAGTTCTTTTGCGATTATTTGCTTAGTTGGCTCATTGTCATTTAACTTTGCAAGTGCTAGTGTTAGTCTTCTTATTTTTCCTACAATGAGATTGTACTTTACATATGTCTCTCTGTCTTCTAAGAGATATTTGCTTGTGGCCATTTGTTCTTTCTGTGTGGATGTTCCCTTCCAGTCTAGGAGGTCTACTTTTTTAAGAAGCTTCTGCTCGTGGAATTTTAGTTGTCGCATTCTTTGCAAAATTTTGTGTGGCTGTTCTTTTTTAACTGTTACTGAAAGTTCTTGTAAAATGAATCAGACTAGAGTTATTCAGAAATATTCTGAAGCAGAAAGACTCTTTGTCCTTTGATCTGTGCGAATTGTGTGAGAAAATGAAGTTTCATAAATAATTTGATTATTCATGGGTTTGCACTGGAGTGAGTTTATTATGTGGCCAATCACTTGCATACCTGCATATATCCAGAATATATCTGGCTTAGAGTTAATTTCTAGTGATCTTGGGGGTAACCAATTAATATACCTTAAGAGTCTTTATACACCAGGAGACAGCTAAAATTAGCCCAATTAACCTAATTAACCCGAATACTATGGGTATATTACTATTTAAACCACATTTTCGCATTAATTTCAGTAAATCCTACTTAATACAACTTTAACCGTGTTTTTGTGCTTCTTTAAATAACCAAATATTCTATTCATATTCTATTCCATAGTGCTTAGTCTCTTATTTTATATGTATATTACAACAAGAGTGAATAATAAAATTTAAACTTTCAAGTATTTATTGAGTGCGTCTTCGTGCGCAAAGTATTCACGTGCTCATGCAGTTTCAGGTCATTCGCGAAATCTGCAAAGAAATTGCATGAATACATCCATGGTACTAGATAATTTACACCCAAATACTCTGTCATGCAGTTTAGTATATAGTTATACTACTACGAATATTCAGATTATTGCGCAAGCATAATCTTAAGTATGTCATTGTTCACACCAAGACTGGACTTAGTGTGATTTCTGGCCTTGATTGCCATGAGGTGTGGCAGGTCTTTTTCATCATAGAATAGATTGGCCTTGTACGTTGCATATTCTATCATGTTTTTGCAGAAAAGAACTGTGAGATTTACCTTGGACTGGCTGTATGCACAGCACACACCATTCACCTGGTACATAGATGGGAACATAGTCTTGTTTAGTGAATTAATGAAGAACTTTCTGTAGTATAATTTATCTGCAGAAGTTCCTTCATTTTTCATTAAGTAGTGCTCGTATTCCTCTGGGTTTTCATCCATTCTGACGTACCAAGTGAGGCATCCCTTTCCAGATCCATCAATTGGAGTGGATGTTGGCTCTAAAGTGTAGCAAACCCTTTCCTTTTCTTCTTCATCATGGATGTACAGTTCTGTGTAGTAGCCTGTCTCTGCAGCCTGCAGAGTAGTATCTGTCATTCTTTCGTTACTTGATGAGTGCATGTATGTGGAGGGTGTTACTCCTTCATTCTGCAGATCATTCAGGGAGACTAGTTTGGGCTCTGAGTGCTCCTCCACGAATGGAGACAGCAGCTTCATGGCAGATCTATGAAGGGGAGAGATGAAAAGAGGAATTTGAAGTCTTGGTTGTCTATCTGGACTGTATTCACCTTGTGATAGTTTGGATGTGAATCTTGCACATATGAAGTAATTGTCCTGTATCTTTTTCTCCATTCTGTAGAATACTACAGTGTAGTGCTCCTTATTCATCTCTTCAATTGTTTTGTTTTTCTCGTCATCAGAGACTAATGACCACTTGTTTGAGTTATGGAATGTTTTCATTGCATAAACAGTTTCTTTCTTAATTCTGTTCACTCTTCTTATGTAGTCAATTACATAGCTTATTGGATGGACATCCACTGATTCTTGTGAATTTCCACCAGTTACGTTGTACCTTGGAATACACATTCTTTTGAGACTTTGCTTTTCATTGTCTATGTAATGAATGTGGAAGTGGCTGGTTTCTGAGACGCATGTTTCCCACCTGTTAACTACCTCACTAATGTCATGTGTATTAACAAGATATCTTTCAGTACCGTTGTTGTCTTTTGATGAAACAATGTTTGCTTGGTACTTTAAGTACTTCTGGGCCCTAAAGACTTCAGTGCCTTTTAGACCAAGTAGTGCCTGCTTTTCCTTGTGTGACATAGCTGCAATGGAAGTGTAAAATACAGTGACTGCTTCATAAACTGCCTTGTAGATAGTTCCAATGGATTCTTCAGTTATACTGTCTACATTAATACCTTTTGCTGCTAGGACACTCTTAAGACCAGCTACAGCCTCATTTGAGACTGATGCACAGGTTTGTTTGCTGCTGTCTGTAGAGTCATTGTAGTACCTTACTGTTTTCCATAAGTAGCTGACAACAGCAAGTGCCTCTTCTAGCTCTTTCTCTGAGTATGGAGTATTTCTGCCTTGTGTGCCTGGCTGAAGAATCTTCTTTATCTTCTCTAATGTGAGATTTTTCATGTCACAGTATAGCTCTGGGTAAAGCATGAATGTGTCTATGATTCTTCTGAATGCTTCTGTCTCATTTCTGTTTATTTGACCCATGATCTTTGCTATGTCTCTGTAGTCTGGGAGTCTTATAGGCCTTCTTATTAAGATATCCCCAAGTGTAGCCATGTTTACAGCGTAGTCTCTTTTTTTCTCTGCACTATAGCTTTGTGGTGCATTTCTCCCCATGTATCTCTGCAGGTCTTCCATCATACCACTGTAGTATCCTGAATATACAGTGAAAATGTCGTTTTGTCTTTCCATATTCTCAAGAATAGGAAGACGGTCTTCCCATGCGGTCTTTGTGACCATAACTTGCTTAAGGAAGTTCCATATAGTCTCTCCTTTCTTGCTCTTTTTTACCATGTCAGAAACGTCTTTTTCAGTGAGTCTAGGTGCCTTTTTTTCAGTTTCATTATCCAGGTTGAGTGCACTAAAACTGTCAGCTGGGACATCTGTTGATGTCGCCTGCCTTTGTTTTTTAGATTCTATAGGATTTGATAGATTTGTTGTTGTTCTTTTTCCTGAAGAAGGCGTTGCCTGCGAGGATGAAGGTTCATCAGATGCCATACCCATAGATATGCACCCCAGGGCAGCCATACTGCAGAAAACCATAAGTCTCTGTACTTTCTTTGAAAAAATCATAAAAATAAAATTGTTTCAGTTATTTATACGGTTAATACAGGGGCTGCACGCCAACAGGGGTGCTTTCTACCAGTAATTACCTCTTATAAATATTTAATACTTTTTTTCGGTTATTGATCAATAATTTATCATTTTTGTGCGAATAAATTAACTATTTATATGAAATTGTTCTATGAAGTGTTTTTCTGAATGATTTGTGGATTTCTGTGATATCTGTTTGGCTTATTTAATATTCTAGTAAAACTGATATATCATAGGGGCTTATTATAAGCCAATATAAAATATACTCAAATAAGAAGGTCTCTTGGCCTTTTGTTTTGTGAGTAATGTGGATGTTTTTGTACTATTGAACTATTTTGGTTTTAGCCTTAGACTAGCCTGTTACAAGTCACTCTGCTTGTTTGCATGGCATTAATTGCTACTTTATCATTGGTTCTAGTTATATGCATATACTAGTGAAATAGAAATAAATTAGAAGATGAGCTGTAAAGCTAAGAACTTAGATTTCCCTGAAATATTTGCTAGAGTATCGCATAAATCTTTTATTGCTATGCCATTCCAAATATAATCTTCTTATAGGTTATCGAGTTCCTCAGATGCAATTCTTGGATAGTATTCCTGCATGTTTGCATCACTTGGGAATCTCATTAGCACACCCCACAGCATCGTATTATCATTTAACTGAAGACTTCCTAAAACATTTCCAGTGAACCGTATTGCACTCTCTGCTGGTCTTTTTCCCTTTTTCATCATCTTTTCCATAAAAAACCTTATAGTGTCGAGTTTAGCTAAACTAAAGAAAACCCTTCCTAATAAGAATGTTTTAGATATTTTTTCAGGTTCTTCATGCATAGTGTAGTGTATAATTTCCTTAGTTATATTAAAAAACTCTATATTATCGCAGACTGAAGACTCTAACTCTATAGAAACATAATGAATCATAAGGTGCCCCATATAACAGTTTACATTACTGTAAACTTTGCTTATTTCTTCACATCCTTCTTTAACAGAATCAAAGTTATCTTCTGAAGTTGAAAAAAGAGAAATATTAGCATACCCTGGTGTTATATTCAAAGTAAATCCAGTAGGTTCGTTGTTGATATTGTGAATAATAAAAATTTTAGCAAAAATATCTGCCTTGCCATTTGATCTCGTCCCAAGTCTAGCCTGCTCGCAACTTACTTCCACATTCTTACTGGGTAACAAAGATTTGATAATTGACTTTATCTTAGCTTCAATTTCCCATCTCTCGTCATCATTTAATTCACCTTTCTTGCATATACTCTCTATATACTCAACTAGCTCTAGTATCTCTTCCTTCTGCCCTGTTATTTCTGATATAGCAAGGAATATATTCCCAACCCCAGCTATAAGTTCATTCTTATTCTGTTTATAGTCAATCTTGTCATTGTCCAGACATGCAACAACTCTGCTCCACTCTTTGTGCATTTCAGAGTCAATGATTTCAGCTGGTCTAGGATACTTTTTAAAGAAGTTTTTCAATTCTTTGCTTATTCCTTCTCCCATGTGGCTGGTTTTGTACTTTTTTGTCTTTTGACTATACGCCAGGCAGCTGAAAAGTCCAAGAAGGGCTGACTCTACACAGTCACTATAATATAAGGATTGATCTAGCTCAAAGCCAGTCTTGTCTAGTTTGCATTGTGGCACTCTAGTGTACCTTGGCAACTGACTATCACTGCCGAAGGGAAGTTTGATACTTTCATTTGTGGCCTGAACAAAGTCACAGAATGATTCAATGTACTTTTTGTTTTCACTGAGTGCTTCTTTTGCTATGAAAAGCTCATCAAATATTTTGCCCTCCTTGCTTTTCTTCTTAGTATTTGCTAGATTCTCCTTTTCAGCTACTTGATCAACCAGTAGTTCATGCGCTGCATTCACAAAGTCCTTATAGCTTTCTGCTGTCTCAATGAACTCATATATATATGTCTGTATAAGGAAGGCTGCATTGTTCAGAAACTTTCCACTCTCAAACTCTTTTTTCGTGGTTGGCATTGCAAACTTGCCTCCTTTCTTTATCAGAGGATTGTCTCTGCACTGCAGATAGAAGTCGACAATTTCAGCAGCCTCACTTTGGTAGATACTGTCACTGTACATATTTGTAACTGGATCTATACCTGTAGTATGCATCACTATATTCACAAACTCTTTCTCTTTGCATGTTTTACTTTTTATGACAAGCTTCTTTTTTTCTTCTGTGCTCTCTACTGCTATTTTAATATCAACACCCTCTGAGAGAAGTAATAGCGCAGCAAGAATATATTTAGCATCCTTCTTGACATGATCTGCTCTTAAGAAGTTTGTAAGTGCGTTGGATCTATCTATCTCAATAGAAAGGTTTTCATCCATTGAAGGGAACATCTTTATAAGCATTTCGTGATAAGTGCTCATATACTTTCCTTTTGGGGTTTTTTTATCCAAGCATTCGTATACTTTGTCATTCACTGGTGTTCTCATAAAGTTGTACTCTTGTTTGTTTTCATTAGATAGTCCGTTCTTATAAAGTCCATAGTCTGTATCTATTTCATGGGAATAAAATCGTTTGTTGTGCATGTATCCCCCTTGATGCACAATATATCCGCGCTGTAGATTCAATGGGCCCATTGGGTTAATAATCACATCCTGCTTCTCGCCAATAAAGGTCTCACTCACTGTCTTTATTTCTTCCATATTGACTCTTGCAAGAATGCTCTGTAGCATTATCAGTTTTAGAACTATTCTGCTGATCATTTTCTGTAAGGCAAAAGAAAATTTCTCTTTAAATATTTCAATTTCTCGTTCTTTCCATTAATATTGGCATTAGTTATTTCTATTTTTATATAGTTCATTTTAACAGCTGAGTTTTCCTCTTTGAAATATTAGACTTAGTCATACTAAACTGGAATATAATTTATTTCTCATTTTCTATATATAGTTTCTAGTGGCAGCTGCTAATCAGTGTTTTACTCACAAACACACAATCTTTGACCGCTTAATATAAATATGTAAATATTAGTGTCATCACTATAAATTTTATGGATAAATAAGCAGAGCCCCTTGTAGCATGTTGACCTACAGCCAAATCCTGAAAAGCAATGCCTAATGCCAATCTACATTGCTGATCTGGAGAGCGGGTTTCATTCTCTTGAGGCCAGAAAAACCAATAATTTGTGTTTTTATTGGATCTATTTCTCACTGTTGGCATGTGCTGTTTTTATTAATATTTTCATACGATTAGTAGGCTTCTAATATACGAAGAATCTTCCAAAAGTTGAAATTATTATTGATGGGCTCTTGCGGTCTTGGAATAATAATGTGGAGTTTTTCCATACTACATATATGCTGGGAAAGTGTTTTTTTGACATACGAGTTTCATTGCAGCAGATTATTTCCATCTGTTATAAGTGCTTTATTTATGAAGGGTATATTTTGTCTGTGATCTTATTGATTAAACTCTTAATAAATAGAATCGTGCTGTATTTCTTAAAATGTACATTGACTGCGTGTGCATTCTCTATTGAACTTCATATTTATTGCTTGCATTTTGTGCAAATTATTTGTGAATCCTTAAAATTAGATTAAAATCTCTTCGTATTTCTATACGTAGAAATTATTCTGTAAAGGTTTATTTTTTCTGGAAAGACCATGAAATTAAGAAAACTAGCTAAATTTAAAGGGACCTAGAAGCACTTGACCCAGGCCTTGCAAATAAATATAGAAAGATATACATTCATACTGTGCACCAGTCGATCACAGAATTCGCTAAAGTTAAAAATCAGAAGGTCTTCAATGAAAATACTCATTTTCTTGCTTTATTTACTTCCAGGGCTGATATTAAGAGAGTATATAGGGTTTAGTTAGGCCGTATAGACTATTGCAGCATATTTGCAGATTGTTGCATGCCCATATTTTTTTATGTTTACCTCTAGTTAAACTCCTTGTATACATAAAATACAAGTGAAAATTAGCTGCTTTATTTGGGACACATCTTAATATTCTGCACTGTGCGCATTTCTTGCACCTCTATCTACTATAAAGCTGCAGATTCCTTCTAAAAGCATTATATCCTACTAAATCTGTGCCTTAATGATCTCCTCCTCTGAGTCTTCTTTCTCTACCACGTCTTTCTGGACCCTCTTTTTAATCAGCTTTTCAATCTCACTAACAAGATTGGAGATGTGCACTGTTGTCTTTTCTCTATTGTTTTTATCTCCCCATATGATTTGGTACTTCTCTTCCTCTATTTCCTTCCGTCCTATCAGGATAAGCATGCTTGCCCCGATTGACTCTGCATACTCACTGTGCCTTGTGAAGTTGCTTGACTCTCCCATAAAGTACTCTGTGTTTATCCCGTGGTTTCGCAGATAGATGCACATTCGGATTCTTTCTTCAAGTAAGTTCGACCCAACTGAGCACACCACAACCTCAGTGTGTGTTTTTTTGTCATTTCCCTCCACCAGGCTGAACAGTCGGCTTACCCCCAGGCTGATCCCCACGCACTTAATCTCATCTATGCGCTTAGCAGGCTTCTCTTTCTTGTTTTTTACCTTCAGCTTTGCATTCAAATCCTTCACCAGACCGCTGCCCTCTGTGCACCCTGCAAGAATAGAATTCACCAGCCCGTCATACCTGCCGCCTGCCACAAGTGTTCCCTCTATTCCAGTATATCCTCCTTCTAGCAAAATCCCTGTGTAGTACTCTAGGCCCCGAATCAAGCTTACATCCAGAACAATCTTATCATCCACGCCATACACAACCAGCAGCTCGTGCAGCCTCTGCAGATCACGCAGTGCCTCTTTTCCGCTCTGGGTCTGCCCTATGCTCTTCTCTTTAAGCACACTCAGAACATTGAAAGATCCTTTAATCTGGATGAACTCCTTAATTCCTTCCACAGCCTCTTCTGTTGCTCCTTTCTTTCTCATCTCCTCAGCCACTTCTTCCCACGGGAGCTTATCCAGCTTGTCAATTGCGCTGCCAATAGGCCCTGCCAGAGACTTATCCACACCGCACACCTCCATCAGGCTGTCCACAAGCTTCTTGTGGTTTATCCTAATATACAGCGCATTCCTGTCTGCAGGCACATCTTTTGAGAAGTTCTCCAGGATACTGCACGCAGTACTCACTATCTCTGCATCAGCTGCCATGTGCGCATACTCCCCTACAATGTCAAAGTCGCTTTGATAGAACTCTCTGTACCGCCCCTTACTGAGGGCTGGCTGGTCGCGCCTGAATACCTTTGCCGTGTGGTATCTTTTCATCTTAACAGTTTTCGTCATGGCCAGGTGCCTGGCAAGAGGCACTGTCAGATCGTACCGCAGTGCACATATTTCGCCCCCCTGGTCTGCCAGATCGTATATCAGCTTGGAGTCTTCCCCATACTTGTTCATAAGAATGGATTTTATCTCAAAGGTTGGCGTGTCAAGCGAAACACCCCCTCTGTTCTGGTATATCTCCTGCACCTCCTGTATAATTCGGTCCAGCACAATCTTGTCTCGCCCAAAGTAGTCTCTGGTACCTTTTGCAGTTTTAATTAACTGGTCCATAATAAAAAAGAATTTTCAGAATATATGGATGTAGTTGAACGACTGGCGTCTCTCCACCAAGACCTTACAGAGCTCAATGAAAAGACAGAAAAAACAAAAATAACGATCAAAAAAACCCTAAAAGAGATAAGACTGCCCGACAAAAATTTACCGGCCAAAGCCAGCACCATAATAGACAAAGTGAAAGCAGAAGTTTCCTCCTCTAAAATCCTTGAACTCTCCCTTGGCATAAGCGAAATAAAGCTTCCAGAGAAGCTAAGGTACAAGTACAAAAGCGACTACGAAACATTCAAACTCACTTCAACAATCGCAGTCACAATTTTAACCCTTCTGAACCTGCTGTTTTTCAGCAGTAAGATCATGGACACCGTGCAAATACTCATCCAGATGTACATTTACTCCACGCTCACCATACGAGAGCACATTCTAATTAATAATGGAAGCCACATAAAAAGATGGTGGATTCTTCATCATTACATCTGCATTGTTATCACAGGAATGATGCTCACATGCCCAGACGAGTCTTTCTCCTTCATTCGAACACCCGTTCTTAAATTTCTTTTTGTGCTTTCTTGCTCGCAGTTAGTCCAGTACCAGTACCAAATGAGGCGTCTTTATATTCTGCGGGCCCTAAAGAAGGCAGACCCACTAGAAATAACAAGTGATGTAATGAATGTTTCTTTAATGGCGAATCTCTGGGTGGCTGTGGGTATTCTAGTTCTCTTCCAGTTTATCCAGATGTACGTGTCCTATTACATATACACACTGCATGTACTGCATGCATGGAGGCATTACCAGCCATTTATTGGGGCACTCCTAATAGGCGCAATGTCCTTTGGAAATATGTTCACCATCTTCTACACTTGTTATAATAAAGGGATATCTCCTAAATAAAGGATAAATCACGCAGTCTTCCAATTATTCTTATCGTTTTACCATATCTTCACCTAGTATATAACAGTATATTAGCATAAAATATCACTCTTTTTAAGCACATTTTTATATGCTCAGAATAGCATATAATGACATACATGGTATCAATCACAGTAACAATTTAATCTGTGCTTGTTTGCATTAAACAAGACATTAGTTAATTAGTTTATTTTGATAAATGACAAAGTTAAATTACAAACAAGCCTATTTAAAGAGTTGTGCCTCAAATAAGCTAAAGTTTAATAATCACTCCTTTTAAGAAATCAAGTGACATTAATTATGCAATTTCTTGCAGTCTATTTTCACCATATTATAATACTCTATAGTACACTGTGCTTTGCATATTCTCTTATTCTTATCGTGTGGTTTTAATCTTACATAAATCACCCATAATAAACCCGATAATATCCTGCATACTCACAGGCCTTAATAAAAGTACTTATATTTTCACTAAAACCAGAGTGCAAGCACCAGAATAATTTCAGAAAAATATTATGAAGAATACCCGCGCCCGCCTTTTCTTATTTTTATCGTGCTAGAATATTTCGGCCCATGGAAGAATTCGAAGGATTCCTGGACAAGTCCTTTATGGAGTACAATGATGACTACTGCCCACCCTCACCCCAGTCACACATTGACTTTGATGAAGTAATTATTAGAAAACGAAAAACAAAGAAAAGAAAGACTCTCCCAAAGTATGTAGTATACAAGGACTTAACAGAAAGAGACGAAGTAAAGCTGACACCAAGACAGCTCCTAATGATAATGAAGAAGAAAGGCATTATAACAGAAGGCATAATGGAGCTAGACAAAGAAACAAAAGAAATATGCTCTGTTGGTATCCCAAAGAAGAAAAGGCTAAATACCACACCCAAAAAAGTCACAGACAAAGAACACACCATAAATAGGCACAGCACAGGAGAGGAAGAGACTACTAGTTGTAGTAATAGGGAAGAGACTACTACTAGTAGAGAAGATTCTTGTAGAGAAGAAAGTATTTTAGTTAGTGCAAAGCAAGAAAATACTTCTGACAAGGAAAATACTAGTAGGGAAGATTCTAATACTAAGAAAGAAGAGATTTTAGTTATTTCTAGTAAGGAGGAAACTGCAGCTAATTTAAAGCACAAAGAAACTAGTAAGCACAAAGAGGCTACAGTTAGTACTAGTTCTAATAAGAAAGAGACTAGTAACCACAAAGAGACTACAACTAATTTAAAGCAAAAAGACACTCCAGTTATTTCTAGCAAGAAAGAGGCTACAATTAGTACTAGTACTAACAAAAAAGAAGACGCAGTTAAGACTAGCCTAAATATTCATGCATGCCCTCTAGACTATTCTTCTGTACCCCCAGAGAATACAGCGGAATATTATGACAGACAGAATGTATTCCTTGGGCATGCCACTAAGCTTGATGAAAACATAATCCACCCACAGGATGCATATGATAGGGTGAGCAGTTCACAGACTAAGAATATTCCTGCAGTGGAAATACTTGAAGCACAAAAATCCACAGAAAGTATCACTGCACTAGGGATAGGTGCATTACTGGCGAAAGTTCAGAAGGAAATATCCTTGCACACGTGCCCTGTCAGGACTCTTTTAATTTCTGTTGAGAAAAGACTCTCTGCTGTTGTAAGTAGCCCCAGGGAGCATATTCACATGAGATCACCAGAGGCCCTTCAGAGAGCATCGCAATCGTACGAAAATATCACGCAATCCAGGACAAAGTGCTGCGTGCACTAAAACATTCCACACAATAAATAATAATAGAATATTCTGGCTCCTGTTTATAGAGGGTTTATAAATTGTGACATTTTTGGGACAAAGTGGATTAAGTCTTGTCATATTTTATAAAAAGCGGATTAAGTTCTGTCAAAGTGGAAAAAGTTCTGTTTGATTTGGAGAAAGTGGATTAAGTCTTATCGGATTATTGTGAAATAAGATCAAATTGTATATAGGGTGGATTAAGTCTTGCAATTTATCCGGACAAGACTTATGGTAGGTGGATTAAGTCTTGCACGAAGTTGTAATAAATAAATATAAGTGCAATAAGTCTTGTTCAATTTATAAAAAGTGCCATAAGTCTTGTACATTGTATAATTTTATTGTAATACATTTTTTAATGTGCCATAAGTCTTGTACATTGTATAATTTTATTGTAATACATTTTTTAATGTGCCATAAGTCTTGTACATTGTATAATTTTATTGTAATACATTTTTTAATGTGCCATAAGTCTTGTACATTGTATAATTTTATTGTAATACATTTTTTAATGTGCCATAAGTCTTGTACATTGTATAATTTTATTGTAATACATTTTTTAATGTGCCATAAGTCTTGTACATTGTATAATTTTATTGTAATACATTTTTTAATGTGCCATAAGTCTTGTACATTGTATAATTTTATTGTAATACATTTTTTAATGTGCCATAAGTCTTGTACATTGTATAATTTTATTGTAATACATTTTTTAATGTGCCATAAGTCTTGTACATTGTATAATTTTATTGTAATACATTTTTTAATGTGCCATAAGTCTTGTACATTGTATAATTTTATTGTAATACATTTTTTAATGTGCCATAAGTCTTGTACATTGTATAATTTTATTGTAATACATTTTTTAATGTGCCATAAGTCTTGTACATTGTATAATTTTATTGTAATACATTTTTTAATGTGCCATAAGTCTTGTACATTGTATAATTTTATTGTAATACATTTTTTAATGTGCCATAAGTCTTGTACATTGTATAATTTTATTGTAATACATTTTTTAATGTGCCATAAGTCTTGTTAGTTTTGGGATATAGTGGATTAAGTCTTGTCATTCTTGAGGGAAGTGGATTAAGTTCTGACCATCCCACAATAAAGTGGAAAAAGTCTTATTCAATCCATTTATATTCTTTCTCTACATTCACTTCATTTTTCATATTTTCAGTTATTTTCAAATATTTTACAATTTCTTTTGAATTTTTGTTTTGCAAATTCTTGGAAATATTTTTACAACAGATTTCCAATAATAACGGAATATTTAAATAATTTGCAGCAGCAGTCACTTTAAAAAGTAACGGTATTTCCATATTTAGAAATTCCTCATCAAAATCTGTTAGAATTACTTCAGATATTTCCTCATTAAAAGTCAAATCATTCTCATGTCCTTCCATAAACTCAATTACCTTTTTCAGAGTCAAATTGTCTACTAATAAGGATATCCCCTCTTTGGGTATTTTTGTTTCTTTTTCCAAATCGAGTAATAATCTGCTCTGTTTATAGTGCTTCTTTGGGAGAATAAATGTGGTCCCTTCCTGTGAGATGACTTTCATGGGCTGCAAAATATTTTATTATTTATTACACATGGTGTAATATATTCTGGCAGATTATTTATTTTATGTGAAAGTTAGGCAGGACTTATGGAGGAGATGGAAAAAGTAATGGATTTGTGTTAGAATTAGTCAGGATATGCAGAATATATGGCACTAGTGGATTAAGTCTTGGGTGAATTTATGGTTTAGCATAGGAAGTGCGCAAGACTTATTATGCAGATGGATTAAGTCTTGTCAAGTTTATAAAAAGTGGATTAAGTCTTGCACTCCTCACAATAAAGCGGATTAAGTCTTGTCAAAGTGGCATAGGTTATGTACTAAGTGGATTAAAGTGGACTGAGCTCTGTCCCAAGAGTAAAAAGTCTTGTTCACTTTCACAATAAGGTGGATTAAGTCTTGCACCCCGCGCCATAAATTCTGAAACAGTGTAATAAGTCCTGCCCTCCTTGCCATAAGTCTTGTCCAAAGTGCTATAAGTCTTGCCCTAATAGTAATAAGTCTTGTCCAAAGTACCATAAGTCCTGTCAGAATATGTGACAAGACTTTTGACACATTGTGTAATAAGTAATATTTATTCATAAAAAAACAATAATCCATGAAGAAAGCAGTTGCACAGGTCATATTCGGTGATAAAACCACCTTCATACCGTATAATAAGGCAATAACCCTAAAGAGATTTATAAAATACGTTATAACTGGCATAACTAACACCTTTGACTCTAAGACCCCCATAGAACCCCATGACATTGACCTAAAGGACTACGAGGAATTTAAATTCTACGTCCAGGACACGGGCAACAGAAAGATCTTCTTGAATTGCAAGGAGAGACAAAAGGACTTTGAATTTCTGAAAAAATTCTTCATGTACAGATTGGTCGTGCATGTATATATACAGGGCCAAGACTTATAGGGAGAGTGGAAAAAGTAATGAAATTATGACAAGATATATGGTACTAGTGGAAAAAGTAATGGATTTTGAGACAAGATATATGGTACTAGTGGAATAAGTCATGTAATTTGTGACTAATTATAACGGGTGTGCCAGGACTTATGGAGTGTATGGAAAAAGTCTTGTGATTTTGGACAGAATATATGGCACTAGTGGAATAATTTATGGTAGATGTGACAAGATATATGGTCTAATAGGAATAAGTAATGAAAGTACGTTAGAATTAGTCACAAAATACAAGACTTATCGCACTAGTAGATTAAGTCTTGGTGGATGTGACAGAATATATGGTACTAGTGGAATAAGTTCTGATAAAAATGACAAAATATATGGAGTGGATGGAATAAGTTATGGTTATAATAAAATAGATATATAAATAGTTTTTACTGTTGGACAAGACTATTTCCACCTTATTGTAAAGTGGACAGAACTTATTCCATCCCATCCCAAAAATGACAAGACTTAATCCATTCTGACAGAACTTAATCCACCTTTTATAAATTTGCCAAGACTTAATCCATTCTATCCCAAGAATGACAAAACTTAATCCACCCTACCTCAAAAATGACAATACTTATTATTTTTAAATATAAAATGACAAGACTTAATCCACTTTGTCACAATTTAATCCACTTTTTATAAACTTGTCAAGACTTAATCCCCTTATTTTCCCACTATTTTCATATAATAACCCGAATAACCATGCGACCCCCTACTACCCCATCCGCCATCTCCAAATATTTTTTAAATTTTAAAACTATAAATAGTAAAATTTTTTAATCCCCTGCATGACAAAAGTATTCCTAGAGATAACAATCGGAAATAAATTCGCAGGCAAGATAATAATAGAGTTAGACACAAAAGTAACCCCAAAGACAGCAGAAAACTTCAGAAAATTAGCACTAGGCAGTGCTTCATCAAAGAATGGATATTCTGGCTCTATTTTCCACAGGGTTATCCCAGGATTTATGATCCAAGGAGGAGATTTCACGAATGGAAATGGAACAGGAGGACTAAGCATATACGGGGCCAAGTTTAATGATGAAAATTTTTCATTAAAACATAAAAAATACGTTGTTTCTATGGCCAATGCAGGTAGAAATACTAATGGATCACAATTTTTCATTACAACGGCTGTAACTGACTGGCTAGATGGTAAGCACGTTGTATTTGGTCGTGTAGTTGAAGGAGAAGACGTAGTCAGGGCAATTGAGTCTGTGAAGTGCGACAGAAGTGACAGGCCACTTGAGGAAGTGAAGATCGCCAGGTGCGGAGAAGTTGAATAAATTATTATTACTATATTGGGAATATTACTGTATTGGGAATATTATAGGATATATTGGGAAATTACTGTTTTGGGAATATTATAGGATATATTGGGAAATTACTGTTTTGGGAATATTATCTGTTAGGATATTACTATATTGGGAAATAGTTTGTGATTTATTGGGGTATTACTATATATGTAAATATTATCTGTTAGAAAATTACTATATATGGACATTACTGTATTAGGAAATCGTAGTATGCTATATACGAAAATTACTCTATATGGATGGAATAGTATGCTGTATACGGAAATTACTATATACGGACAATAAACAGTATAATACGCCCAAATTAGCACATTTCTATTATAGAAATATTGATGCCTAAATAGGATATTTCCTAATATAGAAATACACTTTATTTCTACAACCAAAAACCATTATGCCATGCGGATTAAGTCTTGTCAATAATATTTTCAGAAATTAATCCACCTTATCCCGAGAATGACAAGACTTTTTCCACTTTGTCACAATTTATGCCACTTCCCCCAAAACTGACAGAACTTTTTCCACTCTCAAACCTTCCATAAGTCTTGTCACATATTCACCATAATTCCAAAATATATTACAACATGTGTATTAAGTCTTGTCAATAATATTTTCATAATTTATTACACTTTAATAATAATTATTATTATTTGTTTGCATGGAGAATCTGTCTGAAGTGAAAGTGTTTAGTGAACAAGAAATAGTAAATATTCTCAGACACAGATACAATAACAATATAATTTATACATTCACAGGCAGACTGCTTATATCAATTAATCCATACAGATTAATAGACATATACAACGTACCAGAATACGCATACAATGTAAAACACCCACATATATATACAGTAGCAGAGAATGCATACCAAGGAGTACGCCATGGCATGAACCAAGTCATAATTCTATCAGGTGAGTCAGGTTCTGGTAAAAGTGTAAATGCAAATTACATCTTGAAATATCTGGGAAACAAAGAGAGTGCAGAAAGTACAGACAGAATTACATACGTATCCGATATATTAGAGCTATTTGGGAATGCTTCAACGGATAATAATAATAATTCCTCTAGGTTTGGTAAATACACAGAAATACTCTATAAAAATAGTAAAGTATCAAGGATAACCATAAAGGCATTCTTGTTGGAGAAGAGTAGGGCAGACAATAATTCAGAAGGCAGCAATTTTCATGCAATTATGATGATAACAGGAATACTTAATGAAAGATGCAAAGAGTCACTGAATAAGCTGGATAGCATAATGGAAGCATTCTGTGCCTTAAGGATATGCAAATATGCAGTTATAGAAATATTCAAGTACTTAATATTAGTGAAGTACTTAATAGATATAGATGTATCTAGTGATATAGTAGTAGATACACGTATATCACACATACTAGGAGTGCATAATGACTTACTCCATGGATTATTATCAAAGAAGTACATGAAAATGGGCAATGAAGTGATTATTAAAGAGAAGACACATAAGGAAAGAGTAACAGTAAAGAATACACTTATAAGAATAGTGTATGAAAGATTGTTTAAATTAGTAGTGAATATATTGAATGAAGCCATAAATAGAAGTGAAAATTCAGTCAGCTGTAATTGTACTAAAGATAGTTGTAATATACAGGATACGGATATATTCCGTAAGCCATCCATGAATATAGATACATTCCTGCAAGAAGTACTTAAGGACCCACTCGATATAAATATGAATATAATTGATATAGATACAAATAGAGGTAAGGATGAGAATACAATTGGTATACTGGATATATACGGGTTTGAAATTATGAATGAAAATGGTTTTGATCAGTTATGCATTAATTATGCAAATGAAAGGATACATTCTGAATATATAACTAGAGTGATTAATGAGAATATAAGTGCACTGCAGGAAGAAGGTGTTGCCATGGATATAAATATAATAGAAGGAGATAGGGCATTTAATGGGCCACATGGGATTATAAACTTATTGCAGGAAGAGACATTGCTGCCATGTGGTTCTATTAAGAATTGGCTGACCCGAGTATCACACAATAAGGGTATACGCGTGTATGACACGAATATTGAGGTAGAGCATTATTCTGGTAGAGTAAGATATAATGCAAATGAGTTCATTGAGAAGAATAATAATGCATATTCTGATGTGTATGATGTACTGAATAAGACAGGCATAAAGTTACTGCAGCAAGATGAGAGTATGATAGGCAGGATGACCAGCAAGGGAATACTGTCTGAGTTTAAGGAGAGCCTGAATAACTTGCTGCATGAGATTAACAAGGACAATGTGGAGTATGTGAGGTGTATTAAGCCAGGCCAGGATATATTCAATGATGAATATGTGAAGAGACAATTGAAGATGTCAGGTGTATTCGAGACTGTAAAGATATTCATGCTAGGGTACCATATGAAGTACACAAAGGATGAATATGCACAGAAGTACATGGAAGATGCAATAGAAGGAGATGGTATACAGGTTGGAAAGAAGTACATATTTGTAACGGAGGCAGCACACAATAGGATAGAAAAGGAAAGAATAAGGAAGGAGGAAGAGAAGAGGGAGAGAATAAGGAGAGAAGAAGAATTAGAACTTGAAAGAATTAAGAAAGAGAAAGAAGAACAAGAAGCACTAGAGAAGATCAAAAAAGAGCAAGAAGAGCAAGAAAAGATCAAAAAGGAGCAAGAGGAGCAAGAAAGACTAAGAAAAGAGCAGGAGGAGCAAGAAAGACTAAGGAGAGAAGAAGAAGAGCAAGAAAGACTAAGAAAAGAGCAGGAGGAGCAAAAGGAGCAAGAAAGACTAAGGAGAGAGCAAGAAGAATTAGAGAAGATCCAAAAAGAGAAAGAAGAACAAGAATCCCATGAAGAAGCCAATCCTGATGACCATGATAACTTACAGCAGAGTCATGTAAATCCTTTGAAAAATTCACAGCGAATTAAAAGGGAAGAGCTAGAAATGATAAAAAGTGAACTGGAACGGATTAAGTTAATTAAGAAGAAGGAGAAGAGTGTCAATTATGAATATGACGATAATTCATCTGATATTCTGCCTAACTATCCTGTGAGTAATGAAGCACTTGCTGAGACATGCAATAATTGCAGTAAGATAGAAGACAAATATACCCTGCAAGGAATATATTTAATGGAAAAGGAAGATGAAATAATCAGACTAAAGAATGAATTGGATAGGAATGTAAGGATAATATCCGATAAAGACATGTTAATTCGTGATTTAAGTCAAAAAATAGAGGTGATGCTGTATAATATATCAACAGGCGAGTATTATAAGACAACCACTAAGCCCCTGAAGTCTGAGCCACAGAATAATGTAATATTCAAGAAGATAATCAAAATATTCTTGCGAAATATTCCAGAAAAATATCCTTCATATTACAGCTCTGTAGGGTGTGCATTCTCTTTGTTCAGAATATCTGCGTTGTGTGCTGGAAGTATTCCTGGAAATATTCATGTAGTGATAGATGCATTCTCTGATGAGGCTATGCGCGTCTTGCAGAATGATAGGAATACTCTGGATAGAAATACGTATAATAAGTCGTGCACCATTTTATGTGCATTCTTCTTGGGGAATTCCATATTCATTGCACGCACTTCACCTGGCAAGGAGACAGAGGCAATGGTTCAAAAGGTATTCTCTGCTGGATGCACTGCCTTAGTTGATGAGATTATTTCATTCGGATTTGACTTCTTATTTAGCAAGTCTGAAGAAGGAGGTCTCTTCTTGTCGCGCATTCTTAATAAGAGGCCCTCCTTGGAGACAGTCATTTCGCATCTTAAAATGATCCATCAGACACTCTGCCACTTTCACATTCCACCTGCTGTTATTTCCTGCATATTCACATACATTGTGCAGGTGGTGGATCAGTCTGGGTTTGAGTGCCTAGCGAAGAAAAAAGAAATAGGGATAAAGCATATTGTCTATCTGAATAATAGCATTAATACGCTGACTGCCTTTTTATTGGACATTATTCCAATGGGCACAGGATACTTCCCACAGCTGCAGGGTTTTACAGAATTTGTGGAGATGCAAAGGAAAGGGGCCATAACCGGGTCTGCACTTATCTTCAAGATAGGGCCATTCTTTAGCTCTGCAAAGCTAAAGGCATGTGTCTCTGCGCTGTTGCCTGAGCTACGCAGTAAATACACAGATAAATTACAGCAGGCCTTAATGGATGCAGAGGATGATGAAGACAGTGCCAAAGAGGTAGTGCTTCCTGTGCTTCCAATGCCCTTAGGGGCTGCTTCTGATGATCCGCACTCTCTGTATACAGCACTGCTTACATCACCAGAGCGTGAAAAACTTGCTTCTTTATTGCAGGAGCACGGCCTAGAGACAGAGTGGATTATTCGACCAGAGAGACCACATGTAAAATAAGCCTGCTTTTGTACCATACACTGTCACATTCTATACATGATAGATTAGGTCTATGGATAGACAGAGCAGTTAATAAATAAACATATTTTAAAACACTAGAATGAACTTTTAAGAATCTATAGTATAACACTGTGTAGTATTATATGTGTGTAAGTAGCATTAGATAAAATGGTAATTCAATAAAGATGATATCTCTTGGAGTAAAGAAGTTTTGTTCTCTTTACTAAGACATTGTTGACTGCTTCTCTTGTTTTAGGCTTGCCTGGATTGTTTTCTTTTTCTTGAAGGAAGCTTTGTGTAGAATAGTACAAGAACTTCAGTGAAATTAGAAGGTTCTCATATTCATCCTAATAAGCCAATAAATGTGTTCTGACAATTTTTAGAAAGAAACTTTAGTCTTTGTATATTTAGTCCTTTCTTACTTTTTTCTCTACTCTGCTAGCTTCCCATAGTATATTTATAGCTCAACCCCACAAATAAAATGTAAAGTGTCCTGCTATTTTTTTATAAAAATACGAAATATTCTCTCTATTTCCTCATAAGTATACACTTTAATATTATTTCTATTTTTCGAGAAGGAGCATGGAAAATACAAAAAAAGACAAAACTCAAAGACCCCTTAATGGAAGAGTGCCACAGCCCCTAAGTTTAGCCATAGGCAATATCTAGTACTATGCAGCACAAAGAGAGCAAAATATGGTGCGCATTGGATAAAAATAAGTGTTATTGCGGATAGGACACAGTAGTATATAGTATAATGTGGTCTATTTAAAAGAAGGTTACTTAAAAATACTTTATTTTATTTCTACTAGAGTTTACCAATACACTCTGTTATATGTATTAGTTAGAAGAGCATAAAGTGCTTGAAGGTTAGTATTGAAGCTTTTAGTTGGATTGGTTATGATCTTGCGCGTAGGTGCTTTTGGTAGTGTTATAATAAGGAGGTGCCAGGTTTTAGCGAATTCTTTCTAATTAATGTCAACAGCTTTGTTTTTAGTCTTTGTGGAAGACTTTGGCTATGGTGCTAGTGCGAAATTATTTTTGTTATGAAAGAGAGCAGCTAGCAGGTCATAGTGTATTCCAAGGTTTGCCTGTGTGTAGTTAAAGGTTTTTACTGTGATAAAGACAGTAGTATTCTCTTTTATATCTTTAATATCAATCCGTGGAGGAAGAATGTCACTTTTCCAATTTGCATGCTTGGACTTAATCTCACCATCAATGTTCTCACTCAAAAGCCTTCGCATTTTCTCGCACATAATTGGAATAGCAACTTCGTTGCCTTCCAAAGATGTATAGATGCACAGACCGTATGTGACTTTGTCGCCAGATAAATTCTCGCGCTGCAATATATCCAGAAGTGTTGGAGCTACCTCTTTTTTGTCTCGCAGCAGACTTTCTCTCAGAAGTTTCTGAGCCGCACTTATATGAAAGCGATAGCTTGCATACTCGCGTACGCTTTTCTTTATCTGTGTATCCCAGTCTGTAGATGGCTGACCAGTTTTTTCTGATAATTTAAGTGAGATATCTGTAACAAAGCATTCTGCAGTGCAGAATTCTTTTTCGTGTATATTCTGAATCAAAAAGTCACTGTAGTAGTAATTAACATAGCTTCTTTTGGATTGAGATTTATTGTTGCTTGTTAATGTGGCAGATGAGTTCTGGCTGGTTGCAGCTGTATCGATAGTCATTTCAGTAGGTTTAATTGTTTTTTTCTGAGTGGCATAATTTTCAATTATTTCGGTTCGAATACATGTTTCATTAAAAAATATATACGGGCTAATTATAGTACTGGTCAGCATAAAGTTTGTAAGAAATAAAGGAATTCGGTGTGTTTCGGAGTTCGGATCAACTGAGTCTTGAAAATCTATACACTTAAAGTAATCTGTATGTATATTCTCTTCAAAGTAGTAGAAGACTACATCACATTTATAGCTATTCGCTACATTTAGAGTTGCATTTAATCCTTTCATTCCATGAAAAGTGAAATTCTCATCTATTAATGCCCATACTCCACTCTTTCTATTATACTTAAATGGGTAGACATTAAAATCTGAACTCTTTTCTGGATAGGTTGACTTCAGTATAGACTTTATGTACTTTACTATATATCGAATTGAATGAGTTTTTCTTTGTATAGATCCATCTCTAGAAATGTAAAAATTACAATAGGAAGGATATGGAATAGGAATGAGTTTTACGGTATGACGGGTGTTATCAACTAGCTGCACATGATAGTGTTCTTTGGAGCATTGATATGCTACATTTAAAAATGGTTCATTTTGTTCTTCTATGTTAGTTGAGTTGAAGTCATCGCTAGTTGAATTTGTAGTCTTACTGGGATTGTATTTTCCGAGGGTTGGCTTTACAATTGCTCTTTTTCCATGCAGTCTGAAGACTCCACTCTGCGGTATGTACGGACAGTAGGACTGAAAAATTCTTTTAATGTGTGCTTCTTTTTTTTCTACTTTGCCTTCTTCACTTTTAACATCTGCCACACAGGTAAATGGTGCACATTGGTAGAATAAACAAAACACGTTATAAACAGCCCTATACACCTCCATAGTAATGCAGGTACATATAGACTCTTCGTTCACAGATAGCGCTTTAACTTCATTATACGCAATATTCATTTTGTCTGCATCATCGTTCACTAAGTAGTATAAGTACTCTATAATGCAGAAAAACTTGCTAGCCTCTAAGTTAGAGTGATTTTCCATTTCTTCCTTTGTTTTTGCCAGTATCTCGGGGGTTATCAGAACCAAGTCTCTAAGTATCTCTGGTAGCTTTAGAATCAAATGCAGCTTTTCTTTTAGTGCTGCATCTGCAGATCCTGCACTCTTCATTTCCTCAGTTTTTGCAGAGATAATAGACATACTGTTAACCCACCACTTAAGATCTGTTTGGGTTTCTTCGTATATTTCTTCAAGTGTCTCTGGCTCTGTTTTAGACATAGAGCATATGTTGTTCTTACAGCTGTCTGTGTAGTCGTATTTTGCACTAATATGCGCTATGTCTATATGAGTTTCTATGTATTTTTTTAAGTCTTCTAAAAAGGAATAATAATAATAACCATTCTTCCTATTATATTTTTCTGTTTCTATCTTATTGGCTAAGTTGTTGATGCACTCTATCTTTTCAGCCAAGGAGTTATAGCGTGTGCTAGTTAAAAAGTGCCAGAATTGATATTGATTTTCGTAGTTCTTCTTAATACTACATTCACATTTTGTATTTCCATTATCCATGCCACCTTTAGTAAACAAGTATGAAAAATCATGGGGTTTATCTCGGGTTGTATTGCTTTTTGCTTCAGATTTGTAGGTCTTGAGGTTCTTACAGGCAGCTTGGTAATTATTCAATTCAATGTATAAGCTAGTTCTATGAATAGAATCTGTGTTCTCTCTACTCTTTGTATATTTTCTTTTCTTGAGACTTAAATTATCGCCTGAACTGCTTAAAGTAGAATCTCTCAGGCGCTTTGGTGTGGTTACTTTAACTGGATTAAGTATGCTTTCTTCCTGGCTGCTATGTGCTCTACTAGATATGTCTTTAGTACCAAAAGAATAAGGACGTATGCTACTATCTATAAGAATCTGATTCTCAGATTCATCTTTGTATACATTATACAGGATGTTATCTTTGAATACCATATTTGCTGTTAAGTACATATAAATTCTGTGGCTTTTATATTTCATATAAAATAATTTTCCAAATTCATCTATATAGAATGTAGTAACTATTATGCTTTTTTGTTCTGGAGCAGTTGGATGGAGTGTGCCACTTTCATGATTTTTTGAATTTGGTGCTGTATTTTTTGAAGCCAATGATCCATTGGGTGGTTCCAGCATTCTATTGCGGCTTTCATCAGACATAGCGGAAGCTAAATCACTCTTGTTTGAATTCTCTAATGATTCTTTAATCTTTGCTGTATTCGAATCATTGCATTCATTACTTGCAAAGCATGCTCCGAAAATCATCCAGATGCCTACGATGCATAGAACAACAATCGTATGAGCTTTAATGCGGTCATTTGTTTTTGTATAGTATGTCATTAATATGTTTTTTAAAATTCAAACTCTTTAAATAGCTTGTTTTTTAATTTAACCCCACCGGCTTAATTAAAACTTTTAATTCTCTTTAACTAATAATTCTTTTAGTCTGTTCTAACTCATGCAAATCACCATGGCCATCTCCTAATATCAGGGGAATCCCCTGCATGCATACATTAGAACAAGCACTTATTTTACGTTTAGACATAGTCACATCAAAAGCATTTCTAGCATGCTTCAGCATACTTCTATGTTTTGTGGTTATACTTTTTCTTTTTCTTGAAGGAAGCTTTGTGCAGAATAGTACAAAAACTTAGCTGGAAAATTAGAAGGTTCTCATACTCATCCTAATAGGCCAATAAATGTATTCTGATAATTTATAGAGAGAAACTTTAGTCTTTGTGTGTTTAGTCCTTTCTTGCCTTTCTCTCTACTCTACAAGCTTCCCATAGTATATTTATTATAGTATATTCTCCTATACATAAAATGTAAAGTATCCTACTATTTTTTATAAAAATGTAAAATATCTTTACTGTTTCCTCATAAGTAAACACTTTAATATTATTTCTTTTTTTGGAGAAGGAACGCGGAAAATACAAAAAAAGACAAAACTCAAAGACCCCTTAATGGAAGAATGCCACAACCCATGAGTTTAGCTGTAGGCAATATCTAGTACTACGCAGCACAAAGAGAGCAAAATATGGTGCGCATTGGATAAAGACAATAGCATTATAGCTAAGAGACAGTAGTATATAGTATAATGTGGTCTATCTAAAGAAGGCTTGTTGGTATGTGACTATGTGTGTCTAGTTATGCTAGATTGACCATGTTGAATAGTTATTAAAGAATGTAAACCAATAAAGTCTATTGCATTATTACTTAAAAACACTTTATTTTATTTCTGCTAGAATTTACTAACACACTTTGTGTTATGCATTGGTGAGAGCATAAAGTGCTTAAAAAGTTAGTATTGAGGATTTTGGTTGGATTGGTTATGATCTTTCGTGTAGGTGCTTTTGGCAGTGTTTTAATAAGAATATGCCATTTTTAGTGAATTCTTTCTAATTACTACCAACAGCCTTGTTTTTAGCCTTTGTGGAAGACTTTGGCTATGGTGCTGGCGCGGATTTATTTTTGTTATAGAAGAGAGCAGCTATAATGTCATAGTGCATTCCAAGGTTTGCCTGTGTATAGTTAAAGGCTTTTACCGTGATAAAAACAGGAGTATCCTCTTTTATGTGTTTAATATAGATGCGCGGAGGAAGAATGTCACTTTCCCAATTTGCATGCTTGGACTTAATCTCACCATCAATGTTTGCACTCAAAAGCCTTCGCATTTTCTCGCACATAATTGGAATAGCAACTTCCTTGCCATCTAAAGATCTCTGATAGATGCACAGACCGTATGTGACTTTGTCACCCGATGAACTCTCGCGCTGCAATATATCCAGAAAGGTCAAGGCCACTTTTTCTTCGCACAGCAGCAAACTATCGTTCTGTATATTCTTAGCCGAGCTTATACTAAAACAGTAGTTTGTATACTCACGTATGCTTCTCTTTATCTGTGTATACCAAACTGTAGATGGCCGATGGGGGTTTTCTGATAATTCAGATAGGATGCCTGCACCAAAGCATTCTGCAGTGCAAAATCTGTAGTCATTTATATCTCGAACCAAAAAGTCACTGTAGTAGTACTTAATATAGCTTCTTTTTGGTTGAGGTTCATTGTTGCTTGGCGATGCGGAAGATAAGCTCTGGTGGATTGGATATGCATTGTTGTTCATTTGAATAAAATTAATAGCCTTCGTAGTCGGGTGGTCACTTTTAGCAATAACTCGAGTTGCAGTATTAGCCGGGGTTTTCCATATATACGGGCTAACTATAGCACTTACCAGCATAGAGTTTGTAAGGAATAAAGGAATTCGGGGTGTTTCGGAATTTGGGTCAACTGAGATTTGGAAATCTACACACTCAAAGTAATCTGTAGCTATATCCTCTTCAAAGTAGTAGAAGACTACATCGCAATCAGCACTAATGATTTCAACTAGAGATTTATCTATTGTTAGGTTCAGTGTATATTCGCGTTTTGTGAACCCAGTTAGCACTGTCCAGGTTTTTTCCTTTCTTCTATACTTAAATGGGTAGACATTAAAATCTGAACTCTTCTCTGGATAGGTTGATTTTAGTATAAATTTTATGTAGTCTACTATATCTCGGATGAGATAAATTTTCTGCTGTATAGATATCCTACTAGAATCAGGCCTTTCAATATAAATATATGGAATAGGAATAAGTTTTACTGTGTGGCGGGAGTTATCAACCAGCTGTACATGGTAGTGGTCATTGAAACGATGATGTGATAGATTTAAAAATTGTTTGTTTTGTTGTTCTATAACCATTGAGTTATGGCCTGCCATCTTTGTAGTCTCATACAGGTTGTATTTTCTGAGAGTTGGCGGTACAATCGCTCTTTTCCCATGCAGTCTGAAGACTCCATTCTGCGGTATGTACGGACAGTGGGCCTGAAAAATATTTTTAACTGCAGCTTCTTTGTTTTTGGGGTTATCTTCTTCACTCTTGACATCAGCCACACAAGTAAATGGCGCATATTTGTAGAAACAACAGAACGCATAATAAGCCCACCTATATACCATCACAGTACAGTGTATGTCTATAGATTCTCTCTCCACGAATAGCGCTTTAACTTCATTATATGCAATATTCATTTTGTCTGCATCATTGTTCACTAAGTAATATAAGTACTCTATAATGCATAAAGCCTCGCTAGCTTCTGAATCAGAGATGTTTTTCATTTCTTCCCTTATCTTTAAAAGTATTTCAGGAGTTATCAGAACCAAGTCTCTAAGCACCTCTGGCAGCTTTAGAATCAAATGCAGATTTTCTTTTAGTGCTGCATCATCTATCAGGCATTCTTTCTTCATCTCCTCAGTTTTTGCATAGATAATAGACATACTGTTGGCCCACCATTTAAGATCTGTTTGGGTTTCTTCGTATATTTCTCCGAGTGTCTCTGGCTCTGTTTTAGACACAGAGCATATGTTGTTCTTACAGCTGTCTGTGTAGTCGTATTTTGCTCGGATGTGCTCTGTGTTTATGTGACTTTCTATGTATTTGTTCAAGTCCTCCAAAAAGAAATGATAATAATTAATTATCTTAATACTATTTCTTTTTTTTTCCATCTCATTCATTAAGTTTTTGATGCAGTTTATCTTTTCAGCCAAGGAGTTATGGTGTGAGCTAGTCAAAAATTGCCAGAATTGCAGTTCATATTCGTAGTTCTTCTTAATGCTACATTCACATTCTGTATTTTCATTATTCATGCTACCTTTAGTAAACAAGTATGAAAACCCATGGGGTTTATCTCGGGTTGTATCGCTTTGTGCTTTGGATTTATAGGTCTCTAGGTTATTAAAGGCATTTTTGTACTTATCCTTGTTATTGTATATGATAATTCTACTAATAGAATCTGTGTCCTTTATATTCTTTGTATATTTTCTTTTCTTGGGACTTAAATTATCGTTTGAACTGGTTGAAGTAGAATCTCTCGGGCGCTTTGGTGTGGTTACTTTGACTGGATTATCAAGTATGCTTTCTTCCTGGCTGCTGTGTGCTCTACTAGATATATCTTCAACATTAAAGGCAGAAGGATGTATGTTAATATCTATAAGAATCTGATTCCCAAATGCATCGTTATATATATTATACAAGAGGTCACCTTCAACTACTATGTCTTTGGTTAAGCACATAAAAACCCTGCATCCTTTATCATCTATATAAAATAGATTTCCAAAATCATCTACATGGAATGTAGTAATTATTATGCTTGTTTGGTTTGAAGTGCTTAATTCGAGTGAATCCTTCTGATAGTGCGTGTCACTTGTAGAAGCTAGTTGAAATGTGTCCATTTGTTCATTATTCTCTGTTGTTAGGCTACCACTAGCGCATTCATTATTTGTAGCTATTATACTAGAAAGTGCCCAGATGCACATCAGGCATACTATAATAATTTTATGTGTTTTAGTGTATCTATTTGTCTCCACATAGCATATCATGTGTAAGTTCTAATTAAATTTTTTTCCTTTAAAATAAAGATTTGCCCGATTTTATTCTAATTTATTAGATCCTACTACCATAAGGAGGTAAATTCCTCTTGTTCAGTGCTCAGCCTGTGAATTACTTTTCATTTTACCTTGTTTTTGTTTTCTGTGCCTTGAAAGCATGAACCCTTCTTTCCGGTTAAACAGTGTAGAGACTATGGATTGGCTACTGCCTCTTTCAGTTTTGGTTAAAGACCAATACTCTGCCAAGTGTGTTTGTTTTAGGCTATAACAATCAAGTAATTTAATAAATGCCATATACTCCCATCTGCCTTTGTAGCAAGATTACTACTTCTTTGGGGTTCGGGTTATGTTAAGGCCTGAAAATAAAATGATAGAAAAGGAAAGATCACAGGTATCTCCAAATCAGACCCTGAGTATAAAGGAAAATACGACCATGCCAAAAAGAGAAGAGCATAGAATATTCCAGATAAATTCAGAACATAAATAATCCATGATATCTGCAAGACGTGAATAAAGGTTCTTCTCAACCAATATGGCATCCCTATTAGGCTGCTACTTCCAGTTTATGGCGCTTCTATATCTATGGCACGACTTATGTGTTTATATTTGTAGAAAACATAAAATGAAAAGAGCTTTTGTAATAAAACTGCTTATAATTTAGAAACTCTCAGAATATAAATATATGTCAATAGTAAAGTTGTTAGAATGCAGGCTCAGAAAATACAATGGCAGTACTTTTATATGGCGCCCAATGCAGGGAATAGAATATGCAGGCTTGTTAAGGCATAAGTATATTTTATTTTGATGCACCTATGCTAATGAATAGGCCTTTTAGATGATGTGTATGGTGAACCACACGGGTAGAAAGAGTATGGCCTGGGAGTAGTAGCCTAACAAGAATAACATTTTGTCACATGAGGAACTTTTATTATTGTAGAAAACTACATACAAGAACACTCAGTATATTGCTATTATTCTATGCTGAGGCTTTCTGAAGTAAAAAGAAACCTTCAAAGTAATTCTAACTTTCGCTTAGATTCTTCAATCCGCAAAGAGTCTCAGGAAGATGAGTATATAATTGGACGAAAAATACATAATACCCACAGCCGAGGGGCAGAATTGCGGCTAAGATAATTTTTGATGCGCGTTTAACACGAAGAATATTCCCCTTATATTCACCGTAAGGATCTTTTAATTTTGCTGAATATGATAAGCTACGTAGTAATCCTATTACTATTGAAGAAATTCCAGCATAGTATAGGAAGGTCAGTAATGATATATATGAACGAGGATCAAAACACTTAGATGTATCAGATTTGTTTAACAGTCCTTTCCATATACCCATTCCTAGTGTTACAATTAAAACTAAGCTAAGCCAAGATGCAGAGATTATTAGATCTCTTTTTGTTTTTTTGTCACTAAAATGTACATAAATATTAGTTATAGGGAATATTGCAATAGTAAGAAGTAAATAAATCATTGTAAACACCCACCCAAAAACAAAGAGTAGTAGAGTTCTTGAATGTATATGGTTTTCATCGAAAAAGTCCGCACTAACAAATACAATTCCAGCTAAAAAATTAAAGACAATAGAGAATAAAAGCCGGGAACAAAATAGAAGTATATGCATGGAATTATGAAAGAAAAGATGCTCTTCTTTATCTTCAGCACAGCTCTCTAAATTTGTATTAGATTTCTCTTCTAGAATTGTAGAACACATATTAATCTCTTTGCTTTCGCTTTTAATAGTGTTACTAGAAATACTTTTAACTTTTATCGACATGCCATTTATTTTCTGTCTTTATTTATAGAATACTAGTAACTAATTCATCAATGATATAAATTCATTAATATAGCAAAATTCTGACTCTTATCCCCCAGGCCATAGAATAGCTAATATATGGAAAATAATTCTGGAAAATCTACAAACCAAAGAAGACATTGTATACTCGCGTAAGAGTATTAAAAAAGAAGAGTGCACTAAAAATAAAGATAAAGTCAAGTAAAAGGAGAAACAGCTGCTATATATGCAGATACGCAACAATACATGAATAAAACTTGCTGGGCACTTTTTAATTCTCGGAGTCCTAAGGATGTGAAACCTCTTCTCAAGTTGACAATGTGCTGACTAGTTATTGTCTCCACGAGGTTCTGACTGTTTGCGGATAAGATATGAAGGGCTTTGTTTGTTTACAGGTCGAAGTGATCTATGTTTGTGATCACTTTGTGTTACATTACAATCGGTTGTCTTAGCATGCGTGTTCGTAAGCGTAGCACTAATTCACAGCCGTCACTAGAAACTATATAGACAAGAATAAATAAATTTTATGACGACTAAGAAAACCAAATCTAATATTTCAGAAAAAATTCTGCTATTTTTATAACTGCCAAAAGTATAAATTGAGAAAAAATTAATTTGCCCATGAATTTAATTGATATTAATGAGAGCAATATGATTGCCGGTCCATCTAATGGATCTGACATGAGAGCAACGGTAAAAAATCCACAGGAGCTAGCAGAGCAGCAGAGTACTCTAAAGAGTGATCTTCCAACAACCTCTGCAAGTGCAAATGACTGGTGGATGGAGATTTCGGACGAAACTGAAGGAATATATCCGCGCACAGAAAAAACAGATTTTAACAAGGAATCTGTGTTGACTAAAACCATGGATGTCTTAAAAGACAAAGCAGGTGAAGCATACAGCACACTTAACAATATTGAGAAAGTATGTGCGAAGAAGGTTACTGAGACAATGAATGCAGTAGGCCTCTCACTTGGTGAAGAAGCACATGAATATACTGAGCTCGTGCCTATGGGAGGACCAGTTGTTGAAAAAGATTTGCAGCACGTGGATAATGATAAGAAAGGCACTGTGTATGTTGAAAGTAACTCTGGAGAAAATAACTCGCAGCCATTAAGAAATGCGCGTGTAAACGCTTCACACGATGCATCTGGATTGATAAGAACAAACATTACACAGAATTCTTCTCTGAAGATAGTCTATACTATGCCGTTTTTAATACTTACCTCTATTCTGCTAGGAATGACATTTTATTCTATCATTATGACAATTCTTTTGTTATTTGAAAAGCTTAAGTTTTCATTCAAAACATGTGTGCGTGTAATATCCTCGCTTATGGTTGGCATATTCGGGAAGGCTGCAGCTGAATGTACTCTGTCTATTTTTGGAATACTTATTAGTGATCTATCGGATAGAAAAACCAAAGGAAGTATGATCGCCATAGTAGGGATTATGTTATGCACTGTCTTGGCCTTTACAGTTGGCCCCATCTATCCTTGTTTAGAAGATGGGCGCAAGTTTGGTTTTAGCTTAGCTTTGATACTTATCTCTCTTCTTACAATTCTTGTGTTCCTTGCATATATATTCTGCTTTGAAAGAAGAATAGAGAAGGAGATGCAGGATAAGGAGAATATTCCTAAGCTGACTAAGAATATTAAAGCAGTAATTGGCTGTTTTATAATGGTAGTTATGTTCGTCATATTAATATATTCTACTCAGCCAATAACCCCAGATAACTTGTTTATTTGATTCAATGGGTTCTAATAGAAATAAAGAAATTTCATTACAAGCTTATTGCTGAAATATAATTGAATCGAACTGGCTGAATGCACATATGCACTTTGAATTTGTTTTTGAGTTATTCTGGATATAAAACATAAAAGAATTGCAAGCGTATTTGCATGTTTTATTTCCTTTTTTGTTGTTCACACTGCATATTTTAATCCTTTACAGTACTGGGTAGTCTTTAATATAAAAAGAAGAAAAAAACTCACTTGAAGACTTTTTTGTATGGTGTGCTGCAGGATAGAAAGAGTATGGTCTAGAAATAGTAGCCCAATAAGAACAATATTTATTAAGCAGAGAACTTTTATTATTATAGAAAACCCGTATATAAGGTCTGACTTTAAAGTGGAGATACTCTCGATTTCACCATTCTTCTATGCTGTAGCTTCCAGCAATAAAACTTTCAAATTAATACTAATCTTCGCATATAGTCATCGTTTTGTTGAAAACATTAGGACAATCAATAGCTAATTGGGTAGAAAACTCATAACATCCATACATAAAGGCCCCACTTCCTACTAGGATAATGAGTGCCGCATATGGGACAGGGAGAAGATACTTACCAGATCTTTCTTCAGCGTATTCTAAGTCGTCATGATAGTGCGTAATAAACATTGCGCCTGCTATATTTAAAATAGCGAATGCATAGCAGCAGCAAACGACTTTTAATATATGTTCTGTGCAGACTACACACTTAGATGTCATTGGACCGCTTTGCGGTACTTCTGATGATATACCTAGTCCTATTGTTATAATCGAAAACACAATAATTATAAGTGGCATACATGCTTGAATTATTCTTGTCAAATCATGGACTAGATGAAAACCAGCTATATATTGCATTATGGGAGTGACAATTAAATAAATCATTGTGAAAAGCCACATAAAAGCCAAGGATGTTAGAGTTCTTGAAAGTGGATCATTTTCATCGAAAAGCCATTCCTTGGTAAGCAACTTACCAGCTAACGAATTCAAAAGTATACATAAAGTAATCTGGAACACCCATGTATATATATAAATTATAAAAAATGTTTCTTCCGCTTTTTCTCTATCTACCGAGTCTCTATGAATAGGATATCGGCCTTCCTCTATTCGGGAATCTGCATTTCTAGAACTGTTTCTAAAAATAGCAGACATAGCATTTAGCATTTTTTATCTTGCAATTTATTTTTCGTCCTCTATTTATACCATCTCAAGAGCACAAGATCTCTGATATAATCTGAATAATTCCGGAAAATATATAAATCAAAAGAATATTATCTACTCGTGCAAGAATATTGTTGGTTTTCCTTGCCTCAAGGGCATTGAAACCTTCTCTCCGGGTCAGCAATATAGATTGATGTTGGTTATTGCCTCCGGGCTTTGGCTAGGCCAACATGCTACAAGGGGGCTCTACTTGTTTACGTGTCATAATATAGTGATCTATGATTATGTGACACTAGCTGTCAAATTACGATTTGATGTGGAAACTTTATTTGTGCTGTCAACAAGCATTAATCAATTTCCATGTACAAAATTATATATAGATGATGAGAAATAAATTATATCCAAGCTTAGTATGACTAAGTCTAATATTTCGAAGAGGAAAAACCAGCTATATCTAAAGCGATAGTATGACTTCGCCATAACTATACGCCGGTGCAATTTTTGCGCACCAAAATGCATAATATAAACAACAGATGATAGACCACTGCCAGTTCACAGAAAGTATGATAAAACTTTGGTCTCTTTTCTTTGATACTCTGCTTCTACAATTTCAACATATTCCGCAATATTCCCGTCTATAATACGGGCTACTGCTGCTTTGTTCATGCATCGATAGCAGTAGTTTGGTGCACTCCATATGGTTATAACCTTCCCACCAAAGTCTTCCTTATATCCTTCATCCACAAGCTGATGGGATCGAATAATTCTCTCCAAGCCAGTTTTTTTAAGAAACTCATCTGTCTGCTTTTCCCCAAAGTAGTAGCCAACTCCTCGAGCACTTTTCATGAACTCTTCGGCTTCTTCGTTTGGATCGCTCCATACAAGATCTGCTATGGTGCCAGAAGTAGGTATGTCTCCCACCCGCGGGATCATCTGGACTGCCTCCAGGTCAAGATCTGGCCCAATCCCTGCATGCACTGCAAACACTTTTCTGTCAATAATGGCACAGACAGGCAAATAGTCAAATACTTCGCATATACAGTGCCAGATCATTTTTGATCTATAAACCTGCATGCACTCTGTTTTAAACCCGTAGCCAGACGAGGTTTTCAGAGACTCATGGTTTCCTCTTAGTAGCCACACGCTATCTGGGTGCTTTATCTTCATATAGAGTAGCAGCACAATTGTTTCAACTGAGTTTGCACCGCGATCTACAAAATCCCCAAGAAAAAGATATTTATCAGAGGGCACTTTTAGAATGTTTAAAAGATCAAAGAACTGACCATGTATATCACCCACAACAACTATTTCTGAAGACAACTCCAGCATAAATGGCTCTTCTACAAATATTTCAATTGCTTGCTTGCATATTTCAAAGATGTCAGAGTTAGTAAGCTCCCCATTCGAAAGCTTATTAATGAAAGCTTCTTCATTTTTCCAGAATGCAGAAGCAGGTGGCTGCACTGTCATTTAGAAATTTCTAGAATTTCAAAAAAAATAAAACAATTTTGGTAAAACATGGAATATGAAAAGCAAGAGCGCAAATCTGTATGAGGTTTTGAATGTTAGCAAAACAGCAACTGAAGGCGAAATAAGAACAGCTTTCAAGAAGCTGGCGCGTAAGTACCATCCAGACATGCACGCAAGCAAGTCAGAGGAGGAGAAGAAGAAAATGCAAGACAAGTTTAAAGAGCTGAACAATGCGCATGAAATACTTACAGACAAGAAAAAAAGAGACTTCTACGATCAAACAGGAATGACAGAAGAAGAAGCCCAGGCAGGATATGGGGGCAGTGCAGGAGGCAGTAGCTTCAAAGGAGACTTCGGCTTCCCAGGCGGCTTCCAGTTCAGCGGGTTTGATTCAATGGGAGGCGGCGGCATGGGCTCAGGCTTTCACGACTTTGGAGACATTAGGTCTGTGTTTGGAAATGGGTTTGATAGCTTTTTTGACGTAGGAGGAAGACAAAAAGCCCAAGCATCTCCTGCAAATAACAAAGTACTTGAGTACAAGCTGGCAGTTTCCCTTGAGGAAATTTGCAATGGAGCAACGAAGAAGCTGAGTATAAAACGAACCAAAACATCAGGATCCCGGGAGCAGACCTTTATAAATGTAACTATTGCGCCTGGCTACAAATACGGAACAAAAATCACCTATAAAAACTCAGGTGACTATAATATAGACGGAACAGGCACAGATATAGTTGTGATTCTGACAGAAAAGCCCCATCCCATATTTAAGCTAAGTAATACAGACATTATATACGAAATGAAAATAACAATAAAGGAGTATCTAAACGGATTTACTAAGCAAATACTAGGACTTAAGGACAACCCGATTGTAATAGATAGCAATATCATAGGAAACAACTCAAAGGATGCAGTGATCCCAGGAGAGGGTATCCCGGATAGGTCAAATGGGTCAAAGAGAGGATCTCTTATCATCAAGACCCGGATTGTAATGGATATTACACCGCGTGAGAAGAAAGAAATCTTAAGTGCGTTATCATAAAAAGAATTAGTATGCATAAAGACTCCAAAGAACAGAGCACTCTGTTCATCAAAATACTAAGTAAATCGAAGGTGATTTATCATGGGGAAAAGTAACAGATGCAAGTGCGGTATGAACTCAAATCCTGGCTGAGTCATAGGTTTAATAAATATTCAATGTCACGTAGTATACTCATAGGATTATCTTAGCCACTTTTTCTCCTTCACACAGAACATTCTTTCAATATGATGCTCTGAGTGTGGTATAATAGACTTTCAGTAGTGTCAAGAAGGCACAATATATCTCTATCGCATTTGGCTGCACAGAAAGCCCTTCAAAAGGTGCTCAGTTAAATCTAACAATAAAATAAGTCATCAAAGGGCTTCTATTTATTTGAAAGTCTTTTGATCTCTTCTTCTTTTTCTTCCAGATCCTTCTTCAGCTGCGCAATAAACCCACACGTGTTTGAGTGCTTCAGATCACCTAGAAGGGTTTCTATATTCTCCTTTAGGTATGCATTCTCTCGCTTCAATTCATCAAGCGTCTTGTTCTCCTTCTGGTGCAGTATAATGATACGAGGAGTGAATGTGGCCAACAGTGAGAATGGGTTCTTCTTCTTAAACTCGTCAATTTCAGCTGCACTTTTCTTGGAGTACTTTTCAAACAAATCCTTCTGCACACCTGACACAGAGACATCTCCCTTTATTATATCAAATATAAACTGAGTGAGAATTTCCTGGTTTAGTGTGGATATTGTATCAATAAGCACCATAAACTTATTCTTACTCAGGGCTGCTGTATTCTGCAGAAACAGAAGGAATCTATCAAACTCCTTTTTTGTCATACTCTGCCCCTTTTTTGTGAAGAATATTCCATTAATATTTGAAGCCAGGAAAAAAGCCACTTTAAACAGGTTTTCAATGTGGTACGCAGAGAAATAAGAGAATGCTCCAATGCACAGACTGAATATCTTATCTACATTCTTCTTATGGACTCTTTCATGAGACACAAGCATATTGTACTCGTAGGACCGTCTAAGGGCATATCTTACAATGCGCATTGTATATGCTCTCTCCTTCTCTGACTTTTTTCCTCCTTCATCCTTAGAGAAGTCGCAATCTAAGTGCCCAATAATTGACTGAATTGCTTCATCTGAGAGAAGGTCACTATCTTCATCTTCACTCTCTTCCTGACTTTCTGCATCACTCTGACTATCTTTACCTTCCTTTTCTTTATTTTTCTCTTCCTCCTTTTCTTTGCTATTTTCTTCTTTTTCTTTCCCACTTTCCTCCTTCTCTTGATCTCCTTCCTTATTCACTGAAGGAGAGGGCGCATTCATCACTTCACTGAATGTATCCAGCATGCCCTTCAGGCCCTTCTTTTTATCTCTTTCCTCCTGCTCCTTTTGAAGGATCTTTTTGTAGCAGTCTGGGCATGGAAGCTTCTTCCTGCACTTAAGAATTGTGTTGTAAATTGCAAACTGCGGCCTCTCAATTCTTCTGTACCAGGACTTAGTGAATGCCAGACCCCACATGGCTATCCTGGCGCATGTTGGAATTCCATTCTGCATAAGTTCTTCTGTGTACGCCTGCATGCTGTCTATCTCATCCTGTGCCAGCCACATAATGACTTTGTCCTTTTTCTCCATACTAAATCAAGTGCGTCTTTATTTATGGTTCTGTTTCGGGCTGAAACACTTTTTGTGCAGTTTCCTGTGCAGTCTCCTCTCTGAGGGAGTTGTCTCAGAATATATCACTCCGCATGTATGGCATTTTGTGTACATTTTCTGTCCTAAATTAAGAACCAGCTGCTTTTCATCCTTTTTTCCTGTCTTCTTCCTTAAGATGCCCTCCTTCTCCTCTGGGGCTTTGCTTCCTGCATATTCTTGGGATATGTCTCTTGCCTGGGCAAATGAAAGAATTGTCTTCCCAGGGGAGGGCACAGGAGCAGGCACTGCATCCAAAATATTATTAATACGAAAGGCCTTCCCTCTTGAGAATGTTTTCATTATCTTAAAACTTTTATTCTGTCTATTTCCCTGCAAGAACATCTTCCATTTGCGCACATATCAGGAGAAGGGAAATTGCATACGCAGATACTCCAGATATTTCTTCTCTAATGCGAAGCACTTTGCAATCAAGGGAGACTGACTGGCTGCACGGCATATCACTTGGGGATAACTCAACAGAAGAAGTCATCCTGTGACTAAGTCCTTCAGTCACTACAGCACTGCATGTCTCTGGCATGGCTTCAGATGATCTTTCTATTTCAGCTGCCCCCTCTACTTCCATTTCATATTCTGCTTCTGCACTCTCTAGTCTTTTTTCTGCTGGACTGTGGTGCTTCAATTCATTTATATCATGGGGCACTGCCAATTGATGGGAATCTGGCTTTCTTGTTGTGGCTGCACTTCTGGGCACTCTGTTATTTGCATCTACCATATCTCTGCTATCTGCGCCGTACAGAATGTCTTTTTCATCTATAATGCTATGCGTGTAGTTTGCATACCCTTCCATCTGCATATCTGTTATTATTCTGCTTATTTTATCTATTCCTGAGTTGCTTACTTCACTATTTTCTTCTGGTGTGGCATCTTCCCTTCCATCCTTTGACCCATCGACTATGCTTATTATTCTTCTCTCTTTTCTTTGTATGTGCACCTCTTTCATGTGGTAGTTGTCATCAACCACTTCAATAAACCGAGTTATTAGCCCATCAACTATCTCTTTCTTGTATACAGTGCCTTCCATTTGCATTCTCTTAATGTACTGAATGTATTCCCTGTACTTACTTGGTGCATGCAGGGTGCCTAACAATACTGTATGCATTGTTTATTTATATGGGAGAATATTAATAGTCTCTGGCTATTTCTTCAAGTATATCCTGTATGGCTGCGTTAATAGTGTCCTTATGCGGAGATGTTATCTTTATGTGCTCCAGATATTCCAGCTGCTCAAATAGCATAAGATATCTCTCCTCCTTTGCCTTATACATGTACCAGTCGCACAGTGCTATCTTAGCACGTGTCAGGATATTTTTCTGAATTGATCTGTCAACTGTTCCGTTTTCTGTGGATATTTCGCTCTCCTTTATTATTTCAGAGAGTGCAGAAATGTTTTCTTCTGTTGGGTGAGTCAAGCACGCCTTCAAGGCACTATAATACTTCAGAATACTGCCACTAAGAGTTGTGCTATTACTGTCTCTGCTACTACTCTTAGTAATATTACTGTTGTTTGTGCTATTATTAGGTCTGTCTTTTTCTTTATCATTTGATATAAGGTTATTATTGCCTTTTTTATTTATCCGGGTATTCTTCATATTTATCATATCTATGACCACTATCTTATCACTCTTGCTATGACTAAGATAATCCTTATTTCTATCCATATAAATATCTTTGCTTTGGCTGATACTCTTATTATTCCCATCTTTATCGTTAATAGTATTTCTATTCTTATATGCATTCATAGTCTTGCTGCTATCTTTCTCCATACCGGCTTCTTTGTTAATGAGAAGTATTCTGTTGCATGTCTTGCATATATTCACTCGGTCATACACGCAGATGCACGAACTGCATATGTATATGCCGCACAGCTTGCAGTTGATCCCGCATATATATACTTCCTTTTTGCATGTATTGCAGTCTATTGAGTACTTATATTCCGTCACTCTGTGCTCCGTGTAGTTAGATATGTACATGCACAGTCTACTTGTACTATTATAATACAGATACAAAGAAAGTCTATCCTGCAACTCCTTTCTTCTTCTATTCTCCTTGTGCCTTATAATGGACATGCACTCAAAATAGCTTAGTGTTCTGTCTCTCATACGGCAGCCACCCAAGGGGCTTAATTATGCAAAACAGAAGATGAAACAACGTATGAACAAAGATGAAACAAACCAGAATAATTTACTCGTATAAAAATGATATCAGTTTATAAGCAGATTATATTGATATCTATAAGATTGCCTATTTGCAAGTACAAAATAACTTCAGTCTCTAAGGATCCTGTGCAATTCCTGGGTGTTCATTAGCGATCTCTTATTAGAATTCTTCAGATACCCCTAGCTTACTGTAGATATCCATCTTGCACGCAAGCCAGAACTACTCTTCTTTACTTTTCTCTTTTGGAGAATCTTCTTTCTTTTCTGTCTTCTCCTCTTTATTTGCATCCTTGGTGATACTGCCTAATTTCTCGCTTGCAGCCATCTGCGCTGTCTTTATGTCTTTCTTTATATCTATGTTTTGCACATGACGTATCATCTCATTCAGTGGTGTATATGCTACGTTGTTGATGTACTCAGTTAGTCTGCTCCTTCTGTTGGAGAGGTAGTACATGAAGATGATCTTTATGTGGTAGTACACTGGTATATACAGAATAGAATATACAACGTACTCTGCTGTTATAAGTATATTTAATGTCAGGAGATAAGATATAATGTGCTTTGCACTGGCTATATCTATCTGGCCCTTTGTGCATATGGCACTGCATGCAGAGTGCACTATAAATGCAATTGATAAGACATTTGTAATTGCACTTGCAATTGACCTGCAGAATAAGCTTATGAAAAGTACTGCAACTATCGCAATAAACGAATATTCTGGGCGTACCACATTATTTGTAGCACTTTCTATATATCTAAGCACAGGATACCCACTGGATACCTTTACAATTCTATCCATAATAAATAAAAATAAAAATATTCGTATATTAATAGGCGTCACTACCCTGAGTAAACAAATAATCTGCAGATGCCTGAATAGAAGAGTCCACCAGCAATTAAACTGTAATTCTAATATAACTGTAGCCTGGTCTGGCTGTAATTTATGTAATTAATCTCCTTTAATTATACGTTCTATAACTGTGTCTAATATTATATGCAGCATTTGTTGCATTGGAGGCTATCTTCTGTGGACGCCCTTTGGTCCGAGGCTTAGACCTGCGCAGTATACGCCCACCTCCTCTGTGGTCATTGGCACAAACTCAACTTTCACTTCGCATACCTCTATGGCTGGGAGAGACTCGTGCTCCTCCTTCATTCGCACAACCTGTCCGCGTACATCCACGAATGCTGCGCCTGCTAGGACGTTCTTCACGTCGGACACTTTCAGAGTCGATACGTCTCCTGTGCTGCTGCTGTATTTGAAGAGTTTTCTTTCGTATGCACGCACGGTGGCTGCTGCACGCTCTTCTTCCTTCTTCTTTTTTGCTGCCTTGCGGGCGTCCTTTTGCCTCGTGATGTGGGTTGCTGCATCTTCTATAGTGAGCTCGTGCATGACCTTCTTTCGGGCACCTCCTGTGGAGTCTGTGGCTTCCTCTGGTGCTGCTGCGCCATTGGTATCAGTGTCTTCTTTTCCACTGTCCACAATGGTGGGCACTTTCTCTTTTCGCTTGCACTCTTCAGCACTGCCTTCTCCGCCTGTGCTGCACTCTACAGCATGCAAACGCATTCCCTTTATAATATCCACGTCCTCTTCAGTTCGCATCTCTGCAAAGACGGATCCCTTGAACATCTTCTTTGCATCTCTTCGCATGACTAGGCGGGCTACACGCCCAGATATGCTTTCTAAAACACGCTCTACATCTTCTAAAGTGTATGTAAGGGGGAAGCCTCGAATTATAACAGTCCTGGCCTCTCCACAGTGCTGCTCCAAGCTGGGCACTGCATGAACACGCCGGAATCCATGCTCTTTGTCTACAGTCACAGTCTCACTCCCTTCCAGTGCACTCATTACTTCGTCATCACTCATCCCGAATGCCTGCATTCTCTTGAAGCCATTCATTACAGATACGGGCACCCAACCCCCATTCTTAGCCATGACTCTCTTCAAATACTCGTCTCTCACTATATTAGCATCACTCATGTAATACTCTACTTGCTTCCTTACTTGTTCCCGTTGCTCCATATGCTTAATTAAATTTTTTCATTTCTTTCTTTTTTTTATACCGCCTTTTATCAAAACCCTTTCATTTGCGCCTTCATAGAATTCCTTTAAAATCCCTATGCTCCTCTCACTATCATCGCAATATTCTATTTTTATCTTTCTATTTTCATTTCTTATTAAATATTCTGTGGGAGACTCTGTCTCTATTAATACCCCTGAGGAGACATAGAGACTTGTTCCTCCAAAACGAGGATTTTTGCAGCTGTAAACTATCCTGGCTACTTTTTTCTTAATTAAGGCAGCAAGACACATAAGACATGGCTCGCATGTAATAAATAGCTCTGATTCCATGAGGACTTCATCTGAAAGTCTCTCTAGACACAGCATCTCTGCGTGTGCTAATGGATCTCTTAAGTAATTTGTTAAGTTATGTGCCTTGTCAATTAGCATGCCGCCAGAATATACAGCACACCCTATGGGCACTTCCTGCATACTTAATGCTTTCTTGGCTTCTTCCAAGGCAACTTCCATAAAAATAAAAATGCACCACTCACCTCCATAATGCACTATACTTTGTTGAGTGTGTGTCAGTACAGTAGAATGTACTTTAATTCTACTTCAGTGTAGATTTCTGTCTGAAAAAGTAGATTTTAGTGCAGATGCATTAGGATTACATGGGAATGCCCTGGGGATGGATTTATTTAGAGTTACTTAACTGCCAAACTGCGTATTAATTATTATTTCTATGGAAGGCTATAATAAGAAATACTTTATATAAGAATATTAAGTTTAAAGTAGTGAGAACTGATATATTCTACTAAAAATATGATATAATAATGATACTACTGCCTCACAGCGTAAGTCTATTGTATTCTTGGTGTATGAATATTTTTGAAAAATGTCTATAAAACTATTAATCTGAACACTTTTGTATAGCAGCAGAGAGAATATGAAATTCAAGTTATATGCGAAAAATTAAAAAAGTAAATATCTTTTGTATTAAAGAACTATATGAGACTACACTGCTAAAAGCCTATAGATACACTAAAAATACATTCTATTTTAGATAACTGCTCATTATCTCAAATATTATTGACGTGCCCAAAAGGGGGCGACGAGCTAGTCTGGAGATAGTAGTCTAGAATAGAGAGTGTTATTAGGAAAGTTTTATTATCGTGATCCTGTGGCTGTCTTAGGTGACTTTGACCTGTTGCATACTTGATGAGTGTATTTCTTCTTTCGGACATTTGCCTCCCTTTTAAATTGTTCTTCCTATTATATAGTCAGTTTCTGATATACGAGAAATCGTTCGGAAAGTGCATTTGTCATTGATGAACTTTGATCATGGAATTAATGAAAGTGGGAATTTTACCACAATAAGCATACTTTTATGCATATGCTCCGGCTATTCCTATGTTATTTAATTAGAAGATTATTCTCCATGAATTATAATAAAATGTTTCTCTGCTACTTCTTCTATTACCAAAGGCTTTTCATGTAGTAGTAATTTAAAATAAATTTCCATTTTTAAATTCATAGTTTTCAAAAATCTTCAAAGAACTTTAGTTAAAGTGCTTTCACTTATTTCTCACAGCGCCACAGTGCGGGAATACACTAAAACACAAACATTCTCGAATATAAATAGCATATTTCCTGGTAAATTCTTTTATTATTTTCTTCAATGTAATTACAGCATTCTCTTGCTGTGAGTGTTCTGCTATTTTGTATTTTTAATTGCGAGTTATATTTGAGCCGTGCTGTAAGAGCAATAAAATGCTATTAAAGCCATTGCATTTTGAATTTTCATGCAGTTGCAAGAAAGTTGAATAAATTAGTAATTTCACTAGAGCTTAAATATGCTATGTTTTTAATTAAAAGTATATTATTTTAATTAAGAGCACAAAATACTGATAAATTGCTAATTTTATGGTCTATAAATAGACAACGAAAAGTAAAAAACAAAATGTTTAGTATAATGAAGTCTAATCTTTCGAAGAGAAAGAACCAGCTATTAGAGAGTAAAGAAGTAGCAACAGAAGACTTAAAAGTACATAGAATAAGACAAGAGGAAAAGAAAAGAGCTATCTGCAGAGCAAAGTTATACATGCTCATTGGGCTAGCCATACTGTGCCATGTATGGGACAGAATACTGACAGTAGATGGGCTAAGAGGTGTCTATATAAAGGCAGCTTCTTTTAAAAAAGGAAAAAGAAAAGAAAAGTCAAATGGTGTTGTAAGTATGGTGCTAAGAAAAGAAGTCAGTAACATCAGGCTTATGCACAGCAAGAGATTTCTGTCGCCAGAGATACAGAAAGATGTCACTATAATAGTAAACATAGATAAGTCTAATAAGACTACTAAACACCAATACATACAGACAAGAAAATGCGGCCTGGACAGAGTGAATCCTATTCTTTCATATACTGGTGAAATGCTTAACTACAAGCGGGCGTATTTTACTACCCTTCTTGAGCTGTTCCCCTCTATATACGGATATGTGTCTATAGTTCATGAGAAAAAAGACTCTTTCCATGTATTTATTAACAGCTCAGAGATAAAGAATCATAAGCATAAAATACTTGCCTCTCTTTTTCTGCTTGCAGAGGGAGTGGCTATTCCGCTGACAGTTAATAAAAGTGGGAACATAACAGATCTCGCTCTAAAGAAGGCAAATTTACAAGAAGACCACTTTAAAGTAAATATCAGTGCATCGTCTAAATTTATAATTCGTGTAATAAACTTCTTTATAAAAGAACAAAAAAAAGAAAAAAAATACAGTTCAAATATACCTAACAGCAAAGAGTTTATAAACAGCCCAAGCTTCCTTATACAGACATATATCAAACACAGCCTAAAAAATAAAGAAGAAATGAATTTATTTGCTCAAACAGTGTATGGTATGCTGACTGAGTGCAATTTATATCGTAAAAAAGAAATGAATATGCAAGTGAAAGTAAAAAGAGTACTTGAAAGGTACATCATACGGCCAGGGAAACACTCAATTGAAGAAGATAATACACACATTTTCAGTATAATAGAGGCACCTTTATACAATGATTATATAGAAATTGGGCCAGATCCAATATATTTAGAGCCTGCTATGGATGTTGTTCCAGTTGGAGAGGATGTAGACAAATCTAATGGGTTTACTGACTACGGCGAGACAGCTCTGCTGGGTCTATTTTGCTGGGCGTCATATTACTATGAAGAGAACAGATACAAAATTGGCCACATAAAGTCTGCCTCTAAGGAGCTGAAAAGCTTTTTCCAAAAGCACAGTGGCATGTATGGAGCAGTGTCAAAGGAATTGCACGATGAGTGGAACCAAGTAGTAGGCGGCCTAGCCAACAAGAATATACAATATATGCGGCCAGACAGAAACCAGCTTGTGCCAGGAATGATTAACATGATGCATGTTATTAAAGAGATAACAGGAGTGGGTAAAACAGAGAAGATAAATAAGTTTAGAGACAGGCTGTATGAGATAGCTGAGGGCACGGATCTTTTTATAGTTAAAGATTTTTATAAATCGTTTAAAAAAAATCATTATATGTCTGAAGATATTTTTGCCAGTGTTTCTGAAGAATTTAAAGATTCTAGCAATAGGGTTAGAAATACAATCATTAAATATGTTAAAGAAATAAAACCACTGCATGATGAAAAACTAAAAAGTAAAATAAGCCAAGAAGAAAAAGATAAAATAACGAAAAGGATGGAAGAAGTGGTGAAGATAGAAAATGATATAAACATCCATATTTTAGAATTAGCACAGCTCTATCTTCAACACCAAAAAGATTTGAGGAATGAGCTAGCAAATGACATAGGAAAATATATGACCAAGCTAATTAAGAAAATTGCCCCAAGTCAAAGTGTTAGTATTTATATTGATCTCAATCATAAACAGACTCTTAAAGAAGGGTTTAGTGATATAGTCGGAGCCATGAATATATTTTATATCCAAAGGGATGAACAGAGTAAATCTGATCTTTATGCCCATCCCTATTCTTATAAATACGATATTTCCCTCAATTACAATATTGAAATAGAAGAAATAGAATACATCACTTCATTTGAGATGTCTAGACAAGACAAATCATTAAAGAAGACAGTACCATCTATTGAAAAGATTGTTAAAATTGATGCAAAAAGAATTGAAGAAATCATTGCTCTAGAAAAAAGTGATTCTAACCCAGGTACAAGTATGAAACCTAAATTTTTAAATAACGAATTGCCCAAATATATTGATAGCCTTCTGCTTGAACCAAAAATTTATAACCAAAAATACAAAAGAGATCTTGTATTGAGGATACTGCCATGTATACTAGACCAAAGTTCTGATAGTTTGCGCCCTTTTTGTTCCTATTAGAGAACATGTTGAAAAGTACTTCCTCAATGGATGATGATTCTAGAGACGGGATTCTTATATTGCAAGGGCTCGATTATGAAAAAAAATACTATTCAAATATAGGCATGGGTAGTCATAAAAAACTTTACCCGGGTTTTTTTAGATATATATTAAGAAGATTAGTAGAATATAATGCTAAAAAGTTTTTGTCTGATGAAGCTTGTGCTAGAATAATTACTGAGATATTACTTAAAACTGAAGGAATCCTTGTGATGAATAAGTGCAATTCAATTTTCAAATCACTTGATCTTGAGGTAAAAGACACTCCAAAGTCTTCATTTATAAAGATTTTAACACAGTATGGAGCCAATATAGAGCATATTTTAAGAATTGTTGATTCTTTAAAGGAAGCAGAACGAGGATATAAGGGTGATCGGTCTACAACCTCTAGTTATATGTTCTTAAATTGGATGGTGGCAGCACTAGAAGAATATAAAGACTCTAGGTGGAATAATATGATAGAAATATGCAGATCCATTATGATGTCATCTTAAGTGGAGAATATTAGTCCATGTCTTAAAAATGTGAAAGCCTTCTCATGTCTCAAGCCGATAATGTAACAACTAGTCATTATTTTCAATGGAATTTTAGCTGTTGACCAATAAGACAGAAGGGCTCTGTTTATTTGTGCGTCTTGAGTTTAGTGATCTGAGTTTGTTAACACTGCGCGTCACTCTCATATTAGCTGTTATTTTATATGTGCCTATAGACGTAATACAGACTAGCAGCTATTACTAAAAGCTATATAGACGATGATAAATAAATTATATCCAGTTTAGTATGACTAAGTTTAATAATTCAGGAGGAAAGATCAGCTTAACTTATAGAAATCGATTGCTATTTTAGTTGTTCACTATATGTTTGCTATGTATAAAATATTTTAATTCTAGCTGTACTATGTGAAGAAGCTTTACACAAAGCATTTTAGGCTAGAGTTCTTTAGAAATAGTAGAGAAAAAGCTTTTATTGCAATTTATAAAACTCTTCTAGTCAAAGAAGTGTCTAAGTTTGTGCACCTCATGGAGTGGTAGGATCTGGCTTATATTGGCGCATAAGCTCGTCAAACTTGGTAATAGAGTCTTCACTAGTGCATAGAAGTTCCTTTTGCTCTTCTGTAAGGATTCGGAAAATTTTCTCTTTATCATAATATCTGAAATTATCCGAAATATAGTTTAGATTCTGAATGGCATCAAAGTTAGCCTTAACCAACTCTATATTCGGGTTTTTCTGTGAAATAAGATACATGAACCATCTGCAGTGAAGATGGTTTAATATCAAGTCTTTTTTATCGGGATAGCTCTGTGCTATTGCCTCATCAACTGCATTGGCATAGTGCATGTTTTGGTCTTTAAATATATATTTTCCAACATGTTTAATCACTGAATAATCTATTAATTCATAAATTCCTTCCTCACTATATGAACAAAGGTTGTCTATGCAGTATTTAATCCATACAATAAAAGTGGATATATCACATTCTAGCACATATTCAACCAATCTATAGTATTTTATAGCATTCATGTTAGCGTCATATATTTCTTGTGACAGATTTATATTCGGGTAGCTGCGGCTGCTTCCGTTTTTATTAAGAAGGCCTGCGAATATAATTGAGGGAAGCACATCCCATTGAATTTCCCAGTTATCTAGCTCTGTGCTTCCTATTATGTTGGAGGTAAACCGAGCAATGGGATGCTTAGGAGATAGCTCTTGATTCATACTGTACACAATAGAACAGGTAACTAATTCTCTCTTATAATTTAAGTCATTGATCTTTTTTATAAGAAGCAGCCTATTTATGTCTGCGAAGTTTTTTTCAATGGTCTTGCGCACCTGTGCCTTTATAAACTCTTTATTATCCCAGTTGAGTTTTCTTATTTCATAATCAATATATGCAGCAAAAAGGTTTCCAACAAATTCTGTTCCATTTTTACAGCTGTCTGCAATTTCATTCAATTTCTCTATTCGATCGTCCTCGAAGTCCATAACAACAGGCTGCATATTAATAGTACTATGGTCTTCAGATATCCCCAAGACTATCGTGTTCTTGATGCCATCTTGCTTAAATACCATAGTAATCCTTCCATATACATCGTGTCTTCCATTAATACGCCTATTACTTTTAAGCTCAGAAAGCTCTATTTCTACAGTTCCTGTCTTGGATAGGCGTTTAAGTAGCATCTTTGTGTACTCTTGAATATCATCCCATAATATATCATCCCACAGTATATCATCCAATTCTTCTTTTTTCTCCTTTAAACTCTGTTCAAAGCCAAATACTTTGTCTTTTTCTTCTTCAGAAATATTTACTATTTCAGCAATAACCATGAGCATGTTTATGATGCCACAGTCTAGCTCATTTCTTTTCTTGCAGTATGCAATTCTAGGCTCATCTAAGCACGCAACAACTCTGCACCAGCTCTTCTGAAAGTTGGCCTTTGTTGTGTCAAATGGCTGATTTTCTGGGGAGAAGAATTCTTTAAGCTCTTTAGAGACATTCCCCATGTGGTCAGTTTTATACGTAAAGTCAGATGGGTCATAGGCCAGGCAGCAGAAGAGGGAGAGAATCATGCACTCAACGCAGTTGCTGTAGTTTTGCAAACGGTTAGTAGAAAACTCTTTTGTTGTCGGGTCGCGCCATGGGACAGATGTGTATGAAGGAAGCTGCGTGCTGTCTGCAAATGGAAATACCTGATATCTATTTAAAATCTCTTGAGTACTCTTCATTAATGACATGCAGTCTATGTTTGCTGCAGTTCCAGCAGGCTTAAACAGTCTGTCGTATACAGAGTCATCCTTGCTGGGCGCTTCTTTCTTTGGTGCATACTTCTTTGTCATAGTGTGCACTGCCTGTATAAACTCAATTGCACGCTCTGCGCTGTCTATGAACCCGAATATGTACGACTGGATCAGAAACTTGGAGCTGTCTAAGAACTTTCCAGACATAACTTCCTCTTTCGTACATTTGTCTTCCATCATGCTAAGCACTTCATGTTTGCTTGCATTCTTCTGGAAGAAGCTGACCATTTGCCTAACTTTCTTCTGTTGGAATGTTTGTACTTTGTCTTCCACATGGTTTAGCCATGGGATTTCCATAGGGACTGTGAAGTATATTTCGTTTTTTTTGTTTGTTTCATATACCTTTAGTACACTGTTGGTGACTTCAATAGGAATGTCCACTCCCTCAGAGAAAAGAAGTAGCATGGCCAGAATCTGCAAAGAGTGCTTTTCTGTTGTCTCTGCTCGAAGGAACTGAACAAAGGACTGGTTTCCTCGTGTCTCAATTGTTATGTCACCAGTTGGAGATGGAAACAGCTCAATAAGATGATTGTGATACTTTTCGGTATATGTATCCGTTTTATTATTTGACTGTGCTGTATACGCTTTGTCTTTTTGTTCATTTCGAGTGTATGTATAATCTTCATTCTCCTCATCTATATCTTCCTCTAAACTGTACTCTGTCTTAATTTGCGGAGCAAAGAACCTTTTGTTGTACATACAGTCCATCTTCTGGTAGATGTATCCGCGGAGGAGATTCAGAGGGCCATCTGGATTTATCGCCATTTGTGAAGAATCCGTTTCAATTTCAAACTGCAGAGTGGCCTCCACCTCGTCCAATGTCATGTCTGCTCTGTGCGTTCTCATCAGTAGAACACTGATTAAGGCAACTGCCTTGATCCAAATAACGGAAGAACGTGTTTTCATTAAATAAAATAAATCATTTTTAATATATAGTAACGGATAAACTCTGGGGCTTTATATGCTATTTCTATTGGTTTTCAGATTATATACGTTGATCAATAGTTTTCACTCAATATCACTCAACGAAACATGCATATGCGTATGTTTTCCCCATTAGCTGGTCCAGAAATAAATGATATTCTAACCAGTAGATGGCTTTTCATCTAGGGAGAAGTAGCATATCCAGGAAATAGCACCTATTTCTGTGCAAGGAACTTTTATTATTGTAATAAAAATATTTTAAGCTGGCTCTCCTGTTTAGTTGTTTAGGGCTGGCCTTGAATCATCTGCTATTTTATATTTGGATTTATATTCGAGCTTCTATGCAAGTTTGGTGTAATAATATAAGCGGAACTGCAGCTGTCAGTTAAATGTATGTGGATGGGTTCTTAGTTTAGTTTCTGGTATATAGCAGAGGTTGGCAGCCAACATTAACTTGATGCTATAATTCTAGAATTGGGTGTGTTTTTAATGGAGTTTCCGAGCACTGTAAGTGTGCTATTCTGCAAGCACCTTTACACTCAGCCTATGTGTATAGTATATTGCACACTAATAAGGTGTCTCTATGCATTTCTATGGTGCACAATACACCCCAGTGTGTTCTGAGTAAGAGAGAGTGTGTATAGCTGTCAATAAATGCTTGTTTTGTTCTCTATTTGCCTGTAATGTGCTATTCTCTCTGTTACTCTCTTTCTTCTATCTTTGTGTCTGAGCAGTGATGGTTCTCTGGAATGTGCAACTTTTCTTCTTTTCCCTGCCTCTACTGCTTTATTTCTCTTTTTATATCTATGCAAAATAAATTGCTTCACTAGAAGGAATATACACTTTATTTTCCAATATGTAAGAGAATAAAAATATAAGAAGACATTAGAAAGAGGTAAATAGTTAGAATGGACAAGCAAAAACAAAAAAACATATATGGCAAGTAGAAGCTATATTTCCTATTAAATATTAAACCTGGCTACATCTATTTTTTATTAAGAATAATATCTTGTTAACTGGAGAACTTTTATTTACCACTTGAGAATATATTTGACTTCTTTTATCCGAAATTTATCTTGAATTTTACGCTTCTTGCAGAACTGTATTAATCTAGACTCGTTTTCTGATTTGGATTGCAAATAATCTCTCTGTTGTAATCATTTTATTTTGTTGCCCCCTGCAATAGAAAGAAATTTCTGAAAAAGTATTAATTTTACTTCACACAGATAGTGGATTTTTGTAAACAAGCAAAGTCACTTGCCCTTATGTGTTATCTCACACACAAACCTGGAGGATAATAACCAGAATGTATATATATTTCTGATACAGGAACATGGCTGCACATACTTAAAACGAAGAATCGAAAACTCAAATCATAAATATTCTATTTATAGATAAAGAATAATTAAAAATGAAGAAAACCATGCATATTATTCTTAAGATTTTTACTGTATGCGCACTGTGCTTATATAATGTTCTCGTGGCTACTCAGCAGCCCAAGCAATACGATTTTGATTTGAGTAATGAATCATACATTTTCAATGGATGCCATAGTTATCCAACAGCAAACTCTATAGATGCACCACACTGCACCAAAGAAATGCTAAAAAAATCTACCCTGCCGGAGAGCACGTTGATAGTGGTAAGAAGCGATGAAAACCCTGTGAGAAGCACTAATTCTACTCTTAAAGATTCTATGGATTTAAGTACTTCTGAGGAAATATCCATATTTATAAATCCTTCTACCAGTAATGAAAAAACTTCAGTGCAAGCTGAAGAAAATAATATAGCTCGAAGAAGTTCTAGGAATAGAGTAAAAACACCTAAATATGATGAATATGAATACGATGATGAGGAAGTAAATAGAGTTCTTAAAAGACTAAAATATACATCAGACCGATCTCGAGAAATCACTCCTGATTCAGATGGAAGCACTGCACACATGCCTTTTTTGCCACAGATAATAGATTATGGATCTACCTATAGTAGTAGTGTAAAAGAACAGTCTACCAGCAGCCAAAATATTCAGAACAATTCAACTTTTGTTAAAAAAATGAATGAATGTGCTAAAATAACCAGAAACAATGTATACCGCACAGAGATTATTTCTATAAAAAGTGCTACATTAGAGACAAATATAGCACAAAACAATGAAGATGTAAGTGTAAACACATCCCCGCTAGATATAATTCGAAGAGACATTGCTAAAGCCTATTTAAAAAGCAATAGTATATGGAGTGTTATATCCAGCTTTAATTGGAGTAATGTATACACTGTTATAGATGAATTTTACAATGCAATAGTCAACAGCAATGAAATACCAGAGAATTGTAAAAATAATTTTAAAAAGCTCTACTATGTAGAATTCTTTGTAGAACTAAGGAAGTACCTAGAGAAAAATGAGCCAGCAACTTATGAATCGCTTTGCCAAGACAAAAATATAGATGAACGCACTAAGAAAACACTTGGTGATGTCTGTATTTCAAAAGACTTTTCTACAGACATTTACTTGAATTGCTTAAGTATATTAAACACAAATACTCCAGAATATGTTGAGAATAGAATGCTTAAGTGGGAAGACGAAGAACTAACTGAAGCGCTACACATAATTATAGGAATACCAGAAGTATATGAAGATTTAACTCGACTCTCTCCCAAAGACATAGATGATCTTCAAGAAAAATATGACTCTGGCAACAAAAATGTGAAAGATACACTTTTCTGCATTATAAAATACTTAATAGGAAAAGTGGCAAATAATCGATCGCTTATGAGCAAACAATTTGACTATATAAAGAATCATGTTATCAAAGGCAATACAGAGTACACCGGCACCATAAATATATTCAATATGGTGTATAGTAAATTGAAAATCTTCTATGAAATAGCCTCATCTATTTATACGGAATCTTTGACGAAGAGGAAAAATTCGCATAACAAATCCAATGCAACAAAAGATAGTTTAAAAGCAAGCAAGTATATGCTGAAGGGCAAAAGTATCTTTGATCTCCAGAAATACAAGAGGTGCAATGCCAATATTTACAAGTGCCCTTTACAGAAAACTATTCCATATAAGTCTTTGCCTTTTAATTTAAAGCAACGCTCAGCAGAATATACTGATAATATAGCCAACCAAATGGGGTTTGAAGTGCAGTATGCCAATCACTACCATGTGCAGTTTGTGGATAACACTCGGCATACGGTAAAGATGATTCATCTTCCTTACTATGTTGAAAAAGATGAATTTGGAACGTTAAATAATTACTGCTTCCATACAGTAGCAGATATAATAGATCATATTAAAAACATCTACTCCATTGAAACTTCAGAAGATAACCCAAGCAAAAACAATGTGCATGCATTTAAATACCATAGAGAAACTAAGGCTTGGGCATTGGCAAAAAAATCTCCCTTTAGTAATAAAGATGACATGTCGAAAACAGTTAATGATCTGTTCTGGCTTGGCTATGACGTAGTATTCTATCATATTGAAGAGGATATTAGTGCCACAAAGCTGTTTTGCATAGAAATTGACACAATGGCATCTGCAGAAAATAGTAGCAAGTCACGAATCCCAATTTTCTTCACAAAGTTTATGCTGACTGCTATAGAAATAACACCGTATTTAAAAAGATCCAAAAAAGATATATGTAGGCCACTAGACAAAAACAAGGCTATAAATGCAATCCGTTATGAGTATATGGATAAATTAGATCAAGAATCTAAATACCCCTCACGAGAGAACTATTATAGTGACTTCTATCTGCATTCAGCATTTGATTGTTATAAAGATCCTTATTGCTACAATATGAATGTGAGGCAAGAAAACAATAATTCTGATATGTGTGATATTAGCTGGAATGTATTTTCAGACCATGCGTATAATCAATACATGACAATGAACTTTACATCAGCACCAAACAATGACTACCAGCCAAATAAGGAGTCTCAAGAAAAAGCAATAGAGGATCTATTAGAGCTGCTCCAGTCTTCTAAGTCAGCTAATGATGCAATGCATTGTGGAATAAGTGTTTTTGGAAGTTTCCAGGTCAGAAAGCATTTATTCTCTGCAGTTATGTCTAATAACCTGCGCAATATTTTCATGACTGAAAAGTCAGACGGCATGAAAAAAAATGCATCACTTAATTACTATATTGAGCATAGGTCTAAGATAGCAAAAATCTCAGAATACAGTAATCCATTCTGCCTATTAATGTTTAAAACCGTCAAACCTGCAATGTCCCAGCTGGGGCTGCATTATGAAATTATGAAAAAACCTTTCTCAGCATATTGCAAGTCCCAAATCTAGTACGCATAAGTATAACTTCTTATGCAGGTCTTCTAAAACACTTCTCCATGCCTTTAGGTGACAAATAGGTGTGTTCTCTTTTAAAGAAAACTAACCATATACTTTATTCCAATCCTACATGGGGCCCTTAAAAGGTGGAATAAGAAAATGAATAAATCTAGCATTTACAGTTTACTTTTATAAGCACTCGTTATACAGCGTCTTTGCAAAAGAATATTTATATGGTAAAATTAAAATACTTCTGGAGAATATTACTGTAGTCGTAAGAAACAGAATTTCTATTGCTTTGTTATATTCTATGGCAATATGCAGTAATCATAAATACTAAATCTGGCCTTTATTAATCATTCACTTTGCTTCTTCCTAAGGCCCTACTCCTTTGTTTCAATGACCATTCTCTGAATCTCTCCTTTTACACCTGCTCTCTCCATAATTCTCTCTTCAATTGTGCCTGCGGTAATCAGTCTGTATACTGTAACCTGCTTTGTCTGCCCAAGTCTGTGTGCTCTGTCCATGGCCTGCTGGTCAGCTGTTGGGTTCCAGTCGCTATCGTAGAAAATAACTGTGTCAGCAGCTGTGAGGTTAATTCCCAGCCCTCCTGCTCTGGTGCTCAGAAGGAAGATAAATCTTTCCTCATTTGTCTGCCAGTCTCGCACAAGCTCCTTTCTGTTAGAAATTCGGCTGCTTCCATCAAGGCGCAGGTATGAGTAGTTTCTTACTGTGAGGTACTCCTCAATCAGATCAATCATTCTAGTCATCTGGAAGTACATCAAAACACGATGCCCCTCTGCCTTCAGCTTCAGAAGAAGACTATCCAGGACCACTAGCTTTCCACTATCACGGACAAATCTCTCCATGGATGGTATTCGAATATCTGGGGCTAGGACCGACATGCGCATTTCCGCTGGGGCAGTCTCTGCTGGGATGTGTGCAGTAGAGAAAACTATCTTGTTTGGGGGAAGGCATTTAGGAATTACCAGGCCGCGGAATGCATTAAGTCTTTTCTCTTCATCAGAGCATGAAATCTGATACATTCTTGGGTTTACACTGCCATAAATAATACCTTGGCTGTTGCTACAGATAGAACTCTCAGTGCAAGGAGCTGCAGCATGCTTAGAGCCATCAGCTTCTTCTACTGAAACAGACGCACTGTCTCTACCTTGCATATTTGCTTCCTCTGGCGTGCTCTCTATCCCTTCCCTTGTCTCCTTTTGTATGCACCATCTTTCTGTCTTTTGCTTTTTGGCGGGGTCTTCTTCCAGAAGGAGCTGTCTGGCAGGCCTCTTTCTTCCATAGGCCTCTGTTATCAGTAGACCTGGTATATGGCTGGTTACTGCAGGCATGCTCCATCCCGAGGAAACCTCTCTTTTTTCAAAGAGATCTGGGTGGTTGCACACCTTTCTAAACTGCATGACAAGATTCATAAGGCCCTCCATGCCTTCAATGTCTTCTGGAAGCGTGCGTTCTAGGAAGGATGCCATGGGTGCTCTGGCCCTGATCCCTTCATAAAGCCTTCTCTGTCTTGGCGTCAGGCCGCAGACAAGATTGATCTCTACCTTTTGCCCGAGTTCATCTGCCACGTCCTTCTTTTCTCTACGCAGCATGAACGGCTGAAGAACCATTCTCAGCCTGGCTGCCTCTGTCACGCTGTCTCCGTCCTCAATCTTAAACCACTCTGAAAACTCTCCATGCGAATCGAATAAGGTGGGCATGATAAAGTGCAAGAGAGCCCACAGCTCCTGCAGCGTATTCTGAATCGGTGTTCCTGTCAGAAGAAGACGACTTCTTGCTTTGAATGAAAGAAGTGTCTTCCATCTTGTGCTGCTGCTGCTCTTAATTGCCTGCGCTTCATCAAGCACCATATACTGCCACTTTATCTTTGAAAAGTACTTTTCATCACTAACTGCCAACTGATACGATGTAATTACAACATGAAAAGGCGCGTCCTCTCTTTGCAGCTTTCTCTGCTGCCAGGTCTTTCTGAGGCCTTTTCTCTCAGCCACTGCCCCCCAGTATGAGATCACCTTTAAAGCAGGCGCAAATTTACTGAACTCCTGTGCCCAGTTGTGCAGTGTTGATGCAGGCGTGATCACCAAAAAAGGGCCCCATATGTTCTCATTCTCAGCAAGATGCGCAAGGAAGGAGATTGCCTGGACAGTTTTCCCCAAACCCATTTCATCAGCAAGCATTCCATTGATTCCCTGGTCATACAGACTGACAAGCCACTCCAGGCCTCTTTTTTGGTAGTCCTTCAGGGTGCATGTGAGCATGCGCGGAATGCGAATTGACTCTGCCAAGGGAAGTGTTGAGTTATTGTAAACTGGCACCCTTTTCGGGGTACTTGGGCCCTCAGGAACCTTTGAGGAGTCAAATTCCTGGACTGCCAGCCTGTGCTTCTCAGCTGCCATTCTTGCCATCTTTGACTCTTCATTTGGAAGGTCACTTTTCTCCCGCCCTAGAATGAAGTGAGAGAAGAGTTCTGTCTGTGTGATAAGGAAGTTAAGTTTTTTCTCCTGCCTAAGCTCTTCCTTCTTCTCTTCCTCCTTCTTCCTTCTCTCATAGTCCTCCTTCTCCTCTTTCTTTTTTCTGTCACGCGTAGACCTTTCTGTGCGCTTGAAAAATGCCTGCAGCTCTTTTGTTATTCTCTTGCCTTTCAGGAAGGGGTTTGTCTTTGCTGTTTTTGTCAGTGCTCTCTTGAGCTCTCTTTGGCAAACTGTGCTTATTTTCTTGTGCTGCGCCTGCTTAGTTGCTATATTCTGGACAAGTATCTTGTGCGCCTTTGGAACAGATCTCTTGCATATTTCTTCATATATCTTTCTGGTCTCCTCTTCAGTTGACACATGGCGCTTTGTCATGTGCTCTGTCTTTAGGTCTTCTAGATCCTTTTCTGGACAGTTGTAGACAATGTAGTTATCCATCGATGGGAGAGGCAGGACAGATGGATCCAGGCCAAGCGTCCTAAGTGTGCTTCTAGAGATATCATATCCTCGTTTAACCTTTCTTTCAATCATGCATATTCTGCGGATCCGAAGGTCTCTAGCTAGATCTATCTGGTACTGCAGTATATTATCTGTTATGTCCTGCTCATGCGCTACCATGCTAAACAAAAATTAAAATTACACTTATCCCCGTGGCAGAAATTCCAAGAAAAAGTGCGCAAAAACAAAAGAAAAATTGCTTGAGTAAAGCACTGCACGCGCACACTTACACAGTATAGGATTAAAGTAGTGCATCCTGAATAATACCATTCAGGATATAGTCAAAGCATGGGATTTTATGCACGATAAAATTAGTTGAATCTTTGCTTTTTATTACTTAAGTGCATTATAAGTTGGTACTGCTGTCTGCCTCATAATAATTATATTCGCTTCTTAGCCACTTATACTTCTTTTTTAACTTGCGCAGCCTGTGGAGTAGCACTTCTTTATTAGTTAGCTGCGCTTGGAGATGATTTATTTCTTTCTTTGTCTCTGCTTCTTCTTTGAGCATGTTCGACTCTTTCACAGAGAGACCCTGCAGCTGGTTTTTCAGTTCTTGCAGTGTATTTTCTACTGCAAATATCTCTTTTCGGGTTATGGCAATCGACTGCTCTGTTGTTATCTTGCTATTTGTTATGTCGTCCAGGGCTTGTTTCTTTGTCTCCAGATCTTCCTGTGTATGGGTGTACATGGCTTGTTCTTTTTTTGTTTTTTCTATGTCCTGCAGCAGTTCTTCTATTCTTCTGTCTACAGATGCGTGCGCATAATTTCTTCTGTCTACAGGAGCAATCTTTATGGAAGTATCTCTCTCTATGGAGTATATCCTGTTATGCGGCATATTCAATTTGTTCATGGAATCGGGCGGATATGCAATATATCGGCTATGCTGGTGTCTTTCGTACGGTATATTCTGTGGGTTCAATGCGGTTTTCATTCGTATTTTCCTTGAGATGTGGTCTACCTTATTGTTTGTGCTGTCTATTGTTATATCGCCATGCCTCTCTGGGGCTTCAATATCGTCAAGCAAGACAACCTGCGAGATAAGGCAGGGAATCCACAGGATAACCATGCTTTTCCACTTATTTACCATTACCCTTCTGCTTCTTTCTTCTAATATTTGTTTCAGAGGTGAAACAGATCAAGACAATTTTTATTGGCATGTGCTATCCAGGGAGAGCTCTAGAGTATATTTTATAATCACAAGCAGAATGTGCACAGGCGTTAGAAGAGGCCACTTTGTTGAGAGGAAGGCCAGCATGGTATTTTTGGAGGAGTTGCACAGAAGAAAGTCACTCAGTCTTTTTTCTCCTCCTGGGCGAATAATGATGTCAAATTCTGGGGTGTGCCCATCAGTGCCTTCATTCACGTATTCATCAAGTGAGGAGTATGACATAAATATAAAACAGCTTTTTTTGTCTGTTCCTGTTCTGTTGAGTTTCTGCACATGCGGCTGAATGTGCTTCGGCATGGAGTCAAGATCTCCTACAATTGATACTTTTCCAAGCAGATTCTTGTGCTTGTTTCGGTCATCAAGATCCTTAAATGCATTTTCCAAGATCTCCATGATATCTGAAATCTCTTCCTTCGATCTGTTGTAGTTCTTTTTCCCAAAGGCAAAGAAGCCTGCAGCCTTGCACTTAATTATATCCATGTATTCAAGCACTGCATGCATGTGGGAATATCCAAGGATATGTCCTTGTTTTCTGCTGATTCCTGCGTATCTGGCATATCTTCTGTTCCCGTCCATGATTATTGCAATTGACAGGCCCTTAGGCACAACCAGTCTACTGACTTTCTTAATTAAATAGTTCACAGTAGGTGAAAAAAAGAAGACAAACGGAATGTAAACACAGACCATCTCATAAAGCCTGTTTAAAACACAGCTTGCAAGAAGATCATCTATTCGGTTGATGGCAAAAACTGTAAAGTGTCTTCTATAAGTACTAGACAGCTTCATAAAAAAATAAGCAAAATAGTTTAAATGGGAATAATTGGATGCATGGAGTGCGGGTCTGTTCACAGGAATACACAGCAGTACGCACATCACATAAAACTCACAAAGCATGAGAAGGTAGACCAGATGATGTGGTATGTTGCAAGAATAGGAAAGAATGAGGGCGTGTTTGTGCAGGCTGCCATTCAGGAGATTGGGTGGATTCCTTTTTACACTGTGCAGGAGAATGAGACAGAAACAGTCTTGCATATATGCACAGCAGAGACAGAAAATATTTCACTGCTGCTGGATAGAAGGGAAATTTGTGAAGAAAGAACCTTTGACTATTTTGATGCAGAACTATCCATATATACAGTTCATCTGCAGTTTAGAGCACACTGCAGGACAAAGAGAAAGTAGATAATAAATCAAGAGTATGTAGTTTCTAAAGATAAAGTGCACCCAGTAGAAGATATGGTCTTTATCTTGAGTCTTTTATATAATTGCATATTTTGCAGTTGCACTGATAAAAGTATAAAGGTGTCCGTTTTATGAAAATTTATGAAGGCTTTTTTAATTTCAGATGGCATAAAAAGAGAAAAATCCATGTATAAAAGGAAGTTAAAATAAACCAACAGAACACACATGCATGAAAGTATGAAGGAAAGTATCCCAGAATACTCTACTTCACAAGAATATGGGTTATATATTCGGGTTATATAGCTAGGACAAAAATTTAAAAGAAAACAAATGGAGCAAGCAAAAGAAAGAGATGGATTCAGTGGGCAACCGGACCTTCCAGATATAACAAAGGAGTATATCGCAAGGATACTTGACCCAAAGCAGAGACAAAGAGAAATAGAAACAAACAAGGCAGAAGTTGAAGATAAAACAAAGCTTCTGGAGGTCTGTCTTCAGAAGGAAGGGATAGAAATTCTGAAGGACCTGGACAGACTACCACAAGTCATACAAGGAATGAAAATATTCAACCAACAAATAGACAATGCAGAAGAACAGATAATGGAGACAAGTATTCGGCAGAATGAAACACAAAAGGCTCTTCAGGAAATTAAAAGAGTCCGAGAAAGAGTAAAAGAGTCTATTGCAGGAACCAGAAAAATAAAAGAACTAATTGAAACCAGCAAGGCACTGGAAAGGGTTTCGAACAAGGCCCTTGTAAAGGTAGATGCTTTAGTGAGCAATCGAAAGGGAATCTCAGAAGAAGATGCACGAATTGTTTTCCTGTGGCTACTAGCGCATAAGAAGCTAATAATTGCATCAAGGCAGTTTCCAGACTATTCGTTCTATGAAGACCTTCGCTCGCAAATTATAAGCTCGGAAAAAAAGCTTGTGATGATGAGCAATCTGCTGGTTCAGTGGTGGGCGTGCGAAATAACTGGGGGAATCATGGAAATCGCAGAGAAGAAAGAGATCTCGAAAGAAGACACTACAGACGAAACAGAGTATGCAAATGCCCAGAAGGCTAGACAATTTGCGCTTTCAAACAGAGAATTTGTGAGAGTTAGTAAATATGTATATGCAGAGCTTGGGAAACTTGATGAGTTTACAGATTATGTAAACAATGCAAGAAGAAGAGAGCTACTAAAGCTGTGCAAGATACCCATAGACAGATATACGACAAAGAAACGACTGGCCATTTTCTTGACTATTTTTACAGAATATCTCAAGATAGACACAGAAATAAAGTCGTATCTATCACAGCAAATAGATCCTGCAATTGAAGAGTACGATGTGGAGATGGGAAAAAAGATTGAATCGATTATTGCATCAATTCCAGAAGATGATCTCGACCATGCATACATTTTCAAGAAAATCAAGTTGTTTTTTGTCGCCATGCAGTCGCAGCACGAGGCGCACTTCAAGAGTCTTTCCGAAATGCTCATACAGTCCGTGTACAAGTGCATAAACCAGGACTCAGACCAGACAAGCACAAGAATATGCAGCATTATTGCAGAGGACAAAACACCAGAAGAGATTCTTTTTGCAGTAGCTTCAGAGATCAGAAGGTTCTTCCGAGATGCAAAGCAAATGGTGCACGACATAGAGCAAGTGGAAAATGAGCTGGATGACATTATTTTGAAATTTACAAATGGCCTGGTTAAGTGCACAGGACCAGTTATTCAGTCAGCTGCAGAGCAAAGTGCCCTAATTATTTCAGGGTTTGCCAAGGACCTACTGGAGAGTATTCGGGAGGAGCTAATCAAGCACAAGTGCAGCCTGACAGACGAAATTCTCCAAACAAAGCTCCCAGAGATCAGAAGAATAATAGAGCACGAGGCAGAAATACTCAAAAAAACAGAAGCACAGCTGGAGATGCACATGTCCAGTATAAAAGAAGAAATAAGCAAAAACATAAAGACAATGACCCCAGAGACAAAAGTCTCCTTATATTCAGACAAGGTGGCAAGTGTTCTAGAGCAGTACAAAGGTAAAGTCTGCATAGAAACCCTGCAGAAGCATCTGGATAGCATTCTAGGCTGCACAATAGAATATATCGGGTGCATAAAGATATATCGACAGATGGACGCACTTGAAAATGACTTCGCACTGCTCTACAAGTCAGTCCAGTATTTGAATCTAGAGACTGCAAGTACAAAGAGAATTCTAAAAATGTTTACAGAAATAGACTGCCTAAGGAAAGAGGAAAAGAAAAGAACAGATGACCCAATTACCACAGAACTAACTACAATCCTAGAGAAATACGCTAGTAAAAAGTAGACATGCAGTATGTTAAATAAAAATCAAGAAAATACATAAATACTCCATTATAAACAAGTTCTTACTTGCAGACTATTCAGACTACTACGCCATGGTACTCCATTATAAAATATAACTGACGTGCCCAAAGGGGGGGGTAACAAGTTAGTCTAGAGATAATAGTATTTTAGACTCTAATAGGAGTAGTTGTCAAGTGAGTTTTATTCTTGTAGTTCTGCGGTTGGTGACTTTGACCTGTTGCATACTTGATGAGTGTACTTCTTACTGTTGACATATTCTGCTTGTTTTAATATTTTCTCACAATTAGTAGGGTATTCTCTGATATACGAGGAATCTTCCAGCAGTTTCATTTATCATTGATGAACTTTGGTAATGGAACTAATGAAAGTGTGATTTTTACCACAATAACCCGAATACTTGGTCTATTGAATATATTCATGCTCAAATTAACTGACTTTTATTTCTCCTGCTCTTTTGTCACCCGAATTAAGTCTACTTTTACATGAACACTCTCCTTCTTCTGGAACTTGTACGTTTTTTTAAGCTCAAACTGCATTTCTGATAATATTCGGATTCTTCCACTGTATTTTGTCTTAAAATACTCTCTTGTGCTTGTTTTGTGCATGGAATATACAACACTAGCCTTCTCTAAGGCCTTCTCCAGGAAGGTCACATCAATTCCACTGTTATTTTTTGTGCCAAAAGGAGGATTTATAATAGCAGTGTCAAACTGCGGCAGCTCATTAAACTGGGCATCCTGAACATCTGCGCATATAAATCTATGCTGTCCTTCAGAGACCTTCTGTAAATTGTTCTCATAAAGTGACTCAAGACTTGCATCTACATCAAGGCCTGTGACACTTGCGGCTCCATACAATAAAACAGCTGCACTTAACATTCCTGTTCCACACCCCAGATCCAAAACTGTCTTCTGTTGTACATCGTCATTTTCTACTGCCATGACATACACTACAGCACATGCCAGCTCTGAAGGAGTCATGTACTGCTCGTATTTTATCTTTGGATGACTAAATCCTTCTATTTCATCAAGCCTCCACTTTGCCTCTTTCAGTTTCATTTTTTCGAAGATGTTTTTTCATGGCTTCTATTGAGCAAGGACTAAATACTTTTTGGTGAAGAGTTTTCGTGTACGTCTTCTCCATTAAATATTCTGGTGAGGCACATGGGCTCCCAAGCATATCATGCGGGGCACCTAATAGATGGGCTAATTCATGTGCCATTGTTTCACCTATTTCCTTTGGCGTATCATCTGGCTTAACCGTGCAGACGGCAATTGGATTTCCATTTAGAAGTCCCCCTTCAATTGATGCACCGTAAACTGAAGGATCTTTCTCCAAATGCAGAAAGAATATGGGCTGGTCCTTTTCCTCTTGCGGACTGGATCTTCTTATCTTGGCAGTTATGCTTTTCAGGCCATTAAATAAATCAATTCCGTTTATTTGCTGGTTGTAGTCAGACTGGATGTCATGTGCTGATTCGCTTGCAGGGGGATGCATATTTGCGTATGTTATTTGGTTGCATGTAATTTGAATCGGTAGATTACTTCTACTGTATATATCTTGCATTATTTTGTGTGCTTCTTCTACCTTCCACTTTGGAATCTCTAGTGTCTCCACAATGGTTGTGAGGTTAAGATGCAAATACGCATCTATTTGCTGCTTTATCCTATGGCACTTCACCCAGTAGACTGCGCACACTATAAGCACATGGATATATACGCATAGTTTTCTCATGTTTATTTATGTTTTCCAGCAGGCATCTCTGAAGAACTAGTGAATTTAAGAATGAAAGCATAAATAGTCCATATTAACCCAGAAATACACAATACATCACTGCATAATTACTCATTCTAAATGGAATTCTCACTGTCTCCTGAATATAACCTGAATATTCACTCAGAAGAAAAACCAATCATTAAATATTTCTAGTGCACAGAGCGTGAAGACAACATAAATATGCAAGAAAATAGGCATATGAATATACTGATTTACAATGAAATACCTATTCTACAAGGTTTAATTGCATAGATACAGTGAGATTTACGTTTTAAATCAGGTTATACAGCAACTATATGCATAAATTCATTCTAATTATTTCGGTTTATTAAACACCCACTTCCATTGCAGCCTCAAACAATTCAGTCTCCAGCCAGGCCGAATGAAACACCATACCAGAAGTAAAGAGAAGCCAGATATACTACAAGAATTGTATAAGGCACTATACAAAATATTCCACCAAGAATAATAAGAATAATAGTAGAACAGGATTATCCTGAATAATTAATGAAAAGCACTTGGAATACAAGTATTCCCCATATATAACCCGATATAACCAGATATAACCTGAATAAATTAGTCTAATATATGCACAGGCATAATTTCAGTTAAAAAGAAAAGTTCATGAGCTACCTTAAAAAGACAGAATAACCCATAGAGAGATAAGATGCACCCTAATAGATAACTATACAACAAAATATGCACAAAATATGCACAGATCCATTTATACTGTCACTCCAGATATCTTAGTATCTAGTTTTATATTTTATAAATTCACATCTACTACCCACGCCTATTTGGCACTCTTCTTACAGATCTCCACTTAAAACCAATTTTCACATTCTCAAGTATAACCAACAATTAAGCACAGGATTAGCTTTGAATGAAACAGAATTTGGAGGATACTATTTTAAACAAAAAAAATTTACGAGAGAATGTCTGAAGGCCCCTCAGTGGATATAACAGCAGAGGAGGAAAGCGTCTTTCTTTTCTACCATAAACTAAAAATGTTCGAGATATGCGAGTCAATGAAAATTCCAATCCATGTACAAAGCACAGTGATTGTGTACTTCAAAGTACTATTCTTAAAAAAGCGAGTATTTCACTACGATATGAACAACTTGGTCATGGCTTGTATACTTCTAGCAATGAAGGTAGAGAATATAAATATTACAACTATGCAGATAAAGGAGGTAGTCCCTGGTGTAGACGAAAGATTACTTGCTGAGTACGAATTGGAAATATGCAATGCACTGAAGTTCAATTTGCATGTTCCTTCACCCCACTTAAGGCTAATTGGTCTTTTTCTGCTGCTGCGCAATAAAGAGAGTGTTCAGACGGTTATGACTGGATCAGTGCAGACTCAGGATATTGTCTCGCCTGATGCAAATATAGATTGGGACACATCTGCGGAAAATCTTAAAACACTCATGCTATTGGATAATTATCACACACTAGATCTAACACAGGTAGCCATTGCATCACTCCCTGTGCCACCCACTGAGCTGGAGGGCTTCTTTATGCTGGACACCCTTGAGGCAGCTGGGCACCTGAAGAAGCAAATGAAACGAAAGAAATCTCCATCTAAGGTGCAGATTAACACGATCAAAGAAAAGATAAAGGCAATTCAAGCCAGATATAAAATAGTGCAACCAATGGAGGGCTGATTTATTCAACTAGCTTTAAGAGTTCTCTTTTATACTTCGATGGGTTTTCCTCCCATGGCACATTCTTGCCGTCATGAAATAATCCTCCTGGACACTCTCTCTCCTGAAGATATTTCTGGAGGGGAGCAAAGGAAGTGCACCCGCCCATTTTAACAATAGTATTCTTATTGCGGATTGTTAATTTAAAAAGAACTTCATCAGTGCCCAGTTCAATGACTGACTTGCCTTCCTGTGGAATGGTTAGTTTGACTGTTCTGGAGAGGCCAGGGTAGTCTTCTTTGTATACTTCGTCCGACTTATCCTGTATTTCCACATCCACCAAATCATTCTGTTTAATATTGAATAAATCACTTGGCACTTCTTGCTTCTTCAGGATGTTATCCAGGGCTCTTTTTATTTCTTTCTCTGAGAGTGGTGTAAATTTATCATCAATCATAAATCCATTCTTGTATATTGTTAGCTTCCTACTTCCCACTGGCTCTTCATTTTCTCCTGCATTCGAGGCCTTCATTAACTTTTCAAATTCTGCTGCATACTTTGTCTTTGGGATTTCCACGATCTGCCCACTGTGACCACCCACGTAGCTGGTCCTTTTATCTGCGTTGTACTCCTTTATAATTGTCTCTGCTATGGCCATGTCATCTCTTGCCAGCTGCAGTGCATTTCTTGCTTGATTTTCTGTGCAATTAAGCTTCTTCACTAACTCTGCAATCTTGCCTGTCATAGTGCACAAAAAGTAATTTAATTTATGCGGAATTAATTAGGAGAAAAGGAGATTAAAGCAGCCAATCCTTACTAAATCACACGAACCAGATGGATCTTACTTTATTCTGATCTAAATGGATATATTTAATAGGATACTGTATAGAATACCTTATAAATAAGTTCAGTTAAATCTCATTCTTGTACACTCTAAAAATAACTGAATATATACTAAGTGTCCACATGACAGGTACTATTCTCATTATAAATCCAGGATATTTCCACTTTCCTGAATTTACGCTGCACCATAAAGCACTTTCACTGAAAGAATATCATAAATTACTAACAAGATAAAAAATACGTTAATTATTCTTTCCAGAAATATCTTCATTTTCTGCACTTTCAGGTTATATCGGGTTATAAATACTCCTTTAATTATTCCTAACAGATAATTAAATCCCCGTATATATCCCTAATAATTCTGTCCTTCTGGCACTAAAATATCTTAAGGTACTCACAGCCAGAAAATAAATTTATTCTCTCAAGTGAATTATTTCCAGGGCAATGGAAGACAAATAATTTCAAGGGAAAGTTAACAGCTAAATTAGCAGCTAAATAGGTGTTTTATACGTTGTATTTATTCATACTCAATTAATACTTATGGATTATATGAAAGGGTACCTGCTTGCTTATCAAACACTAAGAAGTTTCTTTCCAGAAGTATATTGAGCCTTTTATCTGCCAATTCAAGCGGGATCCCATGGGACTTTATTAGGCGAGATATTAGGACACTTTTCTCTTGCGGTGAATCTGTCTTTAATTCTCTGACTAAGTAGCTGTCTGCAGCCATATTTAAAAGGACTTTTTTTCTGTCGGATGCATCTTCCTCTGCCTCTGCTGCAAAGTCTGGAAGGAGATCTGTCCATTCAGTTGGTTTATTGAAGTTATTTCCCCTTCTTATTTTCTGGCTGTCTGAAGATACTTGTATAATGCCTTTCTTCAAAAGCGGTTCCATTTGCTCTCTGTGCAAAGGAAGGGCTTCAAACCTGGAAAGTGGAAATTCCTTGTTTTCGCACAGCTGCTGAATCAGCCAGTACTGCGGAAATGAAAGAATTGCACTCTCTGAGTCTACTTCTATTTCTACAGTGGACAAAGTATCTACCCACTCCATTTTTACCTTCTGTCTTTTCCTGGACTGTTCAATTTTCTGCTTGATTTTGGATATTTCAGGCATTCCAGGCAGGTTTAACTGCTCAATTAGCCTGGGCCACCTGAAACTATTTGTGTGAACCAGAGAGACCGCTCCATTCTGAAGGGTCTCTGCCTCTGAGAAGTCTCTGATTAATCCAGCCACTCGCATGCGCAAAGGATATTTCCACTTGCTGCTGATGACTCTGACAGCCCTTTGAATTGGCTGAATATTCTCTTCACACAGAAGAGATCTAACCAATGAGACACACAAATTATTCTCGAAGTATTTTGTGCTTGAGACTTCCTCTGCAATTATCCGCAGGAATGGCACTTCTTCTTTCTTTATTTCCTTCACTGGGGAAGATTTAATCTTCTCTACAAGTAATTTTGCATAAGAATTTGGTGTTTTCTTAACGGCTTTTTTAAATAATTTTCTTGTTAATTGGAAGATCTTTCTTCTTGCATCTGCAGGCCATTCCATCTGCCTGATCTGCAGGAGATTATATGCTTGTATCCCTGCATATTCTAGCAATGCTTCTGCTAGTGCACTTTGAAGTCTCTTCCCGAAGGCTTTGCTTATTCGGTTTGACATCAATAGGGAAAGTGCGTCTTTCTCTTTTTCTTGCAGCAGAACAAGAATCTCCTTCACCCCAAGGACACCCTCATCAAATACAGCATCTCCTAAATACTGTTGCACTTGATATTTTGTCTCCCTAGGAAGATATTCCATATTTGTCCAGTTGAATAATCCTGGGATCTTCTGTAGACTCTCAATCCTTCTAAGAATATTTTTTGAGTCTTCTGCAGTCCCTTGCCTTATAATATTTCTCATATATACGGGTACTTCTGTATCATACGCCCGAATGACTGTCTGGTTAATCTCATCAGATCTGCCTACTCTGTGCAGCAGGCGTATTCTCACACTAAGTTCTTCTGTTTCACTCGTAGATCTGGAATTAATTAAGTCAGCAACTGCCACAAAAATATCGTGTAACTCTTTTTCTGCCTGAGAATCTGCTATTTCCAGGATGGAGTGCCTAAATGTTCTAGCAATTGGAAGAGAAGAGAGTCTTCTGCATCGCCCTGGTCTTATGTTAATTCTAGCCAGAATTCCACTAAGCCTCTTTGAAAGACACTTTCCTGCAGCATACGCCTGGCATAAAAATTCTTTCTTCTGGATAATGTGACGTCTAAGGGCACCACATGCAAAGCGTAAAATATTCTTCCTTTCTTGCGCATTTAAATCATTCAGAATTGATATAAGCTTCAGCCTGTCTCCTTGACTTCGATCGATCTCCTGCTGTATTAGGCTCATTGCGCATTCTGTGCGGTGCATTTATTCTTGTGCGAAAAAAATATTATGACTATTGGATGGGAAAGCAAAAAGTCCCCGGAAATAAGCAGAATAAAAATAGAGATGGAAGATGGCACAGATGACTTCACATTCTGGGAGGGAGTCGAGCCCCCTGGAAGTCCTTTGACAAGCGATGTCCCACTGTCAGAGGCCAGGGAAGTACTGCAATTTTCTGTTGTTTCCGTTGCTAGGGCAGAAAAGTACGATAGAGTGGCAGGTGCAAATGGAGAAGTGGCTTATATATACGGTAGTTGGAGGGAAGGTACTCCCCGTATAGGAAATATGATTAGTATCATGCCTTGTTTGTGCTGTCCTAGAACTGTACCAGCAGACCTATCCAGTGTAACAGACGAGAGCAACTACCTTATTGTTCACTCAAAGAAGTCTTTAGTGACTACGAACATTATTGAAGCACTTTCCTGCGTAAGAAAGGCAATTCTTTTGGAAAAAATACTTCCATTCACCAGGGAAGTCACAAAGCCCTTGGTCCATGGGATAGTCGTACATGAGTGGCTGGATCTTCTTGTCAAAAACAGAAATTCATCAATTTCTGCGGCTGCTAATGACTTAAAATCAATTATTTCACAGCATGCCTTTGAGTTCTATAAGATACAACAGTCTTTGAAAAGTGCATTCTCTGACATATTTAGGCACTTTGGGACTCTTACAGACTTTGTTAGGCACCTGGAATACACAAAGGCAGAAGAAAGCAGAACTGTCCACAGTCAGCTCCTGCAGCTAAAGGGAAAACCTGATGTAGTAGTAGTAAGTAACCACATGGAGACAGAAATAGAACTAAAAACAGGAGAGAGACTGCACATGGAAAATCTGGCACAAGTAATTCTGTATGGTCTCCTGCAGAGAGAACAAAAGGGTTATACCTCACAGAAGCTTTTTCACCTGAAAAGCAACAGCCTCAAAGAGATCTTTCTAAAGCACTTTGAAGTAGTCCATATTCTCAGCAGACGAAACAGAATGGTCCAAAAGGCAAAACTCCCAAAAAGACAAGAAATACCGCACTGCACCACATGCAGCCAGAAGACTGCCTGCCTAGCAGCAGCAGAAATAGAAAAAGCCGTTATAAAAAATAACGAAGAAAATAAAACCCTTCCAGAGACAAAAAATATCACCATAGAGTGCACTAGTAATCTGAACAGAAAAAAAAAGTACGATCCAGAAATAAGAAAAAGACAAAGGGTAGAAATAATAAAAGAAGAGAACCCAACAGATTTAAAAGAAGAGCCAGAGAACAAAGAAAATTCCAGCCTTCTGAAAGATGAAAATGAAGAGATTTATGATAATTTAACTTATAGTCCAGGCACTATAGACTCACTTCTCAACCTAGACTTAAGTAATCTAGGACTATTCGGGTACATTTGGGAGCAAATTCAAAAAGAAGAAGAACTCTCACAAGAACCTATCTTTCTTGCGCTTATTGAGACGTGGGATAATAATTACCTAAAGGTACACATGAAAGAAGAAGCAGCTGCTACTCTCTGTAATAATGAATATATCACAGTATATGATAAAGACGCATGTGCATTTGGTCAGGGAGTAGTGTCTCTTGTACACGCAGGCACAGTAGAAATACATTTGCATGAAAAACTAGTCTATGCCCACAATGGATCTATTTTGATCTCTAAGGACTCTGGTATACGTGCATTTGCTGAGCTCAGGACAAGTTTACTTAGACTGTTCATTTCAGAAAAGGTTAAATCCATGTGGTTTAATCCAACTTCCAAGATAAAAGGAACAATTCCAAGTGAATTTGCAGCAGAATTCCTGGCACTAAACTCAGATCAGCAAAAGGCTTTATTCAGTGCCTTGCAGAGTACGCCGTATGCCTTAATACACGGGATGCCTGGCACAGGAAAGACAAGGGTCATTGCTTTACTCACAAAGATACAAGCACGCCTAGGGAAAACTGTCCTTCTTTCTTGTCACACCCACCTTTCCCTAACGAATATTGAGAAGCGTCTGGAGGGTCTTGGATTTATCCGGATGTACAGAACAGGAAGAACAAAGATTCAGACACTTTTGATCGATAGAGATTTATCGAAGAGATTTGATGCTTTCCAGGAATATAATGTAATTCTGGCTACATCACGCTCTCTGCATGTAGACCCGATCTTTGATGGACGTACCTTTGACATGTGCATTGTAGATGAAGCCACACAGCAGAACTTTCTGTGCACTGTGCTGCCAAGCTTGTACTCTCAGGCACTTGTTCTAGTTGGTGATCATTTGCAGCTGAGTCCGCTTGCAAAGACACCGTGCCTTGGAGTGAGTCTTTTTGATATTCTCCGTAGACGGCATGATATGTGTGCACTCACCATGCAGTACAGGATGCCAGCGCAGATCATGGCAATAAGCAATGAATTATTTTACAGCGGAAGAATGGTTTGTATGGTCTCAGAGGAAGGTTCTGCAGAATTCTGTGATCTCACGGGTGCTACTTTGGCTGAGGTCCAGGACATAGTTTGCTCCGTACCTGAAAATTCGCAGATTCTTTGTTATTTTAATGAACAAGTCCGGAAAGTGCGGTTTTTTGGGAGAGATGCAGAGACTGTTGATAGATTTCAAGGAAGTGAGGCAGACCATATTGTCTTGCTGATAGATGTGCTTCTTGAGGGCACGCCCAGACTGGAAATACTTTCATCCCCGGAGAGACTAAATGTAGCACTCACAAGGTCGAAAAAAAAACTGACAATCCTTGGGAGAGAGAAATATCTGAAGGAGATAGCAGTGTTTTCACCTCTTTTCAGATCTGTAAGGATCGAACGCACGAATAAATAATCGAGCTAGCTTGGTTTTAGTCAGGCTTCTTATATAGTTTCATTGCTGAAGAAAACAAACAGAAGCATGTCACACAGGAACAGGCGGCAAGTAATTAAATCGATTGTTGAGATAGCTGTGCTTATTGGAGTGCTGGCTCTATTCTTTATTATTTCCATAAATATTCTGGGAAACTGGACAGAGGAAGAAGTGCAACCAGAGGAGGGCACAGATACCCATGCAGAATAGACGTAATTATTCAAAGTTAAATAAGACTTAGAGCACAAATTTCAAATGTATGCAGAAGGTATCTACATGATTTAGAGAATAAATGTGCTAAAATTAACTTATATTGTGCTTAGCCAATCCTGATAGATATGCTATGACAATTTATTTGGAATAAACAACAATTTTCCACAGTAAATAATAACAAACACTAAGAATACAGTATAAGTGAGTACACAAGATATGTACTTATTAGAATATTTCAATTTTAAGCTGTCTTGCAGAATTACTGCATGGTTTATCTGTGTTCTCTAATTTCCATTTATATTTCCATTAATTTACACGATGGTAATAAAACTTTCATTTTATTTTCTTATCATAAAAAAACTGAAGACTTTAAAATCAGATATACTTTTGGTTTTCCATTATATGAGAGAAATATTCTCTTCCTGTCACAAAAATGAATATTTGTGATGGCCAGTGACTGTAAGAAAGCACACTACATGTGACTCTGCTTGTTTATCTGACAGAAGTCATAGTTATATCATATTCCACTGGATATTAGTAAAACATTGTCTTTATATGACTGGTACTTTTTGACAGCTGTCTAAGCCTTAAGTGCTAAAAAATAAATTTAAAACAGTTTATTATAGGTAGGTCTAGCACCTTAAGGAGAAAGATTTAGCCTTCATTGGTTTAGGCAATGCGCATATTCTTATTAAACTATTATTTCACATAGATTAATTTATCTTTTATAACGTATATTTTATACAGTCCAGAAATACGTATTTATTTCATTCCTTATATCTCTGTCCTTAAGCACTAGACTGTGCACTCTTCAAAATATACTGAGAATATCCTTGAAAGTATTTGTTTATCTGGGAAATTAACCTTAATACTAGAAGACTCACCCAGGTATTTATTCTTTTTCTGGCACAGTGACACTAAATTTTAGTCACTACTCTCTACCAAGTCTTAATATTCTCTGCTTGGTCATTAAGAATGGATTTCTGAAGGTAAGAATAAATAGTTATACGTTAATAACCCAAAACCCGATAACCCTGATCATTTAAGATCTTTCCAAACTAAGAATGACTAGAGCACCCTTTATACATCTTATTAACGGTCATTTTCAGAGGAATATTCTCAGTGACTTTTTTGGGTTTTTCATGTTCTGTGATTTTTCTGCTTGTGACTTCACTAATTTCTGGGTTAATTGTAGCACACCCATGGCTCCATCATTCACATCCTTAATCTTTCTTTTTTATGAGTTCTTTGGGATAGTTCATTTTTTTTGTCTTTCTGAATTGAGGATGCACTTGAATTATCTTCTTTTTCTACTTGTACCCTAGGGTCTTCTATATTTTCCTTCTAGTTCTACCCTATAATTTCACTCTTTTTCTCTAAGATATTACTGTGCTTGGTAAAGAAATTTTCACCCAAAGAAATTTTGTCTGAATGAAAAAAGAAGTAGAATATATAAAGAGAATGGCAAAGGACAATATCCCCTTAAATATTGTCACCTTAGAAGATGAAAGTGTCATTAGACAACTGTACGATATCCCAAATAAGAATATTTCATTCAATCCATCATACGATAATACAAAGATAAATGTGACTATTTCTCATTCATACAATGAGATTTACGAGCTACTGAAGGAGAAGAAAGACATTTCAGATATTTTACTACTGAATGAATATATGTTATACAGTGAGATTCGGGTTATTGCATCCGGGAAGGAACTGCTTCAAGCCTGCGATGACCCAAGGATGATCACTCCTGCAGAAAAAAGTGCGTTAGAAGGGGGCATTGATGTCCCTGCGTCTTTGCTAAAGGAAAATCTGAAAAGTCAAGGGAAACTTCCTGTCTCCCGGGCCATTCGGATAGCAGGAAGGTACGCTGGAGAGGACAAGTAGTCTTATTGGGCCTAATAAATATTCTGTCCCATGGGCAACTCATTCAGTTATTTCTGGTGGATTTTCTTGGATGCAGATTTTTTACAACTGCCTTGGTGAGACTAAAAATAAGAATATTCCGTATAAATGACCTATAATTTATTCAAATCCGTGGGAGTTTAAGATTCTTACTTTAGCAATGTCTTCCTGCTCTTTCATAAATCTCTCAAAGTCATTCATCTCCTTTCTCTGCGCATTTTCAATGGCAGTTTTAAATAGTTCTGTGTTCTGTTTCTCCAATACAGCTGGCTTTATGTTCTCTTCGATTGACTTAATGAATGCATCTCCTCTAACTTCCTCAGAGTCATCGAACTCTATGACACTTCCAGTCAGCTCAATGTGCTTCTTTGTAATTCTTTCTCTCTCTAATGCTTTTCCGGTCTTAGCGCATACCATTTGAACTACAAAGGCAGTCTGACTAATGAAGTCAACTATTACTCCTATTTTAGTAGCCATTTCTCTGCACTTAAACTCAACTACTCTTCCTTTCTCAATACAGTCTCTCATTACTACAGGGCTAAAAAAGAATAAATTATTTTTAGACTTTTTATAAATATTCAATTTCTATTACTTTGTTATTTTCATGTCCAGCCTAGAAAGCGAGTGCTTAAGCCTAATTGAACAAAATAATGAAGAATTTTCATACTCCTTACAGAAGTACAAGCTACATACACTTGCCACAAAAGAGATTTCTTCCCAAAGTGACAGCATATTTGGATATTTTCTGTTATATTTACTGGCAAAAGGACAGACAAAGAGATATTCTTTGAATAGACTGGAATTATCAGATGTAATTGACATAGATAAGTCAGAATGCATTAAAACAGTAGACTATATCTGGAGATGCAGTATTCTTGGGGATATTCCTCAGATGAAACACGCCCTGGATGCCCTTCCAAAGACACATTTGAAAATTGGTCTAGCAGCCTGCGAATTTCTCCAAGAGAGAAAGGGAAAGGTGGAAGAGTGCAAGAGAGGAAGGAAGGAAAGTAAGATTCAACAAATTGTTAAAACATCCAATATGTTCTTCAGAGTATAAATAAAGACCTTTAAAACACTGTTCCACTGGTTTCTGAAACTACAGTTTTATAGTACTGCATTAATAGAAGGTCATTCAAAGGCGTATGGAAGACTCAGACTCAGATAGGAATGGTATATACGGAAAGACCAATACAAATAGATTGTTCGCTTTGGATGAGTTTCTTAACGATAATTCCGATGGGATGTATCCTGACGCATCTTTATCACTCTCGGATAATATGCAGAAGATCCTGGAGGGCCGTAAATTATACTCATTCAATCACATGAATCAGCCGCAATACTCCCCTGCATACTCAGAGAAGTCAGATCCTTCTTCGTACATTGATGCCTGGTATACGAAAAAAAGAAGAAGACCATACACTACACCATGGGACTACTCACCATCAGAAGGAGAAGGATATGAAAGGGAACAGGCTGTATATAATCCACAGCAGGAAATGAAAAAGAAGAAGATGTGCTTGGGGGTTCTAAAGAAAATAACCATCCCACAAGAGAAAAGTACAGTTAATTCTGTACTACCGCTGTACTTGAATGCAACGACAAGCTTTGAAGGACCTGGCCAAAGGATTGAATTCTTAAAGATTAGTCACAATTTCATGGCTCGTGTTCAAAGCACGGATTATAACTCTCTGACTGTCCAGCAACTAAAAAGCATCATGAAGGAATTTGGTCTTCCATACGTTGGAAGAAAGCATGAGCTAATTGAGAGAATTCTGCAGACAGTAGAAAAAATACAAAAAAAACAGAATCAAGAGAGAAATGGCAGAAAAATCAACGTATCTTCTGAAATGGATGATCCCATGGATAACAAGCAAGAAGGTGATGGTGTAGAGGATAAAACATCTCTTGGATTTATGTTTTTCTAAATTTAATGATAAATAAAGATATGTTAATATTTGGTAGATTAAAGATACGCATATAAAAGAGTAATTTGTACATTGGATACAATAAATATGGAAAGTATGTGCTTCTTTCACTATATAATAAAAATATCTATTACCCCGTACTGCAAAATATTCTATACTACAGCCAATTACTAAGTGATATTCATAGATATGAATATGTATTATTATGCACCAGAAGAGATTATAATACTAGACATAATATGTACAATTTACTGTGTGAATATCTCTTCTTGGGATATACATTTTATACATTTATTCTTGATGTATATTAAATATAACCAAAATAATCCTTTAGAACTCACTGTTTCAGATACGTATTCAGATTTAAATAGTACTATAGATAATTTTGTATGTAAATAGAACAGTTCTTCTATTATATGCATATATTTTAAAGTATCCTTTTTATTCTTATAAAATATAAATATGTACATATTTTAATTTTTATTCTCATATGAAGGCTTTAAATCTTTTATAAAGAGAAGAAAATACTAAACAAAAAGAATATAAAGGTGTATAAGAGGAAAGACAGAAATACAGTAAGAACTTAATATTTAAAGAAAAAGATAATCTCAGATCTACAAAATATTAGACCTATTACTACTAGTCTCTTTAATTTTAAGTGTTTCAGTGTGTTTGAGACCATCTAACTATCTTAAGAATTATTCAGACATAAAATACACGTATATTCATAGTAAATTAATACGAAATATATCTGTAATTCAGGCTAGTATAAAATATTCATATAAATAACCAGATAAAATAGTAAGAAATAATCAATATTCTATTACACTCAGGCCAACTACTGCTTGATTTACACATAAATTAGACTAATTAAAAATACCACAAGAAAGACATAATTAAAAATACAATTTAAACGTGAATATAGAGGTAAGAAAATAAATTTTAAAGAATGCACAAGAAAAAGCAAAGCACACTTCACTACATATGCATTATATTTGTCTCCCTGCATGGATTGATATTTTGTGCAAATCAGATACAACGGAAATCTGATAAAAAACAAGTAAATCTCTGGGAAATAAAAAAGTTTCTGATCAACAGCAGTAACAGAGAGAGTACAATCAAGGATGCACTAATTAAATTGGATAAAGACCAAAATGGCATAATATTTGGGGAAGTAGATACTTTATTGCAGATTGACCCAAATATTCCCATGGGAAAGTCATTCCGTGATACATTAGAGACATATCCTGTTCTAAATGACATAATATCCATCAGAGCAAGAGACGTAGCCAGAATAAAAATGGAGAAGTTAAACTTCATCCTGACTCACTTTAAGGCAAAAAAGATCATCTTCAAGGATATATACATTAGACAGAAAGAGAAAAAAAGAATAACAGCCAGGCCAGTGGCAGTTGAAGAGAAAGAAGCAAGTAGTGTTGCAGTGCTTGTATTTGATGGTGTTTCCAGCCAGAATATGGAGATAATCCTGAAGCACTGGAGATACCCAGGATTAAAGATTTTGCACGTAGAGAACAGTAATATCACTAGTATGAGATTCCTAGATTCATATTTATCAGGAGTTTCTTTAGAAAAAGTCACTCTAAAAAGACTATATGATTTAGTGCTCATAAAATCAACTCTTCTGGAAAGTGAATCGATCAAGCACATTGTACTCCAGGATATTCCATATCTTGATGCGATAGGGTACAGATTCCTAAAGAAAATTCTGAAGGAAATCAAGGATCATATCTCTATAGATGCCTGGATATTTGAAAAAATCAACCTAGAACCATACGATATAATTATGAATGTGAACACTCTAGTGATTACAATGCCTTCAATTACCAGGCTGGATGGTACCCTGAATGAATTCTCAAAAAAAGTCAGAGACCCACTAAAGGTAAGAGGATTCGTGAATGCCACAAGAGTAGAAGTAAATGGACTTATAAATCACTACACCATAAAGGATGCAGCAAACATAACCGTTACATGGCTGAATAATTTCATAATATGTGTTGATGAAGTTTCAGTTACGCTTAAATGTGGCCACCAAAATGGTCCATTACATACCACAAGACTAACATATTTAGACCAAATAGGCCATGAACTCCCCAGGGAAACAAATGCAGGCGCAAGAATAAAATGGATGATCTGTGATTGCCTAATAAGAGGATCTATTCTACCAACAGAAATAGTTAGACCGTTAAATTTTCACAATGAAATAATGAGACCGTTAAATTCTCACACAGAAATAATGCGGCCATTAGAGTCTTATTCAGAAAGAATTAATGCAATCCTTAATAACCGTATATCCATAAGCATACCTGATATACACAGACAAGCAGAAGAGACTATTGCCAGACTAAGAGAACAATAAATTATATTTGTCCTATTTCATCTACTAACTCATTAATTACTTCTGTAAGAAGAGGTAATTCTTCCTGTAATTTCTTCATTTTTATCTCTAAAATAATGTCTAAATCTCGTGTCTTCTGAAGAAGTTCTGACAAACATGAAAATGAAGACTTTTCTGATTCTAACTTGGATATTCTATCAATAAGTTTCTGGCGTGTGGTTATAAATTGTCCTATAATCTCCTTTATATTATTCTCCAGGCGTAATATTACATCTGGGTCAGCCCTCTGGTTCTCAGGGGGTGAATCCCTTTGTATAATCCCTATACCACTGTAGAATAAAGAGAGTAATTTATACAGATTACTTTGAATCTCATCCAAGTAGAAAAAGGGACTGTCGTCTGAATCTTCATCTACGGATATATTCTCGTGTATAGACATGCAATTAAAAAATTTCATTATGACAGAGGACCAGTTATACTGCGAGAAGTGCGGATTTCCACCTGAATATTGCGAGTATTCATCTGCTTGCACAGCAACAAAGAAAGAGCCACAATTAAAGCCAGATACAAAGATTATTGTGACAACAAAAAGGGTCTCTGGGAACAAGAAAGTGACTCTTGTGAAAAACCTTCACCTTCTGATGAATAGCACCAAGATGAAAGAACTCGCCAAAAAGTGCTCAAAAACAATTGCATGTGGATCTACCCTTATAAAGAACGGGAGTGGCTCAGAAGATATATCTGTCCAGACATCAGAAGACTACAGAGTAATAGAAATCCTTGTTAAAGCAGGCATACCAAGTGATCGCATAGACAGGATAGTAAAATAACTCCATCCAGCAGGAATATTTAATAGCTGCGAAAAGTATAAAATAAATAGTCAGATACTTTAGAGACCAGACAGTTATAATTATATTCTGGTATACGGTTATATTTGTTATTTAAGTATATTTAAGTTTATTGTGGGGTTATAATGGTAGTAGTAGTAATAGTAGTACTAGTAGTACTAATTAATGTATTTGTACTTCTTTGGAATTTTGGATAAATTATTCACTCACTAGAGAGAAATAGACAGAAATAGAGAGAGAGAAGAGAGAAGGGAAAAATAAAATAGAGAAAGAGGAAAATAAAATAAAATAGAAATAGGGAAGGGAAGGAAAAAAATAAAATAGAAGAGAGAGAAGAGAGAAAAAGAGATAAAATAGAAGAGTTGTTTCTTTGTAAAAAAGTTCAATCTAATTCTCATTATATCTAGTTATATTTTAATTATATTCTAGTTAATTCTGGTTAAGTTCTCTATATAATTCTAGTTAAATCCTGTTAAATTCTACTTACTATCTACCCGCTATCTATCTGTCTATCTATCTACCCACTATCTGCCTTGTGTATTTTGCTGTACAGCAAGAACTTGAATGGTTTTAATTTAAAGTCTACTAAGATTAAGTGTATTCAAGTTATATCCATAGACAATCCACAGACAAGCACAAGATCATTAAGATATCCATATATATCCCGAGTAACCCGAAATAGATAACCTTAAATAGTGCACTCTTGAGATTCCATAAATTTACATACTGAGAGAGTATAAGATATATGGATATTCAGAAGAATAGTTAGATTATTTACTTGGAAGAGACATAATACTAGAATATATCCATGGGAATAAAGGGATATTCTAATTATATAGTAGAATATATGCAGGAATATACAGCCAGAAAATAAGTGACTTTTTAATTTTATGGATAGTTCAGTGTGGGATAGTAGTGACTCTGAAATGGATCTGATCAAGAAAGAGTCACAGATCCAGGAGGAAAGGATTCAACAAGAAAATATCCGGATAAAAAGGAAAAGTGAGATAGAAGATGCAAGAATATTCACAGAGAATGCATTACAACCGCACAGAAACACTCTTGTTATGTTCCTTGGCTATATTAAGACAGTAGCCCTTCTGGAGGATAAAAGTGTTTGGGTGAAAAATGAAAAAAGAGTCTGGGAGGCAATAATACATGCAATCCACATGGATATGATGCAAGGAATAGATGAATCTACAGTAGGAAAGAACATATCCAATAAGATTATGGAAATTGTAAAGAACAAGAAAAAGTCAATCGATGAAATCAAAGGGCACTTCAAAGTGGACAGTAACAAGGCACAGACATGAAATAAATGAAGCCACGTGCATGGAAATAACAAGAAATTAACTCTTAAAGTGATTTAGCAGTAGACCAAATAACGAATATTTCACAGGAATTCCCTGCATAGAAGACCTTTGGAATGAAGATATACTGGATTTCAGTGGAATTGACTAAGGGGCGTATATCCCAGGAGTAAAAATGGGTGCAGACAATCAAAAGGTGTTTATTCATCCATGCGAATTTCACTTATTTAGTCACAAAGTGCCTAATTATCAATGTATCTTCAGTATATCTGCTTCTTTACAGGCACAAATACAACGGAAATTGATCTAACCGTATAATTCTTTCCTTCTTCCATGAGGTACCTAGTCTCCCCAGGCATACTAGCAGCAGAGTGAATGGTTGCCCGGCCAGCATAAAATTTCCCCATGATTTTTATGCCTGCAGACTTGGAGAAGTTCGTGTATACGCTCTCCCCAAGGGTATAATTCTTATTTTCTGTTGGCAAGAATAGAAGATCTTGTCCTTCAACATTTCTGTAAATATCCTCCAAAGGTAAATCTGCACTGTATTCCCTGACTAAAGTAACCATTTTATCACAGTCCAAGAAGGGTATAAGGGGTACACCCTGCCATGCTTGTGTCTTCCCAAACATATCTATCTTAATTGTCTCTGGATAATTCTCAGGCATATCTTTAAAGATAGGATATAATCCTTCTGGAATGGAACTGGATGAAGATTGAGGCAGGACAGCCATAACTTGTTCTAATGGCTTCCTTGCCTTCCCTACTTCAAATTCGAATGAAATATTCGGGTGACTCAGAAGGGTTTCTGCTATATCTCTGGCTAAGGGTGCAAAGTGCATGGGATAGTACCACTCCCAAGAAGGACATCCGTTGTAGTAGTATTCTAATATCCATGAAAGACCCTTTATATATTCTATGCATGAATTTGTTATTTCTTCAGGTGTGCTAGCATGCATTTTCATCTGGTAATATTCATTTCTTCCCTTCTCTTCAAACAGTTTAATCCTTAGGTCTTCATCTCTTGGGGTTTCACCTCTTCTCTTTGCTGCCTTAACGTAGCAAGAGAGTTTTGATCTAAGAAGGGCATCTTCTTGTTCCCCTAGTGTTTTCATGAGAACTGCTAGTTCTTCCATGTTAATCTTCCTGTCTTGTGTTAAATAAGCCCGTCTAGTTATAAGGTTTGTCAGGTAAGATCCTGTGATTGTCTCAATTGCAGCCACTTTTATGTCCATGGAGGGAATTGAAGGCAAGAAATCATTCCCAACAAAGAAGCACACAAATATCCAGTCATCCAGGATCCTCTCAAAGTCAAACCTAGCATTAATTGCAGTTGAGAAATCCGTATATAAATATCTCCTGATTATATCAATATCCAAGTAGATATAAGGCGGGAATGCATTAGGATTACAATTTCCCGTACTGTGCCCATCCTTCTTACATAATTGACAGCTAGATCTTTCTTCCCTCTCCAAGAAAAAAACATCTTCACGTAGTACCCGGAATGACTGCTCATGCGTAGCCAGACTCAAGAATATCAGGTCTGCATCGAGTCCGCATATAACATGTCTAACCCCAGATCCCTTAATACTCCTTACAAAGTCGTATATTTTATGTTCTCCTTCCCCAGGGACATCACATCCACTGTATATGACAGCCAATTGCTTCCATCCATTAACCCCAGCAGATTGCCTTTGTTCAATGTATCTGGTAATTGCAGTGTGCAATCTGTACATAAATGGAGTACCAGGCGTAATTGTATTCGGGTCAAAACCACCCTCCACATGACCATCTGTTGGATCTTTAGGTCTAAACCGTCTTTCCCTTTGCTGGTTCATCTTTGCCCTGGGCGCTACCCCATCTACAGCTATGTACATCAGTTGTTTAGGCCTTACAATAGCCACCAAATGGTCTACCATTCTGAATATTTCCTGGAACATTTCCTTCTCACTTCCTGGGGCATCCTTACCCCTGGGGTGACAGCATGGATGGATTATCCCATTTAAGTCCAAGTACAAGTTATCTACGCCTTGGTTCGCTACTTTATTAATTGATTTTGGATACCTCTTTGCTATCCATCTGAACAGTGAAGGCACTCCCATGTCTTTTACTAAAATTTTCAGAATATAAATGTATTCTGTAATATTATTCGTCTGCTGCAGTATAAAGTTTGACAAGAAAAACAAACAGTAAACAAAAGAAATGGTAAAGATAGAGTTTATATTTGAGACAAAGAAAAAGAGAAATGAAGTAAAAGGATTTTATGAGTCACTGGGTCTTGTATCTGCAGTGCAAAAGAATATGCTTAGGATTAAGGGCACAGAAGAAATAAGCATAGTCTCAGCAGCACAGTCAAAAATATCCCTTAGAGCAAAGAATCACAGGGAAATTCTTGAAACACATAAGGACCTATTAAGGGACTTAGAGACAGTTCAATTGGAAGATGACGTAGAAATATCTCATGCCTGCAGGGAGCATCATATTCCCTTTAGGATTAAACTATCAGATCCATTAGGTAATGATGTCTGCATATCACCTGCTCTATCCCCAAAGACACTCGGGATATTAACAAGTGGTGGAGATGCACCTGGTATGAATTCTGCAATTTGGGCGATAATTAAGGCAGCCAGAAGAAATGGAGCAAAAACACTTGGGATAATGAATGGGTATGAAGGCCTTGTGAATGATGAGATTATGGAGATAACGGAATATGAAGCATATTCGCATATGCAGAAAGGAGGAACCTTCTTGAAATCTGCCAGATCAAAGAGATTTCAAACGGAAGAAGGCTTAAAAATGGCAGTTACAACAATAAGAAGGCATAATATTGATTCTATAGTGATAATTGGAGGAGATGGGACAATGAAAGGGGCAGGTGCCATCTCTAAGGCATGCCCAGATCTCTCTGTTGTCTTTGTCCCAGGGTCAATTGATAATGATATCCCAGGGACAGAGTCAATTGGTGCTGCAACTGCACTCCACAGGATAATTGAAGCAATTGACTGCATTGAATCCACAATGGTATCTCACAGAAGGGGATTTGTCTTGGAGGTAATGGGCAGAGACTGCGGCTGGCTGGCACTCTCTGGTGCATTTGCAACAGATGCAGCTTATGTCTTCCTGCCAGAATATCCACAAGAAGACAACTGGAAGGCAGACCTACAGATAAGTGTATCTGGGAAGAAGAAAGCCTGTACTTACGTTATACTAGCAGAAGGAGCAAAACACAAAGACGGCAGAAAAGTCACAGCAGATGAGATATGCACAGTCTTAGAGGAGATGCAAATAGAGACAAGAGCAATAGTACTAGGACATACGCAAAGAGGAGGGTCACCTTGTGCTACAGACAGACTAATAGCCCCATCCTTAGGCGTAGCAGCAGCAGAAGTAGCACTAAGCAGGCCAGGTGCATACGCTGTATACACAGGAGACACAGAGAAAGTACTTGAGTTAAATATGTGCATAGATATGTGTGATAAAGCAGCTTCTTTATTAAAGAACCCAAAGGGTGTCAGTAAAGTAAGAGGCAAAGACTTCACAGATATGTATGAATCTTTCATTTCCGCCAGGAAATTCACTCAAGAAGCAAAAAAAGACAAAAATCAAAAAGATAAAGAAATATATGGAGCAGCCATTGTAGGAACAGTAGGGGCAGGTGCAGGTACAGTACTTAATAAGATGATGGAATATGGAATAGTAAATGGTAAGAAAATAATTGATATAAGCAAACTAGGGTACTTCACAAAGAGAACAGTAAAAATGAAAAAATCAGAACTAGAAGTAGATCTACAAAGACTAAAGGAATTCTTATCAGAGAGAAAGGTATCTACACTTGTATTAATAGGTGGATTAGATGCCCTATCAGAAGCAAAAAGACTGAATAATATATGTGATAATATCTATGTAATCCCATGCACTGTCAGTAATAATGTCCCAGGTACTACTGTAAGCATAGGAGCAGATACAGCATTAGACACAATTACAGCACTATGTGATAATTTGAAGATAAGTATGACTAAGAATATAGCATATTTAGTAGAAGTCCATGGGAGTGCATGTGGTTACTTAAGTGTTTCATCTGCCTTAGCCGTAGGTGCCTTAGATTGTTACTACCCAGAAGAGACAGGCGTACTCTCCAGACTAACAAGATCATTAAAGGCCTTGGGAAGTGTCTTCAAGAAGACATCCATCCCGCAATTAATAATCAGAGGGAATGGAGCCATGAAAGGTGTCTGCAATGACACAGCAGCCAGAATATTAGAGGTAGATGGACCTGGATCATATGCAGTAAGACAGTGTACCCTGGGACATGTTCAGAAGGGAAATATGCCCACTGCAGTAGACAGGCTTAGGGCTGCCAGGACTGCCTTATTTCTGTTCAGTGCACCCCCAGGGAAAAGTGTCATTGGAATTAACAGATGGTCACCCACTGTCACAAGCACAGAGGCAGCCATCCTAGAAGTGAATGAAGAAAAGAGACGGGTTAAAAGGGCAGAGTGGCTGGAATTAGCAAGAACCTACAGGGTCTTAAATTAGAGTATAATTACACAAGGGATCAACTGCAAATTGATCAGCCAGTAAGAATATGAATAATAAATCATCCAGGGATATATAGAGTATTATGTTATTATGTTGTTATGTTAGGAAGGGAGGGAGAGGGAAGATGTTTATGTTTATATTTGGGATATATTTATTCTAATTAGTTTATTCTAATTAGCTTTCTCATTAGTTTATTCTCATTAGTTTTCCCATTAGTTTTCTAATTAGTTTATTAAGGCCGTCTTCCTTCTGTCTATAGAATATTCTTGTTATAAATCACCAATCAAAATATACTACTAGTATACTACTACTAGTATAGAATAAATATATCACTAGTACACTAGTATAGACTAAATACTACTAAGATATAAAAATAAATATACTACTACTACTATAGACTAAATACTACTAGTATAGACTAAAATATACTACTACTATACTACTAGTACATAGTAAATATAAAAATAAATATACTACTACACTAGTACAGACTAAAATGCACTACTACTATACTACTAGTATACTACTACTACAGCAGACTAAAATATAAAAATAAATTCACTACTACTATACTACTACACTACTATAGACTAAATGCTACTACTATGCTACTATAGACTAAAATGTACTACTACAGACTAAAATATAACTAAATGTACTACTACACTACTATAGACTACTACAAGACTACTGGTACAGACTAAAATTGTGCTACTACAGACTAAATATATTCACTATATACTACACTACTAAACACTCCATAATCATACACTAATACAACAACAATACACCACCAATACACTAATACAACACCAATACACTAGTAACCCATGGATATCTGACCAATTCCTGTGGTGCCCGTGTGTCTCCTTGTGTACCCGCCAATAGTTGCCGCGCATTTTCAAACTATTTATTGGATTATTTTTTTACTGCGCATGGCAAAGGACTCTGCAGCTGGGACTAAAAGAAAAGTGAAGAAAATCAGAGGAGAAAATGAGCCAAAAAAACCAACAACAGAATATTTCATGTTTTTAAGGGATGCCAGGAAGACATTGCAGCCAGGCCTATCAGTAAAGGAGCAGACTAAGATACTCAGCCAGGCCTGGTCTGAGTTAGCCCCAGAGAAAAAGAAGAAATACTCAGAGGAGTATGCAGAGGCCTTCAAGCAGTACAAAGAGGACCTGGAGGAGTACAAGAAGACAGAAGAGTACCAAGATGTACTAAAACAGAATAAAGACCAGAAGGCAGCAGGAAGCAAGAAGAGCACTACCCCAAGGAAGCCATCTGGATATAATCTGTTCGTAAGGGAGAACAGTGCGAAAATATCAGAGGAAAGGAAGGGTGATGCACCCATGCCTTCTTTGAAGGAAATTTCTCAGATGATTTCTAAGAAGTGGCAGGCACTAACAGAAGAGGAAAAGGCAGCTTATAAGGCAAAGGCACTTGCAGGTGCAGAGGAGAAGGAGTCTTCTGCAGAGAATGTAGAACCGTAAAGGGCAAAAATGATCCTACAGGGACTCGAACCCCGACTCTTCGGTTCCGTAGACCGACGCCTTAACCATTAGGCCATAGGACCCCTATAGTATTAAAATAAACATTAGCTACGTGTGCACCACATATATTCTAGCATAAGTGAATTTATTAAACTAGGCCATTATATTCTGCCTCTCTGTGACTTTCTATCAGAAGCATACGACATACGCCTACTGTCCCTCTCCTTCTTCTTTCTGGCCTCAAGTATCCTTCTGACAGAGACCAAGTCACCATCTGATTTTCGTGTCTTCGGGTTATTAGGTCTATCATGGGAGCGAGTGGTTCTCTCGAATCTCTCGTTGTTTCTGTCAAGAGACTGGTTATTTCTGTTATTTCTTTGTGAATATCCATCAGATCTATCGTTATTTCTGTTATTTCTATCAGATCTCTCGTTATATCTATCACTTCTTTGTGAATTATTTCTATCCAGAGAGTGGTTATTTCTATCATTTCTTTGTGAGTTTCTATCACCTCTCTCCATATTTCTCTCAGATCTTTCACTGTTTCTATCACCTCTATCCATATTTCTGTCACTTCTATCAGTTCTCTCCATATTCCTATCACTTCTATCCATAGATCTCTCCATATTTCTCTCAAAACCTCCATCTTCTCTCTCTTGGCTGGGTGGTCTAGTCAGCAGATATCCCTTACTGAGTCTATCTCTGCTCTCTTTCTTCCACTCCATGAACATTTCACCGGGTGGTCTGCGCATCTTCTGTGCTCGTCTCTTTATCTCCCCTGACTTATCATCACGCATCTCTGGGCAGGGTGCGAATGTGCTTGACTTCACATTCTCGTAAGGAATGAAGGCAGGGTCCTTAAACTTATCCATATCCACGGTCTCACTCTTCTGGGTTATTTTCTTAACTCTTTCCCGTCCTACACCAGGCCCACTTCTGCCCCGTGCCTTATAAGCCCGGATTGCAGCCAGGACAGGCTTCTCCTGCATGTGGAAGCACGGGTGCACGGGTATATCCCTGACTGAGACTGCCCTGACCACCCACTGTGCATCTACCTTCTCTGCTGGGTTAGTCTTAGCATATCTGGCGTATGACCTGTCATATCCTGCATCTTCTGTGACAATAGACCTAGCCACTTCCTGTGCCCCATCGTAGTACTGGGCTGGCACTGTCCCTAGTCCCAGATATGCACAGTTACTGTGCCCTGTACTAGTAGCACACTTATCCATATGGAAGCACAGTCTACTGCACCTAGTCATATCCCTGGGTTTCTCTGTGTGAATGTGATTTAAGAATGCCAGGTATGTAGGAATATCTGCTGTCCTGATGAGTGCGTATACAATTCCCCTTTCACTCCTGCCTCTATTCAACCTTCCTACTCTATGTACACTAGTACTACGGCAGGCTGGGTAGTCGTATTCTACTACTACATCTATACCCCTTATATCTAGTCCTCTGCAGCCTACGTCTGTTGTGACTAGTACTGAGATATCTCCTGTCTTAAATCCCTTTACAACCAGGTCTCTGGCTTCTTCTGACTGTGTTGAGTTTAGTATGCCTAATTTACGTCCTGTCTTACTGACTGCTTCTGAGACCATAGTGCATCTCTTGCAGGTACTAACAAAGACAAGTACTCGTCCTGAGTGTACCTTAAGTAGAGACATTAATATGGGCATTTTTATCTCTTCTTGAATATGCAGATTATTTATGACTAATCTACTACTTTCCAAGTGATCTGATACACCACCTAATACTTCTATTAATTCCATATCCTTTCTATTAAGAATATTCCTGATTTGTGTACTATCCTTATGGTGAGTAGCACTAAATAGGGCGTACTGTGGGTCATTCTTAAAGTATTCTAGGATCCTTTGGAGTGATAGTGATAGACTCTTATCTTCTAATATTCTATCCATCTCATCTATTACTACTATATCTGGCTGTGATATTTTCTGTAGTATTTGTGTATCCGTTATACATATCTCTTTTTTATGGTTATTTTCATCTACTTTCATATATATTGGCTTATTATCTGATGCTGATACGTCTGTTAGTATATGTTCTAGTCTACCAGGTGTACAAATTGCTACTTCAAATTGTCCTACTACTAGATAATTTAGTGAGTGTGAGACTGTTCCTATTCCTGTGAACATGGCTGGGTGTACACCATTACTACTGAGTTCTTTAAAGGTATCTGATAATTGGTTTGCTAATTCATAGGTTGGTACTATTATTATTGCCTTTGCTGTTGTATATACTGTCTTTTTTTGTCTGTTTTTTAAGAGGTTCATTAAGATTGGTATTACGTAGGCGTACGTTTTACCACTTCCTGTCCTGGATATGGCTATTATATCTTGGCCTGAGAGTAATTTTGGTATTACTTTTCTTTGGATGGGAGTGGCTATATTGTATTTTATATTTGCCAGGATCTCTATTGGGATATTCATTCCCTTAAAGGATGCTGACTCTTTTTTTTCTATTTCTGCTGCTAGTCCAAAGTCCATTTGAAAAATTTTAATGAAAATTCTGAATTTATGGTAAGAAATTAATGGGAAAATATGCCCCTTCTCGTTCTTTAATGGGCACTGTTGTAATTAGTGCTACAGAAAGAGTGTGACTTAGGCAGTGGTATGCTAGAAATAATGAAGTTAGTTCGAATTCGGGTTATATCCAAGGCATCATAAAGATACTCTTCGACACGGCATAGCCACCTGCAAAGGGGAACATGGGTGAAAAAGTCAGAAGATTATATATATTCGGGAATGTATTATGGAATGTATTATGGGAAATTATGGTTAGTTGGGTTTATGTGGATATTGGGTATTAGTGTGTGTTAGTGAGTATTTATTGAGTGTTAGTGAGTATTAGTGGGTGTTTATTAATTAATTGTTGGGTAAAAACGGTTATTTATTAGTAAAAATAATTTAAATAATTTAAAACGGTTAATTTCTGGGTATTAGTGGGTAAAAAATGATTTAAGTGGTAAAAATAATTTAAACCAGTAAAAAATGACTAAATACAGTTATTTATTATTTAAAAAGGCTAAATATGGTTATATTAAGGCTAAGTATGGTTGTATTTAAGATGTTACCATGAATATTTGTGGATTAAGTCTTGTCAATTTTAGACTAAGGCGGATTAAGTCTTGTCAAATATTTGGACAGAACTTATGGCAGGTGGATTAAGTCTTGTCAGTTTTAGAGAGAGGTGGATTAAGTCTTGAATACCCAGAAATTAGCCCAGTATACCCCTTATATGCCCTGATTTAGTCATAAATATAACAGGATATGACTAAATACACTGGGAATATACTAATTATAACAGAGTGTGACTAAATACAACAGTATATTACTAATTATAACAGTATACTCTTAGCAATATACTAATTACAACATACAATCCTAATATTAGTCACAAATACAACAGTATTACTATTATTAGTCACAAATACAACAGAGTATAATCATAAATATCCTTTATTCCCATATATTCCCATATATAATATAAATATATTAATCATCTTCATCACTTGATACAACAGTATGTGATGCCTTCTTAATAAGCACTGGTTCCTTCTCTTCCTTCTCTTCTCTTTCACTCATCTTAACCTTCTTCTTCACTTCACTCTCTTCCTTCTTCTCTCTCTTCACTCTCTTTCCCTTCTTATCTCCTTCTTCTTTCTTCTCTTTCTTCTTACCTGTCTCCATTAGCATACGCATGACTTCTTCCCTCTTAGTCTGTAATTCACTAGTATCCTGTTGTATTATACTATTATTAGTCATATTTATATCTGTATTATTATTAGTCATATTTATATCTGTATTATTATTAGTCATATTTATATCTGTACTGTGTATATCCTGTATATCTTGCCATATACTTAGTATATCATTGTATTCCTTATGTTCCTGTATATATATATGTACTCTATTGTATATATATGTAAATATATTTATATTATATCTTGTATATCTTAGTAGTAATATTACTGTATGATATGCTACTAATCTCTGTGATTCTGTTGTATATTGTGATATACAGTAGTATATTACTGTATTTATTATATCTATATCTATTACTGTATGATTATTAGACCAATATACTATATGGTTATATATTACAGATATATTACTATGTGATATATCATATTGTGATATAATTGGTTTATTATACAGTACTAGACTACATAGTGATAGTATATTAAGGATTCTCTCGTTAGTCATATATACAACAGGATTATTAGATATATTAGTATTATTGGGAATATTAGTCTGTTTTAGGTCAGTATCAGATATATTTGACTGTTTTAGTGTATTACCAGATGTATTAGTCTTATTATTAGTCTTATTGGTCTTAATGTCAGATATATTAGTCATATTATTACTACTCCCAGATACATTTAGTGTACTTAGTGCACTCCCAGATATATTAGTAGTACTTAGTAATGACATGGCTAATTCATACAGGTTATTAGCTGATTGTTCTGTTGTATTAGTGTATATTAGGTTATTAATATATTCTGTTGTAGTTGGTGTATTAGTATAACCTTGTGACTTATATAAGCACATTGCTTCTGGGCATGTGGATATATCTGTGTCTGGTCTATTTTTATATTTAATTAGTAGATTTAGGTTATCCTGTATATCTTGTGACTGTTCTGGTGTGCAAGTAGATAGGGCACTTTTGTACATTTGTTCTGCTTGTTGGATATCCTTATTTGAGAAGTATATGTTGCCTAGTCTATTAAGGTACATTGGGATATCTATTATTGGTTTCCAGATTAGACCGTTATTATTTTGGGTTAACGGTATTTCTGTTTTGGGAGTATCAATTTCCTTATTGGGAGAATTTCCATTAGTAGTAATATCCTTATTAGTAGTATCAATATCCTTATTATGGGGAATATCCTTATTATGGACAATCTCATCTGAGCATATTTTCTTATCAGACATTTCCTTATTTGGCAATTTCCTCTTTAGACTACTACTTCCACTATCAGTAATTTCCTTATTAGTAATAACACTTTCCTTATTAGGTAAATTTCCGTTACTAAAATTATAACCTGCTAATTTTATCATTTTCTTCGTCCAAACCAAAGATCCTTCATCCAATGAAGGCACTTCTTCCTTCATCTTTATGAGATCGACTAAATCAGAGAGTCCCACGTCTTTTTCCCTTACTTCCCTGTTGGAAAGTGCATTTACAATCCATGGAATATCTAAACTATCCGTTTTCTTTTGATTTATGCAAGAATATATCAAAATTATTGCAATTCTTTCAGAAGCACTTTCATTTAACGGTAAATAACGGTTTTTTAAAATATTTGCAAGTTCAATTGCCTCAGTATACCGTTTTTTATGTAATAATTCTTGTGCCCTTAATATTTCCAGCTCTAATTTAAGTGTCTTCGAGATACCCACTAATTCTACAGCATATTTAGTCTCTTTTACTGTCTGTTCCACCATGTGCTCCACCGTATCCAAGGCAATCCCTGATGATTTCTTTAAGGATTCTGCTACTTCAGATATAATTTGGTCTAATAATACACCAGGACCAGAATTAATTAGTCTATCCCCATATGATATATACATATTATACTTATTTCTTAATGATTTATCACTAATTTCACCTAATTTATCTATTTCATTTTTGAGTCTCCTGTGTACCCCCCTTATATCACCTGTATTCCTATGACTAATTACTATCATTTCTAACAGTATTTTATCAATTGTATCTGGTAATCTATCAATTACAACAGATGCTTCATCATATTTATATGCATATATATATGAAATAGCCTTTAATTGTAATGAATATCTGCAATTCCTGTCTAATTTATACGTCTCCTTAAGTATTTCATCTGTTCCTGCTTCTGTTGCTAATAAATACATTGTATTTACATGGGGATGTATTGGTGTCAGTGTAATTAGTGCTTTAGCCTGACTAATATAACGTACTTTTAATGTTCTGTTGTATTTTATTAGTAATACTAGTATATCTTGGTTATTCTTTAGTGTATATTCATCTGGTGACTGTGGTATTACTGTATCCATGACTAATTTATAGTTTAATTCATTGCCTACTGAGAAATATCTTGCTGCTATGGCTATTTTAACTGTCTCTGATATCTTGCCGGATTTAAGTCTTGTCAGCAGGGATTCGAACTCATGTCCTTCTGGTAGTGTGCCTTGTCTTGTCTCCTGGCGATACATGGGAATTGCAGAATTTTAATATATTTATATTATTAATTTATTACACTATATATAGTGTATAGTGTATATATAGTGTATATATAGTGTATATATAGGGATACTGTTGTATTTGTTACTAAGTGTGTTGTAATTAGTCATAGACTGTTGTAATTGTGACTAAGTATTAGGGTACTGTTATAATTAGTGTGTATATAGTTATAATTAGTGTATATACGGACAATACTGTTGTAATTAGTGTATATGGGTTGTAATTAGTGTATATGGGTTGTAATTAGTGGTATACTGTTGTAATTAGTCTATTTGGTAATATCCCTGTTGTAATTAGAATATCCATATATAACTCTGTTATAATTAGTCACACCCCACTGTAATTAGTCTATCCTGTTATAATTAGTCACACCCCAGATATAATTAGTCTATATATTTTATATCTTAAATTTGTCTATAATTTGCATATTTATTATATTCCTGTTGTAAAATAGACTAATTTCCCGTTGTAATTAGTCTATGCCTTATATTAGGGTTACATCATTCAGATATTTATAAATTAATTAATTTTATTAAAATATATATAAGACAATTTAGGAATATATAGGGATATACTGTTGTATTTAGTGTATATAGGGATATACTGTTGTATTTAGTGTATATAGGGATATACTGTTGTAATTAGTCATAGTATGTTGTATTTGTGACTAACTATACTAACTATATACTCATATGTGGGGTACCTGTTGTATTTGTGACAAATCAGAGTATCCTGTTGTATTTAGTCATATCCTGTTATAATTAGTATACTCTCAGTGTATTTAGTCATATTCTAAGTTTATTTAGTCTATCCTGTTGTATTTGTTACTAACATATATTCTCTACTGTAATTAGTATATCCCTGTTATAATTAGTCTATTCCCACTGTATTTAGTCACATCCTGTAATAATTAGTATATATCCATGTACTCCCACTATAATTAGTCATATCCCAGTGTATTTATGACTAATATTTATAAAATATATAACAATTATATCAGTATATTTATTCAATCTATCTTAAACCGAGTTATATCTGGTTATCTTACATTGTATAAAATTCAGTTAGAAATACCATATATAAGAACCATGTGTATATCTGGTGTGCATCTGTGGTTAATATACCTGGTGGTGTATTTCCTGTTAGAATATGCTCAATATATCGTATACTGTATGAAAATAAGACTAATATTATTCCCTTAGATAATATATACATATTACTATACGGTAATTTATATAATATATGTATATTAGCCAGGATAAGCAGTCTAAATATGTACTCTTCAAATGTTCTATCAAAGGGAATTATATTTTGGACTTTTTTTGGTAAAAAAAACATCTTCAGTAGAGAATTTTCTTGTGATAAAAAAACTGAAGACTTTTTGATTTTTTGTTTCTGATTGGAATTTCCTTTGATTGTTGCTTGTTCTAGTGTTTTAGCTGAATCTGTTGCAGATATAATGGCCTTTAAGGCTCTTGCATGGGTTGCTAGTAGGAATATTACTGTATCCAGTGTATTATATGTATATAATTTAAGCATATATAAATATAGACTAAATAACCCGAATGTACACAGTAGAATTAAAAGGGCTTTTACAACAGGAATATTTCTAAAGTGAAAAATCCCGCTGTAAAATAGACCAAATAGGCCACTCCCTAGGCCTAGAATAACTTGTACTTTTATTGGGGCAATTCCTTCTAGGTCATTGCTTAGGCGGAAAATATTCATGCCGCATGGACTCATGAAAAGAAAATAAAGTTTGGAATTTATTGTTTTTGGAAATTGTGGATTAAGTCTTGTCATTTTTGGAATAGGGTGGATTAAGTCTTGTTATTTTTGGGAAATTGTGGATTAAATTATGGTAAAGTGGATTAAGTCTTGTTAGCTTTGGGGTGGGATGGAAAAAGTCTTGTTATTTGTTGACGTCAAGTGGATTAAGTTTTGAGACTACGTAATAAGTCTTGGCAAAGTGGAAAAAGTCTTGGTGAGTTTATAAAAAGAGGATTAAGTCTTGGAGAAGTGGATTAAGTTGTGGCATAGCATGAATTAGTCACAAACATAACAGATATGACTAATACAACAGGATATGACTAAATACAACATCCCCCTTATAGCTATATATAGTTAGTCATAATTACAACAGGATATAACCCGAATAATGTGGATATGACTAATTATAATGTGGGTATATAGGGTTAGTCACAAATACAACAGAGTATGACTAATTACAACAGTATATCCCTATATATATAACCCGATATAACTAGTCACAAATACAACATAGTATGACTAAATATCCCATATATATTCCTAACAGTATATAACCCAACGGTTTTTTATTAAATTTTTATAATTAATTAAATTTATAATTTTTTTAATTAATTATTTCCATATAAGTCATTTTTGCAAATCTTTTTTATATGCACCGGAAACAAGAAGAACTTCCCTCATACAGTGCAGCAGTTGCTATGCCCGTTAAGGATCTGCAGCCAATTGGGATCCCATCTTTATCTGATGCACCCCCTAAGTATGAAGATGCAATTTCAGTGCCAGCTGAAAGAAAACCCGAGATAACCCTAGATAACCCGATTAAACCCGATATAGCCCGAGAGTTCACGTATGTGGGTCAGGAAGACAATTTAGAATCGTCAAATGCATCAGTTTCCAGTGGTAGTAGCAGCTCTAGCACTGAAAGTCCCCTAGGATGCTATAGTATGACAGTTTCAGAGGGTTCTTCAGTTGAAAATATCACTAAAGACATACTAACAGGCAGGTTTCAGACAATTTCATACGAGGAGGTAGGTCCGCATGGTAAACTCCAAACAATAATCCAATTTGGCAGGCAGAAACTCACTCCTGAAGGATCTCGGGTTATAAAGGGTTATAAAAGTCCCATCTTCTCGTTTAAAATGAAAGGAAAAGATAAAGATCTAGTGATAAAAATGCCCATACGCACACCAGGCACCAAAAAAATCACACGAATTGTCTTTGGCTTTGCAGTCATTATTATACTCGTATTCCTGTCCATTGCAGCACTCACTAAGGCACCTGTTGCACTTGGTGTAACGGTATAACAGAATTTGACTAATTTGAATAAAACCGTTATTTTCAGGTAATAAATTGTGGATTAAGTCTTGTCAATCTTGGGGATGGAGTGGATTAAGTCTTAGTGAGTTTATAAAAAGTGGAAAAAGTCTTGTTATTGTGGATTAACTTTTGTCGGGTTCGGGATAAGATGGAAAAAGTCTTGTCAAATTTATAAAAAGTGGATTAAGTCTTGCCATTATGCCATAAGTCTTGACAAGTTTATAAAAAGTGTATTAAGTCTTATCAACATGCCATAAGTCTTGACAAAGTGGATTAAGTTCTGTCATTTTTGGGATAGGGTGGATTAAGTCTTGCCATAACCCAATATAACCCTGAAGTAATAAACTAGTCATACTGCCTGTTATATTTATGGTTAATATAATATATTTATTAGCTGAGTATTATTAGTATATGGGATACTGTTGTATTTGTGACTAATTAGTATACTCTGTTGTATTTAGTCATATCTTGTTGTATTTATGACTATTCTTAGGAATGTATGTTGTAATTAGTATACTCTGTTGTAATTAGTCTATGTCTATAGATTACTGTTGTATTTCGGGTTATATCTTGTTGTAATTAGTATATTTAGTATAATTCTGCTATATTTAGTATATTTATTCTATCCTGTTGTAAAATAGACTAATTTCCCGTTGTAATTAGTCTATCCCTTATATACCCTTTGTATATTCATAATTAGTCTATCCTGTTATAATTAGTCATATCCTTATATTCCACTGTATTTAGTCTATCCTGTTGTATTTATTATTATACTGTTGTGTTTATGACTAGTTAGTATATTCCTGTTATAATTAGCTATACTCTGTTATACTTAGTATACTCCCGTTGTATTTATGACTAACCTATATTCCCGTTATAATTAGTATACTCCTGTTGTATTTATGACTAGTTAATATACTCCCGTTACACTTAGTTATACTCTGTTATATTTAGTATATCCCTATATATCCTGTTACACTTAGTCATACTCTGTTGTATTTAGTCTATCTCTATGTATTTCCCGTTATAATTAGTCTTACTTTCTTCTCTGTCTTTTATTATTAGGCTCAATCTTCTTGCCTTTCTTGAATACGGCGGGTTCTGTTCTGTCTCTCTTTCTTAAGTGGTTCTCTCCTTGTGCTCTGCTGTGTGGGTCACCATCTTCCTGGAATTTATTTAGCTTAACAGGTTCTGTTGGAATTGTATTCATAATCTTAACGACAATCTTAAGGACTTCTTTTAGTTCCTTTTCTTCTATTTTTGGGAGATCTGATCTATTGTTGGTTGATGCCTTGTCTAATATGACTACTCTGTCTGCTCTTCTTAATTTTCCTTTTTTGGGGGAATTTTGTGCATTTTCTGTCTCTTCTTGGTCTGAAACTTGGGAAATAAGCTTATCCTTGTCTGATCTCTTCTTTTCCTTAATTTTCTGCTTTCTTGTCTCTGATTTTGCCTCGGTTCTCTTGATTACTTCGTCAATTGAGCAGCTGAACTCCATTTTTAAAAAATTTTCATGGAAAATTATATATAAGGCGTGCCAGGACTTAATCCACAGTGACAAGACTTAATCCACTTTGTCAGAACTTACTACGCAGTGCCAGGACTTAATCCACAATGACAATACTTATGGCACAATGGCAAGACTTATTCCATATATTAAAAGATCACAACTTATTCCACTTAGTGCAAGACTTTTTCCGCCCAGTGTAAGACTTAATCCACTTTATCGGGACTTTTTCCACAATGACAAGACTTATGGCATAATATTTGACAAAACTCAATCCACAATGACAAGACTTTTTCCACTTTTTATAAATTTGACAAGACTTTTTATACTCCCTTCCAAAGATGACAAGACTTAATCCACTTCTTCCTAAACTTGACAAGACTTAATCCACCTCTCCCGAAAACTGACAAGACTTAATCCACTATTTATTTTTCCAGAATAACCCTTCACTAATTGTGTCGCTTCTTTCTGCTGTTGAATTCGCGTTGTAATCACTGCCTATTGTGTAGGCCGTAAATTCACTGAAGAATATTTTAAATGTGGACATAAATTCAGTATATTCTGAGATGGGCAGAATACAGGTCACCTTGCCATGGGAACCTGCATGCAGCATCCTGACCCCAAATGAAACACCGTTATGCTTTTTTATTATCCGTTTTATGACTGATTTTGTACTAAAATGGGCTATTTTTTGGATGAAAGTGTCATTTGAGGGAAGGGGACAGTTCATTTTCAACAGGAACACTATCTCCATTTGAATATGGCACTCAATTTGACTATAAACTAATCGTGACATCCAAGATCTGAATATCCTGATGGATTCTTGCATCAAAACCCGATATAACCCGAGATGGCCAGATTTAATGCGAATTTCAGATATAAAAAAGGATATACACGCAATCTTCCTATCCTCACCCACATTCTCATGGAAATCCTTTACGATACTCGAAAATATCCCAATTAATTCAGGATTTTCCACTGCAATATTCTCTGGAACTAAAATAAAAATTTTATTTTCCTTGCAAATCTCAATCCTCCTGTGCATTCCTTGATAAATAAGGTTTGAGTCCACTTCTATCCTAAGCTCGTCGCCCCCGACGGGTAATAAAAAACTCATTTTTTCTTTTACAGTCAATCTCCTATTGTAAATGGGCGTAATAATCTCGAATTGCAAATTATGCGAACTCATTAACATATGCACGTCTTTCATTAAATTCTGAAGGGATATTGGCCCTAAAGCAGATATTCTTAAGTTAAAATATTTTTCACCGTTATTTTCCCAATTAATTCTAACGGAAAAATGTCCAAATATTTTTTCAATAATTTTTGTTTTCATCTCCTGTGGTACCCCCTTGAAAGTAACAGATATTCCTGGGAGATAACCCGATTTAACCCGAAGGTCAAAATATAATTTTATGATTAAACCATACGATTCTTTGTCTACGTATATATCTAGTATATATATACGGTTAATTTCTGTTATATTTCCGTTATATTTAATTATATTAAATAATATGCCTTTATAACGTATATTTGTGATATTTTTATTGTGCACCTTTAATAGAACGGTTATTCTATCTGGTCCTTCTGATTTAAGCACCTCTATTACCGTTGCACTACAGGAATTCTGGATATTTTTGGTTTTTAATAAATTATTGTCAAGATGGTTAGTTTCAGTGGTCTCACTGGGTCTGGTTGAATATATGTGGTTCTGAAGGTGTATGTGAGGGTTTAGTCCATTTTCACTGTCTCTTGTTGCTTCTTTATGGTACCTCGGGTTATATCGGGTTTCTGTTTTTTTCAGTTTTTTGTTGGTTTTTGCTGAATAACCCGTACTTTCCATAGTCTTATCCTGCCAAATTTCACCCAATCCAGTATTATCCCATACTCTCCCCATATATTTACTCCCACCTATTCCCATCTCCTCTTCTTGATACCTCGGGTTATATCGGGTTTCGACCTTTAAGAAAACTTCGATCAAAATTTTCTGTAAAGATAATATTCCCACAGCATTTACGCATATCTCACTAATTTTTTTTATATTTTTAATTTTTCCGTTAGAAATATAACCCGAATATCCTAATTTCCGGAATAGTCTCTTTCTGTCACTGGAGTGCATCTCTGTATATTCCATTACCTTCTGTATATTTTCAATTATTTCCTGAATATTTTTCTCTTTTTCCTTCCATTCCCAGACATTCCCACAGAATATCCCGAAGCCAAATGAACTTCCAATGCAAAATATTATATTCGGGTTATTCGGGTTATATCGGGTTATATCGGGCTGAAACAGGTTATTTCGGGTTATATCGGGTTTTGATTTATTCCCATTACCTATTACTTCTTCAATCTCCTGCATTATTTCTTTGCATATTCTTGTTGCTCTCTTTGTGCCGTATTTAAATATCGCATCAACTTTGTTTAATAGTATGATAATGGGTGACCTCGGGTTATATCGGGTTATCTTAATTATCTCATCTATTTCATATGCGCATATATCTATGACTAAGAAGATTGCATCAAATATTTTTAGATCGTATGGGAATGGAGTGTCTGGGGGGATGGAAAATTCGACAAATTCCAAGAGACCGGAAAGTGTTTCTTTTTTATGAAGAATTGTTCCGAAACCGTGCTTGGTTAAGTCTTCTGTGTGATTTATGCAAAGGTTCTTTAGGACAGATGTCTTGCCTGCTTTATATCCGCCTATTACGGCAATGCACTTACTATGCATGGGAATAAAAAATAAATAACCCGAGAGTATTAAATTCTTATGTCTCTGGGTGTGAGAGTGGTCTATATTGGTTCCGTATGGGATATGTAAGTAGATGGCTTTTTTATTATACAATGGGATATGGTATATCAAGGGGCTCGGGTTATCCAAGACTTAATCCGCCTTATTAAGAAAATGTCAGGACTTTTTCCACTTTGTCAAGACTTAATCCGCTTTTTATAAACTTGACAAGACTTAATACACTTTATTATGGGATGTGCAAGACTTAATCCACCTGCCATAAGTTTTGTCCGAATAAATTACAAGACTTAATCCACCTTATATACAATTTGATCTTATTTCATAACAACCCGACAAGACTTAATCCACTTTACCACAATTTAATCCACTTCTTCCTAAAACTTACAAGACTTAATCCACTTTTTATAAAAATAAAAATAAGAATAAAAGTAAAATCTCTGTTAAAAAATAAATGAATTCCCAAGGAAAGGAGACCCAAGAGAATGCACCCCCAAAGGATCCAAATAATCTGGATAAGATCCTGATGGGCACCCCTTATAATTGTATGCATTTCCATGAGAGACAAAAAGATGAAAAAAAACAAGAAATTAAGACCAGACTAGCAGACACCTTCATATTCACATGCGAGTATTGGAATGCCCTTCAGTTCCAGGAATCCGCAAAGAATAATTTCTTCATAAATATTCCACTGGCATTTATTATGCATTTCCTGCAGCTGAAGGGTATTTATTTTGGAATTTCAATTTTCCTTCTGTATATAAATATATGGCTGTGCTTGGTGAGTGTCTGCAATTTGTGCGTTTATTATTTTCTGATGTTTAATTTACGAAAAATATACGGGAACAAGACGGAGATAACCCGATATAACCCGAGGTACCAGGGAAGGAGTATGAGAGAAGGTGGGAATGAAGTATGTGATGGTGTACCTGGTACGAGTGAAGTATATGAAATATCACAGGATGAGAATGTATTAAATGAGGGTCTTATGGGAGATTCAGATATACCTGTGACTAACTTGAGAATATTCTCTATTCCTGTTGTAATTAGTCATATATATATAATTTGCATATTTATTCTGAATATTATAAGTGGAACTAAGAGTACTGTGATGGGAGACCAAAACAGAAATAGATATTTACAACAGTCTGGATATAATAGGTCTATTTTATTCTCGTTTATCCCGGGTATCACACAGAATAATTATACATTAAGTGAGATTTCTGTTGTATTTAGTCTATTACTTATATCTACTCTAGTACTTTCATATACGGAAAATAATTATAAAATATTTTCAGAAGGAAATGGAAGAATTTCCCAATTGAAATACGTTCTTATAAGGTGTGCTTGCATTATAATGTGCATCTTAGTGCCTGGAATATTTTTCATGAAGGATTTCCTTTATAACCTCAGAACTGCACATATTTGCATATATTTGTTTTTATGTGTATTTTTATGCATATTTATTAGTATGCTTGTTGTAATTAGGCTATATGAAGGATTTTATGCGCCTGGCTGTAGGGTGACTAAGTCCAATTATATTCGGGTTGTAGTAAATGCGACTTTATATGGGATGAGTGCCTTATTAGCAGGTATTCCTTATTTCTTGGAATATTAACGGATTTTTGGATGAAAATAAATTTAGTTATTATTATATGGGGGTATATATGGGTAAATGTTGTTAAATGTTATTAAATTATGGATTGTTGTTGTTAATTGTTGTTAATTGTTGTTAAATATTGTTAAATTATGGATTGTTGTTGTTAATTGTTGTTAATTGTTGTTAAATATTGTTAATTGTTGTTAATTGTTATTAAAATACGTTAAAAATGGTTAATTACTGATAAAAAATTATTAAAAACGGTCAAATATTATTAAAAGCGGTTAACTATGATTAATTATGGTTAAATATTATTAAAATAACATTAAACCAGTTAAATACCGTTAATTCCCGTTATATCGGGTTATATCCCACTAATTACTACTACCTGTTATAATTAGTCTTACTCCGTTGTGTTTGTGACTAAGTTTATTATTATATATCCCAATATATCCCAATATATATAAACCATTCATATTTTCACTTTATAAGAGACTGAACGGGTTGAAAATATTTATAAAAATAAAATATATACTAATGTATATATACTAGTGTAATTATAGACTAAAAAAAGTACATATTCAAGAGACAACCCGATATAACCCGAGATATCCCGAATACTGGCCATATCCTGTATAAGAAAGATATTTCACTTCAGTTTCATATATACTGCATATATATCTGGTTATTCAGTCTGTCTCCATATATTCCCATTGATATTCCAGAATATATTCTAAATTTATTTTTATTTACAACACAATGGAAGAGACACAGACAATCTCCAAGGACAAAAAAGACACTTCAGACAGGATGATTCGCTTAATATGCAGTACACAACAAGAAGTACAGATTCCATACAGCATTTTATGCGAAAGTAACCTCTTAAGGGCCCTGGTTGATGACAAAGCATTCATTGAGTCAAAAAATAATTCAATTTTACTTCCCGTCACGTACAGTAGCCTAAAGAGAATCATAGAGTACTTATATTATAAGCAAAATTATACGATAAATAGAATGGAAATAGATGACTTCAAGATAGAAGACAATGAGACATTAGATTTATTAGAAGTATCTGCCTTCCTTAGATTATAACACATTTTAGTAACCAGATTTATACCCCTGCACTAAAATATAATTTAGGAAAGGACAAAGGCGTTTTTACTTTTTTCCTAAAAATTTTATATATTTCGCATATGATAGGAAGGAACTTTTTAAATTCCATTGAAAATAAAAAAACGCCTTTCCAAATTTAACCGGAATAACCGGATATAACCCGAATAGAAATAACCAGTATATAGATAGTATATAAGTAGATAGTATATAGGTAGATAGTATATAGATAGATAGTATACAGTGAAAATATGTTAATCAGAAATATATCTAATTTTAACCAGATTTGGTCATATTTGGTGAATTTTAGCCATATATACACTATATTTGGTCATATTTAGTTAGACTTAGTCATATATACACTATATTTAGTCATATTTAGTCATATATAACCAATTTAACCCATGTATACACAATATACACACCACATACACACCACATATAAATAAACCAACAACAAATTAACCACAAAATACAACCAAAATTAACTATATACACGAATTCACCACCAGAATACTAATTATCCACTCTCTGCGCACTCCTCTTTCTCTTTTGTACATTTACTTTTTTCTTTTTTTCCTGCTGCGTCTTCCTGTAGTGCAGCGCGTAGACATAAATCTTCGGGGTGACAACCAAAACCAAAGACAAAAAATTCACCAAAAAGAAGAAATTACTAAATCCAGCCAGCCGTGCACCGCATAAGAATAACATCACAGGGAATAATGTAAAAAAACTCATCCCAGAAGAACCCTTCAACTGAATCATTAATTGCTCCCAGAAAGTCAGACCAGAATATTCCGGCTTGAAAGGGTCTCCTAATATTGCATGGAAAAAGACAAAGGTTATTACGTTGTACAAGCAAATAGTAAGGGACCAGGCTGTTGGTTTTGAAAATATTTGTGTAAGAATGAATAAAACTGTACCTGTTAAGAGTGTCTGACCAAGCCACGTTGATGGCTCCAAGGACCACTCTACATTCGGGGAGATATATGCCTCACATGTCATTTTGTGTTTTGTTTCTGGTTATATTTATAGGCACAGTTTCACATCAAACCAATTGAAATTTATTCGGATTATATCGGGTTATTCGGGTTATTTAGGAAAATACCGTTATTTTTTGGGAGTATTCTGGTTATTTGGCAAAATATCATTAAATATTGGTAAAATCAATTATACCCACTCAATAAACATATATCTATATATACTTAGTCACAATTACAACAGTATATTACTAATTATAACAGTATATGACTAATTATAACAGTATATTACTAATTATAACACACTTTCACTATCTCCTAATATATTCCCACTATGCTTAGTCACAATTATAACACACTTTCACTATCTCCCAGTATACTCCCCAATATACTTCCCAATGGTCCCCCCTTATACTCTCTTATATCCCCACTAATTACAACACATTTTTATGCTCTGAATAAATTTTATTTCTTTACAGAGATGCACGGCATACAGTTCCAGAAAGTACAGACAATAATGAGGGTGCCCGTATACCCGTGCCAATTAAATAATATAATAGAATATTCGTATAAATATCTTAATAAATACGTTGGATTATATATTAAGGCACTAAAAGGCGTTGTAATATGCTATACGGATAGTATTGGTATATTAGATGAAATTGGTTATATATCTGGGATAGACCCAAAGGTTCATGTGAAAGTGTCAGTTGAATTTATAATTATGAAGATAATTAGGCAAGGATTAGTGCATGGCTATATACAGGGACATACAGGATATATACATGGGATAATTCCTGTGAAAATATCTGGTAATATAATAGATGGAAGTTATACGTATACAATTACTGATGTAAATATGCATCCATTGTGTGTGCATGGGGAAATAAGTGAAGAGTAAAGGGAATATTGATAGAATATAGAGGGAATATAGAGGGAATATGATTAAAACCGTTAAAATGTGGTGAATTATGATTGAATATTGATAGAGTGTGATTAAAACCGTTACATTATGGTTATATTATGGTTAAATATTGATGGAGTATGGTTATATTTTGATTAAAAACGGTTGAATTATGGTGAATTATGGTTAAATATTGATGGAAAGGGTTAAAACCCATTAAAACACTGTTGAATATGGTTATATCCCACTAATACCCGTATATAACTAAATATAATCAGGTTTTAAATAAATTCACACTAATTACTACTATGTATATACTAATAGACTAATCTTCACCTACTACTAATATTAATTTCTACTACGTATATACTAATATTAATTTCTACTACGTATATACTAATATTAATTTCCACATATTTTCCACCTACTATATACTACTACATATTTCTATCTACTACTACTATATATTTCCACATACTTTCATCTACTACTACCCAATACTACTACTAATCTCCATCTACTACTATATACTACTACATATTTCTACTAATTATATATTTCTAACTACTACTACTAATAATATCCACATACTACTACATATTCCCACTGTATATTCCCACCAATCCCTTCTCTCCCACCAATCCCTTCTCTCCCACCAATCCCTTCTCTCCCACCAATCCCTCTCTGCTTGACTATAAATATCTTCATAAATTTATTTTTAATGGAAGAACTTGCCTCTTTAAAGTTCATTAAAGAAGAGAAAACATTAGGCCGGGATAATCTTGTAGTTGAAGGAGTATTCATGGATAGAATTATTCTTGCTAATAAATCCATGGGAGAAATAAGTCTAATTAGTCTTAGGACACATGAAATAGTAAAAATACAAGGATACTTTGCAGGTGCATATAATTGTAGTCTGTGGCTGCAGAATAGTCACATGGACTTAATAGAGTACAAGTACTCAGATGGTAAAATAATTAAGAATCAAAGGGTTGAAATAAATGATCACTGTAGGGTGATATCTGACAGGATATTTGTCATGAAGGAGAATAGACTGCGTGTATACGATATTTCCATGCAAGAAATACTTTCAGTTAAGGCAGTAGACTATTTCCTGTCAAATACGCATATTCTCATACGAAAGGACCATGAAGTAGTACTGTACAAGATGGAAGACCTGACAGAAATAAGAAGAGTACCCGTAGGAAATGAAGAGTGCTTCTTGGTGGATGGGATTATAGTGATAATTCATCAGGGCTATGTAAGAATAATTCAGGAGACAGAGATTCATATAAATATATCCATAGATATAGATGAAGACCAAGAGATAGACGTATACCCAGAAGGAATGACAGAAAAGAGTCACTACAGAATTGCATATGGCAGGAATATTGGACCATTAGATTATTTAGTTGTAATTGGACACATGCAGTCTGTGGATGTAGAGTACATTGCCATAGACAAAAAAACAGTTAAAAAGTGGCAGTTGGAAGAAGAATCAGATGGAATATCAGTGCCCTTAATGCAGCACCTAGTGGGAATGCACGTATTAGAGTCAAGTGTATTACAGGATTATAACATGGAAGACAGAGAGATAGTCCAAGGACCAAGTATTGCATTGGAGACAAACAGTACAGTATACGTGTACGATATAATGGCAGAAGTATCTGACCCAAAGGCATATGCACACACCAGAAGGGGACCAGAGAGAGAACTAAAACTGCAAGAGATCGAAATATCCTACAAACCAGAAGAGAAGTCACCCATCCCATTAGCACTAGCACAGGAGACACAGGATGATAGTACAGTGAAATGTGAGGAGAGTGAAATATTTTCAGAAGAAGCAAAGACAAAGACAGTTTCAGAAGAAGCACTGAAGGAAGAAGAGACTAAGCCTACTAAAATTCTAGTAGAAGAGACTAACTCACTAAGACTGGCAGTAGAAGACACTAAGCCTACTAGAGTTTTAGTAGAAGAGACTAAGCCTGTTGTAGAAGACAATAATCCTACTAGATCTGTTGTAGAAGAGACTAAGCCTACTAGACCTGTTGTACAAGAGACTAATCCTGTTAAACAAGACAATCATCCTGTTGACTCACTGAAGGTACAAGAGACTAACCCACTAAGACCTGTTAAACAAGAGACTAAGCCTGTTGACTCACTGAAGGCACAAGAGACTAATACTGTCCTAGGAATGACTAACTTACTAAAGAAAGAAGACACTAAGCCTGTTGTACAAGAGACTAATCCTATATTAAAGCGAGAAGACAACAGTCCTGTTGTAAACATGACTAACTCAACTGATCCTGTTAAAAAAGAAGATAATAATCACATCAAGACAGAATATACGCCTAATACGTCTAATATGTCTAGTGTACCTAAGGAAATATCCCCCCTTAGCTTGTCATCACTCTCTTCTATACTCCCGGGTGATGAAAGCTTCTTGGAATATTCCATCAGAAAAACAAAAGATACAGAACCTGAGACTACTGCGCATATGCCTGTGGCAGTTGATATCCCAGATAGAAGTAGTCCAATGGATGAGATACATAATATGCTAATGGGTTTAGATCTGTCTGTTAGAAATCCAATTGCATCAGTCAAGGAGCACACGCAAGAAATAAGAGAAGTCGTTGCCAGGTGCAAAAGTATCTTGAAAACAATCGAACTCACAGATACACCAGGAAGAAGCATGCACGTAAAGGGCCTTCTCTCAGGCATAGAAGAAGCCCTAATTCTCCTGAAGGACCAAGAGATCAGACTAAAAGAAGAGATCTTGGAGAGACAAAATTCAACAGAAAAAGCACAAGCACTCACATTCCTAATAGATGGAAGACTAAGCAGAATTAAGAAACTCCTCTCTCTCCCATCAATTGATTTCTCCAAGGAAATAGATTACATTAACACAAGAATATCCAGACTCTTCAATATATCTACATATACAACAGGAAAGTCAAAGGATCAAATATCCCCGAATACAGTCACCACATACAACAGACCCCTTAGACTGGCAGTAGACCAGATTCACACAATAGAAGAAAGTACAGTCCTGCCTGCCTCCAGGGAAAGTACACTAACTCTACTGACAGAATGCTTTGATAAATTACACACAGCCCCAGCATGCGTGCAAAGTGCAGCAGAAGTACCCCTTCTGGACCGCATATTCAGCACACAAGCAGAACAAGCCTTCTTAAAGACACTCCAAGAGAAAGCAAAGAAGTCACAGGATGGAAAGAAGGCAGAAGATGCGAAGAAGGCAGAAATAAATAAAGCGGGAGGTAGTCAGAGTAACCAGAGTAACCTAGGCAGTCAGAGTAATCTAGGTAGTCAGTCAGGAGGATTATTCAGCAGTCAAAGCAGTCAAGGTAGTCAGTCTACTACTACTACTGGTAATAGTAGCAATAGTCTATTTGGAAGACAAAATACCCAGCCTAGTAGTAGTAATATATTCGGTAGTCAAAATACTCAAGGTAGTCAGAGTGGACAATCTACTAGTAATAGTCTATTCGGCAGTCAATCTACTACTAGTCAGAGTGGACAGACAGGACAGACAGGAGGATTATTCGGTAGTCAAAATAGTCAGCTGTCTACTGCACAAACCAGTCAATCTGTACAGTCTAATACTACTACTAGTAATAGTCTATTTGGCAACCAAAATAGTCAGTCTACTACTAGCAATAGTCAAAATACTCAGACAGCAGGATTATTCAGTGGACAAAACACTCTAGGTAATAGTCAAAACAGTCAAAACACTCAACCTACTACTAGCCTATTCGGCAACCAAAACAGTCAACCTACTAGTAGAAATAGTCTATTTGGTAACCAAAACACTCTAGGTGGTCAGAGTGGACAACCTACTAATAGTCTATTTGGAAACCAAAATACTCAACCTACTACTAGTCTATTCTCTAGTCAAAATGGTCAAAACAGTCAAAATAGTCTATTTGGCAACCAAAACAGTCAAAACCCTCTGGGCGGACAACCTTCACTCTCTGGGGGAGCAGGAATTCCCTTGCAGACACTTAGTGAAATGGGTGGGTCTTCTATATTTGGGGGTTCTGGTGCCCCTACAGGCAGTATCTTTAATAATCCATCTCTGGGGAATTCGCAGTCTGGAAATTCTTCCTTTAGTCTCCTTCAGAGACAGGGCCCAGGAGGCAGTCAGTTTGCCCAGGGAAATGCAAATCTGGGTCTAGGGTCTTCGAGTAAAACTACTTCCTCCTTGTTCCGTAACCCAAATAATCAGTAGTGAATAAATTATGGCATATTTATATGCAGCAGTAATCAAACACCTTCTATTATTGGTTCATATCCTGGCATGCAGTGAGATTTAAATGAAATTCACTGTTTGTTGAATATTTTAATAAACATAAGTTAATTCGGGGTATATCTTGTCTACTTCACATTGTCTCTTGTCTTCAAGTTCTTTCACCTTCTTGAATTCTTTTATCTCTTGTCTTCAGATTCTCTTATCTTCAAGTTTTCACACTATCTCTTATATTCACACTATATCTTCAAATTCTTCAATATCTTCACAGTATACCTTCAAATTATCTTCACACCAATTCTCCCTATATCTTCCAAACACCTCCAGTACACTCCGTCTATATATAACATGCACATATCAAAACTCTACATTTATTTACTCTTTGAACTCCTGCCTGCATCTATGTCTTTCTGTACTGCTTGAGCACGGGATATATATTCTCGAATGCCTGGTATATTTCCTCCCTGTGCTTTGCACCTGTCAGAACAACTTTCCCAGAGACAAACACAAGAAGAACTATCTTGGGCTTGACCATCCTGTAGATCAGCCCAGGAAACAGTTCTGGCTCGTAACTGCTGTAATTGCTGTGGCCAAAGACAAGACCCTCCAAGCGTATACTAAACTTAGTGTCACAACTACTCACAATATTCTGTATCTTAAACTCAGTAAATCTCACAGGGTAACCAAGTCTCCTTATTATTATACTGTACTTCTTTGCAGCCATCTTTGAATCTTCCTCAGATCTGGCTCCTGTCACAACCATCTTCCCAGAAGCAAATATTAAGGCAGTAGTCCTGGGTTTCCTTATTCTTATTATCACAGCAGCAAATCTCTTTGGGTTGTACTCTGCATTTCTTGCTCCCAATGCAATTGCCTTAAGATCCAATCTACAACATAAATTAACTGTTGCCACAATATTCTGGATAGTAGGAATCAGACCAGACGGGTGTTTGCTTAAGTCAACCCCATCATCTACCGGTGCGTACTCTTCCTTCTGATCCATGCAAAATAAAAATAAAATATTATAAATAGTTGACAGCAGAGTCTTTCCTTCTACTATATACCACTGCACTAAAATATCATTCAATTATACTTATTTCTCATTTACTAAATTACTACTGTATATTGACTAATTTATGGTGATTTTACTTGTCTGGTCTCTCTGGAACTTCCCATACTTTAACTTCTCCATTTTGTCCGCCTGTCAGGAGTATTGCCCTGTTGCCTATTATGGTTCCCTCCATGGCTGTGACCATTCCATCGTACATTTGCATTTTGTAGACATTTTTATCTTGTACCTCGTATACCATTTGGTAACCCCCTAGGAAGAGTCTTCCTGAGATGGCACAGACTGATTGAATTTTATCTGAAGGGAATGGGATCATTGTTTGTGTGAAGAATGATTTATCATAGATAATTACTCCATCATTTACAACGAATATGCTATTACTGGCTGTCTTATATGCAGCTACTGCGCCTTTGTTACTGATGTCCTTTATGTAGGCAGCACTCTCTGGGTTGAAGAGTGAGATTGAATTTACATCACAGACTGCAATTATGCTGTCACTCCTGGTTATCATCATTTTAACTGTCCTTCTGAGGGCAAATGCCCCTAGACAGACTCCATCCATGCCCCATATCCTTAGTTCACCATCTATCCCCATGGTGTACACTTTGGAGACTCCAAAGTCAATTGCCTTTACGGATGACTTGTGTCCTTTTAGGCACAAAAACAAAGAGACATTCAACTTTCCATTCTCTCTTGTGACTTTGTACACTTTTGCTTCTCTGTCCAACGATGCACTCCCGAAGTATAATACAGGTTCAACTGAATTTGTGTTTTCTTTAATTTTCACTTGGGAGATTTGCATCGTATGAGACTCAAACTTAATTACATCACTCATATTAACTAAGTCTACTACGCATATTGATGCATCCATTCCTCCTGTTATCAGTATCTTATGCCTATGACATATTGTCATACTGTTGATTTTTTGAGTATGAAGCCTTAGGTTTGTTATTTCCTTCATCATTGGTCCTGTGGTGTGACTTCTATTTCTTGCTTTTTCATTTGTACTTCTGTCTATTGGTCTCCCATCATTATTTCTATATTCCTGTGGGTCGTCAATCTCCAGGATACTATTCAGAATGTCTCCTTCCTTCCTGTACCAAGCATGATTATTTCCTGCTGTGTTGTTGATTCCATTTGGGTTTGGAGTGTGACTTGGGATGTGCATTGGGTTCGGGTGACTTGCCACTGTCCTTGGCTTGTACTCCTTTCTTGTTTCTTCTTTTTGTGGCTTCCCCAGGATTGTGTCAATCTTGCCTGTTATCCCGGCTGGCTTACTTCTGCCACTTCTTACATTGTACAGGTCATTGAATGCTACAAACCAATCTAGTAGTGCACTTGATCCTTGTGTTATATTTATATTGCTGATATCTCCTTCTACTTTAAACACTTTTGCTGATCCTGCATAATTTCTCTTTATTAAATATTCGTATATTAATGCATTCAGAACAGTTGTACTAATATGCGGATCTGTCTTTTGACTCTCTTTATCTTCATAATTGAACCTTCCTTCATGCATCTGGCGTAATTGCTAAATAAAAAGAGTAATTCAAATGTAATGAATATTCCACGAAATATTTAATTAAATATTTTTCAGAAATTTAATGGACAGCAAAAATAACGAACAATTGCACGGAGAGAGGGAGGAAAAAGACTCCACCATAGAAGAAAGACTGAATGACCCTAATGAAACTAGGATTAAAATATATATGGATAGTGTCTCTATTATAGGCATGCTAAGTGGCAAGAAAGTCCTTGTGGTTACGCCTCTTACGAAGGATGTTCATGCCTTGGAGAACAGTCTTGTGGAAAGTGAAGAGAACACAGTGAGTGTGAAAAGGGTCTTGGAAAGCATAAATCTTCTGAGGACCTTGGATGTGTGCACTGTAATAATTAATAAGTACAAAATTATTGAGGAAATGGGGCTAATGAGTGACTTAATGGAGGCAATTGGGGAGAAAAGAATAATTGTCGCCTTGGAGGGAGATTCAGATGACATTGAGGCACTGAAGGAGTACCAGCTGCTTGCAAAGAAGTTAGTGCGCATGGAATTCTTTGTCAGTGGAAAGACAATTCTTGAGAGGATGGCCATGATATTTGCACTGACTAAGTCCAGACCCATCAAGAATGTCTGCATAGTAGTCAGTCACCCGAAGGAAGAGAGAAGAGTTGAAGTCTTCTTGCAGTCATTCGGGATAAAAATAGAACTGTCCCCGGAGACAAAAAAAGAAGGAGTTCTTGCCATATTCAACACGCAGAAGGAGATTAAAAAGTCACTCTTAGAGAAGTACAGTTTAATTGTGGATATGTGTGGGGATGTAAAGACAGATAAGCTGGAAGACGTGAAAGTTGGAATTCTCAAGATTGTAACACATGGGAAATTACAGAATGAAGACAAAAGATTCAAGAAGATCCGGGAGCAAGCACTCAAGTACAAATACAGAATAGAGAGTGTCATACAATTAATTACATCAAATGTTCTAAGACGAAAGAGTGACATAGAAGAGAATATAGTCAAACACCTGCACGGACCACTCCGTCTATTATAATAAATATGCTTATAGGTACGCAATAGACTTACTCTTACACTGCAGAAGGTGCTAATTTAAGAATATTCTGGCAGAGAGACTAAAGAGTGCATTTTCATTGAGATATTTAAATTCATTGCAGATTATGGTTATATCTGGTTATATTGCGTATTTATATGATTGTTGTATGAGTGTTGTATGTGGTGTATTTGTCTTTGTATTGAATATTTCATTGGAAATTCATTGCAGTTTTATTTTTCGGTCTGCATCCTTTACTAATTAGAAAATATTCTTTACTGAATATTCTTGGGTTCAAGTTATGGGTTATAATGTGAAATTCTTTTGGTATTTATGACTAAGTAATAGCAGCACAGTGGGCAGAATAACCCGAATTATAACCTGCCTGAATATTCTGAGTACACAGAATGAAAGAAATCACATATACTTCAAGATTCCAAGCGAAGTGCAAATGGTTCAAATTAGCTGTGTTAGCAGAATACAGCCAGTCACTAGAAGAAGATGTCTCTATTCCTGCATATTCGGGTTATAATCTGGTTATATTAACATAATAATGTGTGTGATACTGCATTGAGTGATTTAAATTATATTTCTGTATTCTGAATGGCCCAGAAGTCTATAAGAGATAGAAGCCTATAAGGGACAGAATTGCAAAGGAATATGAAATAGTATTATTCATCTTACGCCCTGTGCTTGTCTTAGTCTGCATAATATCTATTAATTTGGGTTATTCTTGTGCTTTTATAACTATTTTATGTTCTGTCTAGTAGACTGTACTAATTAATTCTTGCTGTATTTGACTATTCTGAGTGAGATTTATATTATGGGAATACTTGAGCACGTGAGTAATTAAGTATTCAGTGAAATATTCTGGATTTACTGGTTATTTAAGTTTAGTATGCAGGAATAACAGGATATTTTGGTTTCTTTCTATTTGCATGCATCTATACACAGGATATTCTGATTTTTGCATATTCAGATCGATTACAATCTACTTAAAAAGACACTTACAAAGCTGTAACACATGCACATACAGTATTTAAGTGCTATAGTGCTTTCTCTTTGATCTATGATAAGATGCTTCTTTATTTATCTCTTAAAATAAAACTCTTCATTATACGTTTTTTTATGCGAAATCTTCCCAAGAATGAAGAGTTTCTTTTTAAGAGATAAATAAAGAAGCAAAGTCTTTCCTATGCGCAATATAAACCAGCTCAATGAAATTATATTAAAATATGGGTTATGCAGTCACATATCTGATAAAAGTGAAAATAGAAGGATTTTCATGAATATTAAGCAGAAAGGAGATGCATTCACATTATGACAAGAACACCATGGATATTTACATTCATTCTATTTGCAAAAATAAAATGAATAACATAATGAAACAAACCCCTATGGAGAACGTGCAAGAACTAAGGGATGCAGCTTGGTTTGGGCTGGAGAAGCAAAAAAGAAGCACTGGCTGGCTAATTTTGCTTGATATAATTAGTCCATCAATGAGTGCCTTAGGGGTTGGCATAGAGAATAAGTGCAGGGCATACGAGTCACTCAACAAACAAGGAACCCACATAAACAGCCCAGAAATACTTCTTTCCCCGCTTACGCACGATAAAGTGCATAAACAAATAAGCAAGGATGTGCTTAGAATAGAGTGTGAGGTAAAGGGAGTAGATACGTCTAAGAGCTACATCCGGGCAATGGCAATATTCTCTAAGAGATATCCTGTGATAAGCTATGTCCAAGGGATGTGCGATATTTTCAAGTTGTTCATGGATGTGCATTCCATCTCGCATGATACGCATGTGGCTGAAGCCCTTTCGTATTTCTGCTTTGAAAAGATTGTCAGTAAGTACTTGGACTATTTCTCTTCAAGGCAGGTTGGAATTGAAAGATCCATTGAGGAAATAGAGGAGCTTCTTCAGAAGAACAGGCCAAAGCTATTCCTGCATCTGCAAAAAAGTTCTGTGGAGGTGAAGTACTTTGCATACAACTGGATGTCCACCTTTCTAATAAGAGAGTTTCTGCATCACAAAGAAGTATTTGATGCGCACTTCTCCCTGGGCCCAGCTGAGTTCATTCGGTTTAATGTTTCATTTGCCACTGCCCTCGTAATATATTTGCAGGAGACTCTTATGAGCAGTGATTTTGAGGGAATTCTGTACACGCTGCAGCGAATAAATGAGATCGAATGGAGCACAATGGAGATCCAAAGGGTTCTTTCAGTGAGCTACATAATATATTCTGGAGGGTCCCTCTATGAAGACCTAAATAAAATAAATAAGCCACAGTAATCCACATACCCTTTCAAATGGCACCAGGGCATATGCGCAAACAGGACAGGAGGCAGGCCCCTAGTAACCATCCACTAAGAGGCAGGTATCCCAGGGATATTCCTTCTGTCTTTCTCTGGATACTGTGAGATTTCATGTGGGGAAATACAGAGTTCATTGGGGTGAGCGCATATTGAATTGTATTTTAAGCAGGATATATGTATTATCGATGATTTATTCAAAGTCTGGAAGGGGCTGGTCTGTAGCTTCTGTTGACATCTTTGCAAACTGCTCAATTAATTCAACATTTACTTCTGCCTCAGGGGGAAGCAGTGCAGAGTTTGCAACAAAGAACAAGTCTGGCTTCTGGTAGAGTGTTCTTGTGAAATAAAGGAAGGGTTTGTCATAGTTGTAGTTGCTCTTTGCACTTATATCAAAGTACACTATATTCTGCATTATCTTCCTGTCCTTCATATGTGCAGGCTTTACTTTTCTATCTATTATATCTACCTTGTTACCGCACAGGCACAGTGGAATGTCTGGGCAAATAAGGCGTAAGTCTCTGTACCAGTTTGGCACATTCTTGTAGGTAATTCTGGATGTTGTGTCGAACATAATAATACCGCAGTCTGCACCGTAGTAGTAGGCATCTCTTAGACCCCCAAACTTCTCCTGTCCTGCTGTGTCGAACACAGTGTAGTTTACCTGTCCGTAATTTGTGTAGAATGGCAACACGTATGTTTCTGCTCCTACTGTGGCAATGTATCTCTTGGTGAATTCTCCTGTTAAATGTCTCTTTACGAATGTGGTCTTTCCTGTACCTCCATCCCCTACTAGAACTAGCTTCTTTACTGGTCCATCCAGAATGATTTCCCCGGTCTGTCCGCTGTTTCCATTGGCTTCACTTTGATTGCTGCTGCCTTGCATGAATGAAAAAAGAAAAAAAAACTACTATTTATACTTTTAACAGAAATCTTCTAGTATGACTGCAGATTTCTCTAAAATTCCAGGAGAATAAAAATAGAAGGAGAGATGCATGGCTGGGTGTTTTATTCTTTTCTTTCATTGGGACTTTGTATATTCACAGTGGGCCCAAGAAAGACAGAGATGGAATTAATTCTTAAAATTAATAATCTCTTGATTAGATGCTGGATATAGTGATTTTTGGTGATTTCTTAGTGTATTTAGAGTGTATTCCTGGGCAAGCACTTTTTTGTCTTAATGAAGACTTATAAAGTATCATTTTGTGGCAAATGACTTGACTATATTATTAGTCTGAACTTGCAGAGGGCATTATTCTGCTTCTTTTGTCTTTATCTTTTTCTGATTACTTCTTAGTATTCGAATAATAACGGATGATGCAAAAATAATTGCCAAGCTTGTCATTACAAGACGGAATGAGACGTATTCTGCGATTCTGTCCAGCACATTAAAGGATAGCATGAAGACTGTGAACACATGCGCATATATTAGCATTGCTATAGATGAAGGTGCTCTGAGACCTTCCAGGGTCTCCACATAGTCCAGGATTCTTGGGTTTTTAAGAATCGCGTCTATGTCATTTTCGTACTTCTTGTCGTATGAGAGGTTGTGGTCAAGGATGTCAACAGCCGTGATGTCTTTAAACCTTTTTTTATGCTGTAAAAAGAATGTTGGGAAGCTTGTTGCCTTGAACCGCAGGGAAAGCACTGGATCTGTGTTGAAGTTCAGCTTTTTGATTGTAAAGGCTCCCACTGTGTAATCAGGAAAAGATGAAAGCCATTTTTTGTATGACTCGCAGGCAAGACATGTGCTGTTCTTGCTGTTGTAGTATATAAATATAAGCATGGGCGTGTTGCTGCTAAAGTCATTCACTGTGTAATTCTGAATTTCAGAGAATGTTTCTTTTGAATTTTGGATAAGCGCAAGAAACACAAAGAAAATCGAAATTTTCATAGAAAAAAAATACCCCGCATATTTATTAAAGAATCTTACCAAATACAGTAAGATTACGGGCAATGCCATATTACAATTACGTATTGTTTCAGACTAAGAAAATGAATTTATTAGCGAAATGAATGAGTGCATGGTAAGATAAGAAGTACTTTCATGAAACTCCAAAAAGAGCGAAATTCACGCATGGAGAAAGCATCTCTCTTCCTATGAAGGTTTCTGCTTTTCTTTAATTAAGTAATTAGAGTTTCAGGTTGGAGTATATTTTCTTCATAAGCACTGAATATTCTGGAGACAGCAAGGCGTATTAGTGGGTTATGTGTATATATTAAGCCTATTATTTGCTTTGTTGTTGTTGGTTTCCCTTGCCTTGAGATATATGTATGGGATTGTATTGTTAAGAATTTCTTTCTGTGACTTAATAAAAATGTTTTGTTAAAGATATATCTTGATATTCTGGATCTTTAGTATGTGCATGCTTATAGCTAGAGAGGTATTTTTCTATTCTCCGGCAAGGAAGTGGATTGTATATATGGAAAAAGTACAGATGATTTCGGGTTTTTTTGGGAAGTTAACATAAGAAGATATGCACTGAGGTGTAGCAAGTATTCTAGTTATGCTTGTGTTGGGTTGCTTAGGGGATCAGCAGACCGTTATAAGCAGATGGATAAGTCCAATTATACGGTAACCGAAAATGAAAATTTTTAATGGAAGTGCTTACAAGAAAGAATAACTTGCTGCGAATTAACAGCACAACAGGAAAAGTCTCTGTTGTCAGGAATAACATTACAATGTACAAAAAGACAGACGAGTACACTGTACTGGCCACGCCAAATTATCTGGAAGTACTTTCTGGAAAGAAGCTTTATCTTAGTCTATTCCGAAAGGTAAACAATGTGCACATTCTCCCAAACCCGGGCGCACAGACAAAGAATTCCGTGCGTATATACTTAATAGGAGACCGGTACATAGAGTATTTGGAAGACACCCAGATACAAAGCGAAGTGGAAACATCACGAAACATCAACGACACTTGCATATACAACAACATAATTATAGCTTTGCAGAATAGCAAGATAACACTTTACAGCAAATACTTGAAGAAACTCGACGAGATCAAGGTAAGCATGAAGTACTGCGAGAAAATAAGCATTATAGAGCATAATGGCAAAGGATTAGTAGGGGTGCTCAGCTCCACAGAGAGACGGGTTCTGCTTATATACGGAAAGGAGGTAGCCAAGGACATTAGTGTCTCAAAGCAGGCAAAGAATATAAAGATAGTCACATGGAAAGACAAGCCAATGTGCCTTATATCCGAAGGGAATGCAGTTCGGGTTGTGAGTGCCTTCGATGAGGAAGACAGAATAGTGGAGACAGAGCACATCAGCAACATTACACAAATAGAGTACAAAGACAACACGGTCTACACTATATCCAGCGAGGGCATTGTCTGCTCCTTTAGCATGGATGAGACACTAGCCACTGCTATTTATGTAGATGCAGAGGGATTAGAGAGCATTGGAGTATAGAATAAAGTGTGGATTAGAGTTTTGTAGCAATGGGCCTTTTTTCCTGCTGAATGCTTGTAGTTGCATAGCTCAAAGAAAGAATCCTTCGTTCACAGAATTGGATACTCCATGGAGCATGCAAAAACAACAAAAGGAATCCCAATTCATGCAGTATTAAGCGCATGGATTCAGCTAAAATTCATCCAAAAACAGAAATCTCTTTGTATGCTACTGAATTCCTTCGTAGCCAAATAAATACGTAATTAAAGTAACCACAGATCTCTTATAAATTCATTATAGACTACTTCTTAGGCATCATTGAGCAAAAAGTATTCTAATATAGCTAAAGGTCCTTTAAATGCTTAATTGCTCTTCGTAGGCTTAAGATTCACTTTATATTATATTTTGTCTGTCTCTCTGTGAGCTTGGAATATTGCAAAGAAGAGACTGCTGGAGTGATTCTGCAAATATTTCAATGAGCTTTAAAAATAAAGCCATATTGGCTCTGCTCTAGTTTATTTGTCTCAACTGTCTCTAAAAAGTCACAGAGATATGCCTTGGGTCTAGTGCCTAATCTATACGTAATGGTCATAATGTACTGCATAAATTACTTCTTCTTCTGGCTGTGACCAAAAGTAGAAGGGAATTTCTTGTCAGTGCTGTTTCAAATACTGTCTTTGTTCTGTGGTAAGAAGCCATTCCAGAGAATATTTGAGAGACATTCAGGTTGAAATTCAGGAATCTGAGCATAAAGGATGTTTCTTCTTACCAAACAATAGCACAGAGTATCTATAATTTAAAGAAGGCCTTTTAGATTTAGATTTAGGTATTTAAACTTCATACTATGTCATGGGGTAAACTTGGGTGAATTTTGGCCTTGTCTGTCATTTTTCAATTATTTTTCTAGTGTACATATGAATTATTTTATTTTTTTCTCTACTAAAGAATCTAAAAATATAATCTGTATACTTTTATGTCTTTGCACTGAAGGGCTTTGATATTTCTATTTTCTATCAAAAGCACACGAAAATCAAAATACATGCACAATCGAAGGACCATGCAAAGAGAGCCCATCAGACTGGATAAATGAACTGGTGTGTCGCATTTATATAAGTAGCAATACAGCGAACGGAATAGTGAATTAGACTAAGTATTTGGGCAACCTTGTATACTCGTTTATTTAAGGTGTACTAGGTTGGTGTATAGTCAAAAATAGTAGATGCAAAGTATAAGCATAATGTAGATACCTATGAAACTTCTGGTGTTTGAGTTTGTACTCAAAAAAGGCAGTCCATTTAAATCTTATACCAGTAGACATGCTATTTACTATGCAATTTATATTGTAGAGAACAAATAGCAATACATATTTAGAGATTCAATCTATGTTAAAGAATAGCTAATAGGCCAGCCAAAAGCTTTTCGCATTTTATTCTTTTTTATGAAGTTATATTCAGAAAAGGCTGCGCTTATGTAAAGATTTAAGAAAGGTTTTCAGTGCTTTGCTAAAGAAAACTGAACTAAACCCCATGAATAGTCTATTAAAAAGAAAGCATATGTTATATAGAAAGAAATAGAATAGATATTTTAAACACTGCAAGAGGCAGAGAAAGGCAGAAGAAACAAGAAATGTATAGCAAAAGCTATTTATTCAAGGGTCATAGATATATTACTATATATATGAAGGATTATGGGTAGTAACTTTGTATTATATAGGCATACCGTGTGCAACTATATGTAACATTTGGATGTACCGGTTGTATAGGCAGCCTCAGAAATTATGTCTTTCTAGACGCCTAGTCTGGGCGGCTTCCATTCAGGATCTGAAAATGCTTTTCTAAATTTTGCCCTATTAAGTATAAGTGATTCTAAAGTAGGGCATTTCAACTTATTATGTGTATTAAAACAGTTTAACTTGCTTAGAATAGAATATATACGATTGAACTTAAGTGAATCACGCCGTCTGCATGCATCATTTAGATGCATATTAATTATCTTCACGAAATTTTCAATACCGAAAGGGGTCATTTTGACAATATAGGTAGGAAGCACCGCATAGTATAAAGGCAATTTGTGAAGGAAGCAGATCGTTTCATGTATGAATTTCATGTTCTGATTGGTCAGTTTAGATTCCTGGCAAGCTATGTAAAGACACATGTAATAAATTGATTCTACTTCGCGTGGGAATTCGAAAAATGGTTTTTTAAGCACCTTGCGTCTGTTCTTACACATATGCTTGCATAGTTCTTCAAGGTAGAAAGTTGAAGTAAAATTATTAGTTAACAGCATGACAAAGTCGATAGTTTCGTAATAGTTTAGCTGCGACAAAATCATAGATATAGTATTCTTGTTGGGCAAATCTTCTAGGTCTAAGTGTATTCTTATCCAGCAGAAAATACGATTTGGGTCTTTTAAAGCTAGAGCATACTTTAGAAGTAGGGAAGCAATGTTGATATCAGTTTCGCACTTAGGATATATGCCTGAAAGCATACTTTCTGGTAAGTTAGGAAAGTAATTTTGGTCAATGCCTACATGTGACAGGATAGGCAAAAGCAGGTTTTTTACCTCTACAGATTTTTTGTTAAACGATATGCTTCCTATTAAATTGTTAATATACCGTAATACTCTAATGAACTTGTTTGGTTCTTTAAGTGAAATATCTGTTGCAATAGAAAGAAAGCATGTTATTGCATTAATTTTATGGCGAAGTGTATTAATTTTTCCATAAAGATGCATTGTGTTGAAATGTTCTAGCTCTTTTTCTTTCAGTTGTCTGATTGTGTGGTCTGATATAATCTTATCCTGTATTAGTAGTTTACTATTGTGGATCATATTAAGGATATGTGTATGATACATATAAGCTATGAATGTTTTGGGAGTGCTCTTAAGTACTGTATCTTCTATTTTTGTTAGCTCATCTTTCTCTTCTTCAGCCATCACCATGCATGCTGTTGGAATGGACATACTTGTGGCATTCTGGTCTGTTTTAAATTTAAATAAAACTTTCTCGCGGTTATATGTGTAGCACACATTTATGTCTCCAAATATTTCTATCCTATCATTGTAGCTTTCTATTTTTAGCTGATGGAAAGACACCTCTATATTTTTCTTGAGCTGGCCAAACACGTCCATTTTTTCATCCTTCTTAATATTAAACATTAATCCAAAGAAGAATTCAATAAAGTACTTCAAACATTCTTTGGCATCTATATATTTCTCTCGATCATGTTCATTAATACTATCAGTGGATTTCACATTTAGTATTTTCTCGAGATCATCCAGTATATTCAGAAACTCTTTTTGATAATTTTTGTGGATAGTATATACCATAAACCTAAATATATTCAGGAAGCCATTGTCAATAAATTCTCCAGATAGTTCAACATTTGTCTTATTGGTAATCTTTTTGATTATATAATTCCAACGAGATACTATGCGTCCATCTAGAAGTGTATCTGAGGTCAGACATGTAGAAAAAAAGTTGCCTACATCTGGATTAGCTACTTTTAATGCGTATCTGTCAGTTTGATATTTTGCATCATTACTATGGAACCAGAATTTGAAAAGAGTCACCAGTGAAATATTAGGAGTGTCAACTAATATTTCGTCTATATAGCTTAAAATAGTCTCTTCTGAATCTATCCTAAATAATCTTACTAATTTTGTATCTGTGGCTGTTAGTGCTTTTCCAAGTGTTCGAATGCACAGTTGTTTTGGTTGCGTAAGAATATCATCTATTTGCATGAGAAAATCTATTTGTTCGTTATAAATACTCGTAACACTTACATCAATGCAGAAGAAATTGTTATAGATGTCTTGTGGGGGGATAATTGAGTTTAATTTTCTCCTCTCTATTTTTTTGACATTTTTTTCTTCTACTTTAACCTGGACCGGTATAGCTTTATATTTAAAGAAGTGCATTAGATCCTTAGGGACTTTTTTGAAAACTGTCTTGAAAGTTTTAACCTTGAACTCAGATGCTTGTTGTTTGATTATTTCTGGAATATTCACGGTTAAATCATTGGGAGTATCTACTTGATCAGGTATATCTTCCATGCTCATATATCTTTGCAGATTGTTGTATATAATTTTGATAAAGCTGTTCATTGCTTGTATGCTATCAATGTATTCATATATATATGCTTGAATAAGCCACTTTGGAGTGTTAAGAAACCTTCCTTGTTGGAATCTTTCAAAAGTCTTAGGATCAGAATATTTCCCTCCTGATAAAAAGATTGGATTTGCCCTGTTATTTATAAAAAACTCGATGATTTTAATGGAGCTTTCATATCTATCAATCTTTTTAACTGGTTTTGCCCTTCTGAATAGCTTTTTTTTGGGAACAGATTTGTTGAGATTCAAGTCAACGTGTTGAAAGTTTCCATCTTCTATTTCTATTACAATTTCCTTTTCATAATCATTATTAGTTCTTATCTCCATAAAAGAATCCATTCCCTCAGAGATAAGCAGTAAATTCGCCAAAATATGAAGGTCTAAAGAACTTCTGCTGTTACTCTTAAGAAAGTTGTAAAAGCAATTCCTTGGGACTTCATTATGGTATGCTGTGACTGAGTCCTTATACGGATAAAACAGACTAATTAATACATTGTGATACCGTTCAAGGTATATAAATAACTCATTCCCTTTTAGAGTTTCTAGATATGCTCTGTCTCCTAAAGGATTTCTTTCATTATGGTATAAGAGCGGCCCTTCATCTTGCTTCACTTCTTGTATTTTGTAGTCTGTACTTATCTCAGGGGAGAATAGTCTTTTGTTGTATGTGTATCCACTTTCCTTGCTTATATATCCTCGCAAAGGGTTCAGTGGCCCATCCGGGTTTATTACTATCTTACGGTGGTCTTTGTCTACAGCAACCTTCGTTGTAAGAACTGCGCCTATATCTGGGACTGACAGACATCTTGGTGTAATTGGCTTAAACAGACAAATAGTCTGTAGTGTGAGTAGTATATGGTGTGTAAATCTTTTCTTGAATAGTCTCATTTGTAGTACCTAATATTAAACTAATTTCTCTTTAAATAGACCGAAATAACAGATAAGCAATAAAATACTCTTTATTTATTTGTATATATTGATATATTTCTTGTTTATATTTCCACATTCCATCAGCACTAGAAAGACTGTCTGCTAGGGAATTCTGTAGAAGAGTGTGAAAAATAAACAAATAAGTCTGCTTAAAGAGAGTATTTTAGTCCACACTGCAAGTATACTGTGTGAATTATTCTGTGAAAGTCCGTATATTTCTGTGTGCTAGCCAGAACATCAAAGCATTCACTTATTCATTAATGCACCTGCATATTACGCACTACAGAATGGTATAATAAGCAGATTTACAACAGTCACAAAGGCATTAACATATTTTAACACAGTTTGGTTATTTTTGGTTATATTTCATGTGCTTTAAGTGCTGCTATTTGGGAGTGTGGTTTGCTTATAACCCGAATTCTCATAAAATTATTTGGCATGAGAATATAGACACAAGAAAGACAGGAAAGACAGGAATATTATAGAGTCTGGTAATATTCTTACTTCTTAAACCTAAATCTACAGGATCACCCATATAAGGAAGCACTTTGGAATATATAATTTAAAAGGCCTTTATAATTTCAAGAGAAAGTATTAAAGAAGAAAATAAAAGCTTAAGAAAAAAGGATACAATTCACAGTGCACCCATGCATATCCAAAATATAACCAGAATCCTTAAAAGCACACTCTTTATTCTACACTACTAAATATCTGGAATATTTCCCTGTTTATGCGCACTAATTATTATGCTTTATTTGTATAGTAGAATACACTTGCAAACCCATAAATAAACACGTGATTATTCTGCTGTTTATTTACAAAGTGCTTAAATCTGTTCAAAAATTAAACTAGTTCATCAGGCAAAGGAACAAACAAAAACAAATCTATATACTGTAATACAAATAGAAAATCAAAATAAGAAGAAAAAAGTACAAATTATATCTAGCATATTCGGGTTATATTAGGATATATTCAGCTGCTAACTTAAGAATATGCCTATTTCTCTTCTATTAAATGACTGAATATTCACACAGGTCTTCCAGAATTTAAAGAAAATTACTAGAAAGCACAAAGGAATATCTGTTAATATCTAAGCACATCCTTCCTAGAGAGAATTAAAAGTGACTGTATACTTAAATCCAGCCCATCCCACAGAAGCAGACTAATTCTCTAATAAATAATTTGAATAACCCAAAATTTAGACTATCTACTGTACTAGAACCCGAATATAACACGAATAAAAATAAGCACATAATAAGCAAGCTAACAGACTAATAAGTATATTTCACAAAAAGCAGAAGTATATATATGCTTATTCCCAAAGAGTTTAGTCTAGCAGAATATCCAGAATATATCCAGAATACATCCAGAATACAGAATATAATCACTAGAATATCCATCATATTATGGCGGCAGTAGAATCTCTCATGGTTATTCTGAGACCACAAGAGTCCATCAGTGATATAATCCGAATATTCTTCGTATACTAGAAGACTAAGATATCTTCAAAAATATAATAATAAACTCCTTTTGATAAGCACTCTTATTTACTATCTGGCTATAAACTACTATCTTCTGCCTGAAATATCACTTCCTATGCACTTTAGTCGTACCCTGCAGGATAGAATATTTTTCTCATTATTTTCATTATTTCACTGCATGGAGAGTGAAGGATTTCCATAAACTAAGCAGCCACTAAGGAATAAGAAGAGCCAGAAAAGAAGGAAATTAAAGAAGAAGTAAAGAGAATTATAATAGAGTATAAGAAGGGTCTAGAAGGAGCATAAAGAAGGGTGGCTCCGGGAATCGAACCCGGCACCTCGTGCACCCGAAGCACAAATCATACCACTAGACCAAGCCACCACTAAAATTCAGGGGGTTTCAGTCCTTCCCCGCGTCCCCTGCGAAAAAATAAAGCATTTACTTTTTTTTAGGCCATGATGATGAACCGAGCAGTGAGAGTAGGTGGAAAGAAGGCACCAAGAAGGGCACCAACCAAGAAGCAGGTAGATGCAGATAATGATAAAGGATTTTTAACAGCCCTCTCTGCAAATGGATATAAATGCAGTGAAGTCAAGGATGTAAACTGCTGCAGTTTCATGGCAGACACAGATTCCGTTATAAGCTACCAAGAGCCAGAAGTAAAGGCAGTCACCAAGGACAACGTAATAATTGGGTACATTGTCAAAGGAAAGGGTGAATTACTTGGGGAAAACAACAAGAACTTTGACCTAGACTCAATCATAAAGTACCTTGCTACAAAGGGGGTGAACATAGAAGGACTAGTTGAGAAGGTAAAGGAAGGAGACAAGAAGGCCCTTGAGGAGATTCTTGATTTGGTCAAGGCAGCTGCCATTGAGGAGGACAAGGAGAAGGAAGAGAAGGAAGAAAAGACTGAGTAATCCGAATATTTAAACTAATCGTATTTAGATGGAGGTATTCATAAGAATATCAAAAGAATAAAAACCATATGATAATAGTTCCATAGACTGCACTGGCCACCTCTGGCTTAAATTATTCCCAAATGCACCCTTCTTCTTTGGAGTCACAGAGACAGACAGACTGTGAATATATTTGCACTTAGTCTTGGTCCGTGTAAATTGAGGTTTTATTAGGAGATATTTATCATGGAGTATTTTCATGTCTGCTGCATACTCTGCATCTATGACATCTCCTGGTGTCCGTTATTTTCCTTCAATGTGTCCGTTATTTTCCTTCAATGTGTCCGTTATTTTCCTTCAATTTTTCTGCTGTTTTGCTAATTAATTTTATGCAGAGGGATATTCATTACAGAAAAGCAAAGAGTGAAGGGTACAGGGCAAGAAGTGCATATAAATTACTGGAAATAATTGAGGAATATAATGTCTTAGTGGGTGTCTCCACAGTAATTGACTTATGTGCTGCGCCTGGGAGCTGGAGCCAAGTCATCAAGGAAAGACTGCCAGACGCGAAATTGCTCTCTGTGGACTTGCAGGATATTGAGCCCATCTCAGATGCAATTATCCTGAAGGGCGACATAACAGCAGATTCTACTATTTCCCAGATAAAAGATGCTTTTAAGCAGAAGGTAGACTTAATCTTATGCGACGGTGCCCCAGAAGTCACAGGCCTGCATGACTTAGATGAGTACTTCCATTCCTCCTTGATACAGGCATCCTGCCGTCTGTCAAGCCAGCTTCTTTCTCCTGCTGGGTGTTTCATCACAAAAGTCTTCACTGGTGACTCTCCGAATATTCTGATGGAAGACCTTAAAGAATACTTTATGGACGTGATAATTGTAAAACCAAAAAGTAGCAGAATAAAAAGTAAAGAAGCCTTTGCAATATGCCACAAAATAAAGAGCATGCAGGAATAGCATAGGAATAGAGTATGCACAGGATATTTACAACAAATTCGTGTGAAGTAAATTCACAGAGACTTAAGAAACTTAAGATACAGAATAATTAAATAATACAGCCTGGGAGTATACTATTTCCTAACTCAGGTTATATTAGGCTTGTGTGTAGTGCAGTTTATTCTGTTGCAAGATATTTCCTATCTTATAAAATTCCAAAGAAATAATTCTTCAAGAGACATGAATAAGCAGGTGATTAATCTATGAATAAAGAAGGCATTTATGCTTACAAAATAAAAGAGATATATTCCATAAGATATAGACTAAATTATCTTCTATAAATTATAGTTGTATTTTAGTTCTTTACTTGAAATAAATTTACCATAGAGGTTTTCACTCTGCTTAAATATATTTATGCAGTAGCCAGAAATAATTGAATTTAACACTTTCACTAAAGCACTCACTAGAAGGGTTTTTGTGTTATTTCTGTTATAAAAGTACATATATCTGGGTTTAAATTGAATGAAAATTCCCATCCTGCAGAAAGACTAAAACTCTTTATTTCTCACGTGTGCTCAATATTGTCTGAATATTGTCTCATATTCGGGTTATATCTGGGTTAGTACTGTCTTATATTCGGGTTCTATTCGGGTTCTATTCGGGTTATATTCATTAATAGAAAGCATGAGATTATTCTGTCACTGACTAATTTATTCTAAATTTCGGTTATATTATGTATCTCCATCTGACTTGAATGGGATTATTTAAATATTCTGGTGAAATAGATGATTCAAAGTAATTTAGTAGCCTACTATAGGCAATTACACTTATAATGTCATCCTCAGAGCATAAAAGAGATTTCTTCTCTTTCAAAGTATAAAAGGTCTTTTTTATGTGCGAATCGAATAAACCGTCCTTGAACCGGTCTGTGCTTTGTAAGTCATCCTTGCATATAAAGTTGTACGTTAACTTAAGGAATTCTGAAGACGTAGGGCGCAAATTAGTGCATGCATGGATAAACCAAGAGATATACACGAAGTTAGTCCATCCTAAGTCATCTGTCTTCTTGGTTTCTTCAATTACAGACCTAATTTCCAATAAGTCCCTGATACTTCCTTCATTCTGTATAGTATTAAAGAGTTCTCTGTTTGCTGATGAGTACAACAAGGAATAGTGCAGATTTCTATTAACCATATCTATTTTTAGATAGTTGCACAAGGTTTTAACTGAAAAAGACACTGGATAATGTATTACTATACTCTGGTAGACATAAGATAAATCAAGCTGGAATATTTCAACTTCAGAAAGATGCTCACCTGGCTTAAATCCAAGCTTAGGGAAGTATTTCTGCCAGTTTCCATGGAAGGGCAGCATCTTTATCACCTGGCACCATGTAATAGAATCATTTAATGTAAGACTTCCCAGGATATTTGAAGTGAAGCGAGTAAGAGGATCATTTGGTGCCAAATACTCTTCTATTGTGTAGATCATAAATGCATCAATAATAGCCATCTTTCTATCTGTATCGATGAGTTTCCCAATTAAGAACATTTTACAGATATTTTTTGTTTTTTCATTTAAAATTGTGTCTATCTTCTCTTTAAAATCATTTAAGTGAGTGAAGCAGTTTTTTTTAAAATTGTTCAATTCTGCAGTCACGTACTGTGTGACAATATATCCTGTGTAACTGTCCATGGATTTATAAATATTTCTTATTTCTTGGTAATTCTCTTGGATTTGCACAGATTCACATGGTGACAAAGCAAGGAGTGTTAGGCCTGTATGACCTTCTTCCACATCCAAACTAATTCCATTCTCTACCCCATCAAATGTATATTTAATACTGATTTCAGTGAAAATATCCACGTTACCATTTGATCTTTCACCAATTTCCATGCTAGCACACTCTACTTCCACGTCTTTATTATAAGAGAGTGTTTTAATGATAGATTCCATCATATTTGTGATTCTTTCTGTCTGAGTCTCATTTAAGTCTTCTTTCTTGCAGACTTCTTCAATGTATTTGACTAATTTTAGTATTTCTTTCTTCTCTCCTGTTATCTCTGCAACTGCCAAGAATATATTTGCAACCCCAGATATAAGTTCATTTTTAGTCTGCTTGTAGTTAATCTTGTCATTCTTTAAGCAAGCAACAACCTTGCTCCATTTCTTGTGCATTTCAAAGTCTGTGGTCTCTGTGGGTCTAGAATATTCTTTAAAGAACTCTTTCAGCTCATCACTTATTCCTGCACCCATGTGACTAGTTTCGTACTTTTTTGTCTTTGGGTTGTATGCCAGGCAGCAAAATAGACCAAGAAGGGCTGTCTCTACACAATTACTGTAGTACATGGTTTTGCTAGATTCAAATCCAGTTCTGTCAATTTTGAATTGTGGCACTCTAGTGTACTGCGGCAGTTGACTAGAATTATAAAATGGAAATTTAGCATTTTCATTTTTGGCTTGGACAAGATTACAGAGAGATCTAATGTACTTTATATTCTCACTAAGTGTGTCCTTGCTTAAGAATAATTTACTGAATATTCTGTTCTTTTTATCTTTCTTCTTTCCACTCAAACTGTTTTCTTTAGTCATCTGATCAACCAGTAATTCATACACTGCTTCTACAAATTCTTTGTATCCTTGTGCTGTGTCAATGAACTCGTATATATACGTCTGTATAAGGAAGGCTGCATTATTAAGAAATGATCCACTCTCAAAGTCTTCTCTTGTGGCTGGCATTGCAAATTTGCCTTCTTTCTTTAGAAATTGTTTGTCTCTGCAGCGTATGTAGAAGTTGACAATTTCAGATGCTTCTTTTTGGGTTATTTTATCACTGTGCTGATTAGTAAATGGATCTATACCTGCAGCATACATCTCTACATCCACAAACACTTTCTCCTTGTCTGTTTTACTTTTTATCACTAGCTTCTTTTTCTCTCCTGTATTGTCTATATTTATTTTAATGTCAACGCCTTCTGAGAGAAGAAGAAGTGAAGCAAGAATGTATTTTGTGTGATTCTTAACGTGTTCTGCCCTTAAGAAGTTCGTAAGTGTATCTGCTCTGCCTGCCTCAATGGAAAGGTCTCCATTCACAGAAGGAAACATCTTTATTAACTGCATGTGGTAAGTACTAAGATACTTGTCTTCTGGGGTCTTTGTGTCTAAGTCTTCATATACTTTGTCATTCACGGGTGTTCTTGTAAAGTTGTACTCTTGCTTATTTCTGCTTGATAGTCTTTTCTTGGAGAGTGCATAGTTTGTCTCTATTTCCGGGGAGTAAAACCGTTTATTATGCATATATCCATTTCTATGACCAATATATCCACAGAGCAAATTAAGAGGTCCTTCTGGGTTAATAATCATATCTTGTTTCTCACCAATAAATGTCCCATGAACCTCCTTTATATCATCTACTGATATTTTAGTGAGCACACTTTGCACCATCATTATTTTCAGAAGTATTCTGCTGATCATATAAAAACTGAAAAAAGATTTCTTTTTTAACCGACAATTAATTAAAATAATAACGGAACAATTATCCATATATCAATAAAATAATCCCAAATAATCACATATATCAATCAAATACACATATTACATCAGTATATTAGTCAGAGTGCATGAATAGAATGAGTATATTATCCCAAGTGTATTGTATATTTATTAGCTTCTAGTGTGTTTTAGTAGTAATTTATAGTAATTTATAGCGAGCTTTACTAGTAGAGCAATGTCCTGTTGTATTTGTGACTAATTTTTATTAATTTCTAGTAATTTATAGTAGTATAGACTAAGCTAGTAGTAAGCTACTAGTATTTTTTTAGTAAAATATACTAGTAGAGCAATATCCTGTTGTATTTGTGACTAAAATATACTAAAATAAAATAAATTTTACTAGTACTACAATACTCTGTTGTAGCATAGACTAACCTACTAGTGAAATAGAATAATTTTTTAGTAAAATATACTAGTAGAGCAATACCCCGTTGTAACATAGACTAACCTACTAGTAAAATACACTAAAGTATTCTATTAGCAAGACAATATCCTGTTGTAGCATAGACTAATATATACTAATATACACTAATATAACTACTAATATAATTGTAATTATTTTATTATGAATATGAACAAAGACACTCAGAATAACCTGAATAGAAATGACCTGAATAGTCCTATATTAACGGGTGAAAATAATTCAAATGATCATATGGATATATTACGGATTATAGAACCATTTTGTTCTTTGTTGTCTTTATCTGAGAAGTACATTATTCTTTCTTTATTAGTATCTTATGTCCATGCACTTGATCAATTTGGCTTTAGACATATCCGAGGGGAAGAATATAAGTTACTTTTGTCTTTGTCTTATAATAATGCAGAAATGCATCATACCAGAAGGGTGAACTCCTTTTTACTTTCTATTCTATCTGGGGGAGTACTTGGGGCAGTTCTTTCTGTGTATATGTCACTGTCTGGATTCTCATTTTAAGAAGTCTTTTTTCCTCTTATTGCGAAAATGACAAGACTTTTTCCACTTTGTCAGAACTTAATCCATAATGACAGAACTTAATCCATAATGACAGAACTTTTTCCATAGTGACAAGACTTAATCCACTTTGTCACAATTTATGCCACTATATCACTAAACTGCCAAATAATCATGATAATAAACCGAGTTTTAAACCCCTTCACTCAAAAATCTATAAACTTTTACTAAAATGAACAACTTTATTTCACATTTTCCGAATTTCTTCTCACTTATTCTGCATATTCCCCATCTTATTATGCTTAATTATCGTTATTTTCAAGGCCCAATCAACAGAATTATCAATTCTAATGAATATTTCAGTCAGCCTATCATGTGGTACTTCATCCAAAACCCATAACAAGAATAATTTCTTCTCTTCCTTCTCCATTTCTGTTATAAATTCAATAATTAGTTCAGAGACCTGTAATACACTCCAATTTTTAATTATTTTCTTTATAATAAAAATGGAATCTTTCGAATTCTGAATGTCTTCCGGTGAATTTGTATGAAATAATCCATCCCTGAAGACTTTATAAATCAATTTTACTTTTGAATTAAATGCCCAATCATTGGTTATCCAACTAATTACTGCAGTAAATAATTCTTGGTCATATTTATATACGTATTTCTTTAAGTTAACGGATAATACGTCTAAATTCTCTTCACTCCTTACCCAGTCACCAAAGTTTGCGTCGTATTGTTTATCCATCTCCTTAATTGTGTTGTCTATGTCCTTTATTCCTCGCATTATTTTTCCCCTGATGTAAATATTTATATGTTTAATATTACCGTATAAGGAAATATTAATTACTATATTAGATTTAATTAAGCAGAAAATTTCTGTCAAATGAATTACCCGATTGGGAAATATATCAAAGATTGGTCACATGGTATATGGGGAATATTTTGGGGAAAAGGGGCTGTAAGGGGGGACCATTGGAGAGAATTGAGTGCAAGGGGGGACCCTTGGAGGGGTGAGGAGGAGAAAATATGAGGAGGTAGCAGGACTTATTCCACTTAGTCAAGACTTAATCCATTTTTATAAAATATGCCAGGACTTATGGCGGGCTTTCAGGACTTATTACGCGGGAACATAACTTATGGCGGGCTGTCAGAATTTATGGCGGGCTTGCAAGACTTATTCCACTTAGTCAGAACTTATGGCGGGATGACAGGAATTATTACGCGGGAACATAACTTATGGCGGGCAAAACAAGATTTATGGCGGGAAATTCATAATTTATGGCGGGCTGTCAAGACTTATGGCGGGAAGTTCATAATTTACTCCATCCCTCCCCCAAAATGACAAGACTTTTTACACTTCTCCCGAAAATAGACAGAATTTAATTTACTTTTTATAAACTCACCAAGACTTATTCCACCCTATCCCAAAACAGACAAGAATTACTCCACCCACACCATAAATAGACAAAATTTAATCCACTTCACCACAATTTATTCCACTTTGTCATTATTTTTTCCTCTTTTTATAAATTCATCAAGACTTATTCCTCTTTACCATTACTTTTTCCACCCTTCCCCAAAAATAACAAGACTTATTCCACAGTCCATAAGTCTTGTCATTTTATTTTTTCAAGGGGCTACCCCAGGGGGTAATAAGGAGAAGTATTTCTTATTTATTCTTCGGGTTATTTCTGGCTGCATGAATATAAATGGCAATAGAAATAGAGAAACAACAAGAGATAAAGTATTTAGGGTTATATTCCTGTTATTATCTGGGTTTATAGTGATATCTGTTGCATAAACAGAAAATAGCAAGACTTATTACACATAGTGTATAAAGTAATGACCATTTTAATAAGACTTATTACGCATAGTGTATAAAGTTTTGGTTAATTTATAATAAAATATAATAGAAATAAGACAGAATTTATTACACTTTGTGCAGGACTTATGGAACTTTGTCACAATTTATTACACTTTGTGCAGGACTTATTCCACATCTCCCCATAAATGACAAGACTTATTCCACTCTTATAAAATATGTCAAGATTTATGGCACATATATTTATGTATTACAACTTTGTGCAGGACTTATTCCACTTCTCCCATAAATGACAAGACTTAATCCTCTTTTTATAAATTTGACAGGACTTTTTTCTCTTTTTATAAACTCACCAAGACTTAATCCCCTACACATCCAAAACAGACAAGACTTTTTACACATAGTATATTAAGTCCTGTAAATTTATTCATAATATATTCCTCTACTGCCATAAATAATGTTCATAAATACGACCAATTACAACACACTTTTCACCAACACTTAATCCACACACATCATAAATAATGTAACAAATGACAAGACTTAATCCACATACACAATAAATAATGTACACAAAATAAGACTAACTACAACAAAAATTCAGACAAGACTTAATCCCTATACACCATAAGTCCTGTCATTTCTACCAAGACTTTTTCCCCTACCACCATAAGTCTTGTCCAATCATGCAAGACTTTTTCCATATATAAATATTAAAATATTTTATCCCCCTGCATGAGCAAAAATAGACTAATTCACACGGCACTAAGTGTTTTAGGCCCAGTCTCACTCCCAATTCTTTTTGGGATGTCACTGACATCTTTAAATACACTCTCAGAGATAACCCTTTATAACCCGATTAAACCCGATATAACCCGAATTGATCCTGTGCTAACTAGGCTTGATGCCATGCCCTATTGGCGCCTTGTTGCAAGTAGCATGTTTATTGGAACATTTTTGTTTTCATTAAGTATTTCCTTATTGGGAATATTCAAAATTATTCCAAATCCGTATTTTAAGTATATTTTTACAATTTCTGCATTTTTAATTAGTATTTCTAACGTATTTTGTGGATTTTTGAAGTCAAATATTTTACTTTTTGTTGTTCGTTTATTTTTAGGGGTTGGAACAGGAATTGCATGTGCATTAGGGCCAGTTTATTATATTTCCTTATTAGGAATAACCGCTGGGGCAAAAATTGCAACTCTTCAGGGATTGTTTGTTAATTTAGGAATATTTTTGGAGGGAACAATATCAAAGAACCTGGATCCAAGTAATAAGATTGTGATCTTTTATATAATTGGGGCAATATCAGGTATTTCCGTTATAACAAACTTTTTATTCACAAAAAATTTAAAGAGAAATTCTAATGAGATTGAAATTATTCGTGCAACCCGAAGTGGTTTCCCATCGCACTACTCCAAAGATAAGCACAAGATATTTTTCATTCTCTCCTGCTTATTTATGCAGATTGCACAGCAAATGACAGGAATTAATCCTATTTTATCAAACAGAAGCAAGTTCTTCAGCGATCAAAATATTTTAAATTCTTGGGCTGAAGACTTTTTTAATTTTGCAGGAATGATAGGGACAGCAATATTCTGCATAATAATATTCTTAAAGATACACGTTTTCAGGTATCTCATGCCAATTTCAGGTGCGGGATCATTTTTAGCGCTAATTTTAATGGCGACAGTGTCGTCTCCAATTGCTGTAGCATGGTATGGTGGGGTATTTTTAGTCTTTTTCTCAATGGGTTTAGCTAGTTTACCGTGGATTTTGCCATCAATGATCTTGCAAGAAGAGAGAAATATATCAATTGCAGCAGGATTAGGGTCTTTGGCGAATGCAGCATTCTCTAGTTTGGCTTTAATTGGCTTTGACTTAGTCTATCCTATCTTAAAAAATAACGTATTTTTGATTTTTTCGATATTTTGTCCGATGGTTGGTATTCCTGGATACTTTTTCATAAAATATTCAGATAAAATGAAGCAGAAAGGTGTAACACCTGCTGCAAAGAGCATGATTGCTGCAGAAACTGCGGTTTAATTGGTTCTTAGTCTAATAAAATTATATTATTTCAGTTATGTTATATTTATTTATGTGTGGATTAAGTCTTGTCAGTTTTGGGATATAGTGGATTAAGTCTTGGAGAAGTGGAATAAATTGTGACAAAATGGATTAAGTTCTGTCAAATTCAGGATATAGTGGATTAAGTTCTGTCTATTTATGGTGTGAGTGGATTAAGTCTTGTCTATTTTGGGAGAAGTGTAAAAAGTCCTGCACAAAGTTGTAATACATAAATATATGTGCCATAAGTCTTGATATATTTTATAAGAGTGGAATAAGTCTTGTCAAATTCAGGATATAGTGGATTAAGTTCTGTCTATTTTAGGAGAAGTGTAAAAAATCTTGTCTATTTCGGGAAAAGTGGATTAAGTCCTGGCAGTTTTGGGAAAAGTGTAAAAAGTTCTGTCATTATTTTTTCCTTATTTTGGAATATAAATAATAATAAATCTGAAACAACCCAAATAAGGAAATAATTACAAAAAAATAACAAGAATTAGCCCAAATTACCCAAAACGAACTGTATATAAACTGAAAATAGATAAAATGCCCTAAATTAACTCAAATTAACTCAAATTAACCGCTTAAATACACAAGAAATACCATAACTATAACCAAAACCAAATAATTCCCGAATAAATCACAAATAACCCTAATAACCCCCCATAGAACCATAATTGTTTTTATTTATTTTTTAAATTCATCTACCCCATGCACGAAAATCATGAAAATTCAAATGAAGCCATAAGAAAACCAAATATAAAAGGATTCTTAAACCGCCATGCAGTAGTAATTACCATGGTTGCAATGAATGTCCTGGTGCTTCTGGCAACTGAACAATTAAATATCATAAGATACAAGCACATGGAAAAACTAAATGATTTTTTGAACGTAACAAGCGAAGTATTCGAAAATGACCCGGAAGTAGTCGATTTTGATACGATAATTGATCACCTAGATATAGGCCATAAGATGAAAAATATTGGAATGGCTATAGGAGCATGCTTTTCCTTAATTGTCACACTGTCCTTAAAGAACAAAAAAAAATTAATGAATTTTTTTACAACTGCCATTCAAATGCTCCCTGGGGCAATGAGTGGATTTGTGCTCATGTGCGTTCTTCTTAATTATTTTGATGTCAGCCCAATGGCATATCACTTTTGGGCAATGAATTTAATAATTGGAATGTGTTCTGGCCTTATAAACTTCTTGTTTTTGGTCTTAATTAACGAAAGATTCAGTGCAGAACCTAACAGAACCCGGAAATTAATCAATTGCAGTGCATTACTCTTGGTGTCCACTACAATTTGCAAGTTATTTTTGTATTTTATTTTTAATAATGCATCAAATAACGGTCTTGCAATTGTTTCATTTGGATTATTTTTATTATGCACTGTAATTACGTACTTCTTATATATACCTGCAGGCAAGCAATTACTACGGAAATATTTCACAGAACCAGGAAATCCTCCAAATAACAGAAATCCATTGATTACCCCAAGTATAAGCGTATATAACCCAGATACAACCTTAGTCCCAGGCAAATCTACATCTATCTTTGATAATCCAGTAAAACTAAAATGGAAGAATCCTGAACATATTTTGTTAATTATTTGGTGTATCTCAGCGATTATCTTAAGGAATGGTTATTTTACAACGGATATAATCTCATTTATTGAGCACATTGCATTAATGCATCCTTATATGTTTTTATTATTTCCATTGATTTCTGCTGGAATTTATTTCTTCATATCTAGATTTAATTCAGGATATATTGGTGTACAGGTTTATTTTTTATACATTATACATTTATTTTGTTTATTAGGCGTATTTTTATTAGGTTATATTAACACGAGTTATATACGAGATATAATTGTGGCTGTAGACTTTATTACATTTCACTTAAGTATTTCATTAATTTTGCCAGTTATTCCGTTACTTTTAGGGCACACAGTCTCATCACCATTTACAATTGGGATATTTCTGATGGTTTTGCATGGAATGGATGCATTCATGGAGTCATTCACATATTATATAATGGAAAGCAAATTAATTCGGGTTATTGTTTTGATATTTTCTCTTTTCTCATGTGTTCTTGTAATTCCTGTGATAAAGACAGTTATAGAACAAGAAAAAACAGAAAATGACTCAGGATTCTTAAATTCCTTCTGGAGGGAGCCATCCATTGGAGGGTCAGTCCTGGAATTATCCGAGTTATCAGTTACACCAAGGGAGTTATCCGTTACATCAAGGGAGACACAAGAATCTGAGCTATTCGGGTTATAAAAATAAACTATTTTGAGGTTATTTCGTATATATTGTATTCGGGTTATTCAGGGTTACTTTAGTAGCATCCTGTTATATTTAGTCATACTCTGTTGTATTTAGTACTATCCCAGTGTATTTAGTACTATCCTGTTGTATTTATGACTATTCTTAGTAGTATCCTGTTATATTTAGTCTATATCCCAGTGTATTTAGTCTATATTATTCTGATTATTTTTTTCAGAATTATTTTGTCTAAGCATGCTTATAATGGGAGATATTAATAGAGTGAAGATATATACACTTTCTGAACTGGAAAAGAAGGAGAAATTAGAGCTTGTTTTGGCAAATGAATTTGACATATTTGCTATGACAGGATTAGATGCCAAAGATAAACCATTTTATAAATCATGCATAAAAGAAGTCATGAAGAAGAACCCAAGTGCGTACAACCACAAGTGCAACTGTCCAATCCAGAAATTTAAACAAGTCAGATATATTGCAGCAAAAGATGTCATAGCCTACAGAAGTGGAAAGTGCAACTTAGATTCAGCACAAATTGGATACATTATGCCCAGGAATTCTGCCTTTGGGAGTGACTTCAGAGACCTTCTTCTACTAGCCAGACAAATTCTCATTTCCAGGAAGGAATCAATTTCCATGCCATTTGAGTTCTTTACAACCTGGATTGGCTTGAATATTGGAATTGTCATTCTTTTGTACATTGAAAGGTACCTTATATAATGAAAATTATAACGGAAAATAGCGTATTGTAACAGAAATTAAAATAAATTGGAATAAATTATAACGTATTATAACCTATTAATAACATATTATAACGGAAATTAGAATAAATTATAACATATTATAACCCGATATAACCCGATATAAATTAAAATGAACAAAACTGCATATTACATTTACTCAAGTCCTTGGTACCTTCTTATTTAAAAATACCCACGCATCCTTCATATAAACCCAGAAGAAGCTCTCCTTCTTTGATTGTTTCAATTCTGCTGTTTAATTCATTCTGTAAGTTAGTCTTTTCTGCTGTCATTTCTACTAATTCTACTTCTATCTGATTTATTTCATCTTCTATTTCTGCTAGTTCCCTGGCATTCTTGAATATTTTATTTTCTTCTCTGTTCAGGAGGTTTGTTTGGTCATCTGTCCTTCTTTTTAGTTCTTGCACGTCCTTTGATAATAAACCATTCTTTCTTCTGTTCATGGCAATTGACTGCTCCAATGCAGACCCATTCTTTGATAGATTTTCTATTTCATTTGCCAGCTTAGACAGACTCTCTCTAATTGCATTCGGTCCCAGTAGCTCCATAAATAAAAATTTCTTCTAAATATTTATGCTTAATTGAAAATATTAAAATATGAAGACCTTGTGGTTCAAGTAGATCAGAAGGAATAAAGTGATTTATTGTATCATACCTTTAGATAGCCTTCTATGCTGTGGCTTTCTCTTTTTCTTTTGACTCAGAGACTAAAACTGGCAGGTCTTTCCCTTCTCTAACTGCCTTGGAATAATTTGTTCCTAAGTATACAGTAGCATATAACCATATACTGCTTACTAATACGGTTGTTGTGAATGTGACTGCAACTGACTTTCTTATATCACTTGTGTTAAAGATTGAAAGAAGAACAATCTGAGTTATTGAAGCAAATGACTTCCCTAGCTTACCAAATACTCCATCATAAATTCCTTTGAACCTGGATCTGTGCTCTTTTGGGATTTTCACTCCAACGGCTTCCTTGCAGATATCAAATGCAGCATATTTCATGATTTTAATTGTCATTACAACGATCATACTGATGACTAATTCAACTAGTTTAGCACCCTTTAGGGTCCATGGCATGATTGATCCAATTGACTTTGCAAATCTAGTCAGTAGATTTTTGTCAGTTGAAACCATTTTACTGTTGATCCAAATGCACCCGAAGAAAATAGTAGAACCAATGAGTGAGAGAATTGGTGAAACTAGTCCCAATGATAACCATCCTTTCTTCTGGATAAATGACTTCATTGGGGACATAAGAACAATTCCTGTGACTATTCCAACTACCACTTGCTGAATTGCCTTTGTTATCATTGTCATTGACTCCTTTGGCATTTCTTGAATTTCTGCATAATCTGCAATTGCCATATTACCAGCACCTTCTGTTAAGTTAGTCACTACACCATAGCTTAGCACAGACAAAGACAGTGCCAGAATAATTGGATTTGAGAAGGCAGCAACAATTCCTGCTACCATGCCTACTTTTGTCTTTGTCTTTTTGGTGTAGGTTGGATTAGATGCGATATAAATAGGGTAGGGAATAATCTTATCCATAAGGTATTTATAAATGAAGAAACTCACTCCACATAAAATACCCAGTAATATCAGGAAATATCTGTAGAATATAATGATATTCTCCTTGCTTGTCTTGTTCAATAAGGAGACACAAAGGCCCATGACACCAGAGAGTGTCAGTGCCACATTTGCAAAGATTAAGAAAAGAGGGTAGAACCTAAGGGCTTGCTTAAGAAGACATAATTCATTAACACATCCAAAGAAAAGTAGTGATAGAACGAAACTTCCCCACATTTCAGCTGAAACGTAAAATAATGAACAGGTCCAGAAGTTAATCATGTAGAAAAGTCCTTCAAGGAACTGAAGTCCTCTAGTGTGCATCTTTGCATCCCTGAACATATCAGCAACTAAAAACTTGTATGGCTCTATTTTCTCTGCAATTGAAAAGATCACAACGGAATATACAACGAAATAAATTCCAAATCCAATGTGTGCCCCAAGCATGATTGTTCTCATCTTGACACCCTTTGACATAAGATATTGAAACATAAACCCAAACATAATTGTAAATAAGAGGACTGCTGATGACTTAAGATACTGGATTGATGTAGGAAGCATTTTCCCAATAATAAGTGTATCCTTTGCATCTCTTAATGTAGAATAAATAAAAGATGTAATGAACCCAAGTACTCCCAGACAGAAAAACTTTGGATATTCCACCTTCAAAACCCGAAAGAATGTTGAGCACTCTTCTGCTGCTTTTTTCTCGTGTTCTTCTTCTGTTGGCAGTGACTTATTTTTGTAATCCTCTGCTAGCTTTGAACTATCCATATTGCAGGGGTAGAATGGAGGAAATTTATAGATAGAAAAAAGGAGATATTTCGAATGGATTGACCAATAATACAGAAGTATTTTAAACCACAAATTATCTTAATTATAGAATAATTGGTTATTTTAATCCAAAGTATTAGAAAGACTCTATATTCATGGGAGACTGAAATTGCATTAGAGTGAACTTTCATCTAAAAAGTGAATATTACGTGTTTATATGCATAGAGTATAACCCGAATAACCTCCTTTGAACGAGTTTATTTGGGAATATTCCAGCACAGAATTTAAACCAGTTAGATTCTTCTTACTGGGGTATTCCAGAATAACTTGGGATATAGTAACCAAGCACATACTGCAACTAATCTATCTCTTGGTAATATCATATTAAGTCAGAAATTATTCAAGATCGATGGAAAAGCATCAGTAAAATAGCCATTTCTATGTAAATCTATTTGAATCCATGAATGAATTCTTCTATTAAAGCTAACTTATTTCTTTACATATAGACATATAGACTAGAAAGTATCTCAAAATATTACTTGCAATAGGTCTATGAGTAGACATATTTATAACTCCATAAGTTAAATAGTAATTTCATTTCATCTGAGATAAACTTTATAAACTCTGTGACTAATTACAACGGACTCTTTCCCTTGGCTTTTTTCCCTTGGCTTTCTGTCACTCTGGTTTCTCTGAAATTTCAAAGAAAACTTAAATTTAACCAATAGTAGTACAAGCCGTATTGAATAAATATATTCGGGTTATTTCGGGTTATATCATACATTGACCCATATGAGTGATCTATTGCCATTTTATTGTGGGTAATACTAGTCTACTGCCACACAAGAATAAGTTTAAATGCATCTGCTGGGGATGGCAGAATACAATAGAACGTCGATCCATTGAATACAATAGAATGTGATTGAATAAATTAACTAATTTCTAGAAGATTCTTTGAGATACTTCACTTTTCTTTCATCTGAGTTTCTTTCAAAGTGTTCTCTTGTTTTACAATTCTTCATTAAATTATTTCTTTATAAGGGATGAGTAAAATAGTAATTTAAGTGTAAATAAGTCTAGAGAATATTTTGACTGTATTCTGTAACAAGTATTCCAGATTGTAAGAGTAGACTAATCTGGTGAAAGGAGTGCATTCTATTTAATATTTCTGAAGAATTTCCACTTTGTAAGGGACTTTCTTTCTACTGTAGTGTTTCCAGGATGGTTTAAATAAATTTGTGTCTGAAAGGATGCAAACCATCAATGTAAGAGAAATAGAAAAAGCATCAAGAAAAAGCATTGTCAAGAATATTTCACTACAACAGCTTCTCCATTTAACTCGAATATAACCAGTTATAGCTCGAATTATTTTATAGACAAAGTATAATAGTATTTTTATGTCTTCTATAAATCTATTTTAAACTATTTATGCATTAGATTTACAAAAAAGCAACTATTTTTATCTTTTTTATAAAGGCTTCAGATTCTTTATCTCTACCAGAAATAAAACTGAAGGGTTAACTTATCTTATTTTTTAAAAAAGATCTAGTAAAATTACTATTACTTTGATTCTTCAAACAAAGAGGCACTATTTTATTGTAAACCACTAATCTTAAAACATTTTGGGTTATTCCAATTCTAATATAAATATAATCTTGTTAATCTTACGGATAGAATCCTCGTTGTCACATAAAGAATCTTTCAGTTTTTTAAGAGTTTCTACAACCTTATCAAATCCAAAACACTCTTCAGTATAAGAACGAGATTCTAGTGTAATGTACTTTGCACTGTGTATTGCATTTATATTTTCCTTAATAAGTTCTATATTTGGATTCTCTCTTGCACAAATATATACAATCCATATGAAGTGAATTTCACTTATTAGTTTATCTTTTCTGCTTGGATAGTTTTTTATAATAAGCTCATCAATTATCTTAGAGTACTTCATACTGTCATCTTTAAATAGATGGTCACAAACAATTTCATTTACCAAACTGCTTAATAGTAAGTTTAAGAATGGATTTTTGTCTGGATCTATCTTATCTATACAGTATTTAATCCACATTATGAAAATACTTATATCATAATCTAATGTGTACTTAACAAACTCCTGAAGACTTAGGTTTGTTAATATATAATTATACGTTTTTTCTTGCAACTGTATTTTTGGATAGTTTAGATTACCTTCTCTTGTACTATGCAGATTTGCAGCAACAATTGAAGGAAGTATTCTATTTTGAGTATTTTGGTTGTCTAGTTCTGTGCTTCCTAGTATGTTAGAGGTGAAGCGAACAATAGGATGGCATGGAAATAGCTTTTTATCCATGCTGTATACAATAGAACCTGTAAGCAGCTCTATTTTGTAGTCTAAGTCACTGATTTTCTTAATTAACAACAGTCTATTTATATCTATGAAGTTGTTCTCAACGACATTCTGTATCTCATTTTTTATATATTTTTTGTTTTCCTCATTATCTCTGATTTTTCTCATTTCGTACCCAGCGTATATTAAAAATAGATTTTCAATGAAGGTTTTTCTATTTTTGCAGCTTTTTATCATCTTATTCATTTTATTCACTCGGAGATCTGTGAATTTCATGGTAGGGGATTTCATTTCAATGCTGCTATGCTGGTCGGATATTTCCAAAACTATAGTGTTATAAATGCCATTGTGCTGAAATCTTATAATAATATCACCTGATATATCATATCTTCCATTATTATATATAGTACTTTCAACCTCAGATAACTCTATTTCTATATTTTTTGTCTTGGATAGATGTTTAAGTAATGATTCTGTGTACTTCTCAACTGCATCGTATAATTTATCATCAAATTCTCCATGTTTATCATTTAAATACTGTGAAAAGCCAAGTATTTTGTCTTTTTCTTCTTCTGGAGCATTTACCACTTCAGCAATAACCATGAGCATATTTATAAGACCACAGTCTAACTCGTTTCTTCCCGTGCAGTATGCAATTCTAGGATTTTTTAAGTCTGCAACAACTTTGCACCACTCCTTCTGAAATTCTGCCTTTGTTGTGTCAACTGGCTGGTTCTCCAAAGAGAAGAATTCTTTAAGTTCTTCAGAGACATCTCCCATGTGGTCTGTCCGATAAATTCTCTCTGCTGGGTCATATGCCAGGCAGCAGAAAAGAGAAAGAATCACACACTCCACACAGTTGCTGTAGTCTTCCAAACGGTTATCAGAAAATAACTTTGTTTTTCGGTTGTACAAAGGAATAGATCTGTAAGCAGGAATTTCTGTGCTGTCTAGAAATGGAAAGACCTTATACATACTCTTAATCTGCTCTATGTCTTTCATTAAAGCCATGCAGTCCGTGCCTTCTTCTGCACCAGTAGGCTTAAACAGCCTGTCATACAAATATCCACTTCTACTGAGTATTTTCGTCTTTGGTACATATTTCTCTGTCATTGAGTGAACAACTTGAATAAACTCTTTTGCTTGGTTTGCCGTGTCAATGAACCCGAATATGTACGACTGAATCAGGAACTTTGGACTATTTAAGAACTTCCCAGAGATAACACTTGCTTTTGTACATCTATCATTCAGCATGCTCAACACTTCGCTACTATTCGAATTTTCCTTAAAGAAAATGATTAATCTTTTAGCTTTCTTTTGGCATATTGTCTCTAACTCATTGGTTACTGTGCTTATCCATGGGATTGCCATGGGTACTTTAAAGTATATCTCGTCTTTTTTGTCTTTTTCATAGACCTTTAGTACGCTGTTAGTGACTTCAATGGGAATATTCACTCCCTCTGAGAAAAGAAGCAGCATAGCCAGAATATGCAGTGCATATTTCTCTACTTTTTCTGCCCGAAGGAACTGAATGAATGACTGGTTCCCTCGTGTCTCTATGGTTACATCGCCAGTAGGAGATGGAAATAGATCAATCAGGTGAGTGTGATAATTTTCAGTATATAAATCCATTTCATTCTCTGATAGTGCTTTGTATGCTTTATCCTTCTGTTCATCTCGTGTATACGTGTAGTAATTTTGTCTCTTACAGTCACTTTCATCTTCCTCTAAATTGTATTTTGTGTCAATCTCCGGGGCAAAGAATCTTTTGTTATACATGCACTCCATCTTCTGATAAATTAATCCGCGTAGAAGGTTAAGAGGTCCTTCTGGGTTTATCTTCACACTGTTTAGGCTAGTTTTAATTTCAAATTTCAAAGTTGATTCAATTTCGCTTAGTTTTATATCTGCTCTGCTTATATTCATCAGTAGAATATTGATTAAAATAATTGTTTTCGTCCAAATAGAAAAATACTTCATTTTCCAATAAAATAAATTATTTTTTAAATATATATTAATAGATATATTAGGAATATTTATAAATTGTCTTCTTATTAAACACTTAGGTGAATGACAATGCGTTTTCTTTAAAAACATCCTAATATAACGGTTATTGACGTGCCCAAAAGGGGGCCACGAGATATTCTGGAGATAGTAGTCTAGAATGGAGAGTGTAGTTGTCCAGGGAGTTTTATTATTGTAATCCGGTGGATGTCTTCGGTGACATTGACCTGTTGCATATTTGATAAGTGTATTTCTTCTTTCAGACATTCTCCTCTTTTCAGTATTGTTCTTCGATTTTATATTCAGTCTCTGATATACGAGGAATCTTTCGGAAGTTTCATTTATCGTTGATGCGCTTTGGTCACGGAATTAATGAAAGTGGTATTTTTACCACAATTATCTGCATAGTAAATTGGCATGCCACACTCGTGAAATTTCCCAGGCCTGGAAATAGTAGCCCAATACGGATAGCATCTGAGTTGAAGAGTCTTTTTACTGCATGCAGGTAGGCTTAGTTACTGCACAAGCTCTGAGGCAGTCTTAAAGTTCTGGTTGTGGTTCAGCGTATTTCTTCGTTCAGTCTTATTGTTCTTCTTCTGTAAAAGAGAATCTGTGTTTATTCTTGAGTCCTTTTATAAGGCTGAGATAATCTCTCTCACAAAATACTTTTACTGTGGAGCCTCTTGCAATGGTAAGAAAGTTCTGGAGAAATTGCAATTTACTACATAAATATATTATGTGAAGAGGCAGTTTCAATTGTTAATGTTTGTTATGCAGTAGAAAACATCTCAGCACTAAGAGTATGTATGGTATTGTCTTATAATGGGTAGGTATAAGATGAATGCTAGAGTATTCGAAATGTTTTTTGTTGTATATTCTATTCGTAAATAAAAGTCTCTGCTTAAACCATTATTTCTTTATCCTATAGTTATTTTAATCCAACTACTAGAGTTCTTCTCAGCCCAATGCACACTTATTAGCAACTAGTACAGTACATGTAAGTGCTATACACCTATGTAACCACATAGCTATTCGCAAACAGCGCTTGCTTGGTCATTGCTTACCAAAAGAAACATTTTATTCCCACTACTACTCCAAGGAAAATTAGCAGCACAGTAAAAGAGTTTAAGATAAAAAGCCATTCGAGGCTTGCGGACAAGGAATATTAGTTGAGCACACAAAGGACGGACACAGTACAGCAAGACAGCAGGCAGATCGGGAGCGGGTGTTTATTAATAATAGTGTGTACCGGCCATGTACGGGCGCCATGTACTGCCTGCACACAGCACATCTTCGCTCGCTGCATACACATGTAGTGGTTAGCTGCTGCATATGCAGGGAGAGCGGCGTCTTGCGACTGGCCTGAGAACCCAGCGGCCCGCGCATGCTGCTGTTTGCCGGAGCGCTGCAGACAGCACAGCAGGCCATCGTGCGCGCTGCGCAGAGGAGAGAGCCAGTCGGTGCTGAGGACAGGAGCAGGGAAGTCCAGTGCACGCATAGTTCAGTGCCACTTCGGCTTAGACAACGCAGCGGTTCTAAATATTAAATGTACAAGCATCAAGGTAAAAAGAACATGCGCGGAATTTCCTAATGACAAAGTTGGCATCCAAGCTACTCCATATGGCCTTATAGGCTACCCCGAAGGGAATGATAATAGTGGACGACCCACCGGCAGGGTTAGTGCCGGCTTGCTCCTGCCACCTCCTAGCCAGCCCTCTCCTGCTGCACTGCGCCGTGAGACAGATGCAGCTCTCCTGGTGTTCTGAAATGCAGAGTGCGTGCCTCTTAAATACCCCCAAAAAATGATCAAACTGGGAAATATGTGCATTGGGCCCTTCTAAGTGCACTCTAGACCACGTTCTGCTGTTTGTTTACTTAATTGCGATCTGTTGCCCGGTCTATGTGCAAATTGTGCACCTCAGAGGACCATATGATGAAAAATTAATATAATGGGAGAGTGTGTACAAGGCATGTGCAGCAGGCACTGGAGAAAGACCTGCTGATGTAGGGAGGTGTGTGCAGATGGGTAGGTGAGATAGACAGCTGGTGTCTTGGCACTTGCATGGCATGCTTGAGGAATGCACTCTTGTCTACTTCTGATGTGTCTCTATCAGCATACATATTGCATATTTGCAGTCTGTATATAGTATGTGCATACGTGTATGTATATCATGTGTGGTATGTGTGTATAGTTCTGTGCTGGTGTACGCATAGGTTTTCATGTCTGGACAGAGCCTTTTTGTTCTTTATGTGGCTGGCGTGTGATACGGAGTTTGTTCAGCTTTCTACATTGCGCTGAGTGTTTGCTGAGAGTGGTTCTTCAAAAAGTGCAGTTTTCTGATTTTCGTGTGTCTTTATCTTTTTTTTAGAAGAAACAAACCCTTCTGAACAGTAGTGGTAGCGCGAATATTGTAGAGTTTATTTTTGCAAAGATGTAGAAGAAAGGATAATAAGAAGACATAGACAGAAGAATGAAGACATAGTACAGAAGAGGTAAATTAGGGATGGGGAATATAGGATAAATGTATAAAACATGTGCGTATGGAGCTGAATGGATAGAAAATATACATCGGGTTATAGTGCATTGACGTGCCTAAAAGGGGGCGACGAGCTAGTTCGGAGATAATAGTCTAGAATGGAGAGTGTAGTTGTCCAGGGAGTTTTATTATCGTAATTCTGCGGATGTCTTCGGTGCCTTTGACCGGATGCATGTTTGATAATTGTTTTTTTTCTTTCGGACATCTTCCTTTTTTATGAATTATTCTTACTATTATATAGTCAGTTTTTGATATACGAGGAATGTCACAGAGTTAATGAAAGTGGGAATTTTACCACAGTTATATTTATATTTAAATTATTCGAATTCGGGTTATATTCGGGTGATTCTTGAGTTAACCAATAATTCTTTAGAATAAATTCTATGGTGTTTGAAGAAGTACTATTGAATTTTTCCATTCTTTAAATACATTATTCTTTACATACTCTACAGCTCTGTGATAAAATCAATTAAAACCCATTTATGCACTGAGATGCAGGTAGTTTATCCAAGATGTATAAAGAAATGTACTTTTATATATATGGTATGTTGTATGCACAGACTAATGACTGATGCATTTTCTATTATTGGTTTATTTGTATCGTCATGCAAGATACAAGCAATTGGTTCTGATTGTCTAGACCAATTAAAGAAGAAGGAAATATTTTCTCTTTTTAACTGTTAAATAAATCAAGATTTAAATAAAAACAAATTTTATAAATGGTATCTCTAGAAAGTTAACCATGATAGAGGATAGAAAAGAATGATATTCATAATAATAACTGACACGCCCTAATGATAGTAATATTTCAGTCAGAAGATACTATTTTAGACTCTAATAAGGGCAATTCTCAAGTAATTTATATTTTTATCACATACCCGAATATCTTTGATCACTGTGATTTTTGTATTTTTCCTGGATGTATGCCTTATTGTCTACATTGCTGCTTTTTTCTACAAATTTTATTCTTTAAATAATTTCCTGAAGGAATTATTTTCCTAAAAGAATTGTGGTAAAATTCCCACTTTCATTAACTCTGTGACCAAAATACATCAATGAGAAATGCACTTTCCAAAAGATTTTGCATATATCAGAAGCCTACTACTAAGTTACATGGAAATATTAAAACAAGCGGAATATGTCAACAGTAAGAAATACATCCAATAAAAATACAAAAGATGACAGTCACCAACCGAAAAAATATGATAATAAACCTTCCTTGACAACTACACTCTCCATTCTAGACTACTATCTCCAGACTAGCTTGTCACCCCCTTTTGGGCACGTCAAGAATAATTTAGTTCTCATGTTAATGGTAGCAAATTTTACCAGAATAACCAATAAAATGAATCTTTCAAACGAGGTCAATTTGGAGGGACTGGTTTCCAGGTCGGACAAGCTCTCTGCAGTTGAAATTAACTCTATATACCAGGAGGCAGGAATGCTGGCTGTGCGTAACAGAAGATAAATGGTTTCCCAGAATGACTTTGAATCTGAATATACCAGGATAGTTGAAAAGAAGAATTCAGAGCATGAATTCTACTACTGATCAAACAAACCAATAGTAAAACTTTCTCCTTGTTTATACGTATATCACTTTCTCTATTTTAACATATAAATAGACTTGAATATTTACTGAATATGAATATTCATTTAAGAAATACAATCAAAATATTAGCTGTATGCGCATTCTTATATAGTGTTGCTGCAGATAAGTTTGCGGCTGAGGCTGTGGTTTCGAGAAGGCGAAATCGAAGACAAGAAGTTTTAAAATATCTTCTCGTAGATAAAGATGGCTGGGTAGTAGCGAGTTATAAATCGAATCATTACTATATAGGTTTTAATAAATACGGTGAAAGTATATATTATTTTGAAAGACAAAATGTTCCCAAGAACCAGCGGAATCCTGAATATATAGATCTTATTGAAGATGTAGCTAATCCAGATCATAAAAAAAAACCATATAAGATTGAAGATGAACCTGAACTTAAGATGTTGCATGACAAATACTATCTTGGACTCGAAGATGAAGATGAAGATGAACTTGATGGAAAGCATAAAAAAGATCCCTATGAGCCCAAAAATGAACTTGATGGACACCCTCCCCAAGACTCCTATGAGTCCAGAAATGAACTTGATGGAAAGCATAAAAAAGATCCGTTTGCATCTGAAGATGGAGATGAACTTGATAGAAAGAGCCACAAAGATGGCAAATCTGATATAACAAGTAAAGGAGCAAATAACAATTTAAATCTAGATAATAAGGGTGTAAAGAACAATGAAAAGAGTATAAACAACTATCATGGGCATGAGAATGAAAAGGACTCTAGTGTAAATATGAATAAGAAACATGACAAAAATCCATCAGACAAAGGAAATTCGTTATCAATCTTTGACAAAAAAAAAGATAATACTGATGTTAACAGAAAGAATAATAATACTGCTATAAATAACTACATAAAAGGAGATGAAGGTAGAGATAACAAGTCTTCTCATAAAGATCCATATAACAATGCTAATTGCACACCATCATCGAGATCGAGATATAACAGTCGAGATAGTTGCTGTGATACGCCGCCATCAAGATATAGTAGTCAAGATAGTTGCTGTGACATACCATCATCGAGATATAACAGTCGAGATAGTTGCTGTGACA